CGGTTCGTGAGGTCGAGGTCGATGGTTTCGGTGAAGGAGGCAGTGGATGCGGTTTGGGAGAGGGGGATGCCGCTGCCGTGGGAGATTGTGGAGGTGGCGAGGGCGGCGGCGGAGGAGATTAGGAAGGGGTCTTTGTGGGCGTGGGTTTTGAGGGTGGAGTGGAGGATGCGGAGGAAGTTGGGGTTGGAGGTTACAGAGGACGGGGTCGGTGGGTTGGCGGTGGTGGTGCCGATTGCGAGGGAGGGGTTGGGTGGGGTGGTGGGGAGAAAGGTGAGGAGGTGTGTTGTTGGTTGCGCTGGGTGCGGGAAGATGTAGATGTGTTCGTTGGAGGGGAGGGTTGAGAGGGCGCGGAGGTGGAGGTGTGACCGGATCGCTTTGCGGGTGGTGGTGGTGGTGAGCTGTGCTGCTCGGCCACCGAGAGACCGCAGCATAGTGGCGGAGCGGTCAAGGTACAGTGTTCAGAGGGAGGTAGACTGCCCGCTGCTTAAAGATGTCGAGAGGACGCTGTGTGACAAGTCCGCTGTACAGCAACACGGAGGTGCAAGTCGCGTCTCCAAAAATATTTCGAGATTCATCTGATGATGACATCATTGGGTCACAGATACGAATATGGACATGCAGCCCAAGGCAAGGCTTATACGGCTTGCACAGGCAAATACTGAGGTACAGGACTGGCTTAGCGGACAGAGCTCGCAAAGGAAAATTCCACCGCTTTAAGTATCCAATCAAGCCTGTCGTCGCAGTTCACCATCTAGTGTCAAAGACCAACGACTGCCTTTGCCAGAAATCAATACAGTCACCGCGAGCTCCTTTTCGAGCCATGTGCGAGGAACCTCTCCCGCCCGAACAGTCCATTTAGCCAAGCTCTTGTACACATTCCGAAGAGGTCTGTCGATAAGCTTCTCTTTGACGAGCAATGACTCGAGAGCGACGAGAGCAGCGATTGGTCGACGAACAATTTCGGGCCTTGGGCTCGAGGCGTTGTGCTTCTCCCATTCCTGTTCCAAGCCAGCGAGCTCCTCGATTAGCTTCCGCATCTCTCCACGACGCTTGTCACTCTTTGCCCAAAAGGCGGAGGGTGGGACACAGGCCTCACAAGAGCAAGTGAAGCCGTACTGATGCAGGAAAATTTGTTGCCGCTTCTTCGTACCATTGAACATGTGCTTGTTGTAGTTTGACAGTATCTCTTTGCCTTTCGCGATGGGACGGAAGGCATAGAAGTGCATCTCGGCTGGCTTGTCGGGATCGGTGGGTGGAACGTAGAAGAGGCAAACGTTTGGAACGCAGCTGTGGTTGATTCTCGATGCCAGAGCGCCTATACATGAACCGCCGTGAGCTAGCGGGTCGTCTGATCCCTCGATTGCGAAAGCATCGGTTGAGTAACAGTTGCTGTAGTATATACCAACCACGGGGTCGACGTCGCCTTTCTGCAGGTCGAACAAAGCTTTGTAGACCTTTTTCTGCGTTCTGTCCAAGGCGTGGAACGCAGCCTTGATCGACTTGCTGGATTTTTCTTCCTGACGCGAAAGATTGATCAGAGGCGACTCTTTAAAGACCAAAGTGCCGGCTTTGATGCTGCGAGTTGCAAATAGGCCCTGTCCCTTCCCAGCCGTTTCGCGGACCTCGCAGCAAGATTCCTCAGTCTCGTCCTCGGACACGCCCGGTGGATTGGACGGCACTGCTGTCTCATCTATATCAAGCGGCGATAATGCGATATCTGCTGTAGGCACTGTCGATGTACTTCCGATGTTACATGGACTGCTCGGGGATGTTGATGGGACACTTGTCGCCGGAGTGTGCTCCGAGCCTATTTCGGAGCTCGTTGCTGTGCTCTGCTTTGAAGCCGATGGGTTGTCAATACGTACTATACTTGTTGTCTTGTCTGCAGGGAGCCTGCTGAGGCTAAATGCTCCGAATTGCTCGACCAAGCGATCCTCCATATCCTGGATCTAGTCAAATCGTCACTCGCACAACGACTGTGGGCTGCTGTGAAGAGCAGAATCCTTGAGGAACAATATTACCAAATATACGCCTACGCTATGCTGTCATAGGGTTAAAGAACATGGGGATTGGATGCTTGTTTCCGTATCGATGCCATGTTGAAGGATGTCAGCGGTCTCGCCCAGCCAGCGATTTATGGAAGGTCCGATGTTCTTGTCGCGAAGGAAGGAATGAACAACGGAAGTGATGACGAAGACAAATGAAATGATGGGATATAGGGCAGACCGAGACCGGCGAGTCTAGAAGGGGGTGGAAGGCGGGACGGTGGAGTTAGTAGCGCCCGCTGACAATGACTCGTCTCCAGCTCACCGCTTCTGAGTGACTTGCATCACAAGCTCCAAAGAGTATCATATCAGTTGTGTGATTGACGTAGAAAACAGATGACATCGCAAGCACGAGTGCTGCGACTGATGGAGAGTCGGCGATTCAGGAACGATGGTGCCATGTTGACAGCTCACGTGAACTCCTACTGCATCTCGGCTAACTTGCTCCGTAGGGACAGCGGATCAGCGCCAGCCGCGTCAGTCAGGGAGAGGCGACGACATCACGGCCTGGCTTCCGTCATCAACGAGCCTTGGATAAGTCGTCTATTTCATCAACAGCAGTCAGCGGTGCACAACACAAAGTGTGGCATCAGCTAAGCTCATTGTTGTCCGGTCGATATCTCGCAGTGGGAGTGACATGGCGGGCCCCCAGTCCACCCCGCAATCTTGAAGTGATCAGCCTCCATTGATCAAAGCATGGCTCCGCCAACCGGCGCGTCCAAGGGCAAGCACAAGGGTCGAGATGCGCGACGTTCTAGGAGCAGAAACACGACTCCGTCTTCGGTGGTCAGTAACTCAGCGCCCGCACCTCCCAGCCATACCGCAGTGCTGGAGCTGGAGACGTCGAAACTGCTGATCTTGTCCAACCCTCGCTATGCCCATATCTTGGACCAGCTTGAGTCGAAAGCGTCCACTCTTGACCCCAAGCGCCTGCAAGAAGTTATAGAACAGCTCAAGACTTTGTCCGATGCGACCGAACACCGAGTCGAGTCATGTGAAAGGGCAGTGCGGCTGAACCACGTCCATCTCAGAGACGCGCAATTCGCGCAGAAAGAGGATGAGCGTCAGGCCGAGCAGGTCAGACGGAGCAAGAAGACAAAAGATGATCCCAAAAGCAAGGCGAAGAAGCGCAAAGAGAGACCGGGCAGTTCTGATGGAGTCGACATTAAGAAAGAAGGTAAGTTGCATCTCAAGTCCACATGGTTGTAGCTGGCAACGTGTCTCTTCATATTCACACTTCACTTGCTCTTCACTCATCTTCACGTCAAACAGCCTACCTCGCCTCACTTTCCCAAAATGCTCACCGTCAGAGCCATGAATTGCTCCTTCGCATTTACTGACAGCAATGCTGTAGAAGAGCCCATTGTCAGACTCAAGAGTCGCGCACTTGGCACACCTGTCCCGAACGATAGTCCTTCCCCTGCAAAGAAGACGAAACTTAGTCCGTCATCGTCTCTTTCAGAGGTCGCCGATTCACCCGAAGAGAATCCTCCCGAGATCAAGAAATCGCCTCCAGCGACCGATGTCAGCATGTCAGAAGATGAAGAACCGGTGCGCAAAGCGCCAGTAATACCACAACAGGGCTTCTTCCCAGACCCCATGGCCTACGATCCGACTATCTATCATATCGAGGATGTCACAAGTGATATGTCTGATGCTGAGCGGAAGCGCATTTATAGCGTCACTGCGTATCCTACGAAAGATCTGAGCGATCAGATTGCCGGTCAACCACCCGACAAAGACTTCTCGAATGCCAAACCTACGAATCAAGTTGCGGCGACGACTTTTCTCACATTCGCTGAGCCATTCCTAAGACCACTCTTGGAAGAAGATGTTGCATTTCTGCGTGAGAGGGGTGATAGAACCACGCCGTTCCTGGCAATCCCGAGAGGCAAGCGCGCCTACCAGGACATCTGGGACGAGGAGGACGGCATGATCAACAGTGCTAAGGACCGACCAAGCCTGAGTCAGCCGCACGGCGATCTCGACCAGATGGGCGACGATGTGGCCGGTACCGACCAGATCTCAACAGGTCCTCTGATAAGTCGACTGGTTTCACTCCTCAAGTTTGAACATCGCTCAGAAGATCAAACTACCAACGGCGCTGACCCCGACGATCCATCCGCGATGGACTTTGACTTTGGTCTCGAGAGCACTGCAGAGAAGGCACCACCGTCCGCCACCAAGATATCAGATCCCGCAGCATCGAGAAGCTCTCAGCGGCTCGACTACATTCAGAGTGAGGAGAGGATAAAGGCTGAGCTGCGCCACCTCGGCATACTTGGACAAGATGAGAACCCTGACTTCGATGCACACCACGATGACGACATCAGTGAGAGACTACGACAACTACAGAATGAACTGCGACGTGTCATGATCCTGAATGGTGCACGTAAGGCACGACTTCTCGACATGGCGAAAGAGCGTCTTGCATACCAAGAATACAGCACGATTCACGAAGATCTCGACAGCCAAGTACAGCAGGCTTATCTCAAGCGAACAAGAACTCTTGGCAAGACCAAGAAAGGCGGTCCAGGAGCGAAGCCTCGTCCAGGTCATGTTGCAGCATTGGCTGGTGGTCTCGGCATCAATCGGGCCCGAGATATTGGGGACAGTGCAAGAATGCTGATGGACCGAAGAAAGCGGTGGGAGAGCTGCATCGGGCCCGTGTTCAGAGACATGAAACGTGGTGTACCTGGTCCCGAAACGACCGTGTGGGACCCGAAGCTCATGGAGTCGTACGATAAGGCCGAGATCGAGGCTTTGGAGGAGGAAGGTGAATAGTACTAAACCCGAGATACCCTCATGGCGGTGGAGGTGTCTGAAAGCATCAGCTTACGCCTATACGATGCATGATTGTTCTGACGCCAAGGCCGCATCTTTAAGCGCCTTACGCCTGGATATGACATGACTAGCGTATAGATCCGTCTTTGGAATATGACCAAGCTCGACAACGCTCACCATACTGTGCGCAGCAGATTATGATTGACACCGTTTCGTCCTCCGAAGCCGCAACCTCGCCCCGTGAAACGGAGGACCTCTTCAACATTATACTGCTCGACCAATCGAATGACGTCGATTTGTGCCGCGGCAACCGTGAAGGTTCTTTTGTAAAAGGCGCATACAACAATGACATACATCGACGAACCAAACTACAGCAAGCCTCATCATCAGTCTATCAGAGCATCCAAAGCTGCTTCTGCAGACGTTGAAGGCCTGTCTTACGTCTGACCTGGTCCATACCAGCGACTTCGCAGCTCGCAGGACGACGATACCTGAAGACAGATGCCTCGAGGTTTCCCCCACATCTGCTCGCGTGCCGTGATTACCGAGACCTGCTCCTTCTATTCGTGGCGACATCGCATACGACCTCCCAATATCGGTCGCGCAGCCAATGGAACTTGTTGTGAGGCAGGCCCTAGCCACCTCGGATCTACCACAATATCCGTCATACTTTTGCTGCGACCGCCTTTCTATCATGATCTTCCTTGCTAATACACGTATACATTGAATTAGTCTCGCTGCTAACAGAGTTTGGGCAACCTAATTGCAGAACGTATATATGACGCCACGCCCATCGACACGAATACGATCTTCTGATGCCAGCAACGATTTGTCCGACAAGCGACACCACACATGGATACAACATCACCAGTGCTAGAACGAGCACAAACGAATCCAGAATCGACTCTGCCAATACACGTTCCTGCGAGACGACAGTCCTTTCACCGAGCGAGATCTGCACCCGGCAATAACCTCGGACCAGTCGTTACAGCACATTTCATAGATGACTATGGCGCCCATCACTACAACCCTGATGAGCACGACGATAGCGACCATGACGAGTCCGAGGCGACCCCACCATCGACCTTGACCGAGAAGCGAAGTCGATCAGACACCCTCGATAGACACGGCACGCAGACAAGCGATGCTACATCCACCGACCTCGAGCGCGGCCGCACTCAGTCTCAACAACAACTCAGCCGCGAGAAAAGCACTCTCTCCCGCCGATCTACGAAGGACCCTTTCCTGGTCCGTTTCCAGCCCGACGACCCGGAGAACCCCAAGCTCTGGTCGTTTCGTCGTCGATGGGGCGCCACCGCCATTGTCTCAATCTTCACGTTCATCTCACCCACGTCCTCTTCAATGTCCGCTCCCGCGGTAGGCAAGATTGGTGCAGACTTCGGTGTGACCAACGAAACCACCCTGTCGCTTCTGATCTCCATCTTCGTCCTCGCCTACGCCATCGGCCCGTTATTCCTGGGTCCTCTGTCCGAGATCTATGGCCGCCGTATTGTTCTACAGCTATCAAACTTGTTCTTCCTCGCGTTCAACATCGGCTGCGGCTTCGCCACCTCATCCGGCCAGCTAATCGCCTTCCGCTTCCTGTCCGGCCTCGGCGGCTCTGCCCCACTCGCCATTGGTGGCGGCGTGCTCAGCGACTGCTGGGATGCCGAGCATCGTGGGCAAGCCGTAGGTCTGTACTCTTTGATGCCGCTGCTCGGTCCCGCCGTCGGCCCCGTCGCTGGTGGCTGGATTGCGCAGAAGACGACCTGGCGATGGTGCTTCTGGAGCACGTCGATTCTGACAGTGCTTATCCAAGTCCTGGGGGTGATCTACCTCCGCGAAACATTCGGGCCCGTCATTCTAGCGAAGCGCGCTGCGAAATTGCGCAAGGAGACTGGTGATGAGAGGTGGCATACTGAGTGGTCTGGCCCGGGCACAGATCGTACGTTGGGCAAGGTGCTGAGGGTCAGCTTGCAGCGGCCGTTCAGGTTGCTTGCAACGCAGCCAATCATTCAGGTGTTGGCCATCTATATGGCGTTCATCTATGGGTAAGTCCACCTGCTGAACACGTCAGAATGGTACTAATGCTTTCTACAGATTGATGTATCTCGTGCTCACAACCTTTCCGCAAGTATGGGAGGGTGTCTATGGCGAATCCCCTGGCATCGGCGGCTTGAACTACCTGAGCCTGGGCATAGGCTTCTTCGTGGGCGCGCAGACTGTGGCCCGCATCAATGATCGCTTGTACGCAAAATTGAAAGCGAAGAACCACAACGTTGGCCGACCCGAATTTCGCGCACCTATGATGCTCGCCGGTGCATTACTTGTCCCTGCTGGGCTCTTCATCTACGGCTGGAGCGCGCACTACCACACGCACTGGATTGTGCCGAATATCGGGTCAGCGCTCTTCGCCGCGGGCACGATTGCGAGTTTTCAGTGTACCCAGACTTACCTATCGATACCTACTCAGTTTACGCGGCTAGTGCGGTTGGAGCGGCGACAGTGCTAAGAAGTTTGGCAGGGTTCGGATTTCCATTGTTTGCGAGGCAGATGTATGCTGCTTTGGGCTTGGGCTGGGGCAATAGTTTGTTGGGCTTCGTGGCGATTGTGTTGGGTGTTCCGGCGCCGTTCGGACTATGGCGGTTTGGCGAGACGTTGAGGGGGAAGAGCCAGTATGCGAGGACTGGAGCTAAATGATGTGGTGGTTTTTATTTGTAGCGTTCGAGCGGGTGTTCGATCTATATATATATGCATTTATATTTCCGTACCGGGAAGATCGCTCACAGCTGGCCGTTATTTTCAAATCACCTTGCCTTTGGCTGTTTCTCTCAATCACATATGGTCAGTATTGCTATCGCAAGACGTCCACATTTTGTACTTGAAAGATTGAAGGGATTGCCTAAGAAGGCGACTCCCAAGCCCCTGGGCTGTGGCAAGCGGCCCTATCCTTGTCAGCCGGTCTCATAGAAGGCCACATCCTCCAGACATGTCGGCGAAAGGTTCTGCCGCGGAGGAAGGACTTCTCCCCTCTTTTCTTCCTTTATTTTGCGAACTCCTTGCCCAGCCAAATCGAACGTCATGACGACCTTCCTTTTCTGCTCTTACCCGAGCACATGGCATGGAGATCTGCGCCTGGAAAGCGCTCCAGGAAGCGTTGCTCGGTAGTTGATATGCACTAACGTTCGTGTCTTTCTCCTGATCATTGTGCTTGACGACTTGTCGAATGCGAGTGACTGACTTGAGACGTCCATATCTTGCCCCGTGGTTGTGATTGCCTCGACTGAAAAGCACCTGGCCATAATATTACAGGACTTGTAATCAAAGCCCTACGCCGCATACAGCCAACTAACATGCCACCTGCCAGTGCTCTCAACCCACTGTCCGCCGCGGCGGTCCACCCGAAGCAAGATGCAGTGTTCGGCATGTTCCCTAGCAGGCGGAGTGTGGTCCACAGTACAGGCGGTATGGTGTCCTGTACACAGCCACTGGCATCGGAAGCTGGTCAGAGAATACTGAAGCAGGGAGGCAATGCTGCTGTAGGTCACCGAGGCCGTATGATTCTCTACTGGATTTGCTGACGAGATGCACAGGACGCCGCTGTTGCTGTAGGTGGGTCAATATAGCTAGAGACGCTCACCGATGCCCCTACTGACATGCAAGCACAGCCGCCGCCCTGAATGTTACAGAGCCAGCAATGACAGGCATCGGAGGTGACTGCTTCTGTCTGTTCTTCGACGCAAAGACCAAAGAAATCCATGCACTCAATGGCTCTGGTCGCGCACCCAAAAACACGACCGTTCAGCAGGTTCGCAAGGAACTAGGTTTAGCTGATGGCAAAAACGGCAAGATCCCGCAGTACAGTCAACTGTCGGTCACGGTGCCCGGAGCAGCAGCTGGATGGGTCGATACGGTGGAACGATTTGGGAGTGGGAAGCTGACGATGGAGCAAATTCTGACGCCAGCGATTGAGCTTGCTGAGAATGGGTTTCCTGTGAGCGAGTTTAGTGCTGCCTTTGTAAGTACTATGGTTGTCTTCATCTGTTGCATAGCTCATATTTGTACTAGTGGAAGAACAGCGAGCCATACATTCGAGACGCGTCGCCGAATTTCAGGGAGATCCTGAAGCGGGACAGGTCTTCAGAAAACTTTGTACGTGCACCGCGGTCAGGAGAGATCATGAAGACGCCGACCTTAGCAGCGACTTTCCGCACGTTGGCAGCAGAAGGCAAGAAGGGGTTCTACGACGGTCGAATAGCAAAAGCCATCGTCGATGTCCTGAAGCAACGCGGCGCCCACATGGAACTGGAAGACCTGCAGCACCACCTCGAGAAAGGCTCCGAAGCCCCCAAGCCGATCTCCTTCCGCTTCACAGGCCAGAACACTGCCAATCCGGGCCACCCAGCGTCATCCGACATGGAAGACCGCTACATCGAGCTCTGGGAACACCCGCCCAACGGCCAAGGCATCGTCGCCCTCATGGCACTCGGCATCTTCCAAGAACTCGAAAAGACCCAACAGATCCTCCCCTTCGCCCAAGAAGACCACAACAGCATCTCCTATCTCCACGCCCTTATTGAATCTCTGCGGATTGCCTTCGCCGACGCCTCCTGGTGGGTCACTGATCCCGACCATTCTCCGATCAAACCTGCCCAACTCACCGACCCAGCCTACCTCGCCGAGCGCGCCAAACTCTTCAACAAAGATAAAGCCGGCCGACACTCCTACGGCAAGCCCGGCAAGTCACCAGCCCACAACCACAGCGACACCGTCTACTTCGCCGTGACCGACAAAGACGGCAACGGCATGTCCTTCATCAACAGCGTCTATTCGCAATTCGGCTCGTGCATCGTCCCCGAAGGCTGCGGGTTTGCCCTCCAAAACCGCGGCTCGACATTCGACTTGGGGCCCGAAGACCACCCGAATATCTACGCCGGCGGGAAACGGCCCTACCATACCATCATCCCGGGCATGGTGACCCACGGCCGCACCTCGGTGCCAGACGATCGGCATCTGCACTCTGTGTTTGGCGTGATGGGAGGCTTCATGCAGCCCCAGGGGCACTTGCAGACACTCCTCAACATGGAAGTGTTTGGAATGAACCGCAACAGGCGCTGGACGCGCCGAGGGTGTGTATTGGGGCGGGCATGCCGGATCAGGGTGAAACAGGGGGTGCGACGGTGTATATTGAGGAAGGTGTGCCGGAGGAGGTGGTTGCGGGGTTGAAGGGGATGGGGCATGAGGTTGAGGTGCTGTATGGGATGGAGAGGGCGATGTTTGGAAGGGGGCAGATTATTAGGAGGCATGTGGATGCTGATGGGGATGTCGTGGTGTGGAGCGCGGGGAGTGATATGCGCGGGGATGGGTGTGCTATGCCGGCGTAGACTGTCCTTTTAACGCCTGCAATAGCGACACAGCTCCTTCTTAGTCTGCAAGGTTTTAAGTGGCAACGACAAAGCTCTGCTCGAGCGACTTCCTCGGCGCTGATGACATCGAAGTACTCAATCATAGTGGATGAGGACAGACTCGGTACTCGTATGCTTCCGTTCCTGATTCCGCTTCGGGCTACTTACACCTTGATTCCATTGTCGACTCACACGAATTTCTCCACAGCGAGGCGGCCATCGGCTTTTGCGGGCGCCTGAGCTCACTTCCCTCCAGGCTCCCCGCTCCCGCCGCTCCGTATCCTGCAAAAAGCGAAAAAGGAAAAGCATGTTGAGAGCTGTGAGGTTCGAACTCACGCGGACTTGCGTCCAGTGGAGAGTTTCTCTGCTTTGCCAACAGGCAAGCAAATACTTAAATCCACCGCCTTGAACCACTCGGCCAAACTCCCGCAAGGCTTGAAGTCTCGAAATTTTGAAATTTTGTGTGCATTTTTGGAGCGTGAAGTGGAGCAATTTTGCCTATCAATAATATATATATATTCAAGCTGACCGCGACAGGCTTTTTCACGATATCCATACGAAGTACCTCACGATGTGTCTAGCGATTGCTTTGCACTCAAAAAACGAGGCCACTCAGTTCTGGGTATAACTAGATTGCCAGAAGCGAAGAGCGCAATAGACGTTAGGCAAAGACTGTCATTATTCATTTCTGAATCACGCAGACATGCTCTTAGCAACGCGCGAAGGCGTGTCTAGACTCGATCAGGCTGTGACAGGGTCACGGAGTCACTTCTGAAATACACAGACCAACCCGTCCTCCCTGAAATAGAGGCCATCCGAATCAGTCCTCGCCACAGGTTGGGGATACATGTGCTCTGTTCGCAGACTGCTTCTCTCTTCGAGAATGCAGTGCACTTGCAACATAGACATGGTCCGCCTCGGAGGAGTGCAGCAGCGCTGGTCACTCGCACCCCAGCTTCGCTTGTCCCACACGCAGTCCGGGTCTTGTTTCCGATCCATACTCTTGCCCACCTCACTGTGTCGTCATAGATGAAGTCTGCACCACAGTCTGAACGTTGGTAGAAGTTGCGAACTCCTAAGTTGGAACGAGTATCCCGTCCGAGCTCTGGATCGACGTCGTGTAGTAGAAAACAGTCGTTGTCATGGTGACAGGTGTGAGGACAAGGTCTGCGTAGTAGTCCTGAGCGTGGTAGTGGTTAGAGAAGAAGTCAGTACAATTATTCCGCTGGGCCACGTTGAAGTCCCGGTCGTGTAAGCCATACCCCTCTCAGTCGAGGTGACGGTCGTGACAGTGTAAGTCCGGGTCATAGTGTTGGTCGCAGTACCAGTTGCAGATAATGACGGTACCACGGTTCCGCCCGAGAGTGTCTGATTGACAGTTACGCATAAGACACTATATTCAGTCGAGGTAACGGTGGTTTCGGTCTGTAGGGTAGTCTCGGCCATCTGAAGGCTCGCGTCATTGCCGGTCGTCGTGTCGGTCCTGTACAGATGTCCCCTTGGTTCAGGCCTGTCAGAAAGGCCGTGGGCTTCCATGTTTAAACCGAGAAGAACCGAGCTTTTGCTATCGGCGATGCAGCATAAGAGTCATGGGACCCATTTAGTGTCGAATGCTGCTCTCAATTTATGACAAGGCCAGATGCGATGCCGTGGCTCGTCCGCCTTTCAAGCATTTCTTGCAAGATTTCGTATCGATTCATTCAATCGCATCCAGGCGGTAAGCGGTAGCCCAACCGTGATCTCGCTGCGGCTCTTGCGACGCCATGTTGCGTCGCCGAGACCCCGTCGTAGACACTCCCAGAGCGCCTTGAGGTTGCGGAATGTCTGCCGACGGCGTCGTGACTGATTCGCGCCCACATCGGGCGTCTCGATGTCCGTCAGCCAAACTCCAAAATGAGGCTGTCCGCTCAGACTGTATGTTTTGCCATCTCGGTCGAGATAAGCGAGTATAACCAAGCCAGCATAGCTGCCCACGTCCACACTGGCTGGTCGCAGCGGGTTGCGCAGGTTGAATGGTTTGGTGAAGTACAGATCATACTGTACATCAACCAGAACCAAACACCATGGCTGTGCAGTATTTCTGCTATGCGGTGCTGCGGCTGCTGGCAAGAAAATATGCTTGTTAGAACCGCTTGACTCGGCTATCGTTCGCGTGCCAGCCAGCTCGAGCTCAGGGCCAAAAACGTTGCGAGCTTCTTCCATGGTGGTACCCGAGTCGACATTTAGTGCCCCAGGATCGAAGTTTTGCCTAGTCAAGCTGCTATCGTGTGGCTGAAATCGGTGGTCCATCTTGGGACACAGTCGTGCATGAATGAGCCTATCTGGGTCGCGGCCCTGCTCTGCCTTACTGATCTGCCAAGTCCGCAGAATCGTGAAAAGCGAGTGAAGGTTGGTTTTAGTCTCGCAGCAGTCCAAAGCCTTCGATATGAGCTCCGGAATGCTTATCTCGTAGTCGATGGGCAATTTGCGATGAGTCTTACCCTGAAAAAGCGCATGGAAGGCGTAGATATGATCTCTAGGCTCTGCGCAGCGCAGATTTGAGAAGTCGTGTATGATCGATTCGAACGGCTGTAGCTGCGGGTACGAGTGATCAGCGCGGCGGAGGACGTTGAGCATTGGTCTTAAGCGGAAGCGAACGTCGCTAGGCGCACTACGGAAATGCCAATCATTGAAGTCAGCTGTATCAAGAAGGCCGTCCCATAGATCATCCAGATGTAAGGTCGAGACGCCGGACTGGAGGTGTACTTTCCTCGCTGTCGTCAGCTCTTGTACACTGTGGGTACAATGTCATGTCAGTGAAACCACTCGCGACACGAGGAGTGCGTTGCCAGCCAGCTGATACCTTCGAGGACTGGGGTCGGCACTCACATCCATGCTCTCTGCCAATATTCGCAAGCAGCCAGACTCAAGAGGAAATCAAGGTTCCGACCGTCGTGTACCGAGTACTTCAGCAGTTTGTTGCTGTTCACACGGTCCCGGTGAAATTGCTTGAAGCCAAGATCTTCCCTACCTAACCAAGCACGTACGGTAGTTGCTGACTTGTAGATGTCGGTCATCATTCTCACCTGGCTGTTCCGTTCGTTGACATTGTGCTGGTCAATACAGATGGCATCGATCCAAAATGCCGAGGCCCATCTTAGCTGATTGGCGACGTGGAGGAAGTCATGCAAATTGTGTCTGACGTGAAAAAGCTGACCATTGATGAGGATGCCGTGGAGTAGAGTGTCGTCGCCCCAGACATACGACAGGGCTTCGTATCCATTTTCTGCTGCTTCTGTCAGGGGCAGCGAGATGAGATCGTATTGCAGATCGGGGGTCTGGCTGGAGGGGCCGCGGGCTTGAAGCAGTCTTATCCAGCCTGTAGGCAGGGCCGTGTGATGGAACATCGTGGACGCCACAATGTCCAAAGGCTCTTGTACAGCGTCATTGACATCGTGGTGGGAAGTTTTGGGTATGCTTCTACGACGTCGGCGAATATGTGGCAAGTGGTAGTAGAAGCTCAGGAGCGGAAAGCGGAGTTTTGAAAGAGAAATCTGGTCTTGGCGCATGGTAGGCCAGTCTTATGGCGGAGATGGAAGGATCTATTGCCTCTTGGGAGAGGCAGGGGCTGTCCGATTGCAAATCAGACAGAAGAAGTCACGATCAAATAGTAGACGATGACACTACAGGCACCCCAGAGGCACCGAGAGAGTCGTGCTCTGGCACAGGAGCATCCTATCGAGAATCGGATCTCGCATTGATTTATTTCCCAGTCCCTGGACGTCACCGGCGTGCTTTCCAGCGCAATTCCTTTGCTGCAAACCACGCTGGAAGGGGCTTGGAGCTCATCGCAACCCCAAATGAACCAGCTCGTATCTGCTGCTCCTGCCTGTCGCTGCTATTGCGATTGGGCTGGCCGACTCCTTCAAGTCTCTATCACATCCACTGCCGTCCGCCACTTCTGAAGGTCTGCAACCTTTTCTGTCGTTTGCAATACCCATCACTCTCCAACACCGCGCGTTAGTGAGTGTGGTGGGAGCAAAGCCCGGCGAGATCATCGAGGCAAGGCTTAAAAGTTTGCGTTGAGGGCGAACATTTTTCATATCATCGACACGCCCATATCAAAGACACGACAGCAACCAGCCGTCTTAGGCGTGGACTTGCTGATGCATGCTTCGGTCGGACGGCACATTTCTGTGTGAACCAGGTACCCAACCTGTGCGGTGTCGACCAGTGATATGGGACAGGGCAGCTTGATGGAGAGGCCATTCGTATGGGTTCTTACTGTGCAGTGAACTCCATGACAGACCGGTTTCGGGAGTCCTTGCAGAGGCGAAGTCGTTTCGTAGGGTCGAGAGAACTTATTCAGCGCCCTTGTCAAGCAAGGGACGGCCGAAGACTTGTTCAAAGATAGCTCTTCTTTCTTCCGGTGCGAGTGTACTGTGTCAAAGCCCACTCCTTCTCGCCTCCAGAGTCTTTCTCGATTGAACCAGTGCGAATCTCGAAAGGCCTCATGCTGAATCGTGGGCCGACTTCAGCGAGCTCGATCTCTCGATAGGACGTCTGGACGAAGACATGATGGCGAACCTCGATAGTATCGTCGTTGTTCTTGAAGGTGATGACGCGATTGCCGACGCGATGTGGACCGTCTCTGGGCGGCCACAGATGTTTAAGGATCTGGACGAGCCGCTTGCCCAGCTTTGTGGTGAAGCCCTCGAAGATCAGGTGTGGGTATGCTTCGCTGACTTTCGAAGCCTTGTCGGCTTGAGCGATGTCAGCCCTCAACATGACATTGTGTAGCGAAAAGCTCGCCGTCGGCCCATGCGGCAGGTGTGAGATGGTCATGGCCGTGGGAGTGCCTCGATGCTCGTGGAGAAGGATAATGTCGCTGAGTTGTGCAGCTTTGGCACTGTGGACCAGATTGGGCAGGATAAGGCCGCCTCGATTGAGACGGATCGAGGTTGGCAACATCAGCCGGATCTCTTTGCTGAAGGTGCCTAGTCTTGTGGAGGGCGATCGACTGGTCGTGACTAGCGGACGAGGGTCGATCAGGCCACTGAGGGCAGCATACTCGTCGTCGAGCGATTCTTGTGCCGCCTCGAGGCTTTCGTCATACTTGTAGTCCTTCCTCAGCTGCTTGTCTTCAGCCACATCCTTCGAGAGACCTTTGCCGGTTGCCAGTGACTTCTTCAATAGTGCTCGTTTCTCCGCGATTGAGGCATCTCGGAGTTGGAGCGCTCGTCGATGCAGGTAGTCTCGCCGCTCGCGCGCTTGCCGTCGCAGCATCCTAGTGAGTCAATCCTCCCTGGACACGCGCTCTATGCGCAAAGATCTTGAATTTTGGAAGGAGCAGTGACGGTTGAGGAAGGTGATGCCAGCCAGAATTTCTTCAAAATGCGGGCAGTTTAGCCGAAGTAGGGCCGTCAAGGTATCTTCAACTTCTCCAGACTTCAATATGAGAACATATCACACTCACACCACTGCTCAGCCTATTCTGCAGACAGCGAGCAAGTTTTGCTGGCTTCAGGAAGTAGGCGCACCAATAGCGATTGCTCTCTTGGGACAGTGAACTGCCTGTACCTCAGATGAGCGGCCTCACACCAGCCCGTCTCCCCCCTCACGTTCTTCCTTGCCTCCTCTAACAAACACATCACTACCGCCACTATGGATCCATTCATGCGAGTCAGCAACCACATGGTCTCCAACAGTGCCGCTGCCATCAATGCCGACGACGTCTCCACCCTCGATCCCGATGAGAGTGTCTTGAACCTCGCCAAAGGTCCACGTAGAAGACAACACGATGACGAGTCTGACGGTCCGGATGACGATCTTGAGAGCCTTGCTACCGATGCGATTGCAGGCCAGCGACAAGTCCAGAAAGTCGAAGAGGAGAAAGAGCTGCCACCGCACAGCTGCGCCTATTGTGGCATTCACAACCCAGCCAGTGTAGTCAAATGTCTTGCTTGCGCTCGCTGGTTCTGCTCTGCACGCGGCAACACTTCTTCCTCTCATATCGTCAACCACCTTGTGCGTGCTAGACACAAGGAAGTCCAACTCCACCCAAGCAGTTCCCTCGGTGACACAGTTCTCGAATGCTACAACTGCGGAACCAAGAATGTCTTCCTTCTCGGCTTCATTCCCGCCAAATCCGACACAGTGGTCGTTCTGCTCTGTCGACAGCCATGCGCCGCCATGAACTCGACCAAGAAGTCCACCGACATGAATTGGGACACTTCACGCTGGCAGCCACTCATCGAAGACCGCTCTTTCCTCTCCTGGCTCGTCGCACAACCCACCGACCAGGAGCAGCTGCGTGCTCGACATCTCAGTCCTCAGATGATCGCCAAATTGGAAGAGCTCTGGAAGGAGAATGCCGCTGCCACAGTCACTGACCTCGAGAGAGGCGCGAATATTGACGATGAGCCTGCTCCAGTCCTCCTACGCTACGATGATGCATACCAGTATCAGAACGTCTTTGGTCCTCTGGTCAAGATAGAGGCTGACTACGACAAGAAGCTGAAAGAGAGTCAACAGCAAGACGGTCTGATCGTTCGATGGGATCTGGGTCTCAACAACAAGCACCTCGCCAGCTTCGTTCTCCCCAAGCTCGAACTTGGTGATGTCAAGCTGGCTGTTGGTGACGAGATGCGATTGAAGTACACCGGCGAGCTGCGATCAAACTGGGAAGCGTCGGCTATGTCATCAAAATACCAGACGGTCGAAGCGATGAAGTCACTCTCGAATTGCGCGCCAAGGGCGACCACAAGTCCGTACCTACCGAATGCACTCACAATTTTACTGCCGACTATGTCTGGAAAGCCACCTCCTTCGACCGTATGCAGTTCGCCATGAAGACCTTCGCTATTGACGAGCAGAGCGTTTCTGGCTACATCTTCCATCGACTGCTCGGACACGAAGTTGCCGCTGCACCAATGAAGACACAGATGCCCAAGAAGTTCAACGTTCCCGGTTTGCCAGAGCTCAACAGCAGTCAGATCAATGCCGTCAAATCAGTCCTACAGAAACCTCTCAGTTTGATCCAGGGTCCTCCAGGTACCGGCAAGACGGTCACATCAGCTACCATCATCTATCACCTAGCCAAGATCAATGGCGGTCAGATCCTGGTCTGTGCTCCATCCAACGTTGCTGTCGACCAGCTCTGCGAGCGCATTCATCGTACTGGTCTCAAGACTGTTCGTGTCACAGCCAAATCCCGCGAGGATGTCGAATCATCCGTCCGCTTCTTGTCTCTGCACGAACAAGTCCGCATGAACGACAGCAACGTCGAATTGACTAAGCTCAACCAGCTCAAGACTGAACTTGGCGAACTCTCTAGTCAGGACGAAAAGAAGTTCAAGTCTCTCACCCGTGCCGCCGAGCGAGAGATCCTCACCAATGCTGATGTCATCTGCTGCACTTGCGTCGGTGCAGGCGATCCACGACTGTCCAAGTTCAAATTCCGAACTGTCCTCATCGACGAGTCGACTCAGTCCGCCGAGCCAGAGTGTATCATCCCACTGGTCCTTGGTTGCAAGCAGGTTGTCCTCGTTGGCGATCACCAGCAGCTTGGTCCTGTCATCATGAACAAGAAGGCTGCCAAAGCTGGTCTCAACCAGTCGCTTTTCGAACGTCTGGTCATTCTCGGCTGTGCGCCCATCCGCCTCAACGTCCAGTACCGCATGCATCCGTGCTTGTCGGAGTTCCCATCCAACATGTTCTACGAAGGCACTCTGCAGAACGGCGTTACCATGCAACAGCGTACTCGTCGTGATGTCGACTTCCCTTGGCCCAAGGCCGATGCTCCGATGATGTTCTGGTCCAATCTCGGTAATGAAGAGATCTCAGCTTCTGGCACATCCTACCTCAACCGTACCGAAGCCTCCAACGTCGAAAAGCTCGTCACTCGCTTCTTCAAGGCTGGAGTCCGTCCCGCGGAGATCGGCATCATCACCCCATACGAAGGTCAGCGCAGCTACGTCGTCAGCTCTATGCAAGCGGCTGGCACCTTCAAGAAAGACATGTACAAGGAGGTCGAAGTCGCCTCAGTCGATGCTTTCCAGGGCCGAGAGAAAGAGTTCATCATCCTGTCTTGTGTGCGGTCTAACGATCATCAAGGCATCGGCTTCTTGAGCGACCCTCGACGTCTCAACGTCGCCTTGACTCGTGCTAAATCCGGCGTCGTCATTCTCGGCAACCCGAAAGTCCTGTCCAAGCACCCTCTCTGGCACTATCTTCTCCAGCACTTCAAGAACGCTCAATGCCTCGTTGAAGGTCCATTGACCAACCTTCAGATGTCTCTGCACCAGTTCAGCCGTCCTAAGCAGGCATACCGTGGTCCTCAACGCTTCCAGAACGCTTACCAACACGCTAACAATATGCTCAACGGTGGCCGCAATGGTCATGCTGCACGTAGCAACTACAACGCTGATGGTGGCTCCGTTGTTGGCTACATTCCTGATGATGTCTCGAGCATTCACTCCTCTGCTATGGGTGGTGTTGGTGTTTCGGCTGGCTACCCTCCCATGTTCCAGAACTTCACTCCAGACACTTGGCCCGGACTGGGTCTGCACAACCAACGTGCCAACGGCAACAAAGGTCGCGGTGTTCCGGGCAGCATTGCTGGTGAGTCTACCGTGCCCACCGAGTCAGATGTTACAGGCAGTGGTATCGGCGGTGTTGCTCTCGATCAATTGTCGATTCACGACAGCCAGAAGGGCATGAGCTTCAGCCAGAGCGATCGCATAAATCGTTATGTCGAGAATAGTGCTCCTGGTGGCGGCTATCGCTCTGGTGGTGTTACGCGCAGCGGCAAGCCGATGCTCGACGAGGATGCTCGTAGTGAGAGCACTGCGTTTGCGAGTCAGGTTGGTGGCGGCTACGATTAAGTGAACGGATGTTTGCGATGACTTGCTTCATCACTTTTTCGAAATATCGTCTTTCGCATCCAAGTATGCATTCACAAACGCATCTCAAGCGCTGAGTGTGTTGTCGACCACCTCTCGACCAATTCTGCCAGCACCGATGTGGTGTCTGACTGTGGCAGATGGAGACCTAGCTGTCAGCATGGGACAGCTTGAATCGCCGTTCCGGCCAGAAAGCTCGCCACGGTGACTCTCCGCACAGTCTGACTCTGTTGTCACTGTGCCACCGGAAACACTGCCGAGCATCGACTACTCAGGCCCAGTTTGTCTGCAGCGTCTGCGAAGCTCTCAACTGAAGTCAGTACGCGTGAGGGCACTGTCCTGCTCAAAGACTTTGTCCGAGGACGAAGTGCTAGACCGTCGCCTCCGTTACGATGACGAATATCCAGCGAATCGGATCGGGATCTCAACGGAAGCCGATCGGGCAAGGCAGGCAGCAATGGGATCGGAGGAGGGCAACATCGCAACAATCTTGCGCATGGATCTTATGGTTTCAGCTTGGCACTTATTTGGCTTCTTTCTCGGACGGTCGTTTCGACGTCCCATCCCCTTCTGCGGCTGCACCGATAACATCATCGACTGTTGGACGAACTTGCATATGGCGAGGTCAAGAACAGCCTCGATCATGCAACGCATGCAGAACGCGTCCAATCTTTTTGCGTGGTCAGAAGATCAGTCAAATACGTTCATTTAGTAGATAGATCCATAGCGTGCTCCCCACGACATCATGTCATGACTCAGAGGCGAGACTGGTCGTGTCTGGAGCACAATTCCAACTTCAGTCATTCGTTGAATATGTCGATCTCTCACAAGAAGAGCTGTTCCCTCTCCAATCGTTATACATGGTTCATTGACCGCTCCGCTCGTCGCAGCCGCCTGACCTGACCAAACTTCACCACCTGTCATCACACCCTGCTCTCCATCCATCACAATACTGTGACCCAATCCCCATACCACTGTCTTGTCCTAACCTGGACTACCCTCCAGCAGTACGGCCGCTCCCCTAACGCTCCCCACTAGTCCAATCATGTACAAACGCCCTTGGCGATCCGCCAGCAGACGTTGATTACGCTGGCCGTAGCCATCACGTGCGCCAGGGTGCGCGGTGGCGGGAAGTTGAGAAGGTAGACTGGGTAGCAGACTACGCCGCAACTATTAGCTCGGAGCCTAAGCGAAAGAAAAAAGAAGGCAGCAACTGCAGAACTGAAGCTGTGTCGAGCCTGGGCAAAGATTCTTGGCGGAGTTGACGCCGGTTGACGAGTTCTGCTCTGGGAATGTTGGGCTGGGTAGGTGGTGGAGCGGCGGGAGGACACGACACGAGAGGGCGGACGAGGAAACAGTGAAGGGGGGAAAGAGTGGAGGAGGAAAGAGCCGAGGCCGAAAGAAACGGGAGGAAAGAGCGGAGGAGGAAAGAGCGGAGGAGGAAAGAGCGGAGGAGGAAAGAGCGGAGGAGGAGGAAAGAGCGAGGAGGAAAGCGAGCAGGACGAAGGACCAGCAGAGGAAGGAGCGGAGGACAAAAGTGCGTGAGGCGTGAGAGAGACGGAGAAGGAGCGGGGTTGGCGGAGACGTATCAGCAAGGACCGAAATGGGAGGACCTGAATGAGGCGGGGAAAGCTAATGGGAACCTTGAGTGTGTAGCGAAGGCGGAAGCAGACGAGAAGGGCGGGAGTAGGAATAGGCGGCGCGGGGACGAATGGACGAAGAAGGTCAGGGAACTTCGTGGATTTGATAAAGCAAACATCGCCTTGATGCAGGCAAAAATCACCTCTCGGACATTCGGACGAGCAAAGTCGCTCAAGAGGGCTCAACAATAACCCACCAATTATCTCGATCATACCCCCCCTTCACCACGTTCCCGCCCGCTGCTTCACACTCGCTCTCAAGCTCGCCTTTTCTGTACAGGTGGTAGAATCTGTTGTAGACTTTGTCCTCACCACCACCTCCAGTGGAATCACTCTTACCTGACGGTTCATCATCGGCTTCAACATTGTGTGGTGGTCCAGCGTTGCTTGTAGTTGTAGTCTCCGACGACGCCCGACTCGCTTTCGCGGAATCCTTCAACACCCACGGCACAAGCACGTCCTGTGCGTCGCCATCTTTCCAGCCTCGCTTGCTAGTCGCCGATTGCTCGAGCGCCCACACGAAGATTAGCGCTTGGCCTAGCCCTGCGCCGGGTGTCGGAGGCGGTGGAAGCTCGTTGGTGGGAAAGGTCGTCGATCCTAACTCGGAATGACCGTCGATACTTGATGTTGGTGGTCTCGCTCTATGCTCGTCAGGCTGGTCTGGCGTACTACGACGCAACACATCAAGAATCGCCTTGATTGCAGCCACCCTCCGCTCCGTAGAAGACAGGTGATGAACGACAGCTATGCATATCGCAAAGTCGAAGGCATGTAGAGGATGCGGCAGTGATAGGCTGTCTGCGACGACGACGTCCTGCCGGCTCACACCGGTACCCTCGGAACGAGTCACCTGATTCTGCCGAGCGAGCTGAACGAGATTCGTGGACCTAGATGAAAATGTGATGTGTCAGCTGCAATGCCATGAACATGTTCTCATGCACGTAGGAGGAGTTTGTCGTGCCGCTGTCAAAAGCAGTTCATCGCTAAGGGCTTGCATTATGCGGCCAAGTGAGTCCGTTGCTGCCCAATGTGGTCTGGTGCAGCGGTATGAAGGTAACCGAGGTGCCTCGTGATGCCCAATGAGTGGGCACTGCCCATGAACGACTTGCATAAGGCATTCGCTTAATGTGAACGGGCTTGTACGTAAACGCGTGCTGGGTAAGGTGATCCTTCGGAGGCGGGAAACTTGGAAACGGCGGTCAAGCGAGACTGCAACGTCGACTCGAACGAGTCCGGCGAGGTCGTTGGCTGATAAGGGCTTTGCAAGAACGGATGCAGAGCTGGCCTCGCCTAAACGCCGATATTCTGTAGGTTGAGCGTGCCCGGTGGTCGATATGTTTGCTTGAAGAGAACGGGAATCGTCCGTTCAGGAAGCCGGCACATCTGAGTTGGTGCGGCGCACCTTGGCAGAGAACTGATCTGTGCAATGTGTCCGTAGAGTATCGTGATGATTCGATACTTGGCGTTACGAAGGGAAGCAAGATGCACCTTTGTGCCGAAGCACCACCAAGAACTCACCGATCAGAGCCGACAATGAACACATCCTGATTGACGTTCAGGTACTTCCCATTTCCACAGCCAACATCAAGTCCGACGGAACCGGGCCGTAGCTGACGCAGAAACGCGTCGACGACTGGCCATGGCTACTACCATGATTAGTTGCGGCCATGACTCGGGAGATGGAAATCGAACACCTTCGCAGTGTTGAGAGACTGGGGAGAGGCCTACCTTGTATCGCGTAGAGCTGAAGTGCGCAGCAATCGAGTCGTATACGGCGTGGACGTGAGTTTGCTCGTAATTCAAGGCGTCGTCATTGTTTGTCGCGTCAGTCATCTCGAACCGCGAGACTCAGACATTGCTGCTCTCACTCCAGCGATTCCTTCCCGGATATCGTATGCCCGAGGTGAAGCGACAGTAAGCACGAACGACGCGTGAAATGGTGTAGGAGATGAATCAAACTTTTGCTTGTTTTCGAAGAACGCAGACTCGGTCATCCGGCGTTATGTCTGCCAAGATATTTGTCCAGCTCGTGCATCTTCAGATTCCTACCGCTACGGTCGAAGCACACCAAGGAGGCGCGCATAGCGGCATCCGCTCGGCAATCCCTAGGGGAATGCTGGTCGGCAGGAGCGTGGTTGTACGTCATTCGCCCCTTCACTCAAACAGGCAGGAAATGAGATGGCGGTGAAGGAGCAGTCACGATCAAAGCCACGAGTCGACCCAAGAAACCACTCACGATGCGACACATCATCGCTTTGCAAGGTAAATCGATAGAACTTTTTGTAAGATGATATGATCTTCACTACTTGAGGTATAACTTATTGTACAGTGTGTCATAATATTTTCCTTGCATCCAGCGCTAGGCTTTTCGCCCGTGGCCTCTGCAGGCAATGCAATTCAAACAGAAGAGCGACAGATGATACGAGGGTGATTAGAGGTAGTAGTCGATTGCGTGCAGCCTTGCGCACGGGTGGCGGTGGTGATCAATGGCAGACGACCGAAGGTGTTGCGGCGCGCGGAGAAACCGCGATGCAAATGAAGTGCAGATGCGAAGTCGTGGATATCGTAAGTTCTTGTTGTACAATGTAGGAGTATCAGTGTTGGATGTGTAGTACTGAAGTGATTAGGAGGCCCGGCCAAAGCTTGTTCTCAAGTCAACACAAACGCTGACATGACTTGCACGCGTGGAACATTGTTCGAGAACGAGCTGAAGGCCGTCCAGAGATTATTGTTGATAAGTTGTTCGAGGATGCAAGGATGACGCCGATCTATGCATGGGGTATTTTGGTATCAAGTTGAGGCGACGGAAGTGCCTTTGGGGTATCTTAGTAGGCCGTGATTTCTAAGTATTGGGAAGACTAGTAGCGGTTGCCGTTGATGTCGGATCGTGAGAAGTAGCCGTTGGCTGCAACTGCAGGCTGACCTGGGGACGGAGTCGTTGGTCTGCCGCTGTTGAGTGCTCCCGGAGGTGGAAGGTGATCGAAGGCTGTACCTGTGTGGTGTCCGGCGGGAGGCAAGCTGCGACGGCCTGGGTACTCGGAGTACGGGGAGCCTACACTGCTTGGTGCTTGATGACTCGGAGGATATGAGGAGGGAGCGAACGCAGGCAGCCCGGCGGTCAACTCGGCTAGAGAAGGCAGCTGCTGTGGTTGACCGGACTGCGACAAGGCCGGTCCAGAGTTGCGGCGATGATGATCGAAGGTGGCCAACGATGCGGGTATGCTGGGCGGCATTTGCATATGAGGAGGGAAGGGATGTCGCACGCTTATGGTCGGGGCATTGGGATGTTGAGCAAGGTTGCTGGTGTTGGCGAGCGTGAACGGCGTTACTCCAGCCCGTCGGGCCATTTCATGCTCGCCCATCTGCCAGTGCATGGCTTCGGCAGCTCGCCATGGGATTGCCATCTCTTCGGCTATCCGAGACCACATGTCAGCTTTGAACCTGTGCCACATGTTAGCTGACGTTACAGTAGGACAGGAATCGGGGACGATGTAACGATCGGGTGAAGCGTACCTCTCGTAAAGTCGTGCAAGCTTATTTTTGCGGTCTTCATCCCATTCACTGCGACGTTCTAGATAGTTCTGGTAATGCAGTCGACACGATATAGCACTTCGGCCAGGCAGATGCTTTGAGATGTCTTCCCATTTCATGCCGTCGCCTCGCAGCTGGATGATCTTCGCATCCTCATCAGGTGACCACTTTGACTGCTTCTTGGCCGGAGACGTGGTGGGCAATTCCGCTGTTGATGCAGCTCGCTTCAGTGACTGAGGCTGTGGTCGAAGACTTGATGGCGATGGACTTGTGTTGCCAGCATGAGGCCCGGCATGGTTGCTAGCGTTGTTGGCGCCTATGGGCAAGTTGGAACCTGACACACTCGACCGGGTTGTTGGAGAGGCTGATGAAGAACGTGCCCGGTTGTCCTCGACATCGCCCTGTCTGGCGTCTCTGGGCTTGAGGAGGAGTGAGATATCCACGTTTGAAGTCGTCTGTGGGGGAGAGTAAGGTCGGTCGAGATGATGAGACGAGGCCGTGCGTGTCAAGATTTGGGTAGCCAGCTTGGTGGTGTTGAAGGTTGTTCGCTTGAAAGGACCAAGCGAACTGTTGGAGGGGAATAGAATGATTATAGTAGATTGATGATGTCGTTCGTGTCGTGCGTCTAGGTTAGGTGCGGTTCGACGGTAAATCGTAGATTGAATATGAAGCGAGATTCACAGAACGCGCAAGCGAGAGGTGGGCTTGTATATGGAACATGAAGCGTGTAGTTGGCACCCAACCAAGGCATCAACGACAGAGGTAGCGGGCAATCCTTGGAAACAGCATGACTCCACGATCAGGTACTAGCCTGCCATGCTTGCAATTAAGTGGAGCACTGGTAGTGAGTCGCGACGGACGGGACCAGGCGGTGATAGATGGGGCCATTGTCGTGAACAATATCTTTGACGGACAGCCACTGCCTTGTTAGCGGAACATTGCGTGAGCGAATGATGTGTTTTACGGAGAGTGGTCCACGATGATTCCCCAGGTCGACATCCATGAAACAATCATCACCTAGCTGGGTGGTCGCAGTAGCCGCCACGCCTGACCCTGTAGAGTACTGGGTGAAGGATTCATCACTCACTTACGAGTCAAGCTGACCTGTCGAGCTGAGCAAGGGTCGTGGAGACAACCCACTACTTTGTGTATGGTGTCCGAAGCTCCGGTGCGGCTTGTGGAGAGGCCAAGAGCCACCATAGAGTGGGCGAAGGGCGAAAATGCGCCGGTGTTCTGGTCAAAACAGACTAGGATAGATTGCGTCAGGACGAGTGGTCAGATGTCGGAGAACAGAGTGGACTAGTGATGAGCGGTCGGTCGAAGTCTGGGACAGACTGGTTCGTGAGATTGGGGAAGCCGTTCGCGTAGGCCGAAGAAAAGCAACCTTCAATGCATGGTCAGCAAACATGGACCTTCACTGACGTGCATATCCGTTGGGTAGGCCGTTGGGTATTTTCATAATTGCGATTCTGTCGGTTTGCTTGTTGAGGTTGCAAGTCTGAATGAAGTGCTTTGTCCGTGCGGACAATTGATGTCAAACTGGCTGTGGAAGCAATCTGCGCCACAGAAGGCGATATGGAAGATTCCATTGCCTTGTCTCATCTCATGCACCACGTCGCAGCAGGGGGCTGCTAGCGCTGCTGGATTATGATGGCATAGTAGGCCCACTGCATCGTTTACATCAAATGGTTTAGCTATTTTCAGCCAGCATCAAGACGAGGGCACATGACCGATCGGGAGACGACGTAGAAGAGCTTGGTCTGAACGCCAAGTAGCAATGAAAACAGGGCTGATCCATTCCAAAACATCTTCGTGATAAAAGTGATGCGTAGTGCCAAAGTCAAAAGCAACCCATACGCCCACATGCACAGCTCGAGCACGACAGCGTTGTTGCCAAAGAGCGGTATAGTGCTTCGAAGGCCGCCCAGGAGGTATCAAAGTCAAACTTGCATGACTGGTGCCCAAAGTGATTGAGGTCATGAGCAGTCGTGTATGCAGGCGAGGATGTACCTCGGGCTGTTTGCTGCACGTTCCTTAGCCGGGCGGTCTGGCAACTGTCTGAGGGTGTGAAGTTCGTCGTTTTCACCGCTCCTGTAGCTATCACTGGTATGGATATTCCCGAGCGATTCACGAAGCGAAGTTTGCAAACAGGAAAGGTTCAGAGGTGGCTGTTTGAGGCTAGGATCATCGCGTGCTAGCACGGACCGACCGCATGGGACGAGGGAGTTGGAGCTGAAGCGGAGAGCTGCATCGGACGAACAACGCATACTTCGCCGCTTGCTACTGCGTGGCAGACTGAATAATTCTGATGACGACGGCAGGAATGCGGATAGCGGCAACGATGATCATGGATAATCACTTTCATTAGAGTTGATTGTTTGATCAACTGCTGGTAGGAACGATGATGGAACGGTGAGGACACCGCTTGTTCATTGCACAGATTCCCCAACCCCAAGTCTCGAGATCTCCCTGCGCATCGGGAATTTCCCGTTTCTCGCAACATTGATTCCCGGGGTTGGATCTGCCTCAAATATCGCAATTTTTCCGTTCTTCATGCTCGCCAAATTTTGGTGATCACGGCATATGCGATGCAAACATCAGCCGTTGCTTTCTAGTGCCTGCTCTATCTCAACAAGGCCAACACGACTTGAGATTCATGGAGTTCTGCTTACTGAGTCCTTCGCGGCAACCTCCCTATCGCTCTGGATCTATCGGGAGTGTACCGCCGACACAGAACCTTATCATCCATGCTACCCATGTGCTCGCCTACACTACGCCGGCGCAACTGGAGTTTGCATAGAACCTTCGAAATTGCTTCCTTCATGATCTGGCTAAAGTGTGTCAGCCAATCTCGTTATCGACAAGTCCCCGTTGTGTTAATTTCGTTACCAATGCGGAACATAGCCCGACAGCGCCTAGGATGCTGGGTCTTTGTACGATGATTAACACAGGGATCAGAGAACAATTCGAATGTTCTCAGGAGCACGCGAAAGCAGATTGCACGAACGCACGCAAAAACGGACTTCGGTGTTCAGCCTTCCAGGCACAAAGGATCCATCCCATAGGAACTGACTTTTCGCAGCCAGGACTTGTTACAGCACTTTGTCTTTCTGGTGCCTGACGCCAGCAGATCTTCGCGCAGGCTCGTTGTCAACTACCCTGAGTGAATCGCAGAAGATCGTCGCGGTAAGCATGCACGCAATGGTGCTCATGTCGACCATCACTGCGACCAAGTTCTGTTCGTATTGAGGAGATCAATCGTGCTGCCCAGCTGTCAATGCTTCAGCTACTGCAACACGCTGACTCGCTAAAGCATTGTGTGTATGCTTTCGAGATCGACCCCGTACAATAAGGTTAACTCTCTGCGACAAACGTGGATTTACGACGTATTGTGACAATCTTGAGCTTTCAGCCACACCAAACTCTGTTTCCAGAATCTGATGTTTCAGGTTTTCTTGGACATTCGAAAACACCCTAAGTACGTACGTGAGCCATCCTTTGTCGGCGTCATGCAGGTTTTCCACGCCACCATTTTCCTGCAAGGTGCCCGCCACGACCGCCACGTGCATTGTGATTCTTCGAGGTTCCGCGTTGCCGCCTGTTCAACTTCAACGCGGGTAGCGGCACGTACCTTCTGCCGCATACGCTGGCTGTTCATGATGTCAGAGGAATCGAGCTCATCACCGCGAGCATTTCCAGTATTCGAAACACGCTAGGCGTGTAGACCTTCGCAAGTACAGCTGAACCCAGCGATCTTGGTAGCTTTGTCGCCATCATAGAAGCCTACGCGACGACTCAGCAGCCTTGGCATTGACATCTCGACACCAGCTCAGCCATCTGCATGGTTCCCGGCTTTGTGCGACCTCAACAGGCCAGCACCGAATCTGAAGGAAATCATGGCTTTGTTACACCAGCCCGACGATGGCTTCGGGCGTCCATGCAGTCCCCCATTGGTCCGCCGTCGCGCAGAGTACGTTCTGCACGCTTCCTGGCTCCTGTTCGAGATTGACATACAGAAACGTGGCTCGGTGAGAACGTCGTACGAGGACAGCCATCAGACTGTGCCTGAACTCACGATCATGATCGCTGTGGGTTGCTTTCCTGATCGATGCACACTTGCGATGGCGTGTGGCGTGTGTGCGACTGTCTGAGCCAGAGAACTCGGGCAGTGGAATTGGGTTCCTGGATGCTGACGCGATGTGTGCTTTCCGATCGACCCGACTGGCGAGGGCCGTCACCACGGCGGAGCTCCTTCGAATCAATGTGGTATAGCACGGCACCCTCGAAGTTGTTGGGTCCTGCGACACCCAACACTCGGCTGAACGGTCTGTATTTTGCTTCGTATGCTCGCATTTCCCCAGCTTCTGTTTCCATTATCGAACGAGCAACAGAGTCAATGAGTCGTCGAAAGCTGCACGTCTTGACAATTGGTGTGTACTCCTGCATTAGCTTTGCCCACGCCGTCTAGCACAGCTCGAGCGCTCGAATGTTCGCATGCCTCGTTCGCCAGACCAAAAACACACCTCGGAGCAATTCTGAAACACAAGCTGCTCGGCTCTCGGACGCGGGGTTCCGAGGTTTTAACAGTTTGACAGCTGCAGGCTCACCAATCCAGAAACACCACAGCGCAAACATGTTGGCTGTTGGAGAAAGGAGCGCTTGTTGCTCGAGCTGCAAGCTGGTGATGAATCATGCGCGGCGCTGCTCATCACCTCGGCAAAAGTAGAAGCTCCAGCGCAGAAACGATCGCCATCTCGAGCAACAGCACAACTGAAGATACCACATCGTGTTCGTAGGTAATAGCCCCAAAATCCCCGCACTGTCAAAAGTCGTTCATAGACGTGGGTAATCAGGAGTAGGCAAGATAACGACTAGGCACACAGCTAGTCGGTTTGATCACCTCAGCGTTCTCCTGTTTTAGCTCGATGCGTCTGCATCAATCATACGGAGTAGACCATGCCACCTCGTATATCAAGTATCACACCATGCGAGGTGCTCGGTAGGAGAATACCCAGCACGCTGCAGAAGATGTTGCCCCGAGCAAGGACAGTTGAACCCGCTGAGGAGCACCATATTCGTCTGAGCAAGCCAGGCCGGTTCTAGTAGTCGGTGCGTGCGGTGCACTGCGCGCCGACCGGGAAAATGGCTCCGCCCGGGATATGAGGACTCGCGGGGCCGCGCCGTTTTGTGACCCGACCCCAGATCGTTGCTCAGCTGACAAAAGACTGGGATAGGCTTGCTATCGATACAGGCAGGGACGAGCTGTCTAGCAAAGTTCTCGAACGATTCGCAGACGAGCAGGACCTGTTACAGCAACGTTTGAAACAAAAGCAAGGAAGGCTGGGTCATCTGAGACCAGGTCAGCCAGCGAAAACTCGGTGAGCCAAACTGACTGTATCTTTAGGCAGCCAGGTTCCGAGAGGCAATCACGGCGACGCGCCAATTAGACCCTCACCGTAATTTGGGGCGGGATCGCCGACGACCAATGCTTTCCATGACATCTTCGACGAACCTGAAGCCTGCTAAGCGAGCGATTTCTTTTCGTAGCATGCGGAGATTAGCTGGAAGAGCGGTGGACTTGATTTTGATGCGGTGACAGCATCATCCAGAGGTGAGAATAATCGAAGCGGTCAGAGGACTTTGATCGAGTTCGTCATTTGGTGTTTGATGAGTGTTGGAATGGTTTCCGCCACATTTCGCTAATCTATTGCGCCCAAGTTGATAGTCTGGACTATTGCCGCTAATCGACGTCGCATATCGTTGACCAAGCCTTAGTTCTGCGTATGTTTCGACGACTTTCGCGTGTCGGCCTTATCGCGGTGCTGTGAAACGCACCAAGGCCATGGTGACAGTCACAACAAAGACTGATCTCGTGCTGAGCTCCCAAAAATGGCGAGTAATCCTGTTCGTCCTGCGAAACGGTCGTCGGTGTAGCTCGTGTTCCTGAAGAAGGGTCTGAAACCTACGCAGTCGGCGTAGATTACTCTAAGACGGGAGGTACGGCCCCATCTTGGCATACAATGGTGCCTGATAAGGTAGCGTCATCGAGTTTAGTAGCAGTTGCAAAAACTTGCAGATGATCTGGAACGCCAGGCTCGGCACTGGTTCGGGCTACGAGTCAGTGACTTGCATATTTGGCGTGTTTGTGGGTTCTTGCGCGGTGCGGGGATTCGGATCGTTTTCGCCGAATGCTGACGGGTCTCGTTCTCTGTCAGGAGACTGTGGCGCGTTCGAGATGAAGATGACGCTAGGGTTTCCTTGTTCTGGAAGATTGACAACAGGAACGGATTGGCTAACCCCAGTGGCTTCGTCATCGTTGACAACAGGATGTTCGTGGGTGGAAGCGCTAGTATCCTCTGCATCTCCGAATGTGTCCTCGAGGTGTCGTTTCAGATACTCGTCGAAACGACCTTCAGCACGATCCTTCATAGCCTGTCGAGATTGTCGTTGCCATGTCTGCGTGTAGTGCCCTTCCTTGAGATCGTTCTTGAAGCGAGCGATGGCGCGTTTCATGTAGGTGTCGGAGGCAATGAAGTCGACCTCGAGCGGACATGTGTACTTTCCGGTCTCAGGGTTTGTGACGAATAGTCTGCGACCTTGTGGCAGAGTGTTGATGATGTCGCGCTGTTCATCGGCTGAGTAGGATTCCCACCCGGTGACACATGTCAACAGGAACGCTTGGATGTCGGCATTGACGACTCCGGAGGACTTCGTCAGATTTTGGACGCGCTCCAAGAGCCGGCAGACTTGGTCGGAGGAGGAGGCTCGACCGTGAACACTTGCGGCTTCTTTGGATCTCTCCTAGGTCTGTCGGTGGCAGGCATAGCTGCTAATACACAAACGGATGATGGAAGAAATGTGCTGGAGGTGTTGAGAATAGTTACTGATGATGGGCTCTCGTTCCTCTGTGCGGACACTTGGATACTCGCGAGGCAGTTGCAATCAACACATCTCACCTATATGTGACGTCACATCTGCCTGGTGCAACCGCTGGAGCAAACAAAGGAGCTCTTGCCTGTTGCCTGAGATTGTTCTGTGAATGCTACGACTTCCGTGCAATTGTTGGAGCAGAAAATTCTGGGCACTCCCAGCCACCAGGCATGACTCTTCCAGGCGGCCTTCGAACACCATTTCCACGTCTTCAGTGTTGCCATCTGTGTCGTACGTTGGGTCCTGGTCGAGCCAAAGGGTGACCTTGCCGCAGGGAGGCCTCTGGCCTTCTTCTGATAGCTAAGCTGCTACGAACAGAGGTGAAAATTGGGCTTGGAACAAGATTCTCGCGTAACGAATACCTCGGCAGATAATCACGTGATGAGGTCATCTGACCAATTGACGCGCTTTGTATCAGCTCCACAGAGCCCGCCCTGCGGTCATCATTTGAGCCTCGTCGTCGGTGGTCGTTGCTGTCATGCGGCATCCCACAATAGTCGCCGCAAAGTCGTCAGAGTGCGCTCTACCGACGGATCGCAGCGCTATGGCTGCATCCTCGCTACGCCAGAGCGCCCGCTCTGCTTTCTCGTCCATATCAGCCGCATCGTCAGAGGTCACGAGAACAGTTCTCAACCTGCCTCACACGTACAGCGAATATGTCCAAGACAACCCGTCATCTGTCTCGAGTGTTGAGTCGTCGATTCGGTCTCTCACATATCTCCTGCCAGGTGTCCGCCTCCACGACTCCGAAATCGCTGCCGAATCAGTCAACACCTTTGTGCAACTCCTATCAATCTACCATGATCATCTACTGAAGAAGCGCGCAGCATTCATCGCATCGTCTCCTGCCCTTAAACGCGCGCACAGCACAAAGACACCCCAGTCAAAGGCCTCACTACACGCCAAGTACACAACATTTTGGTCAAATTCGTCCTCACTGTATACTAGAATAGCGACATGTCTGAAGATATCAGAATACGTTCAGCTGCTTTGCGAGATGATGGCACGGCGAAGAGGAGGAGAGCGTGGGCGCTGGCGCATCGTGGTCTTGATTGAGTCATTCAAGGCTATGTGCCGGCTACTGCTTATGCGCCTGACCAGTGCTCGGAGCCTGGTGAGCCCGGTCATGCCAGAACGCGCTGATTTTGCGCCTCCAGCACCCGAAGAGCCAGTTGAGGAATTCCCGGAACACATACCTAGTGATGAAAACGAAGCTTTCGCCAGCCAAGACGCCTTCCGCAACACCGGAGTCCCCACTCCGCCTTTATCAGATTCTGGTAAAGTGCCTTCAGTGTCAGCACGAGATCCATTTCCCATGCCACGGACAGGCACAACACTACCTACACTGCCAACCTCTGAGTCGGTCACGTCATACCTTCTGTCTCATGTGCTGACACCAGACGACGTCAAGCCAGCTTATCAGCTTCTACGACGACTCAGCAGCATCCAAGCACAGTCCGCCGAAGTGCTTTACATCTTACGACCACTCATCTATGCTCTCATGATGCAGAAAATTGCCCGTGAGTATGGTTACGAAGGCACTAAATGAAGAAGAATTGGGCGCCTTGGCTAATTGGCTTTGGTATCGAGTACTTTGCACGACAGCTGGGCAAGCCTGCCAGAGCCGGCCCAGGAGACGGCTACATCAGTGACCTTGAGCGAGAAGAATCCAAGAAGCGGAGTGTTGACATGACGTGGTGGCTCATGAGAGGTGCTTTCTACGAGAATGTCACACGGAAGTACGTGCGAAGCGTTCAGACCGGCGTCAGTAAGGTCCCGCTGCTGGGTCCGTTGGTTGCCGGTATAGTCGAGGACTATGACATTTTGTGGGGCGAGTATCATTTTTCGACGTCTACTTTATAATCAGGATTCGGCCTTACTGATTGGGTCGGCAGCAGGCGCTGACGCTGCTACACCGGCAGGCTGTACACACAGGTGATGAGCTAAGCAACCATGTCGGCTTCGACAATGATAAGCATTGATTCATGTTCTCCAGACTGTACCGCGGTCATTCTACGCGTCACTGACTCACGCTCGTACATCATAACGCACGCCCTACACCGACCAGCCCAGTACGAAACCCGGAAGTTGACCTGTTGAGCCACAGCACAGCGACGTTCGCTTACAATGGAGAAAGAAACGCCTGCTCAGCAGTCGGCCAGTCAGCACTCCCTTCACTTGCCTCTCATACCGGTGCCGCTCTGACAAAAGGCCGATTCTCTGGACTCCTAGAGTCCCGGAGCATCATGTCCTGCCGCTCCTCATAGGGTTGGCTATGACCTGCGCCTATCCTTGTCTCGGTTGTCAGATCGACACCTCCGACACCACATGGGGTAGTCAGGCAACCAAACATAGCGTGAACAGCACAAGGGGTCTGCAGCGCAGTTCATGTCGAGTCAGAATCCACATTTTTTCCTTACTGCAGCGGAGTGAGGAACCCTCGCACTCGAGCCTCTGAGCAAGCGCACTCGAGCCTAAGGGTATGCGCATTCGAGCCTCTGAGTATACGCACTCGAGTCTCTCAATATACCGCACTCGAGCCTCTGAGTATTTGCACTCGAGACTCACAGTATTCGCACCCAACGCTCTGAGCATTCACACCCACAGGCTCGATGACCGAGATTTTAAAAAACATCATATGCCTCGGCAGCCTATACGGACGCTCAAGCAGCATAATAAGACAGCGCATCGGAACTGGCCCAGTCTCCACCCAATACATGTTGGCACCAATAGTCTGAGGTCCGAAGTGCGTTGGTTGATCGACCAACGCCCACGAACAACGCTACTCTGGCTGTGCACTTGGGCTTGTCATCTTTGCTGCTCCCATCCTAGCAATCTCTACTCCGTATTGTGTCGGCCGTAAGTATGGTTATGCGCACGCGTAAGACTACGTAAGGTCCCTGGGGCAGGAGCCAGACCATCCATGGATCTCACGTGGAGGTGAGCTGAAAAATATACTTTGGTGTTATGCGGGGACTTTCAAACCATATGCATTTTACATCAACGATTCTCATGCAGCCATGCTGCGGCTGTGGTATTTCAGGTAGCCGTCATCCCGCCCGTGAGACGGGACCTTGACACCGTAAGGCGGTCCACCCGACCGCCTTTCGGTCGCTACAGTTGCGCGCAAAGGAAGACACAGTCACAGTGCACAGTCCGCGCTACTGAGTCAACTACAAGCGGCACGCAACGCAGCCGTAGGATTTGTTTCCAGGGGTGGATGAGCCTCCTGTCGCGACACTAGCCCAACGAATGCCGGCAGCTATATATACTATGGTAAGCCCTTAAGGTTGACCATGCTTCGCAGTATCAACGCCCTACCGGTGATTATCCAATGATCATGGCATCCGACCACTCAGCGTTGAGTCGAGCGGCTACGAATAGTCAAGCTTTGCAAGGGTCGTAAGATCGATTAAATTGACCATACAATCAGGCCCGGCGATGCTGGCTAAGGAATAGCGTTTCGCGTACGACTACTGTGGTAAACCTCTTTTGCCCGACGCGGTAAGCGCAAAATTATGCATTTTAGCCACGCTGGACATGGGAAACCTTCGTCTACTACGGTTTTGCAGCAAAGGTATATTATATAGCTGGACAAGACCTCCAACGACGTCTGCTATACACTTACTGGACTGTTTCTTTGTCGTGCCAGGATTATTATCGCCTCGACCACCCGAGATCTCACCTGAACGCCCCCAGCATTTATCTTCACCGGGGTAAAGACTACCCGGCTATCGCCAAAGTGGGCATAACAGGTCTTTACGAGCGTATATTGCACCAAGGACTTGCAAAAGCACACATATATACAGGCGCCAGCCTTACCTTCACGGCGTTTTCGCCTAGGCTTTCCGATACTATACAAATCGATAAGCCTACCTACTCTAGAACCGACTCCCTCTAAACACCGCAATCATGGGCGCCACAAGGGGTCTCAAGGCTCTCTTCCCACCCACCACCAAAAAGCCGAAGTCGCAAGGCCAGGAGCCCGCCCTTCTGGCGACACTCGACCTCCACCTCCTCCGCAGCTCCATGTCCCTCACCTCGTGGCTATGTGTCGGCGCCGCCGTCCAAGCCGCCATATCACTCTTCCGCATTCCCTTCTACCTCTCCCTCGTCCTCATCCTCGGCGTGCTCGGCTATCGCACTGGCCACGCCCTCCTCATCACATTCAAACTCATCCCCAACCCCTACCTCGAGGACGCCATCTTCAACTATACCTCCGCACAGATCCCCAACAAGGAGACCGGCGACTTCTCCGACACACCAGCAGCCGAACCCGTCGGTATACTACATCTAGGAGCCAAGATCAATCACCCCCTAGGCGCCTTCTCCCCACACGCTCAACCGCTAATCAAGTACGCCGAGACCATGTACAAAGTGCTTGACTCGGATGCGAAGAAGTCGAATGGCTACCTCGGCGGACAGAGCTTCGATACGGTCGACAAGAACGGCTGCATGGAATTTACATTCATCAGCTATTGGCGCAACATCGAGGCGATCCACGACTTTGCATACTCGTCTGCGCATCGCAAGGGGTGGGGTAAGTTGCTCTCCTATCCCCAGGCTCGTGTCCGATAATGCGCATTACTTTGAAGGCTGTCAGAGCATATGTCTCGGGCTGACAACGAAGTTGCTCTCATTGGACTTACAATTTTGCCTTCGAACATACGCTCTTTGCCCGAGACCAGGCTAACCAGATTCACAGAGTGGTGGAACTCGGTGCCGAAGGAGGAGATCAAGCATGTGAGTTTCCTGTCTTACTACTACCAGGCCAAGTAACGAGAACGATCCATTGCTAACGCCGAAACAGCTCGGAATCAACCACGAGATCTTCGAAGCGCCAGCTGGCCAATGGGAGACCATCTACATCAACCATCAGCCTACATTGATGGGAGCCACTGCCTCATACCGACCTGGCGACAAATCGATCGGAGGCACGGTCGAGAACAGCTGGCAGTCCAACATAATGGATGCCTCGAGAGGACCATTGAGAACCTCTGCCGGCAGGTTGAGCCGAAACAGGGAGGAGCTTGCTGGACGGTACTCTTACGTTCCCAAGCCGCTGTCGAAGGGCTGGGATGGAGATGGCAGGGACACATTGGCCGCGCAGGGTGAGAAGGTCATCAGTGCCGTGGCTTAAGTGAATGGGGAATAGCGGCGCGACCTGCTCTCCTGGACAGGGATAGCTGGACTCAGTGCTTTGGCAGCTGTTCCAGAGGCAGGTGGTAAGCACGCTTGGACGGTCATCACTACTGCACGCTGGGGCAGAGCACGGTTACGCGTGAATCGCACCTTCGGATCCAGCTCATATTCCCAGCGAGCGACCGCATCGTCCGACGGCTCTGCAGGCTCCGTCTCACGCAAAACCAAAATCGAGCAACAAACCTACCTTCAACCCAGCAGAAGAAGCACGCCTCCGTACCGTTCTCACACGTACAAAGCACAGGTATAAGAGTTTCGATCACGATGCCGCGTACTCAGCGGGCGCACAGCGTCACCTGAGGTTCCTTGCAGAATACCTTTCTTTGGAATTGTTACACGAATTTAGGGAGGCTGACATAAGGCGAATGGTAGACATATTTGGTAGTCGGGTTTCAGTCAGCACTGTTTTCCATTAGCTACGATTGTATACACACACAGTAGCGGCCCACTTCAGGCAACCCAGACACGAGCTCGCGGAATACCATATTGATGCCCGCCCTGAGGATGACCTGATCGAGCATGGACTCTGACGATGTGCTTCCGCGGAGATCATTATTTGACACTGCGAATGCCCAGTTGATGCTGCTGCTTACAAACATGGGCGGCAGCGGTCGATTTAGCACAGCTGGCGGCAGTCGCAACTTGAAGGTGCACTGAAGCCATGATCGGAAGGCTAGTCTGTTGAAGTAAAGTGTTCGAGGCGGATAAGGCAGGTGCAGCGGGCCTCGCCTGTCGTATACTGTACAAAGACGTGGGGAATATGGGGTCGGTACGAAGCCAAGTTGTGCACCACATCGTACGTACATGCCTTGTACAACGCTTCTTTTGTTATGAAAACAATGACAATATCGCGTATGGGCTGATGTCACAAGACGGACCGCATGACTTGGATGCATGTCTCACATCAGGAAGTATTCATGATCATTTTCAGCGCCTTATGCTGTGCTGCCGCACCAAACGTGGCATACGCCTGCTCTCCGTCTTTCTGAAGGTTGAATTCTGCAATTGCGTCAGTCGTGGCTTGCACTCGTCGGTGTCTCAGGGTGCTTACCGTGAGTAATCAGCTGCTTCAGGTCCAGCGTGCCTGCCGCAAACATCTTCATCAAGGAGGCCGTCGACGTGGTGTTGACGAAGCCCATCGTGATTGCTGTTTGACTATTAGCATTACCCGCAAGCACGACTCGTGCTTGGTCTCACCGATGTTGTAACCCCACAACTTGTCAATATGAAGCTTGCAAGGCGCCCCATGGACTCCGATATTTGCGATATTTCCACCGAAAGCGACCAGGTCCTGGCAGAGCTCGAAGGAGGCAGGCACGCCAACGGCCTCGATCACCACGTCGCAACCACGACCGTCTGTCAACTCCATTACTTTGGCTTTCACGTCCTCGTCGGCATTGATTTTGTGGGACGCGCCCATCTTCTGGGCAGCTTCGAGTCGACCGACGTCCTTGTCGACGGCGATGAGGATGGATGGGGATAGGAGCTTCGCTGTCAGAATTGCGGCTAGACCCTGGGAATCTTTCAGTACGGATCAATGCCGAACCTTGCAGGGTTACGTACGACTGGGCCAGTCCCGACGACGACCACTGACTTGCCCGGCGTGACATCACCCGCCAGGACTCCGACCTGATGATCAATCAGCGACCGCTTTCAGCGTGATCGATACTTAAAACTTGCCTCATATCCCGTCGGGCCAATATCGCTCAACATGACCAACGCCTTCTCGTCAACGCCCTCTGGCACAAGATGCAAGCTTGCATCCGCAAGCTTGATTCTCACATACTCCGCCTGCGTGCCGTCCACAGTATGACCCAGAATCCACCCGCCGCCCTTCTCGCAATGGCTATACATTCCCTTCTTGCACATCGGGCACGACGCACAGCTGGTAATGCACGAGATCAAGACTTTGTCGCCTTTCTTGAAGCCTCTGACGGCGTCGCCAGCTTGGTCGATCACGCCGACACCTTCATGGCCAATGGTCACACCCTCCTTGCACGTGGGTACATGGCCTTGGAGAATGTGCAGGTCAGAGCCGCAGATGGTGGTGTGCACGATCTTGACAATTGCATCGGTGGGGTCCTCGATTTCTGGCTTCGGCTTGTCTTCGAGCTTGATGGTGTTCTTGCCGCGGTAGACGAGTGCTTTCATGACGGACCTCTTGCTGTCGTTTCGATTGAGTATTCCAGAAGAACAGTTTTGGCGGCGTGGTCTCGATGTTGGCTGTGATTTTTGGTTCTGGTGAAGAGCTTGGCAGGATCCCAAGTCCTATTCAACATCTTGTACAATCATTACGATACGTTCGCCCTCGGTAGTGCCCAAGTGAGGGGACGTTCACTGACCTTGACTCCGGCCATGGCATGCGGTGACTGGTCCGCCACCGCGGATGTGGTCACAAGCGTGAGCTTCGCGACGAAGAGAGAGCGTATCGGACCATGAGTTGCTTTCATGGATGTCCATAAGCGAATGAACAAGGCGAGACATCCTGGCTCAGCAGGGTCTCAAGCTTCTCAAGCCTGCGGCGGACACGAGCTGTACAATACTGCAGCGCGATTGCTATAGGTCGAGCAATGTTCAGACGCGGTCCGAAGCAGAGGTGGCCTATGAATGGTGGTGCAAGCTCAAAGCTACTGCCATGAATCGCGGGGAAGTGGAGAACCTACCAGGCGCGTGTAGAGGAGCGGCGAATTGCGCTACACACACCAGAGGTCTGTAAATCGTTTAAGCCGGGTGAATGGAGTGACAGTACTCAGCCCTTGGGATAGTAGTGGTTAATCGAGCATTCAGCGTCGACCGCAAAGCTAGCAGCGTTTGATCTGCCGTCACGCTCCAGATTCTGTCGCGTAGCTTGAAAAGGGCCAGAAGGCCGGGAATCGCGCGCAGTGTCTGTTCTCTCCTGAACTATCCGCAGTACCAAGCTTTGAAAGTCCTCATGGAGTGATCGGGGCGCGGTACGAATGCGTGCAACCGATGACCACGAACAGCGATACTGATCAAGTACACAGAAGGTGGTAGGACGTAATAAGAAGTTGAGATCCGAAATGCATGTGCCAACACGGGAAAGTGGCTGCTCGCGATGTGGGGAAGGTGCACCCTTCTGGATTCTGCAAGCGGAAGGAAGGAAGGCTCATCTCAACTTGCAAATATATTGGGCCACAATCAAGTCCTTTCTTAACAGCTTCTCGAATCGTCTTGACTACAATCCATCGATCCTTCCAGCATAGGGAGTACTGTTGCACCAGAAAGAATATCTACACTGTAAATACTTCTGATGCTACATTGGTCCGCGATGTGACTCACAGAGCGCCGATCTGCGGCGCGTTTCTCGTTCGAGAAATTCGAGGACGATATGCGAATCTCTGATGAGTAATTGCAAGTTTTCTTCATTCGAATGTCTCCTATGCCATATATCAAGGTTTGTGCGCGGTCTCTGAGGACTCGTCAACTCAGGAACCATAGTTGTGATGGACATCCCGCCTACCCTCAAAGACGAAGCCGGGCAGCCACGACAGCGAGTGAGAGAGCTACTACCAGATCTGCACTTGGGCTTCCACCCACCTGGACCGTTGAACGCCATCACCGATGTTCCCGGCGTGCTTGTGAGCGCTCTCGAGATCTTCGAAGATGACGATGGCAGAATTGTTGCTGAGGTGACTGGGCGCCGTGACGGACTGGGCAGGCGACGGCAGATCGGCAAGACGTCGGATGTCAACACAGGAGTAACCGTCATTGTAAGTATTCCAGCCCTATCGCCTTCGCAGACGTAATATCGGCACCAAGAGTCGAGCCTCTGCCCTGTCCTGAGATCTCCGGCAATTCGAGCCACGGCAGCTGCCTGACGCGTGCATGATCTCGGTCACGCTCTCCCACCCCAGCCTTCTTACCCCAGCACTGACATCTCACCCTCCCCTAAACAGCTCCCCCGCCCAAACCCAGCCTGGTTCACCACCGCCTGCTACTCCTCCATCTTCTCCTTCAACGGCTCCGGCGAGCTCACCGGCAGCCACTGGATCAAAGAGACCGGCCTGCTCAACAGCCCCATCGTTCTCACCAATTCCTTCTCCGTGGGCGCCGCATATTCCGGCATCTACGAGTTCGCGATTCGGGGGTCGTTGCGCAGTCAGGGTCGTGGACTGAAGGGGGACATGTTACAGGGTGGTGCGAAAGATGGGATGGCGCTTGGCGACTACTTCCTTTTGCCGGTCGTGGGCGAGACGTACGATGGGTTCTTGAATGATATTGGGCGGATGGTGGTGAAGCCGGAGCATGTACTCAACGCGATTGAGCTTGCTGCTGCCGGAGGCAATAGTCCCACTGGTGGCGCAGATGCACCAATCCCAGATCGCACACCCAACAATTCCCAGCTACCACCATCCCGACCCGTCCACGAAGGCTCCACCGGCGGCGGCACAGGCATGCTCACAATGGGCTTCAAAGGCGGCACAGGCACCTCCTCGCGCATCGTCCCCGGAATTCTCCACGGCGAACCCACACAATGGACAGTCGGCTGCCTCGTGCAATCCAACTTCGGCAAGCTAGAGGACCTCCATTTCGGCAGCGTGCCCGTAGGACGAGAGTGGAAGCGCGATTTCGCCGGCACGGAATGGCGGGATGGATGCATCTTCGCTGGCACTGGCTCTGGCGGAACGGCCAGTGATGTCAGCGCTAGCAAAATGGCAGGGGATGGAGGGAAGAATGCTGCACAAGAAGGGTTCACCGCAACCAACCCGACAACGCCACCCGACGGCAGCATCATAGTCATCCTCAGCACCAACGCCCCGCTCAACCCAACCCAGCTTCAACGCCTCGCCAAACGCGCCACCGTTGGCCTGTCGCGGGTCGGCGGCTTCGGCGCAAACTCCTCTGGCGACATCTTCCTTGCCTTCTCAACTGCGCCGGGCCCGCAACGCGAGCCGGAGGCGATGCCTGGGTACAGTACGTGGGAGGCGCGGCGTGCTGCAAGGGTCGAGGAGCAGGTTGGTGTTGATGGAGGCTTTGTGCAGGATACGACGATCAACGGGCTGTTTGAGGCGGCGGCGGAGGCGGTGATGGAGGCGGTGTTGAATGCGATGTGTATGGCGGAAGGAGTGGTGGGCGTAGAGGGGAACCGGGCGAGTGGAATTCCGTTGGGGTGGGTCAAGAAGGTGGTTGAAGAGCGGTACGGTGGTGGTCGATAGGGAGTAGGGACTCCAGGGCGTTGCAGGTCAACGGAATGAATGTAAAGGTGGCTTTGCTAGTGACGGACATGCGCTGCTGAACATGTGGTCAGGGGAAGGAGAAAATAAAAGCGAGTACTCGACATTGATCGTAGACCGCTGAGGAGGCCTCTACTTCGATCTTCAGGGAGTTTCAGGTCTCGAGCAAGAATTCAATGACGAGGATCAGGAGTGATTTTGAGCCATGTGTGACAATGAAACAAGACACAAACGGCGGGAATTGAAGACGGCTTGAAAGTGCTTTGAACGCTGAAGCAAGAGCTTGTTGAGTCATGACTGATCGCTACTGCCTTGAGCCATGCTATGACAGCGGGCCGGGAAGCAGCCGAGTTTGAGCCCTCCATCCGCGCGGTGGAGCCCACAGCCGTCAGCGAACTCAGCACAGTCTTCGTGCGATTTGCGATATATGCACTGAAAGGCCTTGTATCCGAGTGTCGCCTCGACCGTTCCCTTCTCCACCGCCGACAGCCAGTCGCCAACTCTACCGAAAAAGGCGTCCAGCTCCAATTCTTCCAACGCAGCGTCAAAGTCCATCGCAAACGCAGCCATAGCAGATATCTTAGTGCAGCCCGGTATGTGTTCTTCCAATCGGTCAAGGTAGACCTTCCGCAACTGCGTCAGCTCGTATTCTCGCAGGTGGTCCCAGTATGTATCAGTTTTCCCACCGGGATCCAGTTCGTCCACGTCGGGGTCGAAGTCGCTGTAACCATCGCGATCCGGCCTAATATATCTGTCGCGGCCTCGCCATAGACGCGGCAGTTGCACCGCCCTCCATTGCGGCATCGTGGCACTGAAGTCCCAGCCCGTGATCCCCGACAGTTGACCGTTATCGTCGATCATGATCTTGTCCAGGTCTAGATCTGGATGTTGCAGCACTGTATTGGTAGGAAAACTGTCACAACCACGGGCATATCTGTTCAGTAGAAGCAGGAAGCGTTCGCCAAGAGTGATATCCTTCTTCGCGCTCTCCTCGTAGTCTTTGTTTCCCTCAGCTTCTGCTTCACGGAGGAGTCGCAGCTGCTCCTCGATCGCTGCCTTGGCTCGTGCTTTGAACCAGTCACGCGTTGATCGGTATGGTCCGAATCCGCTGTTAGGCCTGGCGAGATCGTGGCACCAGCTTATCGACGCCATTGGGGCAAGACTGAAGTTCGCCTGGGACACCGCTTGGGTGCGAATGGCATTCGGCTGTGACGCCGCTTGGCTGAGTCTGAGGGTCGCCTGGGACGCCGCTTGGTTGAGACAGGAGACCGGTTTCGCTGCCCTTTGGCTGAGACTGAGGCCTGGCTGGCTCTTCCCTTGACCGAGGCTTACAGCACTCCCCAATCCAGTGAACCGGTTATCAGACCGCATAAGCCGACCCTGCATGTCCGCGAGCGCTCCAAACACCCTCTCCTTCTCCCGCATGGACAGGTGCCGCCACCTGTTGTACAAAGACTGACCGTGTACAAACTCCATTAGGATCCATTCATACCCAAGCTCGTTGTCACTTGAATCATCGTGAGCGAAAACTTTTGGAACGAAAACTGGAGTGGTAAGTTGCCGGACTAGACGCATTGTGGCCACCTCACTCTGGGTTTTGAGGCGGGGACAGAAGGGGAGGGTGACTTTGAATGCGTAGTATTGTGCACCATTGTCGACGGAGATCTCGTAGATCTTGTTGAGCTCGCTAGTTGCGTGTAGACTTGCCGAGACCGAGATATGCTCGGGTATATTGAGATGCAAGCGTGTGAGATTCTCGATCGTGGGAATACTGGGCTCCGAGAGACGAGATCTTTCTGCTTCAACATTTCCGCTTCCGTTTTCCCACTCCATGATGGCGACGGGTCAGTCTTGCAGTCTGGTCAGCTTCGGCTTCCTATCAGCTCAGGTCAGTCTTCCTATCTCGTCAAATCAGCCTCCGCTTTCGTTCGAGGCAGTTTCTCCCTTTGCGTCAGATCAGTCGCTTTCTTTCGTCAGATCAGTCGCTTTCTTTTGTCAGATCAGTCTCTTCATCTCGTCACCTCTGGCTGGTTTCCAAGTATGGCTGGTTCAGATGTTGTGCGTATGGGGTGGGCTCTGTGAAGGATGATTGGAAAAGTGCTGCAAGTCAATTCCAATCGTCGAAATGAGTACCTTTATCTTCCAAATTGGCGTGAGCGAACTAGACGCAGGCAGTGGCCACTGTATAAGCGGACAAGTCTGTTGAGCAGGTGTGCAGGCCTCCTGGCAGTGCCCAAACTGATGTTGATGTCGTGTCGGGTGGTTTTTGTAATCTTGTCTTGAGTACCTTATGTTTCTACTGCATGTTCCATGACTCCGATTCCAACCAGCTGAAACTAAGCATAAGCTCTAGCAATTGGTCTATGCGCTTGAACGCTGGCACAAGCTTTTCCTCCTACGACCGTTGTCTTCTGCTTTCTCTGTGCATGTCTTTCTCGTGAACTTCGTTTCTTGGCGATTGCCGCTCCTGTGCTTGACTCCACTGATATGGGTGTATTCATAATTTCTTCTCTATTCCTCACGGTCGAGCCCTTTACGAGCTCGCCGCAATCACCTTCGGCGGCAGCAACATCCCGTTCCGATTTCTGAAGAAGAACACACCGGCGTTCTCGCCTTCCATGCCTGGCAGTGTCTCCACCCACTGACATCTCCTCAGATTGGTATACAGGCTTCTGATGAAACCAAGCGGGCCACCTTTTGTATCAGAGCGGTAATGCTTGCCCATGACGCCCTTGATCGCCTCGGTGGCTTCGTCAGCGTGGTAGAAGGGGATGGTGCTGACGTAATGGTGCAGAACGTGGGTCTCGACAATGCCGTGCATGAGTTGGCGACCGATGAAGCCGAATTCGCGGTCGATGGTGGCGGCGGCACCGCGGGTGTAGGTCCAGGAGGTGGGCGAGTAGTGCGGGAGGGAAGGATCGGTGTGTTGGAGGAAGGTGATTGCGACTGGGTCGGAGTGTTAGATAGGTTCAATGTACAAGGGTTCGATGGACTTACCGAGCCAGTGGTTAACCCAGAGGTATGGGATGAAATACCACACGAGCAGATTTGACCAGCCAAAGTTCTTGCCAATCGTGAACAGAATAGTGCCGACAATCGCAAGACCGAGATCGCTGAGGACGATCAAATGCGAGTCCTTGGCGTCGTAGAGAGGACTCCGAGGGTTGAAGTGGTTGACACCGCCGGTCAGACCGTTCTTGTAGCCCTCACCACGACCGTTGCGCTGTCCGCCGTGCTTGTTGTGGCCGGTGACATTCGTCAACAGGTACGCGGGCCAGCCACCGAGCTGCTGGTAGAGCAGATGGAAAGCAGTCGCCAAAGGGGTCTCCTCGGTCAACTCGTGCAGTTCGTGTGCGAATCGGCCAACTCGAGAGGAAAACTCCTCGCGGGTCTTTGGCACGAAGACCATGTCTCGCTCCATGTGACCAGTGGCTTTGTGGTGCTTGCCGTGAGAGATCTTCCAGGAGAAGTAGGGAACGAGAAGGAGGGAGTGGCAAACCCAGCCCACGGTATCGTTCAATACCTTGCTAGGAGAGAAGGACTGGTGACCGCATTCATGGGCCATGACCCACAGACCAGTGCCGAAGCAGCCCTGCACGAAGGTGTAGGCCGCCCACAGAGCAGCACGTAGAGGTGTCGATGGGACATTCTCAGCTGTGAGGAAGCGGTTGGTGAAGTAGAACGTGGTAGCCAGCGCGAGCATGTCTCGAGCGACGTAGTAGAGACCAGTAGCAGCAGACCGCTCAAAGCAGTGCTTGGGAATGGCCTTGTGGATGTCGCCAATGGTGTAGTCGGGAATCTCAAACTTGTTGCCATACGAGTCCACCAACTCGGGCGTCTCTCGTAGTTGTTTGGCTGGAGCAGCATCTTCTGAGGCCATCGAGGACAGCGATGTGGATGATGGCGACGATCGAGGACTATCGATTGGCGAAATGTCTGTTGAGGTTGTAGGGGTGCTGTCGGTAGTAGCTAGGCGTCGCAGAGCCGTCTCGGACGGCAGTGCGGTAGTAGTCATGGCTATGACTATGGCTGGGAGCGATGGGATGCTCAAATGTGCAGCGTGGTTAGGATGAGGTGGGGTGGAGGAAGTAGCGGTCTAGTATGGTGAGAGGTACTGTAGTCGTAGAGGTAAGGAGAAGGAGGGCAAGTGTAGGAAGGCGTTCTGATTTATGTGGACAGGGAGGACTCTGCAGAATCGCTTGGCCTGCTGTAGCGTTCTGTGCGGTGTGTTTGCATGCTGTGCGTTTTCTGGCCGTGCGGCGATCCCAAAATTTCTCAACAGATCGGAGAAGCTCCCACAGTGAAACGGTGTCGTATCAGATTCTTAGCCATTCAGACCCCAGCAGATGCGCCCATCTGAGCTCCAGAGTTGCCCCTCCGGGCATAGGTCCAGGGCGGCTTCTGGGCCTCGACCAATGGTGCTTTTACCCTTGGTCGGCGAGCTGTTCAGGGTCTGCATCGCCGGATTTGAATTGCGGGATGAAGGAGGGGAAAATGTGCGTATTGTAATTCTTCATTAGGCGATACCGAGGTCTTCCTGAACAGCTACGGTATATGGACTATCTAATTCGTCAAGTGCAGTAATACTGATTGCATACGTCGTGCCCTTCTGCCAGCCTTCGCACCTAAGAGCAAATGAGGCAGAAATGATGTGAGCTGACTGCTACAGAAGCACGACATTCAAACCACCGCTATATGGTGGGGAGTACCCCATCATACTCACCGCCACGCCTCGAAAGACCGTGGCCGGACCATAGCATTCTCCTGCTACTCCACACAACACGGCCTCATGGCCACATGATCGCCTCGGACGGTAGCTGTGACTCGTGGGACTTCTCACGCCACAGGTGAGATCGACAACAAGCCGATATCGACCAGCCTTCGCGAATGCAATGCAATGCCCGGCTGGAAGTTTTCACATGCTATCGAAGCTCGCCCGGGGCCTCGATCCGGATCATAGGCAGGGTCCAACAACGTGCGGTAGGTAGTTGGCTCGGCCTGTGGATGAAGGGCGATGGTGGAAGACATGTGAAAGTCGCTGTCTGGTTCCCGCCGTGTCTCGTATCGCCTTGATGAACTTTCGAGCGACTGCGCAGTGGTCGGCGTCGGAAGTTCCAAGCAATCTTCAGTCATCTGATTCTGCACGGTCAGTCGTCACACAGATCGGGAGTCCTTCTCCATGCATCTCGGCATCGTTCATGCCACACTGGCTGTAAATTACAATCCGCTCATTCGACCAGTCGTTTCGATGTGTAACCGAAAAATTCTCGAACGAAAATGTTGGGAGTCTCGGCCCCACCAGCTCAAGCCCAGATCGCGCCTGACCCCTTTGAGCTAGCATAAGCGGCTCGTGCCGACCACGTTTCTCTGCCCTTGCAGAATCATGCAGATGTCCCCAATTCGTTGTCTGAGGCATCCCGTGGCAATTGCGATAAGAAGGACTTTGCATTGGGCCACCCGGTTATGTAGCTGAATGCATTCATCTGTCATGACGGCTGGTCTGAGAAGCCTTCGCAAGTGTATCGTCGTTGAATCTTTTCTTTTCGTCGCCGGAGTCATCCAGTGTCGTGGTCATCGCATCTGACTTTGCAGAAGTAAAGCGGTCGCGGCTGGGGCTCCGTCTCCACTGCCTCCCGTCGCGCTTGTCGCCATGAGCCCAATCGTCGAAGATCGTAGTCCTGGAGTGACATGGACACTCGTCGAGATCGACCGGTTGTGTACTTCGATAGCGATCTCGGCACCTTCCTGCCCGCCATGGGCACCATTCTCGTCCCCCTTTCGAATTCGTACCTCGATACTTGGCACCAGAAGTCTGCCGCTTCGTTGTGGGAATAGCGTGATGCTTTGCGACTCCTCGACAGCTTCGCCAGTGCAGTGTATAGTACCCTTCTTGCGCCCTCCAATAAGCCACGTGTCGGACTGTGCGAAGAGCTCGTATGTAAGCTGTGCTCGGTCGGTTAACGGGATCCTTGGAACGGCTATTGACAACGTGCACAACAATGGATGGCCAAGTACAGCCGTTGCTTGCGTGACCGGCAGGTGGATGTCCAAGGTGGTGGTGACGAGCGGCGGCGGTGGTTGAACGTCAGCTTTCAGCCGCAGCTCTCGCACTGGGCCATTGTCCAGGTCCATGGGTATGACTTGACCATCGGAATGCCATCCGGTCAGCCATTCGTCTATGCTGTGACGCAATTGCCGAGGGAAGGCAGGTAGAATCTGCTGCCAATCGAGCTCGGTCTTTGGCTTTTTGGCAATCTCACGCGTCAGACTGATTACTTCCAGCTCGTTTTCAATCCATATTTGGCGATATGTTGCGATGATGTGGTCGACAAGCAGATCTGCCACAGCTTCAAAGCCTGCCGCTTGAGCGCTGGCTCGGAAGGACCTTTCCAGGCAGGCCAGCGCTACCTCATCAATGCGATAATAGGAAATAGCCAACTTCAGGCTTGGTTTCGTGGAAGCATGCGCATCTGTCTCCTCCGAGTGCACGAGCCATCGTGCCGGCTGTTGATTGAAGACTGTGATACCTTTCATCGCCTCGGCCGAGCTTCGCGCTGCCACGCCCGCGCTCCCATCAATTTGACAGTTGACAAGAACAAGAGGAGAAGGTGTTGCAGTCGCGATGAGAAACGTCGAGTATCGGTACCCGCTGCGATGAATATCTTGCACACTGACAGCTAAAGGCAGCAGAACTTGAGCTGAACAAGAGTGATAGATACTGAAGCTGTCTTCGCCCTGACGATAGTCCATCACACACTTCAACAATACGGTGGACTCTGTCTGGTTCTCGAGGCTGTATGGTATTTCAATTTGGACGATAGTGCTTGAGGGTAGCCTGCCAAGTTTAAGTACAGTTCCCGCATGGTCGTGCTGGACTTTGAGTGCATCGCCTTCTGTGCCCGAAACAACTTTGGCGTCCAGCAGCTTCAATCTCAGCCCAGCCGTGGCAGGTCGAACGTGAAGCCGATAATCGTCAAGTTCGAAGTCTCTCGTCTGTATATCTAGATGCAAGGCTCTGGCATGATGCTCGAGATCTATCACATTTGACTGCGAGACCGACAACTTCGGCGCGTCCCGTCCAGGGTAGACCAGAAGTGGTTTGGCATCCGATGCGACCAGCATAGGCTTGTAGCTCGTCACTGATCTTGCCGATTCGGAGTGCGCGAAGTTGCGTGTCAAATGGATCTTACCAATCTGTACCTCCAACTCAGCCGCGTTGAACCAGCCCGTAGCCAGTGTATTGCTCTGCAGATTTAACGTGACTGGACTCGAATTCAGCACAATTGTATCCTCAGTCTTGGCGACGAGCTCAAGTGGCTCGGAATGATTTGCAGACTTGAAAGAAACCGACACAGAGTCTGCTTTGAGCTCGCCTGGCACAGCGCTGAGTAGTGTCAGAGACCACGTAAAACCACCGGCAGCAGATGTATGGCTGATATTGCGATCGACGCTGACCACTTTGACGAGAGTGTCTAATGAAATGTTTGTTGGCGACACATGGGAAGCCAGGCTCAACAGCTCCTCACAGTATTGCTGTGCCAGCTTTGCCGAGCGACTCGCAAGCGGCGAATTCATCAGCTCAATCAAGCATCTTGCCAGGTCATCTGTGCGCTCCTCCGCACGCAAGCACTCGGCATAGATCGATATGACTTGCGGCTGACTACTTATTAGGGGCTCATCGGAGTCGTCTTCGAGGACATTACTAAGACACTGACGAGTGAAGGCGAGATCATGCTGCGCAAAAGCCAGCATTGCCAGATCAATCAAGACTTGTCGGGCCGAATGCTTGCTGTTGGCTTCGAAATAGAGATGATGCATGGCTGTCGACAGAAGCCGATATAGTGAATGGAATGCATCCTGGGATGATGTAGCCTTCTTCAGATACTCTGGTGTCAGGGCACGTAGGCGATAGCGTAGGACAGCGTCAGGTAGATGCGAGTGTGAGTCGTCTCCATTCGTTATCGGTAAATTGAGCCCGGAAGACAGGCGGTGCATATGGATCCGGTTGCTGTCGCCACGGTCGGTGGGAGGAGTCCTCCGAATCGCTTCCACCCATTCTGACGTAGCCAGTAAGTTCTCAACTGTTTTGCGTAGCAACAAAAACAGCTTTGCAATTGTAGAACACAGTCGATCGAGGCCAGGCCGTCTTAGTTGTTTGGTCGTTCGGCTTTGGTGTTCCGCAGTCTGCTGCAGAGAGACACTCGAGGAAAGGGATTCTGGACGCAAGCCGCGGACTGGACTTGCTCCTCGGGATGAAGGCACTGAGCCATTAGGCTTGTGCGATTTCTGCGGCTTCGAAAGCTGTCGGTCCTCTTCCAAGACGTTGAATTCTTCGAGATGGGTCAAATCGACGTCCAAGTGAGGCAGCAATAGATGTAGAATCTGGACAGTGGCTGCCCACGTCCAGGATGCTACTACGTTCCCGATGACGACTTTTTGGGTGGCTCTTTCCTCGCCAGACAATCGGCCTCCCCATGCAGCCTGAACATCCATGTGCAACTCTCGAGAAGCCAGATTGATGAAGTCCAATCCTAGGTCCGCTAGGTCCGCCATGATTTCAAGATCGATTGCGGGTGTCTTCGCGCCGAAGTTCGCAGATTTGGCACGACGCAGAAGGATTTCCATCTGGCGAGTAAAGATGTACGTTCTAATATCGAGAGGGGACACATCGTTGGCAAGGATCATGTCGCGGTAATGGCGGCTTCCGGGCTCGAAAGGCGAGGTGCTACGGCCTTGTGCAAGCAATTCATCGAGTTGCAATGTTGACGTCTCTCCGCTCATATCGTCGACTTCCTCATCCAGCGCTTTGCGAATGAGAGGCTTGAGATGCTGCGAGTAAGGCAGCAATGCACCTCCCACATCGTTTTCGCTCGGCGCACGAGATTGCTGAACTACCGCATCGAGTCCGACCTCCAGCTCTGCATAGACAGCTAAGGCGTCCTCGAGGAGACCGACATTCTCGAAGCCTCTTGCCAACCCTTCCTTCAGAATGAAGAACGTACAGAAGTTCCAGCCAGGTAGACTTCGTTGAGCTTCTCGCTCCCTGATGTCCTCCTCATACTGTGCGACACGAGTATCGAACGACTTCAGTATGCTGGCCTTCAGATTGTCCACAAAGTCGCGCCATTGTTCCTCGATGTCGGTCGGACCAAGAGCACCCGGTGGTTTGGCTGGGTCAAGTAGTCTGACCTGGGCAACACGGGGTATGGGCAGCTTGGAGCTGCTGAAGTCGGCGCGGAGTTTGTCATGAATCGTCGAAGACGCCTTCCCTGTCCATTTGGACTTGCTGTTCACACTGTCTGTGCTCTCGGTGTCGTTAAGGGAGATGTGCTTTGACGACTGCGGTTGACTGGAGGCCTGTGTACCTGGGAAGACGACATGAACGATCATCCACTCAAAGGCATCGTGGTGCTCCTGATTCTTCAGGACACTCTTGGACTCCTTCTCGAATGTGTTCTCTCGGATCCATTGCTTGATCTCTTTCCGTGCCGTCTCCTTGTACGTCTCCTTGTCATCGCAGCGCAGTAGGTACAGCTTGACGTAGGGCGTCTCCCTCAGGCCGGGGATCTGATGCCGACGAGCATTCAACTGCGCGCCATTTTGAGCCGCATCGTTGCGAGATAGACTGACGTTCAAGGACGGTATCGATCGCAAGGGTCGTGAGGGCGACTTCCAGTGCAGATTCTTGAGGGGCGTGCGAGGCTCGAAACTCTCTCGGAACGCATCGATAACGTTGAATGGATCTGTGCATTGTACTATGACTTTGGAGGAAGATGTGGTTGCTGCTGCTTCCATTGTGCAGAGCGAAGGGTGGTACAACAACGATCAATGACTAGCGGCAACATATTGCCCGGATAGGAATCGACGATGGTGCGCACCCTGGAGGACAGTCGCTCAGCATCCGGGTCGGATCCAACAAGAACTGTCAGCGACTGCCGCTGAGCTGCCCTCTGCCAGACGATGTCGAGTTGTCTCGCGCTGTATCGTTCTGCGGCGCGCCGGGCAGACGCGGGCAACGCCGAGAGACTTCGCCGCGCCGTGGTGTCTCCGCACCAATTATCATGACTCAGTGGTGGGGCGGGCTGGCTGTGAAGCTGCCTTGCAGCTTCCACCTTCACTTCTTGCTATCAAGCAGGCAACCACAGTGTTCTGCATATTATGGATCACAAGTGGATCTGATTGAATCTCGGGCAGAGTCATGACTCACGAAGAGTCATAGCGTACACAGTAAGTGACGAGGTTTGTGTTTGACATCAATCTGCACAGTATAAAGGCCAGTGTCTCAGAGGCTTCCGAAGTTGATGTTTGCTACCACCTGGCTGCTCTTCCCAATCACTTGAGAACATAAGACCGTTCATTATCTCTGTCGTCTCTTCATCTTCTTCGCACAACTCTTCGCTTCCCTCGTTACCAATCAAGTAAGGACATTCTTTCCACTCGCATTCTATCGACCATCTTCCATCATGCGGCATCTGCACTGCCTACAGCCCTGCGATCGATCACCGCCACTAAGATCGTTGAGGTCAAAAAGCAACGTCAGGAGTTCGAAGATGTCAAAGCCAACATCGAGAGATCCGTCAAACGTCAGAAGACTTCTCACGACCAGGCCGCTGAACTCGTCGAAGGGTGCTCCACCCTCGATGCTGTCTATCTCGTCGACCGGGATGCAGATCTCGACTTTGACACTTCTGTGCCGGCAATGAGTCTGTCTGACGGTGGATCGAAGCTTCGTAATCAGTCTCGTATGCTGCATCAATCGCGTATCGACCCCGCCTTTCCCCAGAGCCGCGTCGAAGATATCAACCAAGACATCACCAAAGATCTACAATTGAGAAGTGTCCAACGTGCTCATGCTCAATTCTTCTCCGAGTTGGTCACCGAATGGATCAGCGCTGATGATGGAGCGAATTCCGAAGGGAGCACTCCAGACATGGAATCGTCCGGTTTCGAGAACGTTGGTCGGAAAGAGATGCACGAGCAGCGGAAAGAGTGGGAGTCTATCGTCTTCGGGCAGAAAGACATTGACGAGCCTGCCATCGATGCGTACCTGAGCAATATCTTCACCAGCGGCACCCATACCAAGCAGGCCTACGAAATGCTCCGAAGAGACACTCGTCAATTCTCCGCCGAGTTCGCTCGCGAAGTCCTCTTTCTTGACACGTCCATGTTGAAGGTACAAATTAAAGGCGTCCTCGCTACCGACTTGCTCAATGAAGAAAAGCGTGCTATACTCAAGACTTTTCTATCCAACGACGAGGTACTCCAAGAAGTCTGCGATGTCCTCAACATGCGTTTCAAAGCCCTTGCCAGCTGGGAGTGGACGACAGAGAACGGAGCTATCGCTCTCGAGCAGCGACGACAACTCAACGGCAAATACAGAGTCTTTATGGACGAAGATGTCCTCGATGCCATCCTAGTACACTACATTGGTATCAAGTGGGCTGTCCACTTCCGTCAAGTCTTCACCACGTTCTTCTCCGGCCCTGCATGGTCTAGCCAAGCCAAGAAGATGCCACTTGTCGACCGCCAACGCCGCGAATGGTTCCTCGGCAAGGACTACGCCTCAGGTGGCATCCAGGAAGTCCGCAACAATACCTATCTGCGTGATTACTTTATGACACAGCTGCCTGAGCAAGTGAACGTTGTCCCTCGCAATGCGTACGATGATGACGATGATGACGACGAACGGATCGCATCGGACAAAAAGAGTCCTCTCGAGATCAAGCATGGATTGTTGCAACTTGTGGTCACCGAAACTATGGTTGCCCGCCATTTGTATCCTGAAGTCCAACACACCGTCATCCGTTCTGATTTCAAGTGGTTCGGTCCTTCTCTTCCTCACCAGTCGATCTTCGCTGTCATGAAGTTCTTTGGCGTTTCCGAAACATGGCTCAACTTCTTTCGCAAATTCCTGCACGCACCTCTTCGATTCGCCCAAGATGGTTCAAATGGCAGCTATCAGACTCGATCTACCGGTGTGCCCATGTCTCATTCTCTTTCCGATACGATGAGTGAGGTCGTGCTCTTTGTCATGGACTTCGCGGTCAACACATCAACTGGGTCCAATCTTTATCGCCTGCATGATGACTTCTGGTTCTGGGGCCCTCTGGATGTCAGTCGTACTGCTTGGCGAGAAATGAAGGCCTTCGCTGCGACCATGGGCATCGAGTTCAATGAGGAGAAGACTGGGAGTGTTGTCTTTCCTGTTGTTGGTAGCACCAAGCCTGAGGCTGCCAACAAGAGCAAGGCCGCAACCCAAGTCGTGGTTCCCATCATGACATCGGGTCTCCCACAGGGCGATATCCGCTGGGGCTTCCTCGTCCTTGACACCACGACGGGACGCTTCAAGATCGATCAGTCAGAGGTGGATAAGCACATCGAAGAAGCCAAGTTGCAGCTGGAAGCAACAACCTCGATCTTCAGCTACATCCAGGCCTACAACGCCTATGTCTCACGTTTCTTTTCCAACAATTTTGGGAAACCATCGCTTGCCTTCGGTCGGGAGCACGTCGACAGTATGATTGCAACCGTCAACCGCATTCATGAGGCACTCTTCCCCAACGGGCGGGTGGTCGATCATCTCTCGTCAGTCGCTACGAAGAAATTTGGCGTTCCTGTCCCGCCTGATGGGTTTTGGTATTTTCCCGTCGTCAACGGTGGAATGGAGCTGCACAATCCCATTGTTCCTCTCGTCAACATGCGGGAAAGCTTCAAATTGTCTCCCGGAGACTTCCTGGTTCGAGCGGATAGAATGGATGAACAAAATTATGTTGAGCAGGAGACCCGCTACAACAAAAGAGGCAGAGGTTATGGTGTCGACTCTCACTCGTATAGTCTGAAGAGCACTCTGAACATGTCGGGTAACGAGCCGTTCATGTCTCGGGCAGAGTTCCTCAAGCACCGCGAGCAGACATCCTACAACTTGACGATTGCTTACAGAGATCTACTGAAGGTTCCGGAGGAGGTGGCCATGGAGAAGACTGACGATATCGCTGCCATGCTTGCTACTGCTGATACTGGGAAGCGGGCGATCAGCAGTGATTGGTACTCTATGAATGCTTACTGGAAGTGGGTTGTGTGTGTTCATGGCAAGGATATCGTTGAGAGATACGGCAAGCTTCAACTGGTCGACGCCGCCCAGGTCCCACTTGGCGTGGTCAGTGTCATGAAGTCGAGCAAGGTCCGTTGGCAGGGATAGCAAAGTCCGCTTCAAGCGCGCAGTGCTGGTCTGGAAGAGGTGCCGATGGGGTGCCGATGGGGTCTTTCGACATTTGAGCCGACAAAGTCCTTCGTAGTATAGCATAAGGCGTTCAGCATCAGTGGGCGAGATTTCGAGAAGAACATCGATAGATACATGAAGTGCGAAGCATGGACGGGCATTTATATTCTGGTTGACAAAGACATCGATACTTCACGTCAAACCCCAAAGAAACCTCCTATCTTTGCACGCCAGACACATTTCACAGCGTACATCATATTCGCTCGAAGATCGTCAAGCACACGTCTACCAGCTATGCTCCTCTTCCCCGCGATTTCGGTCGACAGGGGATTCCAACGACCTACATCGGGATCCCAACTTCGTGATAAACTCAATCCGCACCTCGGCATCAGCACAGCTTCCAGCTTTCTGTAGCTCATCAAGCTTCTTGCGACGTCATGTCTGAACTCTGGAGAAATGACACTGACGTGTAGATGATGACTCGCGAGCACTACAGCGATGATGAATAAAAGGTAGGCTTGTTGCTGTGCTGGTACTCGGTGAGGTCGTGATCTGAGCTTTGATCCCTTGCTTCGCGTATACATTGACGAAAACCTGCTCGGCTTTCTCTTTTTTCCCAACGGACGTGACGCGCCATAGACCTACAGCATCCCCGAAAATTGCCTACGCAATGGCACGACCAGCATCTGGCAATGACGCCGTAGACCGAACGAAGGCCTCTGCAAACGACGCGGCGAACAGGGCGAAGGAGGTCGCTAATGATGCAGCGAACAAGGCGGATCGGGTCGCTAGGGAGAATGGGATGTGAGTTGTGCTTTCCTTTATCTCAGCTCCTGAGAAGTCTCAACGTGGGAAGGAGCTAGATTAAGAGGGATTCTACTGTCATTGAGGCTAGAACATTATCACTCTGCTGCTTCACGCTGGTCTCTGCGACGTCGGCGCCAACGACGACGGCCTGCAACGCAGGAGCGCACTCCTGGAGCGCGAATGCTGCACCAACATCGGGAGCATCGAGGTCGGGACTTGTCACCATCAAGCGATCGACCGTCGACAATAAACCCATGACTTCGACCTGCGAAAAGTCATCAATTCTCAAAATCTGCTGCCAACGCCCATTCGTCCTGACCAAACCCATCCGCCGGCTTTATGTCATGCACCAACTAATCTCCCTCTCTCAAATAGCGCCAACCCTTCCGCCGTGTCCATCGGACCAATCTTCGCACCTCTCTACATAGCCTTCATCCCCCTCACAACCTACCTCTCCCGCACCGGCCTCATCCGCGGAACTCTCAACCTAGCGCTCAACCTCATCCCAGGCACGGCCCCGAACGCCGCCTCGTTGTCCACCGTAAGTCCTCCAACTTACCCACACCTTCCCAACTCAAACCCAAACCAGCAACCACTAACACCCCCGCCCCGGCGGATCGGATGATAGCCACCAACCCTCGCCCGCATCCCCGCCCTAGCTGCCCTCTACACCTTCGCCACCTTCGGCGCCTCCGCGCCTTCTCCGCCGCCGGCCAAGCCATGTCGCGCGCCGAGGGCCTCGACAACAACGAGCCCCGACGCCACACGCAGGATATGGAGGGGATGCCGTATCGGTTGCGGGCGGCGCATCTGAATCTGATGGAGAACTTTCCGGGCTGGGCTGTGGCAGCGGCGCTGACGGCAAGTATGGCGAGTGGGCTGGGGAGGGAGGAGCAGGAGGTCTTGACTGGGTTGTTGGGCTTTCATGTGTTTTTGAAGCTTTTCAGTAAGTTCTTCTGCTTCGATCTTGGGTGTTCTTCTTTAAGCGAGTGCGCGCGAAAAGCTGATCTGACGCCTGCGATTAGTCTATTACCCAGCCTACCTCCTCAACTTCCCTCCGCCACGTACGCTGGCGCACGTTATGGCGACGGCGAGCGTGATTAATGTTTGCTGGCGGATCGCCAAGGGTGTTAGGAACTAGGGGACGGTGGGTGGGGGAGGCGAGCGCAACGAGCGATTCCCTGGTCGCGCTGCAGGCGCTACCTGCACAGAGGGGAGCTTTGCGCTGTAGGCGAGTATTGGAGTGTGGAAGGCGAGATGAAGTAGTCGTCACAGCATATTGGAACACATGTTTTGAGCTAGCTAGCTGTCAAGATGCTCCTATCTAGTATATACATGACGTGCGCCACGCTCACCGCCGACTCCGAGGCGCCAACGCTCTACCGCGGAATTAGTAGTGAAGAAGTTTTGATATGTCCCGATTTCCTGCTGCTCCAGATCCATATTGCTTTGTGGAGCCGTGCTTTCATTCCTTCGAATATGGGGTAATGAACGGGACCTGCCCCAGTACGGCGGTACGCTGTGTTGCTCAGCCCAGCCGGTCGCGATATTCGGAGCTTTTCGAACTCCCAGCCTTGATGAGGCACTGACCCGCAAACCAGACTGACGCATGCTTTTTTCGACGCATTTGATCTCGATAAGCGCTGTCGGCGAGAGTGCTCTTCATTCGTTGATCGTGGTAGGGTCATATTGTAAGGTCTCGTCACGAGGCTCTCACACAGGATCCAGACTTTTCTAGCTTGGCAGCACCAATCCGGTGTCCAGCACCATGGCGTCCGGATTGTCAACCTGATGGTGGTTGCTCATGAGCACAGGATTGCCTACACTCTGTGCTGCTTTCCGCTGACCGGCTTGTTGCATCGACGCGTGGCTCACGTCGTTCTTCCTCGCCTGACACTCCTTTACACATTCCGTCACATCCCTGAGGTAATCCCGCGCCTGCTGCAGTCGTTCTGGGAAGTACATGAACTGATGCGGCACGCCCGGGTATCGCTTCAATCGCACATCGTTCCCTTCACTTCTCAGATAATTCGCATACTCTTCCGCCTCATCACATCTAGGATCGATCTCCGCCGTGCCGATGAACGTCAGCGGTGCGACGTTCTTGAGGTTTGGCGCCTTCATGAGATCCAGAAACCATGGGAGGCATCGGTTCAGGTCGCGTGAGGGGTTCGTCTTTGTGGACTTGAAGACGTCAAGCAGCTTCATGCGCTGCCAGTCGAGCATGGGCGCGTGTTGGAAGTCGGACATGCTGGGGTAGGGACTCATTTCGGGGTGGGTCAATTTGCGGACATCGCTGATTAGAGGTGTGCCGACCACGACGCCTTTGAGGCCTGGAGTATCGGCGTCACGGAGTAAGTGAGCGAGAAGCAAAGCGATTGTGCCGCCTGCATTGACGCCACCGAGGGTGAAGTTGTCGGGCTGAATCGAATAGGCGTCGTGGTAAGCAAGGATCCATTGCACGGCGCGCAGAGCATCCATGATGCCGACGCCAAAGGGGGTGTCGTGAGCGAGACGGTAGCCGATGTTGATGACGGTGCATTCTGCGCCAGCGCAGATGGTGTAGTCGCTGTGGTAGTCTGTCAAGACATCGCCGGCGACGAAAGCACCGGAATGGAATGTGAAGTGGACGGGAGTTGGTAGGTGGTCGTCTCGGGCTAGATATGGCTTGAAGACTTTGATCTCGATGTCGCCGCAACGGTGCTCCTTCTCCAGGATTTCTGGACTCGAGCCGGGATAGCCCTCCCACTCAGGTACCCAATCTGTTGCATATGCTTTGATCTGAGGAGCGCGACCTTGCATGTTGTACTTTGGCTCTTGTCCATCTGGAGCGCTACCGCGAAATAGCAACCTGAAGTTCTTTCGTATGATATGTATGTCTTGAGATGGGGCTGGTGCATTTGGGATGACATCGTTGTTGTACAGTGTGACAAATGCTGGGTCGAGCTTGTCTTTGACTGAAGAGTGTATTGGAGGCCATGATGTGTTGGACGCCGACCTCGGTGTGGCTTCCGCCATCCTGGTTGTAGCGGCAGTCGTCCCTGGCCGTGCAGCCTTATGGGCCAGGCCAGATGAATTCGCAGCGCACTTTATCAGAAGCGTGGTTGACTGCCACGTCTGCGCAGTCACAGCCACGAACCCCTCAGCAGAGGCCTCTAGACACTCTTCCGGATCGATGGGAATGCCCTTCTCCAAAAGTGATGGTCAGAGTGAATGGTAGGCTCTCGTGCGCGGTCGCGATGGATATGGGTTTAGGATGTTCCCCGAGACAATCAGAATACGACCGCCTGCATCTGGTGCTTCGAGTCTTTTGAATAGTCGTGAGCGTCGTATCGTGTGGTCGTCACTTCGTTTGTTGCGCACACCGGAGGGAGAGCTGGTGCATGGCACAATATGTGTATCCTCGTCGTTGAAGAGAACGATATGTAGTAACACAAGAACAGAACCAGAAGGAGCCCAAACGCCAGAACAGGCGAGCCGATAAGCTGCGCTGTCACCTTTCCCACGTCCAGCTTGCAAGGAGGATGATGAAGGACACGTCGAGGCGGGGCGCAGAATCTCATCTGCTGATCTGACATCAAACTTTCGCTACGATTGCCTGATTGGTTCAGTGTGCTTCCGCTTCCGTTCCCGTCTGGAGTCAGGCAGTCCAACTCATCAACTACAACAGCATCCTATTCAGTTCATTGTGATCTTCATCACGGTTCAAACACAAGCGCAGAGTCCCCCGGAGAAGTACCATGCTGTTCCCTGATTATGGTATCACTTTCCAACTATCTTGGGCACCGCCCACCAGGCATGAAAACGAGCTGGATCACCAGGCCCTGGCACCTCTGCTCTCCAGTCCCTCCCGCCATGCTCTATCGCCCTCAGAAGTGAAGAGATTGCGATACCTGTGGCAATGCATGCTTGATGCAGCCTTTGGTATTGCGGACCCACTCTGCTTCGAGGACCGAAGGCCTTCTCTTCCTGCCTTCTTCTGTGCCCTTGCCTAGGGGAGAGCCGATACTCCATCCACCTCGAAGCACTTCCTCCCATCCACGTCTACTGCTCACAGTCAGCGCAGCAGCCTGCCGTAAGACCTCTTCGTCATTGAGCTCTTCGAGACTACTGACTGCTTTCATCTCCTCATAGCCCAGTGGCTCCGGCACGCTGAGGCTCGCGAATGGTTTGGTGCGAAGTTCGTACCGCAGGGCGTCCGAGCCGTACATGCCGTCCTCGTTGGAGCGGTATCTGGGATCGTGCCGGAAGATGACCGTGAAGACACGCTGCAAAGCTGCTGCCAACGTGTCGGTCGCTTGGCTTGAGTGAAGTGTCTGTAGAGGTTGCCGAGCGTATCTTGCGCCGCGGCGGCTCTGCGGTTGTGTTTCTTTTGCGCTGGAGCTGCGGCACTAACGAAGAAGCTTATGCGCTCCAGGTGTGCGAGGTGTAGTCCAGTGACGTGAGACAAGTACCAATACATGTCTACGAATTCAAACGGCGCGTATGTCTCCAGCTCGAAGCCCATTTGGATCAGCAATCGTAGCTGCAATAGTTTGTAGTGGTATACCCAGCTACTAAGCGGGTACGCATAAGCCAGCTCTTGCGGGTTGTCGCCGTACGGCAGGGGTTTCTCGTTTTCCAGTGTCTGGATATCGGAATCGAGCTCTTCGGCATCGGCTTGAATGGCATCCCATTCTATAGCAGCATGACACAGGTTCCGGCGGACTCGCGAGCGATTGAGGGAGAAGGATCGGTACTGCTGCGTTGCAGGGATGCAGACGCGATCGATGAATTGCATCGTTTGTGAATGGGCTTGGAATTGTGGTGCTGTCGGCGGCGGTGAGGTCGTTGAGCCGCCCCCAAAGGCATTGAGTAGAGGGCTGACAGGGAGTACAAGAGCGCGAATGTCTCGCACAATCATATTGCGGCGAGGAAGGCTGCCCGAGGTCTGCTCGTCAGGCGCAAAGGAGTTCTGTACGAGAGCACGCACGTAGACGCTTGGCTGAACAGGTTGCGACATGAACGTCCAGAGGGCAGTATAGAGATCCTGGGCTGTGGTGACGGCGAATATCTCAAAGGCGGTCTGAATATCCGACAGGAGACGGGTGAAGTATGCGAATGCTTCTGATGGTGAGCAAGTAACTTCTGGACGTGGTGGCACACTGCTGGCAAGCCGTCGCTGAATCTTAATGTTGAAGGCAGCTGGGAGAGCTTCACCAGGTGAGGTCGATGGCTCGATCTTTGCGAGAAGCGTGGATGCTTTCATGTCGGTTGGAGGTATGCTGCCACCACAATCGCTGAGCAATTCGAGGAAAGCGATTCTGAAGTTGAGCCGGTCGATGACCTCAGTCCGATTGGGGAGGTCGTCTTCTTCGAGTAGAAGCACTATCGCAGTCTGCATCTCATCGATGATCTGGTCGGTGGTGAATGATCGAAGCATCTCCCGATTATAGACTTGAGTCGCAAAATCTTCTTCCTATCCACATGTCAGATCTGCTCCCTCGTCGACAAGCATCCTTACCTCGTAGTAGTGCTGGCTCGCAATCATGGCGAGGACGAGATCGCAGCATTTGATCAGTCCCAAGCAGTAGGCACGTAGGATGTCTTCTACCACCGACGGCGAACGTGCGGCGTCTGGTCGCAGGAAATGGGCATGGCTGATCTGGTTCGGATCTGGCCACAGGATCTTGTCGAGGTGTACAGATGTGAATAGTGTCTGCGAGAGGGGATAGCCCTGGTGCCATGATGCCTCTCTGCAGACCAGTTGGTCTATGATCCAAATCGCTTGCTGTGGTGTCAAGGGCTCTGAGAAGTCGAAATCGTCGTCTAGATCGTCGCCTTCTTCTAAGGCACCGCTGTCCATCTTCGAGTCCCCGATCTACCGTTGTCAGGCCGGCCAACGCGCGACTCACACATTGACATACCTCGAGCGCCCCGACGGCCTCAAACAGTGTAAACCCCTCATCTTTGACTAATTCACCTGTGGGTATCTCTACAAAGTGTCAGTTGAGACCAACCTGTGAATAGGAGCTGTCTTACTTCTTGCCGCTTCTACTAGTCGTTCAGTGATGTTCGTAAGATGTATGTCAGGACGCACATATTGCGACTCGACCATGTCGTAGAAAGGGAGTGTACAGTAGGTGGTTGATGTTAAAGTGGTGGCTCTCAAGCATTTATATTTCTCCGCACTGCATCAATCGGGCGGCACTGCACGTGTTTCTACAGAGAGAGACTACAATGCGATGCCAACTGAGAACCTCGACCTGGCAAACTGGAGATATGACCAGAATTTCAACAGTGTACATCTGTTTACGTGGACAGACCTCATCGCTTCGTGAGAGAAGTTCCTTGCAGGCACTCGCCGTTGCCGTGATCTGCTTCCACCCACCCCGACCAGAGTCTGACTGTCATATCCATCGCGCTTGCCATCCCTTCGACGATGCCGCACTTATTGCTCCTTTGCAACCTGAGCCATAGCAGCCTCGTTGGCCTCACCCAAATTCTTCATGTCACCCTGCTTGCCGCCCTGTTGTGCTTGTGTCAGTTGCTGCTGAACCAACACTTCGTAGCGTTTCGTACCTGCCACTTAGCGAACCGCAAATCCATCTCTCCTCGCCTCTCAGCTTGTAATCTTGGACCCTCCTTCAGTGACCGGCGGACTGTTCGGGCTGCGACTGCGAGGTATCGGTTGTAACTGCATGGTAGATGTTAGTCCTCGGTCGGCTTCTTTGAGGCTGTGCGAAGGATGGGTAAGTCGTACGTGATGCCGGCGGTCTTCCATGCGAAAGCCATCTTGTTCAAGTCTCTGCGTGGGTGTATTGAGACAGTGGAAAGGAGCGACTGAGATGACGAGTTGCCTTGCGATCTCTGAGAATTGGTGAAGCTGCAGCTTTGGCCGTCGGAAGCTCCTGCTCGCTCGGAGAAAATCCATGCTAGCCCCAAATGAGCTAGTGTCATTGCGACTTTCCTCTCTTTCAATGATCATGTCCTCGCTACACTGTCCGGCATCGTCCACTCCGATATCATATTCAAAGGTAGCTGACAGGAGCATACAAGCTTGGCTCGCCATCTATCCAATAAGAAAGTCCTCGACGACCGCCAGGACCTCATGAGCAGCCACCATCCAGTCACTACCCGCAGTCCGCCGTCACATCTACCATGATGTTCTGCCTCCGAACATATCTTCCGCTTCTCTTACTGCCACTTCCGCTCTCGCTGAGCCCAATTCACCTCACGACCCTCTTGGTCATCACATACATCCTCAGCAAGCCATGTCCGTACTGCTCGCTACTCCTCGTCATCCTCTTTGCTAGTACATGTCATTGGAGCGGACGATGTTTCTGGCAGAGTCCCTTGGACTTCGCTGCGATGGTAGACATAAGTGATGGCAACGCAACAATACCATGGCAGTGGGAGTATCTTCCATACTTCATACCGAGCTGTATACCACGCCGATCGAGACGGTTGCGGCAGGAAATGGGACTGAGGGTATGGGCGAGTTCCTCATGAACTTTGCGAACGGCACTCTATCAACGATCGCTGAATCGGTAGTGGCATCTGGATCTTCGATGTTGTCCGCTACTGCGACTCATGCTCCGACCTTTTCGTTACCGAACCCCTCCGGTGCAGGTGCGGTGGGGACTCAGTGGCTGCGAACGCTATTCGGTAGAGGCGAATGGACGTTGCCATGTGTCAACATCAAGGTTGTCATATGAGCCAGAAGTAAGGGCGTCTTCGGAGATTTTGGAAGAGCTTGTACGGGTGCATTCACTCAGAGCATGCACTGCCCTCAGGCCGGCTATGGGCGGTCACTCAAAACTATGTATTCGAACTTCCAGCAGCGACATTACAAACCTTTTTGAATACCACTCTCGAGTATCTCGATGACCTACGATTGCTCAGATTCTCTTCACCGCGGCTATGAGGTACAAGTCTGGCTTCCTGCGCTCGATGTGAGCTGGCGAGACGGGTAAGATCCTCATCATTCTGCTTGCTAAGGGCTCACATCGACCAGCAAAGCTCTGTATAGGCGTATCGCATGGCTTTTCGATATGAGCTGGTGAGACGAGAAAGACCCTTTTCGCTCTGCTTGCTCAAGCCTACACCGACCATCGCGACAATCATGCTGCTGTGGTCCAGCTTGACAAAGTTCCTCGCTGCTGTCACAGGTCAGCTTCCTGTCGTCCCTGCCAACCAGTACCTGCGCAAAATGAGCTGGGAGGTCGTCAGAGGTGCCGATGGTGAACTCAGTCTCATACGCTCGACATCCTTCGATCAGGCGGCCTCCAGTGCGTGATGCCAACGTGGCCGTTCAGGGAGCAGCTATCTCGGCTATTTGTTACACGCAGCTCGACGCTCGAACAACTCTGGCATGGGGCTGTACCCCGTTTTGGAGTCCCCATACGTTCGCGTCACAGCCTGGATGCCTGACTTTTGGATCAGCAGCTTCCACAAGTCACATTTGCTGAATGATCTCAGCGCCCGCGTCAACTGGAAACGAGTCACTCCAGTCTGCCCGATATTCTTCGATGCTGGAGCTGTTGAAGCCGAGTGCCCTTCTTCCACCAACTTGTCCGCTCACGACTCCCGGATCAGAATTTCTTGAGCCTCACCTCAGGAAAGGCTCGAGACTGCTGTCGAACAGGCGTCTCCTCTCTGTCATACCTCTAATTCGACTTAATCAACACCAGATGCACTCGACTTTGGCTTCGATGATTCGTTCTTCAACACTCCCATTGATGGCCAACTGTTCCTCGACACGCCCGCACAGCTGTTGTCGTTTGTCATCTCAACACTAAGCCGAGAATGATACCCCGATGCGAGCCCGTCTGGCCGTGGGCCAGCAAAGCGCTGTACTTATACGTACAGTGACGGCTCCCCCACCACCTGCTATGCTCCAGACTGGACAACTTGAGCAGCAGACTGCCACTACTTCCACCACTCTTGTCCCTTTCAACGAGACTCCCCCAACTAAATTAAGTGTTCAATGACGCTAGTACTCAGAATGCCATGCAGGATTCCTTCAACGATCGCCTCGACGACCGGACGAGCTTGACTTGAGGACTTAGACCTATGGCACTCCTTCCACTCTGACCGCCCAAGACCTGGTCAACACTTGCTACGACAGTGGTCTGGTCCCACGCACTTCCCGTGTCGGTCCCAAAATGCGATCCCGTACCAATGTCATGGCCATGTCGAAACCTCAAGGCGCTAGCATGCTAGGTCAGTGTGCTCAGGGTTGGTGCTCGGGTTAGGATTTGCTAAGGAAGGTACGACAGTGTTTCTGTGTGCCAGGAGGACGATCCAGGCATCGTTTCGGTACAGGTTGTCACGCGAATTCTGCATGTCATGGTCAAGCCGATTGCACCCGCTCCCACCACTCAAGCACCCGTTCAGCCTTAAGCCTCGGCTTTCGAGATTTCGATTTCGAAACCTGCCGCCTCAAGGGTTTGAGGAGATATCAAGATGGCTCGGGGGTTCCACTGGCTGTGTTATCACAAGCTCTCCACGCCGGAGATGGGAATGGCATGAGTTCAGTAGCTGGGGTCAGGCCGCTGGCAGGGTCGTAAGGAGCCATCATGTCGGCGGTGGAACAGATGGCTGCAGTGCATGGCTATGTCCCCTTCGCGCTCGTCCTCTCTTACCTCGTGCGGCGTGGCTCAGGGCGACGGCGCTGCTTCCGGCCCTAGGGCCTCAGCCTAATGCTCGCTTCGCTCGCCTGGGCGGTGGTGAGGTGGCGGCCCTTCCGGCCACCACCTCCCCAACACCTCCCCGGCCCACCGTCCCCGAATTGATCCGCTATAGGCTACTTACCCGTTGGTGTTATGGTGGACGGAAATTGCTATTTGAGGCGTTGTCGGTAGTCCGTCTGGTGCAGTCGAGATCTTTGACGCAGAGGCTTATGCTTCTCTGGCGTTCGATCCGAACCTGACAGATACCGTTTTGGTAGCGCCCTGAATGATGCTCAGATGGAATAGGAGTGATTGCAGAGTGTGCACAGGTACCGATTCAAGTTCACGCCAATGATCAAAGCAGGAAGTGGAGCTCATAAAATTTGGAAGTTCGCTTGCTTTGATTGATCATTAATATTCATGTGCCTATATCGCTTCGCTGTGCGACGTGCTCAACTATGCAGGCACTCAATATTCTCACCCCAGAAGGCTCTTCCTGCTTGACCCGCACCAAGGGTCATCATAGACCTCGGCGGGCCCGCAGCCGCTCCAAAATCTCCCAAGCGCCGTGCTCGCCGAGTGTATATGTATGCTTCAGTCCCGAATCTCTTTCGCATCTGCGCAGCCCGTCGCTAGTCTCGTGGCGCAGAGTTCGTCGTCGTCTCCTCCCCAGTCCCGAACCTCCAGCTACTCTTTCCTCTCGGGGCCTTCGACACAGTTCACCTGTGCTGCCCAGTGTTTGATTTTCGGTATCCATCTCTTCACATCAACCCGTGATCGGCCAGTCGTCCTCGGTGATACTCGACCAGAACACCCATATCGCAATAACAGACAGCAATGTGAACAGAGTCTCGAAGAAGGCGCCGTTAATTTTGCCATTGGTTGGGTTGCAGATGTGTACCGAGATGACATACTGGAAGATCTGGCCGATGGCGAACAAAATCACAGCTGCTACCAGATAGATCATGGGCCTGACCTCGCCGAGGATCCGTAGCACCAGAATGGTTTCGAGAACGAAGAACAGGAAGAGGAACACCAGCGGAGCAAGCTGGTAGAGGGTGTAAAGCGCGTATCCCCTGTGATCGGGACCGTCGAGCGTGCTTGACCAGTAGCCTGTCCATTCGAAAGCCGTGTCGAGTGCAATGTAGCCGGTGCCGATGAAGATGGCGAGCGCAGATCCGAGAATCAAGGCCAAGGATACCGGGGTGCCGTCGTCTAGTAACTGAAAGCCAACAAGCGCATTCATGAGGAGTATCCATGTCGTTGCCGTTATCGCAGCGATATGAGCAGCTGAAAAGCCCTTCCTTACATTGCTGTCGAGAGGGAAGTGTCCTTGGCTGAAGATCTCACAAATCGATATGACGAGGTAGCCAATGAGGAACAATTGTATTTCTCTTCGACCGACAGCGGCCGCTTTTCTTTCTGCTCGCCATAGCAGGAAGACGGCGGCTAGGATAGCGATGCCGCAGACAAGGATCGATCCGAGATTCGAGAGGTATCGACCGTTCGAGAGAGAGATGCCGAGCAGGGCGCATCCGCCGAATGGGGGGCCAGGCGGTTGGTTCGATTCTCTTGTCACGATCTGCAGCTTGTCAGCATGTCGTCGCGATGCAATCTGAGGTCGACGGAGACGTACATTGCAGACTGGTAATGTCGAATCGCGACAGAAGTCCTTATCACATGTCAGCTATTTCCGTATGCACAATGATGTCGAGACTGCATCCTTACACCAAAGTTGCCATATTGTGTCGGCATCTTGACGCCAGTAGGTGACCGCAGTCACAGACGGGGACGGCCACTCGATCGTGTTGGGAGGATGAAGGTGAGGTGAAGCTGTCGAGGGAAGCTGATGACGATTCGACGATAAGTGAGGAATGTTAGGGGGCTGCGCAAGCAATAGCGTTTCAGAAGTTGGCAGGCTCTGGCAGCAGATAAACGGGCGCGTGTCTGGCTGGAATTCTTTCCGTAGAGATGGATGAATGTGAGCTGATTTGATGGAATATGGTAGTGATGGACGTCGTAGTATGCAGGTTTCAGAATTGAAGCGAGTGGAAGAGGAATAGCAAGAGCAACCAAGAACCTCACCTCACCTGGCAACGGCTGCAGGCGCAATCAACCTCGACTGCCGTCGCCAAGTTGGCGCTTCCCAGATTAAAAAGATGGTTTAGCCGAAGGGCTAGCACCTGAACAGGGAAGGCGGCACCCGTTAATGGGCCACTTTCCAGGAACACGCTTCCCTCTGCTCGAGGCGAAGAATACGACGAGGATGACTGTGCGGGTCAAAAGGGTGTTGCCTTGTGCCTCAGGCCGTCGCCTTCGATGCACAACTTCTTGCTGCCTCCTAGCCGTCGATATGAGCTTTGCTGGGAACAATCTGTGCCGTTGCTGGAGAGAATGCTAGCCTTCCACTAACCACCCATTTGACTTCTAGTCGGAAACGCCATCCCGGAACTTGGCGTGAATGTGATCTCATCAGTCGACATGAACGACGACGAAATTCCTCGTCATGCTTTTCATCCTTCAAAGTGTGTGATGAGTGACCCTCCGTAGACCGGTCTACCGAGTCGTGCAGCATAATTCGACCAGTGCAATGCCGCAACTGCATCAGCCGGCCTCACGTTCAGATACGAAAGCCCAGATGCAGTTCTTTACTGTGTCCTGCAGGAGCTCAAAGCGGAAGCTTACGAGGCAGTCCTTCCTGAGGCTGGCTGAGCTGCCAGACCGTACAATGGTATCACCCAAGCGCATACATATAACGAGCGTTGGACACACGCGCCACGAGATGCTTCGAGCAACCGCTGTAATATTTCGAGAGCACCAGAATTAACATACCACTGACTGCCAGGTTACAGCAAGCAGTCGTTAGCGAAAGACCAGCAGCGTCCATCAGACCCTCAAACTTCAGTATACACTACTGCGACTGATTGAGGACCAAGTCGGGCATCTCGACCTAATAAGCCTACTCAGGTCCATTACTTCTTCAACATCAGCGAGTAGGAGAATGTCAGACGTCAAGGTCAACCCAGACTCGGCTCCCGTCGGGACATTCGGCGTTCACAAGGAAAACGCGATCGCAATCAGAAAATCGCTCGCACCAAGATATGATGGTATTTGGTACCTACCTATGGTCGCTAGAAACGCTGACCCTTTGCAGTCGTTCATAATTGCACAGATCCGGATGCAGCATTCACGGAGCTTCCGGCACTCTTCTCTGGCGATCAGTCTGTGAGGCCGTCGAACGGGATTGGCAGCAACAGCGAAGGTAGCAACATCCGCATCCCGAAGATCATGATTTGTGGAGGCGATGTCCCTCCAGAGCAAAAGCAGAGACTGTACGCGCTCATTAAGGAGAAGGCAGACGGGGTCAAGTTCGTCGAGGTTGATCGGGAGAAGATGGTTGCTGGTATCAAGAGCGGTCGTCCAGTCCCTGAAGTTGTTACCGAGCTACTACTGGAAGAGCTTGACAAGCTAAAATGATATGGATGCCTTCTGTGCGTCAATCAGACGTATACCCTTTGAAACACTTTAAGACGAGCACTGTTCGCGATTTTTGGGGCGCGCTTTTCTTTCTGCGCCAGGCTACCGAGAAGGCCACCGTACCTGGATACCAAATCCGTAAACAATCACGGCACCAAGATTGCTCGTCCTCTGACCTTGCCATTAGTGAGGTCGTCGATGGCCTTCTGGAAGTCGTCCAGCTTGTACTGTTGCGTGTGCAAGTTGACCTTTCCTTGAGCCGCCAGCTCCATCAACTCGGCCAAGTCATTGTACCTGCAGAAGAGTCAGCAATTTCTTGGAGCACAGTCACGCCCCGAGCACTCACGATCCCACCAAGTTTCCAATGAAGTTGATCTCGGTCGAGATGATGTCTATCGTCGGTATCTGTAGGTCCTCGCCGTACCCAACAATGTAGTAATCTCCATTCCGTCGGAGCATCTTGACGCCGGTCTTCGTCGAACCGCCCTCAGCAACGAAATCAATCACGGCCTCAGCAGCTTTGCCTTTGGTGATGTCGAGCACCTCCTTCACGAACGAATCGTCATCCTTTGCGAGCACTGTATGGTCGGCGCCAATCTTCTTCGCAAGGGCGAGCGCCTCCGGATTGCGGTCCACCACAATGGTAGTCGCGCCACTGACGGCTTCATACCTACCAAAAGTCAGCAGCTGTGATATAGCCCAAGGTCAGAAGTGAAGACGCACACTGTATACCGATGTGGCCCAACCCGCCTGCGCCAATGATGACACAGAAGTTGCCCGGTCGAAGCTTTGGTGCGGCTTTGGCGACGACATGATATGCGGTGAGGCCAGCGTCCGCAAGGGCGGCCACATCGGCAGGCTCGAGACTATCGTCCAGCTTGATGACGCTGCGGGCTGAAGTCCGCAGATACTCGGCATATCCTCCATCAACGTTGATGCCCGGAAAGCTCGAGTCCTCGCAGTGGACATCATCACCAAATCGACATGCCCGGCACAGGCCACACGTCATCAGAGGATGAAGAATGACCTTGTCGCCTTTTTTCAGGTGCTTGACGCCTTCACCAACCTGGTCGACCCAGCCGGCGTTTTCTGCGACGCGTTAGTTCCTGTACTGATCCCATCTCACAAAGACCAGGAATTCCAGCATCACACACCGTGGCCAATACAGTATGGCAGCTTGACCTGCGCCTTCTCTTCCCACTGGCCCTCGAGAATATGCAGATCTGTGCGGCATACTCCTGCTGCACCGATCTTTACAATGACATCCAGCGGACCCTTCAACTCCGGCTTCTCCACATCGTCCATACGCAGATTTTCATGGTAGCCAACGACACGAACAGCTTTCATTATGGCGGATTCTGTTACGACACTGTTTTGTTACACCTGAGACCACCTCCATATTGCGTGTGTCGCTCCATATATACCAATCTACGGCACACGGGGAATACTGGTGAGCTCACATAGCGAGTTCGTCACTGCGCAGAAGATTGCGGGGAAATCGATCGCTCTCGATCGGCATTACTCCACACCTGACACGAACTCTTCCGGATATTGTACATACACCCGCAACCTTGGCGGCTTCGTCGCCTTCTAGAAGCGCCGGTATCGCTTCACTTCGTCGTTCGAGGACATGAGCTGCCGACTGACCTCGTCATCCTGCAATGGACATCTCGCCGGGCAGGCTCGCGAAAGGCGGTGACAAGCCTTTGCCGCGGCGCTTTGTCATCGCTATTGACGCGCATAAACGGCAGAACGGGAAGCTTGATGCTCTGACCCCTTTGGTTCACTTCGGGAACAAGATCAATTCTGTCTCTTCGCAGGTTCCTGTGATAAATCCCGTCTCGATACATACACAGAACAGGGACGCGAACCACGAAGTCAACTGACTTTGTAGGTCCTACTTGCGCAGCCGGATCGTCTCGTTCTTCCAACCTTCCAGTTTTCCAAACCCCGGCGTCTGCACTCGAGCTGCCGGTTCCGAGCGGAGAAATACATTCTCCGACTCTCCTGACTTATTAGCGTATGCTCACCAAGCCCTTCGACCCCCTCGACCCCATTCGTTGCGTATCCGTACGGGTGAGCCCGAAACTCAAAAAGTACTCTGGATGTGCACCCCATCACAGCCGAAGCATCGGACGGTGAGATGAACCAGTATAACAAGGATTGCGGCACTATCCAGCGCGGTCCCTCAATGTGCAGGGTCGTTCACTTCATTTAGGAGCTTGTCCAAATTGAATTATAAGCCACACCGCGCTGCTCCAGATCCTAGGTCATCGACATTCTTCACCACTGTCTCCCTATGGCCAGCCCGCTCCTGGTGCCTCGTCGAGGCGTGACACACGTAGGGATTATCAAGATCGACCCTGCAAATATCGACAAATTCCTACAGGCGTTCCGGGCTTGCTGGTTGGAGGTTTGCAAGGAGCCTGAATGCATATACTTCGAAGTCTTTCACTCCAAGACTGAGCCTGGCAGATTTCAGTTTGTCGAAGTATGGAACAAGGACAACGACTGGTTCATGGAGGTTCAGATCAAGAAGGACTATTATAAACCGTACTGGGACATCACGAGGCCTTTATGGGTTGATCGAGACCTCCACGAGTACGATCGGCTAAGCGGATTCAACTTTGTTGATGACAGATATCTCGAAGGCAGTGTGAAAGCCAAGGGAGAGTTGCACGAGACAAGGTCGAGCAGCTACGAGCTCACTCCTCCCTATTAGTGGACCAAAGATTGTATAAATCCTGTTTGAACTGCTTCAAGATAAAGTCTCCTCCAATTCTATACTTCCCATGGACCAGATTTAGTCTCCACATCGTCCGAAAAGTACATGGTCATGGAATTGCGATCGATGAACTGTTCCTCGTCTTCGATAGCAATTTTCGTGAACTCGGGATTCGGTTTGCTCCTTAAAGACTCGAACAAGTCCCGGTCCTTGTACCAGACCTCCATGATAACGTCGTAGCCACCCGTGGTCGTCGGGAGAGGCGAGGACATCCCGTCAATTTGTGTCAGATAGCGGCGAGAGAAGCGCAATACACCAGGCAGAGCGACATGCTGCTCAAAGAGCTTGACATGCTTGGTTTCGTAGTATTCTCGGAATGCTTCTCGAGAGATACCTGGTTTTCTCCTAAAGAGCCCGACGATCTTCAGGACTGAAGATTTGCCGTTGCTCTAGAACATGGTATCAGCCGACTCATCTGGAATGGTACAAGACAGGTATGACTCACGACTTTAGATGCTGCTGCTGCTGCCATTCTTTCGCGACTTCAATACGAGAGAGAGAGCCTGTACAATATGGTCAGCAGGCGCGTAAGAGCCGCACAAGCAGGCATGAAAGGCACCTTGACTCGAAATCCTTGTGTCGCCTTGCCGAGTTGATATTGAAGACAGTACTGGTGAGAAAGCCCAATTCTTAGCTTCACAACACTGATTTACTTCTATGTAGTCTTCCAGTCGGCGGTGCCGAGGCTCCTACGAGTGCTCTGCCCCTTCTGCGACTAGGTTTCCCCTGTAGAACGAATAGGGACAACGTCTCCAGGTACTCCCGCTGCATCGGAAGATCCTGGAGTCGCAAAAGCATAGGGGCGAATTGGGCGAACCGGGCCATCCCTAGCTGGCGCCCATGGACTCTTTGTACCCTGACTGAAAGCCAACGCTTTCTCTGAGCATGATAGTGACTACACTGGACATCAGAAGATCTGAATCTGCAACATCTTCCCTCTTTCGTAGATCTTAGATATTGGAGCTTTGAATCACAACCCAAAAACCTGGAAGCTTTCCCGAGTCTTGCAATTTGAGACCTCTGCCACAACAAGATGACAGTACTACATAAGAAGATGATCAACCTGCAATATGCACACCCGCACGGTACCCAAAGACCATTGATGGGCCTAGAGTCAGACCCCCAGAAGGATACTTCCCTCGCAAGAAGTGATTCGAGTCCGCACCCACGGCATACAGACCAGGGACTGGCTCCCCTGACTCCTTCAGCACCTGACCGTCCTTGTTCGTGTTTAAGCCATACATAGTAATGCCGTTCCCCGAGTATAACGTCAAAGCATAAAATGGACCTTTTTCGATTGGTGCTAAGCTTGGACTCGGCTTCATTTCGTGATCACCGTAAGCTTGGTCGAATGATCCGTCCCCTCGGCCAAAGTCCTCATCCTTGCCTTTCCGAGCGAAACCGTTGAACCGTTCGATGGTGGCTGAAAGGTTAGCAGGACTGACTCCGATCCTCTCTGCGAGTGCTGGAATACTTCGGGCTGTGATGAGATAGCCACGTTTGATGAGGTGTCTGATAGGATACCCTCCCGGTAGAGCCATACCCATTCCATAGTTCCGCAGATGTCGCTTATCGCCGATCAAGTAAGACACGCGGACACCAGCCTTGTGAGTCGCGCGTCCCAGGTCCTGGTATGCCGCTGCTTCGTTGACAAACCGTTTGCCGTCGCCGTCCACCATGATCGAACCTGGCTTGGTGATGGCGGTAGCGAAATGAGGATAAGAACGAGCTGGGCCCTTTGGAGAGTTCAATATCGATATGGGAGACCACAAGGCCGCATCTTCACCCAGGGGTTCCGGCAAGCTTCCTCCACTTGCGAGACCAAACCGCATGCCATCGCCCACATTTCCTCGAGGACTGACTGTGTGTTCGGGGTGTGAAAGGTATTTGCGGGCTAGTTCGGCTGATCTTGAAAAGCCGCCACTTGCGAGAATGACTCCTTTCCGTGCCCGGACTCTTATCTTCTGGCCATTCCTGCTGATCGTCATGCCGGTGACGCGCCCGTTTTCCAGAAGCGGCTCTACAGCTGCAGCATTGTTCCACAGATCGATACCAGATTTCTCAGATTTCTCTAGTAGACGACCAACCAAGGCATTGCCATTGCACAGCCTAGTCCCTTTTCCCCACCGCACTCGGTCAAAGGCGTATCGAAGCACACCTGCTGTGACGGCTGAAAAGTTCCCTAGACTTCGGAATGGTTGTCTCCAATTGTTCATCTCCAGGAGGTCAACTTGTAATGATCCAAAGGCGCAGTACCCCTGCAGCGGGTATCGCACTTGTTTGACCATACGACCCAACATTCGCCCGTCATATGGCGCATTCAAAACGGTCCTTCCAGCCTTGCAAGCACCGTCGAGATCCATGTAGTAGTCTGGCGTCGGTGCCGCGACGAACTTTGTCGCCGAGTTGGATTCCAGGAAATCGGTCATCGCCGGAGCCGCTTCAAGATAGGCTGCCACCATCGGTTTGGCAGCGTCGTAGTCTTCTTTCAGGTAGTTGCGCAAGTATGTGTCTGCTCGTTCTCTCGAGTCCTGGAAACCTGCAGACAATGACACGGGATTCATGGGCAGCCACAGAGCTCCGCCCGAGTACGCTGACGTGCCGCCAAACCATTTCGTTTTCTCGGCAACCAGGACTTCCTTGTTGCCTTTGAGACTTGCGGCCAAGGCAGCCGTTAGTCCTCCTGCTCCCGAGCCAACGACTACCACATCATATTCGGCATCGTATCTGGGTGCCTACAGTGAATTGTTAGGATTCAAATATGAGAGTTCCAGGCAGGGGCAGAATACTAACTTCGACCACAGTTGCGTACGCCGCGCAGGATCTGGGATGCCTCCTCGGTGCTCGAATACGAGAAATGCTCGGAAGGCAGAATATGAGAGATGCGCCCGCATCTAATGGTGACCCAAATTGGAGCAATGGTGGTTTTCGTAGCATCCTGAAGTCATGGATGTGCCGTATGGCATACACGAGCAAGAACAACGGTGAGAGATGTGGCAGCACGTACTAGCAGCCTTTGTAGCAACCTCGACCATCGATGTAAATTTATTCAAGGCGGACTTTATTGACAGAAGAATCAAGGAAACGTCCATTCTCCACCTTCAGAGCAACTCAATGTTGGAGGCGATCATGGAGAAAAACAAAAACCCGGGGATGGCAACCAGACGAAGCAGCGCATGAGGCCGGGGGTGGGTGGCTTGGGTGGATCCCAGCTTTGAAATCACCCCTTTTTGCTTACCCCAGATTTACCGAGATCGCTTTCCCCATTCCATTCTCTCGGAGAGGCATGGAGTAGCAACAAACGACATGGTCGATCTAATCACGGGCCTCTCCAGGACCTCCCGAGATCTTGCAAGCAGTAGTTTTGTGTCGTACAGAGTGGTTTTGTCGGGGATGAAAATTACATTCGCGGTCTGTGCGATGGCTCGCGGTAGTACCATAAAATGAGACTTTTGTGGACGCATGTATAGAGGCGCCTATGAAATCACATACCCGCCAGTCTCGCCACTCAAAAGCCTTTGGTGAGTACTGCAGTACCATAGTATCACTCATCGCCCAGGGAGTTCACCGATCACACTCAACCATGGTTCTTGAAGTGGACTTTCCAGCACCTCTGTCGGCGCATCCTTTCGAGGGCAAGGTAATCACCATCACCGGAGCAAGCTCCGGCATTGGATTAGCGACTACTCTTCTTCTATGGTCCCGTGGTGCCACCGTCTCTGCGATGAGCAACAACCCAGACGGGATGGCGGAGTTAGAGGCGGCACTTCGAGAAAAGTCCAAGACGTCATCTCTACCCGGACAGAAATTCTTCACCAAGGTCGTGGACGTCAGCAGGGAAGACCAGGTCAAAGGTTGGATTGACGAGACAATTGCCAAGTTTGGCCGCCTGGACGGTGCGGCCAATATCGCTGGGGCGGTCCACAGATACAACAAACTGGCCGACACAGTCACAGAAGACTTCGACTTCGCGATTAATATGAACACAAGAGGCGTGTACAACTGTATGCGAGCCCAGATTCCTCTCATGAAGAGCGGCTCGGCCATTCTCAACATGAGCTCAATATCAGCCACCCAAACGGAACCAGGCATCAGCTTGTACGGCTCTTCCAAAGCGGCCATTAGCACGATGAGCCTCGCCGCTGCGACCGAGTACGGATCGACAGGCATCAGAGTGAATGCGATTGCAACGGGGTTGACACTCTCTCGGCGTCTGATGAACGTCGCCAAGGAATATGTGGAGCCGGGAATTCAAGCCACGGCTCTGAAGAGGGGGGCTACGCCCATGGAACAGGCCCAGGTCATTGCATTTCTGTTGAGCGATGAGGCCAGCAATGTCACCGGGACTGTCGTGAGATGTGACGGAGGGGCCCTTGCACTGCCATACTAGCATTTGATGTCGGTCATTCGTAAATCGAGTATGATAGAATGATATGGACTCTCAAACCGGCCATCTTCAAATTCCTCTTTCACACTTTGTGACAATCACACCCGGGCGAACATCCCCTGACTGCAAGTGTTCTAGCTTCTGAGAACAAAAAGCACGGCGCGAAGTTCCACGGCGCTCTCGACACTTCATTCGAGCTTTTCCAAAGGCTACAAGCTATCAAATTGACCTTGCCTCGTCCAATAAATCGCGCAGGACATGTACGATCTAGTAGTCCCTGTACAATAGTTCTGCTTTCAGCCTATGTAGGGTTTCCACGACCTTTGACAATGAGCCGCGTCCATTCTCAAGGCGCAAGGATTAAATGTAGCTCTTGGATCTGGCTTGATGTGCACAGGCTATCTCTTTGCATCACGCCTCAACTGCCTCGATGAGGTAGCTCTCACCGCTTATCTGCGTTCGCCGAGCTCGTGACCCTCGTTGTGATCGACAGTGACGGCTTTAGATTCGGGCTCAAGATCACTCTCCGATGAGACTGCGATGGGAGCATCGACCTTCGCGTTGAACTCTGAACGTGGGTTGGTCATAAACGCAGTGACTGTTATCGAACACATCAGCAAGAGTCATCTTTTGCACTGGGAGGGTCTGAACTCACTTATGATGCCCACAGCCATGAATGCTGCTCCACAAATGAAGACATTTCTGAACGAGACTACGTATGCTTGCTTGACAGCCAAAACAGCTGCAGCGATGATCTCGGGACTGATACCTGGGATCTTTTCTGCCAATGCGATGTTTCCCGAGGTCAAGGCACCAATCAGCGTACCGATGTTCGCTCCCTCCAGACCCAGCGGTACGACGGCGTTGGTGACCTTTGGAGCTAGGTTGCTGGTGAGTGTGCTCGCAAAGATTGCGTTGATAATCGCCAGTCCAACTGAGCCGCCCAAGCTGCGGACGCCAGTGCAAATTCCAGTAGTCGTGGCTATCAGCTCGGGAGGTGTAGCGAACTGTGCAGCTGTGAAGAAAGTGACCAGGGCGAGGCCCAAGCCTGAGCCGTAGAATAGAATGTAGCCCCAGTAGTGGGTCGAAGGAGTGTTCTCGTTGACACTGGCCATGAGACACATGAAGATGAGAAACAGAACAAATGTCCCTACGCCAGTCACTCTGACCGACCTCGTCTTGTAGATATAGAGCCCCGAGAGAAAACAGGCAACGCCAAAGGCACAGAAACCGACCATCTGGCACAAGTATTGTCTGTAGGTGCTTAGCTGACCTGCCTGAAGCACGGAGAGTGCGTAGGGGAAAAAGACGGCCGCTGTCATATAGCCCATGCCCTCGAGGGCAGAGCCGACGACGGAGATTGGAAAGTTGCGGTGCTGGAACAGAGCATGGTGAAAGAGGCCGTCCTTCTTGAACTTGGTGGCGTAGACAGCTAGGATGCAGAGAAGTACAACACCGACGAGAAGAGGTGCGAGGACATGGGCATTCTTCCAAGGGTAGGGATTCTCCCCATACAGAAGGCCCAAACAGAGTAGAGTGCATCCAGTCCCAAGAAGAAAATATGCCGGCCAGTCCAGAGCAGCGACCTTCTCCCTGAAGCTCAGATACTGAAGTTCCCTCGTTGGCGGGTTGTAGAGGAGGAAGACGAGAACAACAGCAACAGCGTAGATACCTGCGCAGATGTAGAAGTAGATCCGCCAGCCGCCATCACGCGAGCCGACCAAGTAGCCACCCACTGTCAGAGCAAAGATGGAGCCAAGCGCGTTCATGATGTTTGCTGAGGCTTGGGCCCAGGACCGGAAGCGCCGGGGAAGGACTTCAGAGATGACCGCGAGAATGAGGCCTTGTGCACCGAAGCAGATGCCTCCAACGCAGAATCCGGCAATATACATTCCCATTGACGTTGCGCGGGCAGAGATGATGGCACCAGCTATGCCACCAATGTTAGGAATAATAAGGATCCACTTTCTGCCCCAACTGTCCGGGGTATATTAGCATGAGTGGCAGGTATATGGTGAGGACAGAGAATCGGGAGTGTAGGACTTACTAATCGGAGGCCTGGGAAAGTGGTGCGGCGAGGGCAACAGTGAAGATGATCACTGCCAGTGATGGCCATGAAGTGAGACCGAAACCGCCAATTTCAGCGGCAACACGCTGGGCGAAAGTCCCACCACCAACCAGGATGATCAGTTCACAGAAGAACAAACTGAGGACCGCCTTTTCATGCCGTTATTAGCCACTGTCGTTGCGTACTACATTTGCCAGATGGAGGACTTACTCCGACGAGCGCAAATGTTTTGGCATGATTCCAGAGGGTGGTACCTCCCTCACTCTCAGTGGTGTCAACATGGGTAGCCGGCATGGTTGAGTAGACAGAAGATTCTTGCTTGGATATGGCCATCTTCTTGGTACCTGGAGGGTGAAGTCGCTTTTGATAGTGAATCGGTATGAAAGGTGGGAAATCTGGGGATCGTGTGAGATTGTCACTTTCATCTTTATACACGGAACGTGGGTCTAGATGTTCAGATATGAACTCTGTTCAATCTGGACAATATCAGTACAACTGTCAGCAGGACTGGTCGTGTCTAGTTCATCGGAGGTCGAGGGACCTGGGGACCCCGGACCCCATCACCATCCGTGTGTACCGTGTCCCTGGTCCCTGGAAGCCTAATATGCAACTATTCGTGGTTTTATAATGGATGCTGTCTCGTATTCGCACGGAGCGCGGAGTGGTTAGGTTTGGTGCGAAGTTTTCGACCTGTCGTGGTAAGACGCGGCCCTCCTAGCAATGATTCCAGGCGCGATAGACCCTCTTCTGGGCTTTTCCACCGGAAGCTGCAGCTTTCCACCGGCTTTGGAAGCGATCGAATGCGTGGGGATGTCTTCACAAACACGTTCTCACATTCCAACTTAAGGTTGTCAACAGGCTCACATGGATTCAAATGTCGAAGTAAGATCGCACTCACCTTCCCGCGTTTCTCTCGAGTCCAAGCCATGGATCCGCGGTGCAGAGTGAACGTCTGGGCCAGGCCCGGACTCGCGGATGCGACCAATCTACTGTACCTGCGGTTTGGGTAAGTCCAGCTTCCCTGGCATCTGCTCCTTCCTTCGCTTCCCCACGATTCGTCTGAGACGCGCAGAAGCATGCAGGGCGCGCGCTCTCACTGCATAGTGGGCAAGCATTGCCAGTGGAAAGTCTAAGCCACCTCGGTGTCGAGAGCGACTCTAGACAAGCCGCTCGGTCTCGGTGGAGGAACCTTCGAGCTCTTGCCACCGAGTTCTCACCAAAAAGGCTCTCATGCGCCGCGGCAGATTGCAATGATGGAACTAGTGGATTCTCTGTGTTCGACAATAGTGTAGCCCATCAGGAGCACTACGTGCATAGAGTAGGAAGGGATCAAGAGGCGTTGTCTCACTGTCGTGGTAACAAGCTAATAATATTAGTCAGCTCTGTTGTTGGGGCACAACTTGCCCCATGAGGGCCGAGTGGAGTCATTCGTTCTGGGGTTTGAACAGTAGCATTATTTCCCCCTATCTCCGGGCTTTCGGTATGGGGGGACTCGTGCCTGGAGTGACGCCTGAACGCTAAAAGCTGAGACGAACCGACAACTTGGCGTCCAGCCATTATGTACACTTTGCGAGAGGCTGTACGGGCAGCGGGGATTTTCCGAGACATCTTGTAACAACGACCAACGTTTGAACCATGGCACGAGCCATTAGCGAACCTGTAAGTCGATGTTGGCTATGATTGTAGGTATTCGTTCAGTGCTGATGGGCCACTCCAGAAGGACCAGCCGACGACTGTGAAGGTTGTAGGCCTATTCAAGCGGAAACCCGGACTGTCGATGGAAGAGTTTAAGAACTACTATGAGAATCATCACATCAAGCTGTTCGACGAACACGTCTCACATCCTGGTGTCCTGCGATACGCGCGTCGATATTTGGAGCCTTTTGCTGGGCTAGCCTCGCCCTTGGCAGGCCCAAAGACTGGAGGATATGATGTTATCATGGAGGTGTGGTATTCTGACAAGGATCTGTTTGACTCTTTCAAGGGACAATCCAATCCTGACTTCAGCGAGATTGTGAAAAAAGACGAGGAAAACCTGTTCGATCGTGAATCAATGGTGATGTTCATTTCAGAAGACCATGAAAGCAAAGACGGGCCTTGGGTCATCTGAGAATGGGCAGAGGATCCTTGAGACGACCACGTTGCGGACTCATGATCTCATTCTCGTCGACGATAGAGTCTAGCATAACTGAAGTAGACTACTCAAGGCGTCAGTCCACCGTCAATTGTGTAGACTGCCCCAGTAGTGAATGATGCCTCGTCACTCAGCAAGAAAGCTATCAAAGCTCCGACTTCTTCTGCTTTACCTATTCGGTTGATAGGCGACTTGTGGTCACTGTCGCCTATGTGGACTTCTCGAGCTGCATCCAGCATTTTCGTATCGACACTCCCTCTGTCGTATTCATTAGTGATCACATAGAATTGAGCATATTCTGACTTTGAACAGAGGTACTTACGGCGCGATAGCGTTCACTCTCACGCGGCGGTGCCCATTCTCGACCGCAGCGACTCGAGTGAGTCCAATGACAGCATGCTTACTCGCAACGTAGGATAACGCTTGAGGGATACCCATCTTTCCTGAGACACTTGCAGCGTTCACAATTGAGCCTCCGTCCTCAATGTGCTGTAACTGTGCACGTTGACAGGCCATGACACCTTTGACGTTGATTTTCATGACCAGGTCGAAATCCTGATCGGAGACTTCATGTGCGCCCTTTCTTCCGAACTCCGTGCCAACTATTCCAGCAAGGTTGACACCCCCAGAGAGCTTGGAGAAGTGCTTGACGGTAGCTGCGACCCATTCATCAACCTGATCGGAGTTTGTAACATCGACAGTCGTCGCAAGCACCTCGGTCTTATAGTTTTTGGAGATTTCTTCCGACAAGTGCTGCAACTCAGCCGCGTCTGTGTCGGCCAGAGAGAGGTATGCTCCTCGCGAAGCAAGTACGTGAGCCGTGGCGGCTCCGATACCTCCTGCTGCGCCAGTAATAGCAATGACTTTATCTTTCAGGCTTGCCATGTTGTTCGGTGTATGACATCACAGAGTGGCAGATCGAGCAAAAGAGCGATGATTCCCGTGGTGTATGGATGTACTTCTTCACACTGTGACGCGCACACGAACAGACTCAGGTCGGACTGATGTGAAAAACCTCACCACAATGTGGGACCCACAAGACTCGGGTATCTGGCTCGCCGGGTTGCTGAGAGTCGACATAGACTTGCCGTAATAGATGCTTCGTTCATGGTCTACCCGTCGCAGATCTCGTGCGAGCGATGAATTGATGCGTGGAGGCATGTTTCCTTTCCACCCAGCTCTCCGAAATCCTTCGGCCGACCCTGAGCAGAACTCAGCTTGGGGATCCCCCTTACAAAGTCCTTGGAACTCACGGTGACCCTCTCCAAGCGTCGGCGACTAAGATTGCCCCAGATTAGTCTCCATGTGTTACAATTGCCGAAGAAAGGTGATTCTGGGCCTGAGTCCTTGAGAACAAACTGAGTTCGGTAGTGAGTATCCAGATACTTACGCTTACCCCTTTTGCACCCGAAAAGAGGAGTGCAGATCATCGAACGGGATTAGAGTCTCATGTAAAGCCTAGTCTTTGTTCTCACAACGGAATCAACACCGTCTTTCGATCATATGCATTATCTACGCTTTTTGACCATTTATTCCGTCCGTGAACATTCAGAAGGTGAAGCAATTACCCAAGACCGACCTCGAGGTTCATCTCGTCAGAACAGCCGAGGCCTCAGCCTGAAATCATTGCCATCATGGGGCTGTTGATGTTGGCTCCTGTCATCTTGACGGTTGGCTTCTTGATCTACTCCATTGCTCGTATAGGAAGAAGAGGTCGAAACTTCCCTGATGGTACGTTTACAGAGGATGACTGGAGAAATGTTTGACAAGAACTAACGAGAGAGAAAAAAGGCCCACCTACATTGCCAATCGTCGGTAACTTGCATCAGATGCCTTTGAATAAGCCATATTTGCAGTAGGTGCCAAAGCTTCCTTGACAGCCTCATTGAGATGATTCCATACCAACCAAACCCACAGGTTTACAGAATGGGCTAAGCAGTATGGAGGGATGTACAGTCTGAAGCTGGGTCCTGGGACCGCTGTCGTCCTCACGGATAGACGCATTATCAAAGAGCTCATGGACAAGAAGGCATCGGCCTCGAGCAATCGGCCCGTGTCCTTGGTCACGCAGCATCTCATCACCGAGGGAGACCACATGCTCATGATGGACAACTCCCCGAGGTGGCGCATGATGCGTAGACTGATCCATCAAGACTTGACAGAGTCCCTCTGCGATCGGGAGCACAGCAAGATTCACCAAGCTGAAAGTGTCCAACTTCTCTACGATGTCCTGTATTCATCCGATGAATGGGTACAGCACCTCAAAAGATTCAGCAACAGCATAATCATGAGTATCGGTAAGTCCAGGTACAATAATGGTTGGAAAATGCACTGTTTGACTAACGCTTGCGTCCTCGCTTGCCTGAATAGTGTACGGAATCCGATCACCGTCAACTGACGCACCGTGGACCAAGGGACTGAACGACATCGTCGAGCTGTGGGCTAGGATTACCGAATTTGGAGCCACTCCGCCTGTTGATTTGTTTCCATTTCTGAAATTGGTTCCTCAAAGATTCCTCGGAAACTGGGTAAGCCGCTCAAAGACTGTTCATGACAAGGTACACGCCCTTTATGGAGGTCTACTCGAATCTGTGAAAGAAAGACGAAGGACGACCGGGCCAGTGGACTGCATCGCGGACCGATTATTGGAACAAGAGGAGAAACACGGTCTCTCGGACCACAACGTCATGCTTCTGGCTGGTGTCACACTCAAGGGGGGCTCAGACACCTCCGCTTCGACCCTGACTTCCTGGATGCAAGCGATGGTCCTCTACCCCGAAGTACAGAAGAAGGCCCAGGCCGAGATAGACGCCGTCGTGGGAGACAAGCGAATACCGACGTGGTCCGACTATAAAGACATGCCCTATCTCGCCACCATGGTCAAGGAAGCGATGAGATGGAGACCAACGGCACCACTGGGATTCCCCCATGCACTATCAGAAGGTAAGTCTCTACCTCGGAGAGTCGAATTCGTGAAGTCAACTGTTTGTGTACTTCTACTGACTCTTCGTCTCCCAGATCAATGGATCGACGGGAAGTTCCTTCCCAAAGGAACAGTGTTGTTCGTGAACGTCTACGGTTTACATCAAGACGAAACCAAGTTTCCGAACCCCAACACCTTTGATCCCGATCACTATAAGGGAAGGACATTACTAGCGGCAGAGTACGCAAACTCTGCAGATTACGAGAATCGTGATCACTATGGATTTGGTACGTCAAACCTCCCATGTCTGTCGTGGACACAGTGACAGTCCCAGGGTCTTTCGCTGACATGCTTGTTTCTGCAAACTTTAGGCAATGGTCGTCGACTGTGTCCGGGAATACATTTGGCTGATCGAAATCTCTGGCATGCCATAGCAAAACTACTTTGGGCCTTCAACATTGAACCCAAGCTGGACACTGAAACGAACAAGCCGATTCTACCTGACTCAAGCGTAGAGACAGGTTACAGAGAGGGTCTGACCATGTGCCCGTATGACTTCCCGGCGAAGATCACCGTCCGGTCCGATTCAAGACGACAACTGATCTTGAAGGAGTATGCGGACGCGAAAGCAGACTTCTTTCCCAAGTATGAAAAAGTTGCTCTGTTCGAGCGGTGAACATATGAGGAAGGAATATGTACTCAGAGCGACCGAGCAGAAGAGAGGTGGTGGTGGCTGGTAATAGACATTTGGCTCGAAGGAGCACATGAAAAAACATTACAGGATAAGTGAAGAACTTTACGCTGATGGGGCTAGTTGGATCGGCCAACATTTTTCATATCAGAAAATCCTTGGCATGCTATATGTGGAGCATTCGTCAATTTCATCTAGTCTTATATGAGCGCCGTTATACCATGATCTGCCTTGATGACGGCCCCGGTCAAGGCAGATGAGCGCGTTGACGCCAGAAAGACGACCAAATTCGCCACCTCTTTCGTATCGGAAATGGGAGTTTCCAAAGCCTCCACCACAGCGTCCAACATCTTGGAGCCTTCTTGATGTAAACCTTGCGTGTTGGCCATGTTCGTGACGATGTCCGTGTTCATCCCTCCCGGCATGACCAAGTTACACCTGATGCCCTTGTTTCTGTAAAAAGCCGCGATGGACTTGGTGAGGCCCCTGACGGCGTGCTTACTGGTGGTGTACGCCGCACCTCCACACCATCCGTGCTCACTCGCCAGTGAGCCTATGTTGATGATCGATGCATCCGTGGCAGATCTACTCAGGAAATGGTTGATGGCGGCCTTGCTCAACAGATATGGTCCTGTGACGTTGACGGTGAGGACTTTTGACCAAAGTTCTGGACTGATCTCCCCCACTGGCTCCAAGCGATCGAAAATGCCGGCACAATTGACGAGAACGTCGAGCTGACCGAAGTGCTGTACCGTCTTGGATATCAACGATTCCACAGCCCCGGCATCCGAGACGTCAGCGGGCAGAAACAAGACAGATTCTTTTCTCTGCTGGAATTCTGCGGTTACGGAGTTGAGTGTCTTTTCATTGAAGTCAGTGACAACTACGTTCGCGCCTTCGGCTAGTAGGGCGAGGGCGATCGATTTGCCTAGACCTCCTGCTCCTCCCGTGACCAGGCATGTTCGTGCAGAGGTGGTCTTGGCAGCAGATGCCATGGTGTACATTCAGGGGATGAGAGTGGTGATGGATGTTGGGATCGGAGATGCCCCTTTGCTAAGCAAGGCACTTTTTAATCTGTCTTTGTACGCCCTAGTGAACATGAAGGTTGTTCGAATGTTGTACTAGGCCTCCCTAGCAAGACGACGCGGCTATGGCTGGGGTACTAGCGGGAAGGGCAGCGTCGCAGGCTAGAAAAGACATCTTTATGGAGGTTGACTCCGAGAAGGCTTGACGATGATTAACATCTTCATTGGCCTTGTGCCGATGAGGGTTGCTGTTGCTGTCTGTGTCCCGTAGTCGTCGGTTGAACTGACTCGGAACTCTCAACAATGGGGTGCTCAGCCGGGGTCAAGTCGAGCTGAACGGAGGAGTGGCAAGGCCTCGGGATGTTCGATCCACGTTCTGGAGAACACTGTACAGACTAAAGAAGCCCGGTACTGTGTGGATACCTCGCCTCCCATCACATTTCCCACTCCCCTCCGAGAGCTCGGGTTGGTATGGAGAGAGTAGGTATGGCCTCGTAGGTCCGTACTGGGTTGCTAAAGCGACTAACCTTTCCGGAGAGCCCTGATACAAATTGATCCTGTCCCAGAGCAGTATCCACATTGGTCACATCGACAAACGGTACTTGGTTGATTCACAACACTTCTCCCCCATCACCGGCGCTATAGCACACACCGAGCTGCATACCTCAACGACAGTTCGCGACCGAGAACGAAAATGACTTACATCACGATGGTTGCCTACCCGTTTGTGGCTGACGCCAAGTTCAATTTGCAGTATTACACCAACAACCACATGGAGCTGGTCTCCAAGCACTGGAAGCGGTATGGACTTTTGGATTGGAAGGTCGTCACTTTCGATGCAGCTCCAGATGGGTCAAAACAGTACAGTGTTGCGTCGACCATGACATGGGAGTCGGCTGAGGGATTCCAAGATGCAATGAAAAGCGAGACTGCTGCCGAGCTTGCCGCAGACATGGAGAACTTCTCTGATCGTCCACCTGTATTCTTGATCGGTAATGTTGCTGCCTCGGGGTAGATAACCTCCAAGGCTGGATGACCTGCGTCTGCAAATGGTATATAGCGTGGGATTTGATCTGAAGTGACAATCACTAAAGGACGAGAGTCGAGACAGAAGAAGATCGCCATGATTCCACAAGTGTAACTCGGAGGGTGACATGGAGACCTCTTTAGAAAATGCTCATCTATGTGCATGTTTCCATAAAGTTTGGCCCTTATTCCAACGTCTCCCCGGCTGATCGTGCTCGTCGAAGATAGCTGTGCAAGTCTCACCACTCAACGAACCTCATTAAGAAGCCGGGCAAGGAGCTGAGCGATGTGCACTTTGTGGGCAAGTAGAATCAGCTCGCCTCTAGCTAGTTGAGCTCGTTCTGAGAGGGAAGATTTTGCCAAGTGCGGCGCTGTGAAAGCACCAGCCCAAAGAACCAGACTGGCATAGTAAACAGCATAAGGCACGTGTGGTGCTTCGAACGCTAAGCCTGCCAACTCCAGGGGCAGCGACGATGTTCGAGCTGAGGCACACTGGGTTTGTCTTGCGGCCGACGCCTCGATCAGGGCAGCTTCGACACTGGAAATCATATTCTCTGCATGCCACTGAGCAGTTGTGTAGTGCTTGTCTTTCGTCCATGCATGGATCTCTCTTGCAGCCAACCCTCTTTCCGCGTCTCGTGCTGCCGATCCAGGTGCAGAGTGCGCGAAATTCTGCAAAACAGTTAAATTCGAATGTAGTATAATGCCCATCATGTGATACATAATAAGGTGAGATAGGTTTTCGGGTCGGTGAATCGTACGAAGCCAGGTGTCACAGGCTAACTCTGCAAAATCGGCTCTCCATACGAAGAGGTCATCGGACGGATGTTTCTCGGTACCGTAACCGTTTTGCTGGGGGTATGTCGCAGGCCATACAAAAGAGCTCAGAGATGCCAAACTCGTCAAACCGAAGGTGATGTTTTGGCCCAGGTCGACCGTATGGCCGCCGCCCACTAGGCCAGCTATCACGCTGTGAAGCTTAGATATGCGACTTCGATTCGTGGGCGTACGTAGGAACGATTCGCTGTATTTTCGTGCCAGGGAAGGCGGTCGCTGCAGGATGATAACTCGATAGCAGTCAAGGATATGTAGAGCTTCGAGAAGACTTCGTGGATCGGTCAGTATGTGGTTCACACAAGGATGAACCTTGACCCACCGGGTATTATCTTTGTCGACGTCGTCTGCGTGAGGACACCGTTGACATGCTTTGCTGTATTCCTGAACAGACTATAACGATTGTTAGTCAGACCGGAGGCTCAGAGTGTGGGAAGAAGAGCATACATGAATAAGATTGCCATGGAATACCTCGACGAATTCGTAACTTCTCTTATCACCGCTGCAGAGACCGTACAAGGCCAACAAGACGAACTGTTGAGAATTAGTCGTGCTCATGAGCCATATGACATGGACAGACTGTTTTCGCCACGATAAACTTATCCAATCGACTTGCAGAAGACTTGTCTGAATAGCTCTGTGCGTTGATCTGTTATGTATCAGTAACCACCATGCTAGACGAAAGATTATCGACGTACAGTTGAAAGAACCATCCGCCGAGCATCGTCATACATTGACTTCGCAACTTGTGCGCTGCCAGGAGTACCGCAAAACAGTCCACCAGTGGCAGCTAGAGCGAGCGTTAATGCTGGTTGACATTTGGAGCTGGTCGTAGCTGTATCTTCAAAAAGAGAGAACGTCTTCGGAATATGCCTTCTGAACACGTTGTGAAACACTCTGATGATGTCCCTGTTATGGTTTTCGAGAAGTGGAGCAGCCGAATACCATATTTTGCTAGCTTTAGCAGGAGAAGGCGATGACGGCCGCGATCTTCGGTCAAAGTATTCTTGCATCATGGCAGTCAGGCTGTTCAGCGGAGACGGCATCTCATGGTCAAGCAATGGCGGATTTGCTTCAAAGAGGTCGTCGTTCCAGTCAAGTTCGGATTGATCGAACCAAAATTCACTATTCTGCAGCTAGTCAGTCATTTGACCAATACTAGAGGTAGAGAAACGTGCCATGAAAGGGACTTGCCAAAAGTCATCCACGCCACCAGTAGCAGTATCTGGGAGCGGGTTGAAGTCATGGCGATGGAAATCGGGCGCCCGGATGGACTGGTCAGCATCTACTCCGTTAAAGTCAGGGAGTGCTCCAGGCCGGACAAGAGGTACACTCTCATTCAGAGTCTGCAAGGGATCAATGATCGAGGTGATGTTGAAACCAGTGCTGCCGGGAGGATTCTCGCTCGTTGCTGAGTTCAGGTGATCATGTGGCCAAGAATCAACAAGACTCATTGTACCACGGAGCTCATCGTTTCTAGTACTGGTACTGTGAGGCGGAGAGGGCAAGTTGAGCGCAACTGCCGAAGGCGGTGGCTGATACTCGCAATGAGAATTGGATGCTCGACAAGTCCCACACGGCTCTGTGGCGTCGCATCGCAATTTTCGGCGACGGCATGTTGAACAGGCGACGCGGACACGCTTGCGCTCGCTAGGGTCCAGATCGTTGTCCGGAGTTGCGAGACATTTCTTGATATGCACATCTCTGGCGTCGCACCGCTGAAAGGGACGGCCACAATGCGGGCACGGATACGGCTTTTCTTTGGTGTCTGCTTTCTTAGCTTGCTGATGGTAAATTGGCTGATGGGGGTCCTCACGTGTCCGGCGATGCCTTACCAAGTGCTCGGATCGTGCGAAGCACCGGGAGCAAATGTCACACTGATCATAGTTACACTTTGGTTGATTGAGGGGAAACGAAGGTTAGGAAGGAATCCTGGCCGCAGAAGCCAATTGCAAGCATACCTTCTTGTCTTTCCTGGTACTCATCATGATAGCTTGACGGCTCCTAAGTTCTTCCAGTGTCAGATTCTCGTATCGAAGACGAGAAAATGAACAGATTGTAGTCGGATCTGAATGGGGTTCTACCCCGCATTACCCACTAAGCACAACCCGGGGTATCCGGACAGCTGGGGTCAAAGGGCAAATTTTTCACCTGACTGACCATGCCTTATTGATAGTTAGCACTCTACGAGCATCAAATGAATGCGACTCCAAGATGATAGCTGCATTGGTTATGAGCACTGGTAGAGCTGACAATGCAGCCAGCGCAGCAATACCCAAGATCGCTCAACCCGAAACAATGGCCAGGCGAGCGTGAGCCGACTCGATGGGATGTACGCGAAGCCAATGAGAGCCTCGAAGCAACATTTCTCGAGCGCTTCCGGGTCGCTCTTCTTCACAGTGAAGGCTCTGACGACGATGCCTCGAGTGTGCCAGAATCAGCCGAAGACAGCTCAGCGGATCATTCACCGGTGAGTGAAGATTCCCAAAACCAGACTTCAAAGGCTGAGATGTACACGACAGGATGTCCAAGCATGTAACTACCCCATGATATTACTATCAGAGCACCCAGCCTATCCGCCGGAACATGAGCTGCTGCACCTACAGGCGCAGTTTCAGACAACATTTAAACGACATATCTTCATCGATACTATAGATCTTCTAAATTCTCCCATGTCTGCACTACCACCGTATCTTCAACTCGCAATCTCGTGTTTATCATCCGCAACGTCGCCGCCGGAGGTTTCAAGCCTGTACGCCATGGGAAATGAGATGAGGGAAGTGGAAAAATCCTCCGACCTCTTTGTTGCTGGTGTCAATCTATGGTCTGTCATGCTAGAAGTTGATAATCGAGAAGCGCGACTCGTGGAAGCTGTGGTAGCAGCTTCGTTCCTGGCTACTTATGGGCAAATGTCAGTAGGCTGGTACAACTGGCGGAAGGCGTCCACAATACTCTGTAATGCAGTCACTGTGCGTCCCGACACCCGCCGCCTCCTCCTCAGAATCGTGAGCTGACAAAAGTGCACAGATATCGAGGCGCTTACACCTGACCGACGAGGGTTCACCACTATTCTCGTCCAGCGAATTGTCTAACAAAGACGTGTGCATGAGAAGGTTGGTGCGTCCACTGATCCGTCATGCGTCTTGACTGAGTTATGCAGTGCGCTTGTTAGCTACATGTTCCTCATCGACACTCTGCAAGCCACTCACTGTGGACTGGCTGCAAACTTTTCGACCCGTGAGCTATTCATCAAGATGCCTGGTTCGAGCCATCAGTTTCGTACGGTCTACCACTGTCTGTTGCATGGAGACCAAATCCCACAAGACGTACGCAACAGAGCAGATGCTCTTCTACTGCTCACGGCTCTTCTGAGTGATATTGTATATGCACAACGATCGCTCCAGTCGACGTCCTTCACCGGCAATGGAGCAGCAGGGCACACTGGTCTCAAGCCCCGGAGTCCGTTCACCCCGTTATCAGCATCTTCCGAATTTTCTCGGCTCAACGAAGCCATGACGGCTGCACTTTCGCGATGGGAGCGCCTCTTCGAGTCACACGTTAGCAACGATATTGTCGCCTTGCACTTGTTTTGCAAGTTACAGCTCATTTGTCCCGACACCTGGAAACTGCCACAGATGGCAGGTTACGGCGAGACACAACCAACTAGCCAAGACTTTCGCCCCTCGGAACCTTTCCAGGTCCCGGACAAAGCTGCGACACTGGCTTGGCAGATTTTGGATTGTTGCCACAAAATACCTCCAGAGAGTAGATTGTCTGTCTGGTTGCCAGTGATTGTATTCCTCAGTGCATTGGTGGTATGGCAAAGGTTGCGCACAGAACCTGTCTCTGCTTCGCAGTATGGGACACTGAGAGTTCTGGGTTTGTTCAGCAAGGAGATTGCAGGCTATCATTGGCCTTGCAGCATCACAATGATTAAAACCTTGGACGGGCTGGTGGGGGTCTGACCAACTTCGACCGTCAGATCGGTCTTTTGATTTCCTCTACAGAGCATGCCTTTCGATCAAGGCGGTGGAATACTGGCGCGAGAGCGGCTCATCTGGCTAGTACACTTTTCGACGCCCTCCAACGGCGACGACATAAGAGAAGGAATATTCCACAAGATATGCACATCGGAGTATGGAAGTACCCGGATACAGAGTGTTCAAACGAGGCTCTGTATCAGATCACTGAGAACAATAGCGGGAACAGCAAATCATATTATGCCGATGGACCTATCCCCTCGAGGCTGCGGAGTCGCGCTGCTCGTGTCAATCGGGTGAACCAGTCCTTGATCACTGGTGCTGCATCAGGACGGGTAGCAACGACTGGATGAGGAACAAGTCGACGGGACAGGACGCAGGACTCTGCATGTCTATAAAGCGGCGACGATCAAATTATCGATGATACGGGATGGGTTGGCCGCAGGCGGTTCAGGCTGCCATTTCATCATCACTGCCCACATGCGCAGGTTGAGACAAGAGGGGATCCGACCTCGGGATCGCTTTCGATCGGCATTGGCCCCACCCTTGCACGGCCTCACACGAATTTCTCCGGCTGTGGAACCCACAGCTGCAATCTTGGCAGCTTCTTCGTCTCCTAGAGGTGCCGGTATCAGAATAGCCGTCCAAAGACAGGGCTTGCTAACGGAGGCCCATCTTTCCAAGCTGCAATGGACCTTTCGCCGAACAGGTTTGCGATCAGTGTAGGCACTGTCATTGCTCGACATGCATGAACGGCAGAAAGGTGGACTCGATGCTCTGGTCATTCCTTGTCACCTTGAGAAGAAGAGTAATGCTATCTCACGGTCTTTTCACCAGCCTTTACAGTCAGTTCAGTCTCATTGCATACACTCACAGAACCTGGAGCCAGGAGTCGACCAACTTCGCCGCCTTTGATATTAGACACCGTGGAGTAAAGAAGCAACCACTTGCGCTGGCCCTTGTCACGCATCATGCTGTCTCTCTGATGTCAGAACTTCCTCCACGACCGCTGCTACGCTCTTCATTTCGATGCCCAACAAGTCATTCACAACCCTGTCCTTCTCGTCCGCGTCAAAGTCCTGCTGCATGTTCGGCAAGTTGCTGAAAGCGGTCGCCTGTGCTAACCTGACCGCGGCGGCATAATCGCCCGTCGCAAGTGCTTTCTGAGCTTTGGCGACCTCATCCTCGGTTGTCACAGGTTCCACATTCCACTTCTGCCGGGTCTGTCCTTCCAGGACGTTCAGGACTTCGCGCTGCGAGGCCGTTACCGAATGCGCGAACACGTATCTGTTGGCGGTCTCTGACGGGTGCTGGAGAACGCCGACGACTGCGTTGCCGAGGTCTGCCACTGTGATCGCCGAGTATCTTGTGTCACCTTTGTCCCATAGGGTGACGTGGCGCTTGGAAATATCGAAGTCGAGGAAGCCGGCTTTGAGTCCCTGAGAGTCACACGTCAGCCATGTACATATGCCTCAAACGTTATCGCAACCCACCCAGTCGAAAAGCGGTCCCGTCCCAAGCCCGGTCCAAGTCAGACCCTTCGCCTCCTTGCTTTTCAGGTATTCTAAAACCTCATGCTTGGTCTTGAAGACCGGAACCAGATCCCTCACAGCCTTTGCATCTCCGTTCATGCTCATCTCGCTCGGCAGAAAACGCTTGACTCCAGCGGCGACCGCTGCGTCGATCATGACCTTTTGCTCGCCGAAGGCAACGGCACCGACGGTGGACACGACCGCATCTTGGCCGGTGAAAGCCTTTGTCAGGCCTTCGAGGGTGTAGTCGGCGCGGAGAGTCTTGACGTTGTTGGCGTTAGTGGGCTTGCTGGTGCTGGAGGAGCGGCTGAGGATGGTAAGGTTGAAGTTGGCGGCTAATGGAGCGATAAGTAAAGAACCAACGTTGCCAGTCGCCTGTGATATGGTGTTAGGGGATGGGAATCTTCCAATGGGAACTTAGTCACTTACACCAACGAGGATGACGTTCCTGATTTCGGATGTTGCAGACATGTGCGGCAGCGATCGTAGGTTGGTTGTAGGTTCTGAGGTTCAAGGGAGTCCCTTACGGTGGAATATAAATGTTTGGATGCTGTCAGTGTCTTCGACGATGCCAAAGAGTAACATCTTATAATGATTTCTACAGCACTCATCGACAGCGAGATGACTTGTCAGCCGCATTTCGAGATCGTCGCGTGTTACAAAGCACATGCCCTTGAGTTTCGATGATCGGCAGAGTTCAAACCGTACCTGAACAGAGTGGGAGCGAAGTCAATTCGTGATTGCCGCTCTCCGTCCTCCGCTCTCCGCGCTCCGTTTTCCGCTGTCCGCAGGCTGACTGACTGACGTCGTAGCTTGCTGACTGATTCGATGTTCTTCTAGCTGAACTTCGCTCTGCCCTTCGTCATGTTCGTCCTAGACAATCGTGCCAACGACCAACTGCTTCTGATATATCAATGTTGTTCACGCGCCTGCAAATGCATTCGATAATTTCATGGAAATTGTGCCCTTTGCGCTGCAAGTGCCAGAACGATCCTGGGAATAACACCAGTTTTGAGGAAGGAGCAGTCCAACAGTCGAGTTGAAAGCGACCGCCATGATCCGACTCACCTGGCCAGTTATGCAACCATTGACCACCTTGGACGTGTTCCCGGTTGATGGACCGCAGTGCCACAACGGACTCCCCGGCTTCACGTGCCTTCAATCGAAATTACCATGATTCGGATCGAGCTCCATGATTCATCTGAAGTGAAGTGGTGTTGCAGTCCAGCTTCATGGCTACGGCTACGATTAGTGACTCACCCAAGTGACAGGGTTGATGCAATTTCTAGCGCCTTCTGGCAGCCTTCTCGTTGCCAGGCCAAAGCAATCCTCTATTGCACACCATGCGAATTCCTCAGCCTTGTCTCTCCGGCTGAAGTCGCAAACTTCTCTAACATGGGAGTAGCTCAATTTTCTCTTCTCCAGATTCTACGATCCTAACGACTTCTGCGCCAGCACCTTAGATATCTTCGGGGCGCGTACCAGGTAAGCAGAGTCTTTCTGCAAGACACTCAAGCTAATGATTCCAGAGGCGCCAGGCTTTTGCATACCGGGATTGAGTACGTCGACGACAGCTACGATGGCGGAGTCACCTCCAATGCCTGAAAACCGCACCTGCGTCATGTGTCCGCGTCGAGGCGAGAAGGTCTGCAGTGGCTGCAAGACTGCGAGATACTGCTCCAAAGGTGAGCCGCCACACGTCCTCGCGACCAATAAGGACATTGCACTGAGTACTGCATAGATTGCCAGAAGCTCGACCACAAGAATCACAAGATCTTCTGCGGCAAGGCCGAGACACTCAGACCAAGTAAAGATCATTTCAGAGCCCTCTTCTTCCCTGGCGGCGACGCTCTTCCAAGATTTGAGTGGATCTTGGATCCTAATTACGCTCTTCCCAACCTCTTCGGTGATCGTGGCATAGACGTCAGGAAGTTCAAACACAACACCATTCAAGCACGCGATATTGGCATTGGTACTGCTGAGGGCCTCCAGTTCTTATAATGCTAGATCTGGTGACAGACGATCCACCGAATCTCGCAATGCGTGCTTTCACTCGCGGTGGCACTGCTGCGTGGAACACTCGGGGTCCCTGGCTGATCTTTCACTACGTTGAGGACGGTAAGGAAGGTGACGACTCCTACATCGACATGAATATGCACGATGTGCGAAGCGCTGCTGATGTCATCACTGTCATGTACCGAGGTGGACAGAGAAATCTGGCCTTGGAAGAAGACAAAATTCTAGCTACGATGATCTTCCACAGGGCCCTGGCAACCTGGACAAAGACCTCAAGCCCCCTGTACAAGTTGCACGCAACGGATGCGACATCTTGTTTGCTCTCGAGGGCAGTGGTATCGCGAATCTGCTGGGGCTGCCCATGTTCGTTCGTCCGATGGGGTTCCAGAGCACGTTGAAACAAGCGGGTCGAAATTCAAAGGGCGCGTTGCTCATGACCGACATCACTTCCGAAGCAGTCACAGACTTCGTTCTCAAGAAGCCCGGTGGTGTGCCAGTGATGACTACCGAAGGTGTTCGGGCCATGATGTGTGGGGAGCAAGAAGACCACCAGGGCAGCTATGGCTTCGGAACCCCACCTGCATCATTTTGCAGCGACGAGGTTGGACCCGTGCTCATCTGTCGTGCTGACAACAAACCGCTACTTACCGGTCACATCGAGGCACTCTGCGATTACATTAAGGTAGTCATCGACCCTCAAGTTCAGGCCGCAAAGCAGAGACTCAACGTCGGCGAAGTAATCCAGAATCGAGAGGAGATTCTCACCGGCATCACCAAGGCTAACTTCCTCGCGCATTGGGAGAAGTTCAAAGAGGACAAGATCAAGGCTCAGGCTAGCGAGGCGCACCCTGAATGGACTCCGAAATACCCGTCTCCATACGAAATGATGGGCAAGACTCTGGAAAGCGTCAACCGATTCACAGAGACCATCTACTCGAAGCAGATCGAAGGAGGCATGAAGCAGGACTCCGAGATGCCAGACAAGGCAAATACCTCGGCGCTCAGAGCTCAACTCTACATAGCTCGGGGTCCACATGGACTTTGAGCAATGTCGTGGCGTATCTACAACAAGAGGCATGCTGGCAAGCTCATCAATGGCTGGCGCTGTTCATGTTGATTGCGATGATTCGTCGCGGGAGTCCACCTGGTACCCTGAAGATTGAAAACGACATCGTTCATTGGGAGAAGGCTGAAGATTCAGGACCTTGAATGCATCATAATTCGAGACCGGCGCCTGCGCACAGAAGTACTGCGGACTTGGAAGACACTTCATTCAGTACATGCAGTCAGAGGTCTCTTACCAGCAGATATGGGAGCGGACACATTGACGGTACCTTCTATCTATCTCGGGTGGCATTCGCATGCATGCTGCGCCTGGATGGAAGCAGCGTAGCACGGGCACCTCGCTCGCACAGCACCCCCAACAGCAGCAGATAGAAAGACCATTTCTGAACACAATCGAGATCGATTCGCTCACATGATTTTGCACGGTCATATGAGAAATGCCATAGAGCCGCTGCGAGCGGAGATAGAGTCGTGATACCATCGTTGTCTGCATCGTCATGCCAAGCGCAACCTCAAGCCACAACAGCCGGAGAAGCAGCCATGTGTAACCCTCAGACCTCCATCGCACATTCGCTAGCGAACGCAAAACACTTCAAGTACCACACTCTGCTCCACAAAGAGACCTCCAAACAATGGGGCGCATCCTCGAATATCCTGCTCTCCACCCGCTTTGCTCGTTCGAACGCGCTGGTGAAATCCCTCATGACTTGCTCGTTCACGTTCCATAGTCCGTCAGCGCCGCCCATCGCATGAAATACCGGTACCGCTATCTTGCTCGCATATCTGGGCCTCCAGTACTTGGGCCACTCCAACATGCCATCTGCAGCTTCTCCATACGAGCAGCCTGCCATGCCGAGTGAAGTGTGGCCGCGGACGTCTTCTGGCACTAAATTCTGCTCTTTGGGACCATACAGCGCAACGCCGAAGATGGACATGTCTGGAAAGGCTATATGATCGGTCCAAGTTTTGCCTGCTAGCATCGCTTGACCATGTTCTGGTGGCGCGCTCGGTGCGGTACCCCAACCGGTGATGATGATTCCGCCGAGCACATATGAACTAGTTGGTTCGAGTGCGGCCAAGCCAGCGGCCACGATCGTGCTTGCGCAGCCCATAGAATGTCCGAGAAGGACGAGGCATGTCGCGTTGGTAGGCTTCGCGTATTGCTCCCAGATCGCTGGGAGGATGTGTTGATGCAAGTAGCGTCCTTCTGCTTGGAAGTAGGTGTCATTGTCTTGAGGCTGTTGTGGTAAGATCGGGGTGCTTTTGACGTAGCCTGGTCGGTCGATGGCGATGAATGGCAAGCCTAACGCGACTGCGGTGCCAGCTGCTGAGGTGCTTGGTGTGGCATCGAAGTATGCCGATGTCATGGTACCGCCATGCAGGGCAACGATGAGCGGCTTCTGCCTCGGCGTCGCTGGTGTTGACGGTGGGATGCAAACGAGTCCTGACACCGTGTGTCCATTGTTGAGAGCGAGGCTGAAGACGTCCATCCTAGTGTCACGCAGATATTGAGTGCTGGTGGGAAGCACAACTGGTACTGAGGAACATGAAGCGGTGGACTAACTCCGAGGCAGTGGAAAGTGAGTCATGGCTAACGTATATACTTAAGTACTTGCCTGAGGATGGGAAGAAGAGCCTGGGAGGGCAACAGGGCTGAGCCGTCCAAGATCATTAGGCTCCGTCGCGGCTACCTTTCTCGTGTAGCCGAAGACGCCTGATCGTCCTTGAGCTCTTTCTATTCGTTCGATTGCCTGCCGATGCCGAACCTCTGTCATTTCTGCATGAACATGCGGGGCGGTCGAAGTCCTCCTCCCAGCGCAAATATGAGCGACTCCCATCATGATATCATGATATCCTATGCATTTGCTTATCGACAGCAATGCGCATTGCCATGCGGAAGCGGCTAGTCCTAGACGCGACCCTCAAGAAAGATCAGATGTAGAGCAGGAGTTTTACGCAGCTTGAGCCTCGAATCAATCAGGTGTGAAGCGGTAAGGTTCAACTGCAAGGATTTAGACGGAGATAAGCCTGATCGCCGAAGACTCCTTCCACGTCGCGTCCCTTCTTCGACTCGCCCCGAGCAATGTGATACTCGCAGCTTCCCATCGTGATGCCTGCAGCTGAGGCAGCTCCGACGCTGCGGGCTATCCGGTCTGGACACGCTTGCAAGGCTTGTCGGCGCCGCAAGATTTCCTGTGACCGGCAGCAGCCCTGCTCTTACTGCATTCGATTGAACGCACGCTGCCAATATCCATCGTCCCCGCGACGACAGCAAGCCAGTGATGACAGAGCAAACACGACTGATGGAAACGTGCTGGAGCGCCTCGCACGCGTCGAGTCGCAGTTGCAGCAACTGACCAACCCCAGTCGAGCTCCTCTGAGCCGCGATGACGGCGCTGATGCAAGCACAGCAATTGACACAGATACCACGATAGCATCCACGCCGGGCTTTCCTCGACGCTTCTTGCTGAATCAAAGTGGCCGACAGCGATATGCTGACGGTGGAGTTTGGGCGTCTATAGAGCGGAGACAGACTGTTCCCTACGCTGCGGGTACCTCGTCTGCCACTGTTCTGAGCCCAAGTAGCGAATATCCCCAGCCATTGAGCAATCCAACAGCATCTGCCGACCTGAAGCTTCTACACCCACCGACCGAACGAATCTTTCCACTATGGCAGGTCTATCTGGAGAACGTGGACCCGATCATCAAGATCTTGCACGTGCCCACGACTCAAAAGCAACTCCTTCAAGCCAGCCAGAGCCTGAACGGTCTGCCTCCATCGTTCGAGGCTTTGATGTTCGCGATCTACTATGCCGCCGTGAGCAGCATGCAAGACACTGTTCACGAGCCAGCAGAGCGTTCGGAACTACTGGACAAGCACGGGTCTGGAGTGGAGCAGGCGCTTGCGAAGGCCTCTTTCATGACCGAGCCAGATCTCTTCGCACTTCAGGCACTTACGATCTATCTCCATTGCGCCCGGGCTACAGGTCATCGGCCTCCTGCTCAAGTCTGGGCACTTACTGGTTTGCTTCTGCGCCTGGCGAGAAAACTGGGCCTGCACCAGAACCCAAGCACACTAGGATTCTCGCCATTCGAAAGCCAGATCCGCTCGAGGCTGTGGTGGTTCATATTTGTCCTGGAAACCATGTCCGCAGAAGACAACGATATGGCGATCAGCATCAACAATTACCAGCACAGGGTCGACCGGCCAAAGTGTGTCAATGATACGTCTCTGGAAGTCTCAATGAGTGCTGTGGTTGAAGGCAGCTCACGTCGCTCTGAGATGGTCTTCACTGAAAGATTGCTCGACATCAGTCAGACGACATCTCGACAGCTGTTTGCGACAGAGCTAGGCATGACAGATCAATCGCCACAGGACGTTGATGATGACATCAGAAGTATGAGCTCCCTTTGGGAACTCCTCGATCAGAGCTTGGACTGGAAGACAGCGATAGGTAGATTTGTTCAGCAATACACAAACGTCGAGGAGCGCAGGATGAGGATCATCAACCGACTGGCCAACGGCGACGTCCACTATCCATCGTCTCTGGACTTCGATAAGGAGCCTGATGTTGCGGCGGTGGACATACTCAACGACATCGACGACGCCGGCTTCCCGGAGCGAGCGAAGAAGTTTGCTTGGTTCCTGCGGAATCCTGCCGAGATGGTTGCAGTTGCTGCGCTTCTTGACAGCATTTTGACCAAGCGGGATGAGTACTCACGAAAATTTGCCCAAGACAGTCAGCACCTGATCGACCAGTGCTTTGCTCGTGCCAACCGTGATGGGAGGCTGAGGTCCGGCGACCCGCGTTGGCGACTGCTGGAGCATCAATACGTTTCCATGCAACGCTTTCTAGCCGAAGCTGATGACATAGCACAGATCTGAGGATCCGCCATCGTTGAACACGTCGATGATGTGATCCTCTGCGGGCATCGCACGTTCGAAGACTTTCCGATACACTTGTACGCGATCTCAAGACCTTCAAATCACTGAGCATGTTGTCAAGATCTCAGGTCTCCAGCCCCTCGCTTGATATCGCCAATGCACGCCGGTCAGTGGCATCGACAGATGTGGAGCCCATGTGCGCCCGAAACCCTGCAGGGTCAATCACCAAAAGTCGATCACCTGGTGGCAGCTGCACTGACATTGTCTCGACCTGCTTCGGAGATGCAAGAAAACACACCTCAAATTACTGAGCATTAATGATGCACAATAAGCCTCAAATCACGCCATACCTTGACAAGCTGCACTGCCGTCTTGGACTCGCCTTGAGCTCGTCTGGGCGCATATTCTTGGCAAAAGACTTCCGTTCGAGTCGTCCGCCCGATCTTGGCGTCTGGGCGTTTGGCGCACGTTCTGGGTGAAACATGCAGCTGATTGGCGCGGCGCGGTCATCACATTATTGTGCCATTCAGACTCTGCATGATAGGTCGGACTCGTGAGTCTTTGACGAGTTTTACGGGTTGCTTCTGCTCGAGCCCGACGAAGACGCAATTTGATGAGCGCACGATACGGTGCTGTCACGATGTACAAAGGCGCGTGAAAGACTTCCGGACAGCGTGACCTTCCAGCACCCGTCCGTTGCGTGGGCTTGCATAGCTGTCTCATTCCAGCCCATTCTTTCTGTTGGCATACAGCCTCTTTCATTCCGGATAGCAACGCCGGCACCATGAAGCTATCCACAGACATGAAGCGGATCAACCCCGACGAGTACCTCCCGCCCCGCGAAGATGAGGAGTACTTACCATTGAACGAGACTGGACGACGGAAGAGGAGGTCAGAGCAAAGCGAAAGCTGGACATGATCATCATGCCCTTGCTGACACTGGGCTTTTTCTGTCTGCAACTCGACCGTGGCAACATCTCCAACGCCATCACCGACAACATGATGGAAGACATTGGCATTGACCAGAATCAATTCAGTACGTACGCCTGTAACCCTGAATCGAGGGAGACATCAATCTCCCAGCCCTGGTTCGTCCCGATACATGTTCAGTCTAACGCGGCTCGATAGATGTTGGGCAGCAGATGTTATCCCTAGGCATCGTGCTGTTCGAGATCCCTTCTAATATGATCCTCTACCGCGTTGGACCTGGAAAGTGGTTGACGTTGCAGCTCTTCCTCTTTGGCACCGTTTCGACCTTCCAGTCCTTCCAGAACAGCTATGGATCCTTCATCGTCTCTCGCCTTATGCTGGGCATCACCGAAAGCGGTTTCATTCCTGGCGGGCTTTGGACGTTGAGTACGTGGTACACCAGGACCGAGACCGCGAAACGTGTCATGATATTCTACTTTGGCAACCAGTTCGGACAGGCAAGCTCCAAGCTCCTTGCGTATGGTATCTTGCATATGCGCGGCGTCGGTGGAAAGGCCGGCTGGTTCTGGCTCTTCACCCTTATGGGCATTTTCACCATCCTGTCGGGGTGCATCCTTGGCTTCTTCTTACCGGACAGCTTCAAGAATCCTCACAGCACATTCTTGCCGAAGTGGAACATGTTCAGCGAGCGCGAGATACACATCCTGCGCAACAGAGTACTCTTTGATGACCCGATGAAGGGTAAGAAGAAGAAGCGAATCGGTCGTGCAGCTTTCAAGAAAGCTTTCTCGAGCTGGCGGATGTGGGTGCATGTTCTGATCACCTTGTGCAATAATGGCCCGCAGCGCGCATTCGACACGTATGCACCATCACTAGTCAACGGTTTCGGCTTCGCGTCACTCACCAGCAACGCCCTTGCATCGGTCGGCTTGTTCTTACAGATCCCCGTGTCGTTCGCATTCAGTTGGGTGAGCGATCACTGGTAAGTCGAGCAATAGAAGTCCTCCTGGGCATCAGCTAATCTTAGCCTCAGCAATCGCCGCGGCGAGACCGTCATTGCCGGACTCTCGATGCATCTCCTCGCCTATGTCTTCAATCGCAGCTTCACAGATCTGGGGAATGGCTTGCGTGGAGTCAAGTACTTCGGTGTCATCTGGACCCAAACGTTTGCACTTTCTCGCATCCACTGAACATCACATGGATGTCATTAACTGCTGAGGACTCTGAGGAAAGAGCGCTTGCTATGGCCATGGTCATCATGGGTGCAAACACAGCAGGCATCTACGGCGCGCAGATTTTCAGGCAAGCTGATCGACCGCGCTACCGAAGAGGGTTTGCCTGCGGTATCGGGATCCTAGCTTTCGGATTGCTACTAGCCGTTGTCAGGTATGTCGATGACCGCATCCGCCGCAAGAAAGCACCACAGAACGATCTCCACACCAGCAGCAGCAGCGAGGAAGGCGTCGGCGAAGATGACAAGCGGACGGTGTGAGACACGCAAATGCTTGGCCATTGGTTGGGCACTGATTGTCTCTGGGGCGAACGCGTCTTCACGTTCGAAGACAAGCGTGACATTGCGAACGAGCCTTACTCGGGAAACCTTGGTCGCCGGCAATTGACCTCTGCTGGACGTCACACATGCCTTGCTTATCGCGCCGTCATCGGTACGCGACACGGCTGCCACATCATCAGTCGCCTTTGGTTCAAGGTGGAAGGTCTCATCAAGGGTCATTACAACCGATCGCCGTTTGGTAAGGCATCCTTGAGACATCACGTCAGCTTCTCCGCATACACAACGTTGAGGCGAGCAGTGTTGGCTGCACGATCCAGGGTCTTGGCACGCCTGAATGCGACTTGACTCCTATCCATATATCGATGTATCACATTACACGGATGGCCGTGTTCTCCGCTGTTTACTTATGTGATCTGTCTTCCTCGAATCCTTTCTCGACAAAGCTTTGCCCAACTAACATAGACTACTTACCTGAGTGACAGTCCGCGAAGCACAATGGGATCTCTTGGAGCACCACGATACGTAGAGGCCAAGGTGCCCTACCAGCTCAGCAACACACAGGTCCGACCTGGCACTGTTGGCGCCCGCCGCCTCAAAACACACGACGTAGCTACTCGGGTCGTGGACGCGCGAGACGTGGACTGCTCCCTCGACACGCAGGGCTCCCAGATCGTCACCCATCCGAGCTCTCTGCACGGCGAAGATTTCAAAGACGCCGACAAGGTCCGCGAAGTCCTCTATCAAGAGGTCCAAGATATCGTTCGAAAAGCTACTGGTGCCGCAAGGGTGCACGTCTTCTCCCACCTTGTGAGATTCCACAGCAGAGACGACATCAAGCCGGAAATCGACGATCCGAGTATTCCAGATGATGCGATTTCGAAGCTCACGGGTCCTGCGCGCGGGGCGCATATCGATCACTCCACTAGAGGATCGTATCAGGTGCTTTCGGATAATTTGCCGGAGGAGGCGGACCGATTTCGCAATGGAGGGAAGCGGTGGGCGATCATCAATTTCTGGAGGCCGATCGAGACTGTCAAGCGCGATCCTCTTTGTCTTTGTGATGCCCGGACCGTTGATGAAGGCGACTTAGTTGAGAGGGTGAGTGTAAGCGCGTCCCTGCGTCTTCGAGCCTGCGTAGACTGGCTTGCATCACTCGAACCCTTCCGTCCTCACTGCCGGTTCCTTGCCACAACCAAGATCCCAACCTTACTGACTAACATCCACCCCCTCCCAGACCGTCATCCTCCCCAACACAGATGCCTACGAGCACGTCAGCAAAGGCAAAGTCTTCGACCTCTTCTCCGCCCGCCCCAACCCCGCCCACGAATGGTACTACTGCTCCAATATGCGGCCTGATGAAGGCTGGCTGCTGAAGATCTTCGACTCGGAAGGCGGGAAGGGGGGTATTTGTGGACCGGCGCCACATACGAGCTTCGAGTTGCCGGGTGAGGTCCCGAAGGAGGCGAGGCGGAGTTGTGAGTTTAGGACGTTGGTATTTTGGGATTGAGAGGTCTGGGCGGAGCGCAGGGTGTGGGCAGCGGCCGCCGCTGGTGGAAGTGGCCGAGCTGTGTACCGCAGGTCAGTAGTCTTGGGCGAGGAGAGTAGAGCTTGTTGTGAGCGGTCTTCAATGACAAGGGCCGGTGTGTTTGGTTGTGGAACGAGAGAGAAATAAAGTGGTCATAATTTGGAGGCGACGCTAGGATGGCGGACTTGATCGCTGTTGCATATCACTGAGCTTGAGAAAGAACCTTTACACGCCACTACCTTTACCGTCGACCGGTCCTTGGCTGGCTCCGCCACGCTCATGAGCACAGATGCTCTCGGAGGAACTCGATCTGCACACTCGTGTTCTTGTCGAAGTTCTTGCCTGTGTAGCCATCGAAATGCCCTCCTGGCAGGATATGCAGCTGCTTCGGCTCCCTAGCTCTCGAGTACGCTTCCAACGCCAGATCAGTAGGCGTAAGGGTGTCGTTCTGCGCCACGGTCATAAGGAGGGGTGTTGGTGAGATGCGATGGATGTGAGCCGATGGGTAGAATTAGCGGAGTGCTTCGATTGATCGCAAAGTGACCTCGTTTTTCCAGCCAACTTTCTTTTGCCATTTGTCGAAGAACGCGGAGGAGTCGCTGGTTGGGAGGGCGGCTGGCTGCGTTGGGTCTTCGCTGACGACTGGCATCGTACCTGCCAGCTCACCTCTCGCTCTGGCCAATCGATCTGTACACTTGTCAGCCAGTGCAATTTCCTCGCAGCTCGCCAAAACCCACCAGCAACGAGCAGCTCCTGCACGCCAACCGCCACGTCCCCGCGGATCAGCCTCTGAAAATTCTCATAGCCGTCAACGCACGGTTGCTGACTCAGCACAACCTTCACTCTCTTGTCTGTCGCGCCTACCCATAAGACTTCTCCGCCGGAGTAGCTGCTTCCCCAGATCCCAATCTTCTCTGCATCGATATCATCCCTGCTCTGGGCATATGTGATCGCGTCGCTGATGTCGCTCATCTGCTGCCATGGGAGGATCTCCTGCCGCGGCTGATTTGGTCCAGTGTCGGAGGCTCCAAAACCGCGGTTGTCGTAGACAAGGCACACGAGCTGGAGAGAGGACACGAAACGCTCGGCGAAGGCACCGAGATCCATCTCTTTGAGGCCGGAGAAGCCATGGCACATTACGAGGCAGGGCAGCTTGGTTGGAGCGTTGTCAGATTTGAAGAGCCAGCCGCGGAGGGTGACGTGGTCGCTGGTCTGGAACTCAATGTCGATGCGCGACATCTTGGGACTCGACGTGGTGTTGAGTGTGCTTCGGGGAGCTGGGGTTGGCTTCTGGCTCTGTTCGTCTTTTTTCGTGCTTCGAAGGAATGAAGTGGCGGAAAGTCGGCTGATGTCTGGACGTATGTGTTGCCAGGCAGCACTTGGGAGATGAGGAGCAGAACATCTGTAGTCATTGACGTACGAATTACCGTAAGCCCATGTGAGTTCCAGATCAACCAGATCCCGGACAGGAAGTTGCGGTACCAAGAGACCTGAGGTTCAAATGAATCGTTCGGTGGCGCGGAACTTCGGGCTCATGTAATGTCCGCTTTGTTCTTGTATCAAGTCAGCAGATACGAGTGGAGGGCGGGAAGAGCCAGTCCGGCGGGAGGGAATAGTGTTATGCGGTAGTTTGGGTGGGGAGTGAGTTGGGTTGCTGGTTGTTAATCTGATTGAATGGGGGAGCCTTCCGCTGCGGTCCTCACAAAATGGTCTTTCCCGACGTTGTTTCATTGATGCTGCAGTCGCTGAAGACTGTCAATGGGCTGGTCGGGAGCTTCGTGGCGACGCCGAGTCAGTGCTGTGCGGGCTGCTTCCCAGCAACAGACAGATACCGAAGCCCGCTGTGAGAATAACCACATCGAACTTCGGAACCCGCCATAGTATTGGAGGCCCATTCAACCGTGGCGGCTTCCATAATGAACATGTAGTAGGCGCGTCTACGATATCGTCGACATTCTAGCAGACGGCCTAGGTGTGAGTGCTATCAATTTACTGAAATCGTACATCATTTAGCAGGCACGTGTCTTGAGGTTGGTAGGAAGAATGACCAAAGTCAGTGCCAGTGCCGAGGCAAGAAGTACCGAGATCGCTAGGATCGAATGGTCGCCGCACCCTGCATCAACACTGCATCGATCTTCTATCTCGGCATCATTAATAGATCTACCACTAAGTCGTTGACAGCTCTTGGTCACCGGGCATATCTAGCATGTATGCATAGACGCCATTTTCACGAAATGAAGAACAAGAACACGAACACCAACGGCCAGATGTCCTGACCTGACTCGAATCTCGACCCATCTTTCCGCCGCTACTGCACCTCATCCATCTCACCTGCAGTCATTTTTGTATGTCACGCCTCAGGCACGACGAGCTTCTTTCCACTACAAGGGAAGGCGCTGGCGCCTGTCAGGCCTTTATTCACAGTCTCCTACAGACTCATCCATTCGGAACAATAGATATACAATAGACCACGGGCAAAAATGTCTACTTCGGACTCAGTAGGTATGTCGACTCGCATGCATATCATAACGACCACGCCTATTGTTCGACTCGTGCCCTTACACTGCGCCCGTTGCCTGAAACTCTCCTTCTCCACCCCTCCCCACCGCCATCTGCAGTACCAGCAGCTCACATTCCCACTCCAGACCGCGTCTTCACCCACGCGCTTGCCACAGTCCGCCGCCTCCCCCGAACTGGCTCTTCCCGCCCTCCACCATCCGCCCGCCTCCGACTCTATGGCCTTTACAAACAGTCCATGGAAGGCGATGTCGCCGCCATCCTCCCACGCCCCGTGCTCCCTCTCCCGCCATCCCCACCACCAACGCAACAAGACCACTTTCCTACAAATCGACCCAGTATCGACAGTACATTATCAGGCGACGACAATACCAACAACAACGAATCCTCGCCCTCGCCCGCACCTCTAACGCGCCAAACCTCCAGCACTTCCCAAACCCAGACACAACAACAGCCGTCGCAGGTGCGGCAGAACTCGTCGAACACAGTCCACCGCTTCGCCAGCCGCGACCTGCGCACGCGGGAAGCACAAGCGGAGATCGAGAAATGGGATGCATGGCACGCGTGTGCCGGGATGGGAAGGACGGAGGCCAAGAGAAGATATATTGAGGCGCTGATAGGGACGATGAAGGAGTATGCTAGTGGGACGAGTGAAAGCAGGGAGTTGGTGGGAGAGTTGGAATTTGTGTGGGGGCAGATCAGGAGCCAGAGTGGTGGATCAGGTGGCAGTGGCGGGAGCGGGAGTGAAGGCAGGGTTGTCAGAAAAGAAGGGAGCAGTGGGGAGGATGACGAGGGCGAGAGTCCGAGGAGGAGTGGGTTACTGGGACTGGCTGGCAGCGGGAGCAATCAGGAGACGCGGACGAGGGCGAGTGGTGGAAGCCAGCCTCGGTCGAAATCGAAGCAGAAGCGGCGACGGCCTAGAGAGGAGCTTGCTTCCGATGGTGGGCGGTTACGTGTCCTCAGCCCCATGTCCCCACGCGGATCCGGTAGCGAAATCGTCGAGGGCCGTGACGCCGACGACGACATCGATTCCAACAACGATGAAATCCCGAACGACGACCTTCAACACACAAGACCAACACGTCTCTCCGCTCTAGAAGCCCAACTCCGCCATCTAAGCACCGAGATCGCCGCCCTGAGGGAGCAGCTTTCAGCTAACCACCTCCTCGCTTCATCTTCGTTTTCATCACGAACGCACCCGAACTACCGGACCCTGCCCTTGAAATGGAAAGTGTACTACACCGCCAAAAACTACCTCCGCTGGATAATATCGTTTGCGGTGCGACAGGCACTGGTTGGAGCGACATTTCTGGTAGGATTGATACTCTGGCAACGTTGGAAAGGAGGAAACCGGAGAGCAGAGGAATGGGCCCGCCGGCGATGGAAAGATCTCAGAGCGCTCGTGGAGAGATCTGGACTGGAGGATTGGGTGCCGTGGTTGATGACGGTCCTGAAGAGAAGGGGAAGGGCAATTGGGTTATAGGTAGGCAGTGCAAGAGAATAGCTATGAACGTTGTCAGGAAAAGGGATCGATGTGTTACGATGATGGTCACGACATTTGATGCCACCAGATATGTAGAGAAGATACATCCGTTGGACAGCGAATTGAGAGCTTGTCTGGAGCAGTACATCCTTAGGCCTGATCCACGGAGTTTCAGTCACGATTTAAGAACATTCGAGTGTGAATGTATGGCCTTTAGGACAAGTGCCATGGGCATGGGCTATCATGGGAAGAACTGATAGCATCTTTGCAGCCCGATCAATGCCAGGAGACCGCAGTCTCGTTCGCGGATCAGCTGCCATGGCCCAAAACATAGCCCGCTTCGTGGTCGCATTCAAATATTCCATGCAGCAAGATCTGCCTCTAGCATCGATGAGTGCAAAAGGCACAGATCCCCTTTGCCGCTTTGCGATCTTGAAGACCTTAACCTTCATGTTGTACAAGTATAATCTTTGCTACCGCCAGTGTCCGTCAGGTCCGCGCGCTGACAGTCCAGCATAAGCTCTTGCCGTGAGTTCAGTCAACGCTACAGCGACATTCGTCGGATATTCTGCCCAGAATGACGAGGGAGAGATGATGCTTGGAGGCTGCGGGTCTTTGGTGCTGGTGGCCGGTCTACCACGAGGGTCTTCGTGGCCAATATCCCCGTCAGCACCGTGGCCGCCACGAGGCCCACCGGATGAGCGTCCTCGGTGATCGCGTGTTCCAGTTCCACGGTACCTATGCGGCCGATCATTCTACGATAGCACCGTAGGAAGCGTGGTCGGAGGAGCAGGAACCCCAGTGCTGCCATCAGCGCCACCACGAGCACCTCCTCTACCTCCAGTGCCTCTGTAGCCGCCTCGATAGCCGCGATTACCACCATATGTCCGTCCACGATAGCCACCTCGTCCACGTCCTCGGTAGCCACCATCGACATTGCCCTGGCCGAAGGTGTCGACGTTCCTCTTGAACTCCTCCTGCCGCTGCTGCCGAGCGTATGACCGAGGGTCTGGGTTGTCTTCGCGATCTTTAGCCTCACTGCTGATGTTGTCGAAGAATGAGCTTGATTTGTTGTACGCCTTGCTTGCGCCAAGACTGTTCTTCCGCTCGGGACCTTCATCTGCACCATCCGGGCTGTCGACAGGCCCGTCTTCCGCGACTGGCGAGCCAGACGCGATTGCCTCTTTGATCAGATCTTCCTTGTTGAACTTCTTGTTGGCGGTCTCGAAATCGTAGTCGGATTTGGGGATCTCGATCTTTCGCCCTGCCTGAGGTCCACCTCGGCCGCGAGTGTAGTCGCCTCGTGGACCTCTCTGTGCGCCTCGTCCTCGTGGCGCGCCATTTGTTGATGTGGTCAGGCTTGCAACGTTCCGCGTCAGAGCTTCGACAGATGTACCATGACTGGCCGGGTTCGGAACAGGTACAGGTGCGGATTTGGGCTGCGCTTTCCCAGGAACGTTAGCCATAGCAGCCTGTACCGCCTCTCGAGCTCTTTGAGCAGCCTCGTCCATCTCGGCTTTACTCGGCCCCTGCTTTGGCGCCGCTTGAGAGGGAGCGGTCTGGACCGGAGGTGTGAAGGACTTCTGGTTCACTGTGAAGGGCATTGCTGGCGCAACCTTGCCCTTAGTAGTAGTCTTGGGGCCGGTCGGGATTGCTGCTGGCGCTGGAGATGGAGCAGCTGCCTGCGCCTGTGGTGCTTTCGAGGGCTTGCTTGCTGAGGGTTGCGAAGGTGCATCTTTGTTATCGACTGGAAGTTCTTGTGTTGATGGTGTAGGTTGCGCTGGCTTGGGTTGTTGAGCCTGGGTCGACGGAGGAGGGACCTGCTGAGCAGGACGATCTATGGGCGGCGGAGGAGGACCCTGGAATTGTGGTGGAGGGAAGCCTTGTCCTGGAGGACCGAAGTAGCCAGGTGGTGGTGGTCCGTATGGTGAGAAGCCTGGACCTGGACCGAAGGCTCCTGGAGGAGGCGGGCCATAGCCACGACCGAATTGTGGAGGACCGTACGGAGGGTAGCCTTGCTGCGGGTAGCCGGGTGGAGGGTAGGGAGATTCTCGACGCTCTTGCGGAGCTGGAGGAGGTTGCGCTGGTCGTGATGAGTTCTGTGAGACAGCAAGGTCAGCTACTAGCATAGCGCGAAGTCTTGAATATTTTGAGAGATCTCAGTGCTCAATCAGAAGGAAGGCAACGGAAATATCCACATGGTTTTACGCATTCGGAACAGGTCTGTGATTAACATCCGGAATATTTCATCATTTGAGCAGGAGTAGAGTGCGGTAGGGGCCTCTTGCTTACCAGTATCGCTGGGTCGTTTGGAGGTTGTTGATTTTCAGGCTTTGCTGTCTCTTCCTCAAGAGCTTTGATATCTTTCACGTCCGTCCCTTTGAAGACAATGTACTCGAACCGGTGGTTCGACGGGGCAACGAAATGCTCAACAGGTCGGTCTTCGGAGCCAAGTGAGACGACGTCTTCCAAAGCTATCGTCTGCTGTTCGGGGTTGATCTGATGTAATGTGCCGACATATCTGATACTGTCAGTACGACACAGTCAGCCACTGTGCGCGATAGACGTACCGAATGTTCATCTTGCTGGTCAGCGCAAAGCGCTGCCCGATCAGATGATCCATACTCATCGTGACGACTGCTAGTGATACGGAAGTATGAGGGACAGCATGAGCGATCTCACTGAATCGCGAAAGAGGCAGAAAGCAGATAGGTTAGAAGGGATTGGAGGTATGTAGTTGATGGTGAGAGAGCGGGCTGCACGAGGTTCAAGTTGATGCCAGTGTTTTCAGACGCAGCAATTGCTTGGCAAAACTTACTCCAAGCAATTCAGGTACAAGCGACGCAAATCTAATCACTACCCAGCAAGCTTGTCATTCCAGATGTCTCGGAATCTTCTCTGTATAGATTGGACAAGTTGTCACGAAACCACATTCAACAATGACGACCGCGATAGATGCCGGCCGCTTCTTCCAGACCGAGTGAGCCAAGCTGCGCGTGAGAGACGAGGTAGGTCTGGCTAACAAACTCCCAGTGAATCCATCGAGCAGATCGAGCGAAAGTCTCGCAAATCTGCCAATACCTTTGGAGAGCCTTTGAAGCTTGGCTCCAAGCTACTTGCCATTGAAGCCGCTGGTCAGCGTGTGGTCTACGTAGCAGAAGCGGCAGGGAGCGTGTCAGAGATCCGTTTGTCGACCAACGATATTTCTAGGAGTCCTCGAGGCCCTGCCGCGCCTCTGACTTGTGTGGCCTTGTGTAGAACAACTGAAGCGACACGTGTCTTCGCGGGTTGTTGGGATAAATCGATATGGTCATACGTCCCTCCAAATGGAGCACGTGTGCAGCCTCAGATCACATCCTTCGCGGCACATGCCGACTTTGTCAAGTGTGTTGCGGTAGTCCCAACGCCGGACAAGCAGACAATACTCATAAGTGGAGGTGCTGATGGCGATGTCCGGTTATGGACTCTAGATGGCAAGGCTTTGGGTAAAATCAGCCCTAAGTGTCGAGCTATCGAAAGTATCGTCCTTGACCCGATGTCATCTGCCGAAGCTCCTGTGGTCTTCTTCTCTACGTCGCAGCGAGAAATCTTCCAAATGGCTATTCCGCCACTGGCCGCAATCAGCAGCTCGGCTCTTCAACTCTCTGCACCAATCGTGGTTCACGAGACCAGCGTGTACAAGATGGTCTTTGATGCTGATGGTGATCTGTGGACTGCGTCCGCCGACAAGACCGCCAAGCACCTCGTTCGCGAAAATGGATGGCAATCCGATACTGTTCTACCACATCCAGACTTCGTTCGTGATGTTGCGGTGCATGACAAGTATGGCCTGGTCATAACCGCATGCAGAGACGAAGAAGTCCGGATATGGAACGCATCAAGCGGTCAATTGGTGCATATTTTCACGGGTCATTACGAAGAAGTCACAGGTCTGGCGCTGGCCGAAGACCTGCTACTTAGCGTCAGTATCGACGGGACCCTGCGTCGTTGGAGTCTTGCTCCGGTCGATCTACAAAAAGCCATCAAAGAAGCCTCCGATCCAGATCTGGCTAAAGATGTCCCTGAACCCGATACAGATCTCTCGATGCTGACCGCGGAGGAGGAAGCCGAGCTTCGAGCCATGATGGAGGGTGAAGAAGCAAGCGTTATGGAAGCAATGGCCAAAGACGAGCAATGAGTGCTGACACAGGCGCTCACGTCATCGTAGAGCACACAGAGACCAGGTTTCCGAGCCTCAGCTCTTCGAGCGGCCGTATGGAGGTCTACAGTAGGTCGTCCAAGAGATCGAGGGCGGGGCAGGAGGTGATCTAATGAGTGATGTCCTCAGTGAGGGTTGCCATATTGACACGCCCAGTGCGTTCGAGCTGCCAAGCGACGCTTGCCCCGGTCTGTTGAGGCCTCGAGCACATTGAAGCCATAGTGTCGTTCCGAGATGCGTGCCTGAGAGTGGACGCCTCGGCGTATGGTTGGGTGCTGGGCAAAGACCCGTCAACGAGCATGCAGTCTGCTCACGAGGCTCTCTGCTTTGGGACGACACGTTGTGTGAACCGTATAGCCCCAACTCTGGGCGTACGTAGTCTCCTAAGACTCATTCATGCGCGTACGGTCGAATCTGCCGGTGATCTCTTTGCTAATCATCCATCGTGTACCGAGTGCCTAAAGGAGCTTAGGTCGATAAGGAAGGTTTGTCAGATCCGCGCCCGAGTCTGGGGAAGCAGCGATCCAATCGTCACCTCGCCTTTAATCATTGCCAATAAGATGGGAAGAAGGCAGGAGCCACTGGGTTTGCCTCGTTATTTTGTCAGATTTTTCTGTTGGTGTCGTCCCAAAGCGATACAGTGCTTGCTTATCGCCCATGAAAAGTCTGATGCTCGACTGACAGGCCGTCTTTACTTGCGTATCAGTGCAAAATTCCTCACATGACCCGCCAGTAGCCGCATTCGCCGAAAAAGTTTTCTCCACGTTATCTATCACTCAGCGCAGAGCCTGCCTCGACGGGCGCTGGGTTCGAGGCCAACTTCTATCGCAAGCACAACAGATCAGCACTCTTTACAACACCACAAATCTACATGATCTGGCGCCAGCAGTAGTATAACGCAGCTCGAATTCTGGTCGATCGCGACCAACGCCAAGATGGCCTCAACAACCGCAGACCTTGGTCTCCAGAATTGTCTGGCCAATAGTCCGTCGCCTTATGTATGTCGCTCTGGAATTCTGATCCGATCCTTCTAACATACGCAGCTTCGAGCGCATAAGGACAACCCAGTCGCCTGGCAAGAATGGAACTCAGAGACACTGGCTCTCGCCAAGACACACCAACGTCTGATATTCCTCAGCGTTGGCTACAGCGCCTGCCATTGTAAGTGCGGCGGACTTCCTTCCGCCTCACCCAGCTCACAAAACGCGCAGGGTGCCATGTCATGGAGCGGGAGTCATTTTGTTCTCGAGAGGTGGCAGGTCTACTGAACTCCAACTTCATTCCCATCAAAGTCGACAGGGAGGCCCGTCCTGATCTGGATGAAATCTATATGAGCTATGTGACAGCCACGGCTGGTTCTGGAGGCTGGCCGCTGAGCGTGTTCCTAACACCAGACCTGACGCCTGTGTTTGGTGGAAGTTACTGGCCGGGGCCAAGGTCGGAAACACCAATGCCGACGGACACCAGCGATGAGAAGCCGCCTACTTTCGTCGATATACTTCACAAGATGAAGGACGTCTGGGCGACTGAGAAGGAGAAATGCATCCAGTCAGCCGCAGACATGACATCACAGTTGAAGGCTTTCGCAGAGGAGGGTACACATTCGAGCTCGGAAGGGTCGCAGCAATCAGAGGATAGTGATCCTCCTGAGCCACTGGATCTGGACCTCATCGACGATGCGTTGGAGCACTTCAAGACGCGATATGACTCGATTAATGGTGGCTTCGCGGCAAGTCCTACAGCGCCCAAGTTTCCTGCTCCCGTAACACTGCAATTCCTGCTCCGCGTCGGCGCCTCGATTGGCTCGACACACACACGCTTCGGCTTTCCAGCGCCTTTGCCCGGCATCATTGGAAAAGAGTCATGCACGAAAGCGGCTTCAATGGTGTTGCATACTCTGATGGCCATCTCTCGTTCCGGCCTACGGGATCAGCTGGGCCATGGATTCCATCGGTATTCGGTCACTCCAGATTGGAACCTTCCGCACTTCGAAAAGATGCTGTGCGACAATGCTCAATTACTTAATTGCTATTGTGACGCGTGGGCACTGGGTCGAGACCCGGAGATTCTTGGCACCATATACAGCCTGGTAGAGTACTTCACAAATCCAGACTCACCTATCGTGCGGCCGGAAGGTGGATGGCACGCCAGTGAGGACGCTGACTCGGTGCCATCAAACCCAACAGCAGACGGTGCGGCACACGAGAAGAAGGAAGGCGCTTTCTACGTCTGGACCTACAAAAGATTTGTTCAGCTTCTGGGCGAGAGGAATGCAAGCATACTTGCAAGGCATTTCGGCGTTAAGCCAGACGGAAACGTACCCGCCTCATGTGATATCCACGACGAATTTCTGAGTCAGAACGTGTTGCACATTGATGCCACGCCGTCAAAATTGGCACAAGAGTTTGCTTTGCCAGAAGAAGAGATTGTCAAAATCATCAAGGACGGGCGAAGTAAGCTTACAGCCCACCGACAAAGCTCGAGACCAAGGCCAGACGTCGATACGAAGTTCATCACGTCCTGGAACGCCTTGGCCATCGCAGCGCTCGCGAATGCATCTTACACCTTGCAGTCCATCGACAAAGATCGCGCCAAACGTTGCCGTGTTGCCGCCACCAAAGCTCTAGCATTTATCCGTACCAACTTATATGACGAGGGCACTGGGCAACTTACTCGGATCTACGATCCTTCCAATCCCACAAGGACTGCCTTCCTCGATGACTACGCATATCTCGTCGAAGCGGCCCTCTGGACTTACGATGTCACCTTCGACCGGTCCTACCTGACCTGGGCCGCGCAGCTGCAAACTCATATCTCCTCCGAATTCCAATCTCCATCCGGCGCGTACTACCAGACTCCAAATGGCGCGTCGGATACCATTCTCCGCCTCAAGCCTGGAACCGACAACACTCTACCATGCCGAACGGCGTGATTGCCAATCAGGCATTGTATCTCTCATCATACGTACCCGACGAGCAGGCTGAGTACCTGACTCAGGCGCGCAATGTGATGAACTGCTTCGCGGTTGAAATGATACAGCACCCGTTTCTATTCACGAATATGCTAGCCGCTGTTGTGATCGATCAAGTTGGTGTTAAGGGTCTGATCGTGCCAAATGAGACGACAGACCGAGAGGTGAACAAGTTGAAAGGCTTTGGTAGGACGGTCGTGAAGAGCGATGTGCAGAAGGTCATGCTCTGCGAGAAGGACGGGCGATGCAGGGAGCTAAAGGAAGGTGAGCTGGAAGGCTGGGACGTTGTCGACTTTGAGGAGGATGGAGGTGAGGAGAAGACGGAGTCGGCCGGCGCACCGCAATCCTAGGCAGTGACGACATGAAATCAGGACGGCGCAGAGCCATGCTATCGGTCAACAGTTTTCTGCTATCGATATAGCCATACGACATCTCGTGACGTTCAGCAACAGGGAGTATCATCCTTCACGGGCCAATACCCGCATTCGTGCCGATCGCGATGGCTCCAGATATTTGAGGTTGGGATGGGCATCGCTGACGGGGCACTGCAAGCACATTCCACGCTTCAGGATATGAATAGAGTTATTTACAGTCGATACCCAGGAAACTTTCCATCACAGAGGACCGTTGGCCGCAGATGAGTGGCGCCGCATGATATCTAGTGTAAATGGTTCGCGAAGCTGCCACAGCATACTCGGTGCCGAAAGAGGCATGGGAGGATCACCGAGTCTCGTCGCGCGGTGTGGCTTGTCGATGGGCCTTTCGCCAGTCATATCAGTGAGATCCGGTAGCAGCTTCGCCGACAATGTGAACACCTAATGTCGGCAAGTCGTCTCACTGCTTTGTTATGATCCTGCCCGCTTCAAGGGATTCCTACATCGGCGGAGCGGAGAGCCGCGGATCACTGCACGAGCTTACTTAAGGTACGACAACCTGGCTCTGAGCTTCAAGGGACATATTGATGGCGACGCGAACCTGGAGTGAGCACCAATGACAAGGCAATCAAACCGAAGATCTGACGCGTCGAAGCTAGCCGACTACAAGTTTGTCAGCGTGTCCTCGCAACTCTGGTCCTACAGTATCGAATACTGTGCGCGTCGCAATATAATCACGAGCATGTCATCACATCTCTTGCGTCGCAGACACTAAGGACACATTGCCCGCGGATAAGAGGAACAAAAGACAGCCTTTCGTAGACAAGATGGCAGAGCAGGGCAAAGCACCACTCACGCTGGCATGGACAGCAATGACGTCGCCAGAAGTCGGGATTGCACCGTGTCCTTGGCGCTCGCCCGCCCACGCCGTTTACTCTCGGAAGGAAAAGGACTTGTTCGTCTCGAGCTCTCTTGCCATGGCGTACAACATGGCGGCCAACTGCATCTGGGCAAACCTCACCACCGGACGGGTGCACTGGGGATGCAGCACAGCACCATGTGCACCTAACCGCTCCGGGTGTGGCAAAAAGCACAACCCAGCCTCTTGAGGCGCGCTGTTGCCTCGGGACAAGACGGTGTTCATGAATTTTACCTGCCGCTTTCCAGAGCTAGGCGGACCTCCGATCAACCACATCTTGCATCATTTGGAAGGTCAATAGAACAATGCAACACTGCTATCGCATTCGCGATAAATAGTGGTGTTCACTACCAGACAGACCCCGCATCGATCATGCGCCCAGAAAACGCTTGTCTGGCACAAGGACATCCACATCGGAGGTGTCAACCTGATTCGACCGGTGTTGTGCGATATGGCAAGCGGCAAGAACTGCCAAGGGCGGCGATGCGACGGTCCAGGGTGTAGCACGCCGTGCCAAGGTGCATGGCCTCTTGTATGACTCTTGGCACCTTAGCACGCGAAGACTCGCAGATGTGCTTGCATACGTCGTTGTGGAGCTGCGGAAACTTGCAGAATGCCCCAACACCGAGTTTACTGGGTGAGCATAGAGGTTGGCAGGGAGCCGTTTACAATCGACCATGATCAAACAGGAAGGTAGCCTCGAGCTGAAGGCGACCCATCGAGTAAAGTTGAGTTGTGCCTGGTTCCCATGCGAGCTAATGCAGAGCTCATGACGATCATTGCTAGCGATGTGAGCCGTTGAAGAAATATATCAGAACAAAGCGTCCGCCGCAAGAACACGAACCCACGACCCTCACATCTACAGTCACTATGAAGTCCTCCACGACTCTAAACTTCCTCGCCACCGCGGGCCTAGCAGCCGCCGCCCTCTTCAGTGAGGGCGAGTATGACCGCGGTGAGGTCCACGAGATGATCATGGGCAAGAAATTCGTGAGTAAGAGTGACGAGTCTCGCGGACACTACTGACATCGCGCAGAGCAGCTGGGACAAGCATGCTGAAGAAGGTGCATACGAGGCCGAGAACTACGTCCCAGTGGACAGCTTCATGCCTTGCACCGACGGCCAGGTTGTTGTGGTAGAAGGCGATGCCAACAACACCTATAAGTGCAACAACATGGACCTGTTGAACTTCAAGCCTCACAGCGCCCTTGGCAGCTTCACTGGCTTCGGGTCCGGTTCATGGGGATGGGTTTCTGACGACGGTCGCGAGTTTGCCGCCATCGGCCAAAAGGATGGCGCTGCATTCATCGAGATCGGACCTGAGGGAGAGATCATATACCTTGGTCGCCTTCCCCAGTACTCGGTACTGCAGCGGTACTCACAGTGGCGAGAGATCAGGATGTACAAGAACTACGTCTTGATCGGGAGCGAGGCCGTTGACCATGGTACGTCACCTGCCTCAACACGGAGTACTCTCCTCTAATATGTGAATAGGCCTGCAGATCTTCGACATGACGAAGCTCCTGGATCTTGATCCGGCGAATCCAGTCAACTTCTCGCTCTCCGACCAGACCGGCCACTTCCTCGACTACGAGAAGATGCCATTGGGTCGTATGCACAACGTGGTCGTCAACGAAGAGCTTGGCTATGCTGCTGCTCTCGGCTCCGCACCTCGCTTCAACCATAGCTGCGCGGCCGGCTTGGTGTGGATCGACCTCTCAGACCCTTCCAATCCCACATCGCCTGGCTGTGCCGGTGAAGATGGCTACGTCCATGACGCACAGTGCGTAGTCTACCACGGTCCTGATAGCCGATACGAGGGCAAGGACATATGTTTTGGTTACAATGAAGACACATTGACTATCTACGATGCAACTGTCAAGACTGGCGTCAACCAAAGCACAATCATCAGCAAACTCAGCTACGTTGGGGCCTCATACACTCACCAGGCTGGTTCATCGACCAGGACTACCACCAGTACATTCTCCTTGACGACGAGTACGACGAGTACGACTATGCTGTACCTGATGGATACCCCGTCACTTATATCATCGATGTCAGCAACCTCGAAGACCCTAAGCAGAGCGGAATTTACAAGAGCAAGCATTACGGTATTGACCACAACCAGTACATCTTCGACGGCCTCGCATACCAGTCGAACTACGGTATTGGTCTTACCGTCTTGGACGTCTCTGGCATTCCAGACGACCCAACTGGCGGCAACGTCGAGGAAGTTGCTGGATTTGACATCTACCCCGAGGACGATCACTTGCCAGAAGGCGGAGTGCTCGATTTCGTCGGAACATGGAGTCATTATGCTGGCTTCCCGTCAGGACACATTGTCATCAACACCATCGAGCGTGGTGTGTTCGTGACAAAGCTGTCTGGCTTTGAGGGACGCGCGAGGGGCAAGAGGCACGCTGCTCCTCGCCGGCTCAGGTAGAAATGGGGGAGGTGGAGAAATGGGTCTGATGGGACCTTAAATATGTGAAGATATCTCCAGCGAGATCAAATCATAATGTCTTGATTGACTAATGAGCAAAGCGTTGACGTCCATAGCGATCTGCCGTCTGTTCGAGTGATCTTTGAGGCTACTCAAACGATAATTTGCTGCCGTGGGCATTTGGTTCTCATCCCCAAAGTACACGTCCTGAACCTCGTAATTGAAGCTTTCAGGCGGAAAGCCTCCGATAGCCTAGGCCGTTCTTGGCAGCGATACGCGGCAGCGGGGAACGGGCTTCGTACTTGACTCAGCCTTTCGACACCACTGATAACAATCACAGACGAAAGCCATTGGAACAGCTCGACGACGGCAAGGTCAAGAACGACAGCCACCTTAAGGGCAAGCAGCTAGTCCGATGTTGTATTCCTATCGCGGAATCGAGGCGGTGGAGAGCTTCACCAGGAGCAGCTGAATCAGCATTCCAGCAAGAGCAATGGCGGACTTCAACGCTTCCACAAGCGCAAGTCCCTATGGTAACGGCGGCCAGCGGGAGCAGGTGTTGGATCTCGGCGCCAACGGCAATGGCGGTGCGCCGGAAGGCGAAGCGGCAGGCGACGCCGAGAGCTTCCCACGCAAGAAGCGGAGGAAGCTGACTGTGGACGAGCGCAAGCGAGCTGTGAAAGCATGCGATGGCTGCAGGAAAGTCAAGGAGAAATGCGAAGGCGGGCAGCCATGTCGAAGGTGCACTCACCTGCGACGACCATGCGAGTTCTCCGAACTACCTCCACGGGAACCAGATCGTCGGGACACCAGGACTCGCGACCCCAGTAGCGACGACCTCACCATGCGCGTAAAGTACCTAGAAGGGATCCTCAAAGCCAAATCCCCGGCAACTCCTCTCGATACAGACAGTCTGCGCCGCCAATACACCTCACTCCGCCCTTCACCCACTCGCCGCTCCACGAACAATAACGGCAGCAACGCCCAATCCGAGACCGAGGACGCCGACGACCTCAACGAAATCGAGGACGAAAACATCGAGATCCGTCCCGTCGACCACAACGTCGCGCACTATTCTGGTGAGTTCTCCTACTGGAACTTCAGCATGAAGATCAAGAAGCACGTTGAGGACTGGATCGCAAACCCGCACGACCGGAAGGGATCAAAGGACCTCCCTGAGTACTGGCGGCCGAGTGAGCTGAGCAGTGCTGGGGCGGCTATGGTCAAGGCGGCGATCGGGAACTTGCCGCCGCCGCATATTGCGGACTTTTTGGTTAGTGTATTCTTCAAGTATGCGCAGCGGATTTATTTCTATGTTGATCGGAGGTGGCTGGCGAGGCAGATTGATGTTGCGTATAATGAGGCGTGGAGCGCAAGTATCAAGGATCCGGGGACGGTGGCGATCATATTTGGAGTGTTGGCGGTGGGGACGCAGTTTGCGCACATGGATGCGGGTACGAAGGAAGGGCAGCCCGTGCCGAATGAGGATGAGGTTGGGACGATGTTCTATCAGACGGCGACCAGACTGTTGCCGGAGATGATGCAGACGGCGAGCCTGGAGAGTGTGCAAGGTGTTTTGTTGTTGGCGCTGTACACTTTGACGCTAGATGCGAGTGGGTTGAGCTATGTTTATTATGGCTTGGCGATCAGGCTGGCGATACAGAATGGGATGCATAGGCAGTATAGGGGTACGGAGTTGAGTGCAGTGGCGATCGAGACGAGGAATCGCGTTTGGTGGACTGCTTGTTCGGTTGAGAAGTAAGTTGTCGTGCTTTTCGCGTGGATGTATGCTAACAGGAGCAGGAAAATTGGTGTCTTCCATGGTCGGCCTATGTCTGTGCTACGCTCCGATATCGATGCCGACTTACCCAAGGACATTCCGGAGATGCCTGATGAGGAGGGTTTGATCGAAAGGATGAATGTCTCAATCAAGTTGATCCACTATCTCGAAGATTTCATGACAGAAATACAGCAGCTCCGGAAACGAGAGAAGAAAGATCTCCCGAACATCGTCAGCCGGCTTGCGGAGCTGAAGACCGAGTTGACGACTTGGTGGGCAGCAATCCCCGACAGTACATTCAACGTCGATCGGGTGATCGATGCGCCTGCGTTCCGGTCCTGCATGCATCTTCGTCTACTGTATTGTCTTATCAGGATGTTCATTGGACGACCCTTCCTCTTCACCGGAGGACGATACTCAGAAGACAGTCCGAGCAGTCCACCTGACGCCCGGAAGCAGAGAACGCACTCTGCGGAAGGCCAGGAGCCGCCTTTCATTGGTCACAAGAACCGTGAGAGCTCAATGACATCCACTGTAGATGGCAAGAAGAGGCCATCGCGGCGCCTAGCTCTGGTTCACGAGACGATCGATGCTGCTGTCGAAGCGTTGGACCATTGCCGCACCCTATACGAAGCAGAAGGTCTAGCACGAGCATCATACATTGAGTACTCCTCATGTCGCGCATCGATGCTAGCTCTCATAGCATACTCAATCCAAGAGCAGACAGATCAGTATCGAGGCGTTATGCAGAAGGGTCTAGAAATGGTCCGTGAGATGGCAAGTGCCGGAGACAGCGCCAGAGCCGAGTCAACACTCATCGAAGCACTGGAGCGCGCGGTGGCGAGACTTCAAATGTTCTCCCCAGGCTGGCAGCGGAGGAAGAGCGAAGTGCGAAGCGCTCCTGTCCCAGCTAAGCCGCCGCAGCCGAGCAACTACGAGAAGTTCAAGCACTGGCAGCAGACCTTGAAGCGAGGAAGCGACGCTTCTGAATCAGCGCAATTGCCCGCTGGCAGCATGGGTCCACCTACCTCCAACTGGGACCAGACCCAACAGCAGCCACGATCTCGGCAGTCAATGCCCCTTGAAACAATGCTCGACTTACCATCGACCTCTCCCTATGCCTACAGCGATGCCTCATCCACCAATCCTGCCGCCACAGGCTACGCAATGCCTGCCGCGTCCACCAGCTCTGACCCCGGCATGTCCGATCAGACGACGCAGTTCTTTCAGCAGCACCTCACTGATGCGAATCAGCAAGCGGCAGCAGAAGCAGCCTTTTTCCAGACATTGCACGGCGGCATGTCGGATATCACTCCGTCTGCGGCGGCTGTGAATGGCTGGCTTACGCAGGCGAGGCCGGAGCGGCAGCTGCTGGATCATTTCTTGAACATGCCGGAAGGGGATTTTGAGAGCGTGGCGCTAGGATGGCCCAGGGTCGGAGCTGATATGGGTCAAAATGAGGGCGGGCAAGTGGCAGGGCAGGATGCGACTGGAGCAGGGAACGCTGGGTTTGGTCTGAATGATACGCTCTGGTGGGATCTTCCCGGGACGGGGAATGGGAATGGCGGAGGGGCGCAATTGCCTGGGTTCGGCGGCTGGTGAGACACAGTATGGTGGAAGCCCGTTACGTGCTAGCTATGAGCTGGATGCTCCTCCAGAAAGCGTCTGGACGGGTACATTGTGCTGATCAAGTGTCGAGCTCTCGTCAACCGGTGTGCGGAGGCGATCATGGAATCCTCAAATTCTTGACAATGATGCGCTTCGTCACCTGACTGATTGCTGTGAATAATCGTCCAGGACCATGAGTTTTCGCTGCTTTCACCAAAAATAGAGTGCTGAAGCAAGGGCCGTACGAGGCTTGTTCGAGGAAAGGCATATACCTGCCCAGGTAGGCAGTGACTCGTCAAGCTGTCCAACACTTGAGTTTAGCCTCACTTGGCCCAGCCGGCGAACCTAGGATGATTGCTGGGGCTTCGCCTTCATGTTCTGATGATGCGCAGGTCACGTTCATCCCAACTGCTGCGTCATCCGATCTCCATAACCCGCGTGTGGGGGCATGCTCCGCCACCAAAAGTACGCCTAGCCGAATCTCCGCCCCCATAGTCCACATACAGGACATCTACTGTTCATCTCTCCTTCCCAACGTCACCAGTGACCATCATGCCTGCCTGCCAGGTCTCTCGAACGTGCGCAATGGCCGTTCCACAGTTGCTCTTGCGTAAGCTGGAGATGTCGATTGGCGAGGGCAGGCACCCGCCCTGCCGCCCTAGACGAATGTCCGCTTAGACAAACGTTAACCAGTCCTTTCTACACAGCCCACGCATCACGACCATACATTGGTAAACCATACTAGTATCCTACTGCTAGTATCCATTCGTTGACTTCAAGCTGAGCAAAGCTCCACTGTATGATCACCTGATTCAGTCCTACGCCTATAAGTATGGCGGCTTGTGTCGCGGCGTTCACTGCTCTTTCAGCAACCACATCTACTATACCAAACCTCTCTGCAGCCAACAACTTAAACAACACGAAGAAGTCTCAAAACAGGGCACAACGAGAGCAGAAAACTACCCGCAGGACGTCAACCAAGAAATCAGATCAGCTTCACGGCTGCGAACCAAAGGACACTGACTCCGACACATCCAAGACCGAGCACAAAGACCAAGCATCACGCAGACATCGCTTCAAGAAGCTATTCGGAAACAAACCCAAGGACACCGCAGATATGGGCTGCGGAATGTCACGTCAGGCAGGAGACTACGACTCCTATCCGGTCGTAAAGCAGCGTCGGAGGCGTCATGGCGGCACCAACGCTGGAGCATATACGGGTATGGGCTATGTTGGCGGCGGTCATGGCCATCACGGCGGTGGCTTCTTTGGCGGTGGTGGTGGCGACGGCGGTGGTGGTTGTGGAGGAGGCGATGGCGGAGGTGGTGGCGGCTGTGGAGGTGGCGATGGCGGAGGTGGTGGTGGTGGGTGCTAAATGCAAAGCAAGTGTGCGAATATCGAGACAAGTTGCCGTGTCCACTGAGACTGGAGTACTCACATGTTGTCCTTATCACTCGGTGAGGGGTGGGTGGCTACTGGATTGGGCTGCAAGACCACGACTGTCACCTTCTGGTCTTTGGGTCGTGCAAAGGAGTCGAAAGCACCCTTCGAATTACTCATAGTTGCTGAGAGGACTTTGAGACCAGTGTATTTCTAGATGTCATTTTGCCCATCGATGGCCTTCAGACCTTCGCCACCACAGTCTGCCTTCGTCACATACCGGAGCCAGCACCTTTATACGCAACACAATCGCGAGGACAGTAAATGGCAATAGTCGTCTCAGTCCCCATGCTCAGACCGCACAGCGCCTGCTTTCGACACCCTGATGATCCCCTCCGCAAGCTCCTCAAAGCTTTCAGCAGTAACGTCCATCTTCCCAAACAGCTCATCCACTGCCTCGCCCTCCAGCACTGTAACATACGCACCCCTATCGAATCCAGACCTCTTCGCCGCACTCACATCCCACTGATGCGCCGCGGCAAACCACGTCTCAACCTCCTCCCCGCCCGCATCGGCCCTTAATTCCTCTAACAAAGGTTTGTAGGACTCCGAATGCGGCTTCCCAACCCCAGCCGAATCGCAGCTCCGGAATTGCTCTACTGGCAACGACACCCCGCCTTTCTCGAGCATGCCCTGCACAGAGGATGCGTCGCCTGCGGTGAACGCCCACATCGTGAAGCCTTCAGCGCGTAACCTCTCCCAGCACTCCTTGACCCCGTCCCTGACTTCAAGGTTTGCGAAGCTATCCATCACTGCGTCCACGTCCGCCTCGCTGACCACCTCTCGCGGATTGGGAATGCCCAGGGACAGCAGGACGCGGTAGAAGAGGAGGCGCATAACAGTGAAGTAGGGCGTGTAGCGGTTGGAGATGGAAAGGAAGGTGTATTCCCGTTCGGCGGTTTCATTGAGCAGGTGCACAAATGTCGCGGGGAGAATGTTGTGCTTGGAGAGAACAGGGCCGAGCAGGGCCGTGACGGTGCGCACGGGCGCATCGTAAGAGACGCAGGTGCCGACTATGTCCCAGACGACATGTTTGCGGGCTGACATGTTGTGTGCTTGGGTGTCTCTTGGTTGGTGGTTGGGATGGGTTGGGTCCTGGAGAGCGGACTGAGACGATCGTCGTGATTGCTCAGACGTGTCCCGTGATATTGCAAGCGGTCTTGAGCACGAGGTTTGGGGCCAGGAAAATTACTTATACACACTTGCTTGAGTGATGTTCACGGGAATCCGACCTTCATTTCAGGTCGTGGTCCGGTCTCTGCTCTGCTTTCCTCCAAAGCATGGAGCATCTGAATACGCCAGAGCCAGTGCTCGATACTTACATAACAGCACTTCCACTAAGACCGAAAGCACCTTCACACATCGACTTACATGGGTTGCTTGTACACTAGGCCATTGGACGATGAAAACGTGGCCATCTCGTAAGCCAAGCTCTATACGCGGTAGACCGGGCCGTGCGAGTGTCGTTTGCGACGATCAGTTCCATTTCGTGACTATCGCGAGACATGCGCGCAGTAGTGAACTTCGCGACACTGGGAGCGGAGAATGGCAATTTGTGCCACACAATGCTGTGGCAAGACACATGAAGCAAAGGTCATCGCTGAAGCGCGAAAACGCGCTTAGCAGATTGAAAGGAGTTAAGCTTGTGTAGGTCCGGGCTAGAACCTCTTCTCTTCTCGATTTTCCACCGCCTGGAAACGAAGTCCGAACACACTGAACAACTAAGGACAACGACTTCCTCGCCCATCGTTCCCATTGGCAAGCCGTCAAGGCGGCTTGCGGACGGCTGACGGGTTACGAGGATGTCTACGGTCTGTCATCATGTCTGACCAGTCTCGTCCTTTCAATGTCACGGACGAACTGAATAAGCTCCGCCATGAGAAGAAAAATGGCCAGATGAGAGCGCTTCCTCCAAATGCCACAATCCAAAAGCGCCCAATCATACATGCACCAATCCCATCGCAACACGCCGGCGCAAAGGTTCCCAAAGTGGTTTACGTCTCTTCCAAGACTCCCTTCATCTCCGCCGTGAAGAGAGTCAAGAAACTTTTGACGCACGTTGAAAAGCGTGCTACCAAGGACGTTCAGCTGATACGCAATGGGCCCGAGAAAGGAATGCGGAAGTTGGCGCAGGCCAGTGAGGATGTCGGCAAGCAGAGGGAGGAGGTCTTGGTCAAGGCTAGTGGAAGGGCAATGGAGAAGGCTTTGAGGATTGGGGAGTGGTTCAAAGAGAAGGAGAAGGACGTGCTTTGCAATGTTGAGGTCAGGAGCGGGAGTGTCAGTGTTGTGGATGACATTGTTGAGACGAAGGAGGAGAGTGAGGAGAGTGCGAGCGAGGAGGAGCATGAGGAGCAAATTGAAGAGTTCACCGAATTGACGACTGAGTTGGAAGGTGGCGAGACTACTCTCGAGCTTCTCGGGAATCCCACGAGTACAAGTGATGCCGCAGTGCCAGTCACGGAAACCGAAGAGGCGAAGGAGAGTACAGGAGTCTCAACAGGCACAAATGCTGGCAAGAAGAAGAGAAAACGTGGCAAGCGCAAGCGGAAGGTCTATGAGGCTGACGAACTGCCGGAGTCTCGCATACGATGGGTCAAGACTGTCGAAGTTGCAATATCCCTGAAGGGCTGACAGGAACGACCTTCGCGGGGCTCAAGGCAACCATGCCGCTTTTTGTCAAATCAGCGTGCATTTCTAAGGAAGGTACATTGTGACTAGCTGAGAATGCCACTTCACTTTCCTTCCGAATAACAGTCTCCTCATATTCTCTCCTGCTGTGCCTAGAGTACTTTGGGTAAACCATGCAGTATGTATACGACGGATATAATATCCATATACCCGCGCCAAGATATACATGAATGATTCTCCAAGTGATGTGCATGCCTGATGAATTGTCTGCGTACTTAAAGAACAGCAAGCACACTGGTGGCAGACTGCATCGTTGTGAGGACAAAGGCACCCTTAACCCACTCTTCAGAGCTGATACCACAGAGCCAGCTACTGTCGGAGGGAGAGATCGTGCTGGCGGGAAGGTGTTCGGCGTCACTAGGCTCTGATCTCGTGGGCAACGATGTCGGCCAATCCGCCTCCGGGTCAGGCGTTGAGCCATAAAGATGCTGCCAACTTCCGGCAAGTGGTGCGCCACTTCGAAAATAAGCAGTACAAGAAAGGTCAGCAACACTACTCAAGCCACGGCCGCTCAGACTAACAGCGCACAGGCCTCAAGAGTGCGGAACAGATCCTGAAGAAGAACCCCAACCATGCCGACACACAAGCTATGAAGGCCCTCATAATAGGCACACAGGGCCAGACAGATGCAGCCTTCGCGCTGGCAAAGACGGCTCTTGGTAATAACATGAAGTCGCACGTCTGCTGGCATGTGTACGGTCTACTGTATCGCAACACGAAAGAGTATGACGAGTCAATAAAAGCCTACAAGTTCGCGTTACGGTTAGAACCAGAGTCAGCGCCCATACAACGAGACCTGGCCCATCTCCAAATACAAATGCGAGACTTCGACGGCTACGTACAAAGCCGGAAAGCAATGCTGCAACAAAAGCCGGGAATTCGCCAGAACTGGACCGCTCTGGCGATTGCCCATCACTTGGGAGGCGACTACGAGGAGGCCGAGAATGTACTCACGACATACGAAGAGACACTGAAGACCAAACCTGCCAGGTCCGACATGGAGCACTGGGAAGCCGTGATGTATAAGAACAAAATTATAGCTGAATCAGGAAACCTCGAGAAAGCCTTGGACCACCTTGAGGCCGTTGAGAAGAGGATACCAGACTTACAGGGCGTCCTGGAAACCAAGGCTGATTATCTGCTCAAGTTGAAGAGGCCGGAAGCGGTAAACGCCTATGCTACTCTGCTTGACCGAAACCCTGAAAATTCAGCATACTATGACAGCTACATCTCTGCCAAAGGACTGAAGGACGACGACGTAGAAGGATTGAAGAAGGCATACGCTGAGCTTGCTGAGAAGTTCCCGAAATCAGATCTGCCACGAAGGCGGCCGCTTGATTTCCTGCAGGGGGACAAATTTCGAGAAGCGGCAGATGCGTATTTGCAAAAAATGCTGCGGAAAGGCGTGCCATCAACGTTCGCCAACATCAAGCAGCTCTATACTGACGCATCGAAAAAGGACATTGTACAGGATATTGTCGAAGGTTTTGCCGCAAAGCCGCCGGCACAAACCAACGGCGACAGTGACAAGAAGGACCATTTTGAATCACAAACATTATACTTCCTAGCCCAGCACTACAACTACAAACTCAGTCGAGATCTCGACAAAGCTATGAGCTATGCTGAGAAGTGTATAGCGCTTGACGAGTCTTCGGTCGACGCACATGCCGTCAAGGCGCGCACACTCAAACACAAAGGCGATGCTGCTGCTGCCTCGAAGGAAATGAATGCAGCCAGAGCATTGGACGAACGTGACAGAGCAATCAACACGAAATGTGCGAAATATCAGCTCCGCAATGACGAGAATGATGCAGCTCTGGAAACAGCGTCGAAGTTTACACAGAACAAGACATCGGGAGGTCCACTCGGAGACCTGCTCGAAATGCAGTGCGTGTGGTATCTGACAGAGGACGGCCAGTCATACCTGCGGCAACATAAGCTTGGACTAGCATTGAAACGTTTCCATCAAATTTTGAATATCTTCGACGTATGGCAGGACGACCAATTCGACTTCCACAACTTCTCGCTTCGAAAGGGCATGATCCGTGCTTACGTCGATATGCTACGCTGGGAGGACCACCTTCGGGATCATCCCTTCTTCAGCCGTGCTGCCGTTTCCGCCGTCGAAGCATACATTCTACTTCACGACAACCCAGATCTGGTACACGGCCATCTGATGGCCACCAATGGCAGCGCAGAAGAGATGTCGGCAGCAGATAGGAAGAAAGCGCTTAAGAAGGCTAAGCGAGAGCAAGAGAAGCTCGAAAAAGCTGAGGCCGACAAGCGAGCTGCTGCAAAAGCTGCAAAGCCTGTGCCAAAGGCGGACCAGGAGGATGGCAAGAAGGAAGACAACGATCCCCTCGGCAAGACTCTGCTCGAGACGAAAGAGCCTTTGAAAGATGCGATGAAGTTCCTGACGCCATTGCTGGAATATTGTCCAGATGTGGAAGATGCGCAAGTTGTTGGCTTTGAAGTCTATAGGCGCAGAGAGAAGTGGCTTCTCGCAACGAGGTGCTGGTTGAAGCTGCAACATCTGAATGCTTCGCATGAGAAGCTCGCAGGCTTCAAGACGGAGCTGAAGAAGGGACTCAAGAGCGCCGATGGTCTTAGTGACAAAGTAAGAGAGGTCATCAAAGCCGAAGCAGGCGAGCTGCTGGATTGAGACTGCTCGCACGTCACACAACTCGAATCCAGTCCTGCGGCGCGAATGCTCCTGCCTGAGAGCAGGCACGCGACTGAGGTCTGCAGGCGCGTGTGCTTTACTGCGCATACGAAACGTGACTGGACATTCTTCGCATACAATGCGGGCTATGGGACTACCTGTAAATGGCGGATCTAGCAAAGAAACGTGCATAGCGTCAGGTAGAGACACAAAATGGGATGAGACATACGATGACTCTATTCGGCCATCTCAAGTTGAATGTATCGTGGACGGCGCGTCTTTAAAGTACCGATCTCCTAGATAGGATTGGTACATCGTCCATATCATACGAGGACAATTTGGTGACCTGCGAAGTTGATTCGCCTTCCTTACTCACGGTCCTTTCTCAGTGTTGACTAGCCGCAGCCCTGAATAGACGAGCCACAGACTGGGCAGGACAGCCGCTGACGACTCTTTGAACTCCATGTGTGATCAGTCTAGTCGCGCCCTGCCCAACGACCAAGGGTAGCCCTGAAGGCCACCATTTTTTCCTTCACGGTGGCGCCTGAGGAGTGCCAGATCGGTTGGGCCAGGGGCCCCGGGTCTGATGGGCTTGACCTGCTCATTCTATCTCAAGCAGGTAGACTGCTTCGGTGCGGAGAATGTGAAGCGCTTGCACCAATTCGGCCAAACGAGAGCTCTGCGGGAAGATACCGCTTCGCACAACGCTCAGGCCTTCTTCCTAGACCGCAGCTCCCTCGTGCTTCCCTCGATGGCTGTCGATTTGCCCTTCTCCTGCTTAGCCTCCTTCGCGGCCTTCTGGGCGTAGATCTCGGCGGTGAACGGGCTGTGATGGATCTTGGTCAGTACAGGTTTCCACAGTCCGCTCGAATTTCTGAAGAAACCCCGAGCAAGATGGGGACAGAAGGAACACTCACTCCTCAAACCTCAACGCGACGACATACATGGCCGCCACAACACCACTCAACGCCACTCCCGCCAGCCTCCCCTTCCACAGACTGATCCCCAAGAAGCACAACGTACTCCCCACATACATCGGACTCCCACCCGTCCACCACACAAACGGGAACCCCTGCACCATATCCTCCATCAAGATCCCAAAATAGTCGCCCAAATACGTCCCCGTAACCCCAAGCCGCCACATGCTGGTCAAGACCAACACCTGGCCCGCCGCAAAACTCACCGCTCCCAGTAACGGGAGTTGCACGGGCGGGTACACCGGCTGATTGTCCAACGCGACATTGAAGAGATGGTCTCTCAAGATCCCAAGGGAGAAGATGGTCAGCGCCAGGAAGTAGCAGCCGTAGTAGCATTGCCGCGGAAGAGTTTGGTGAGGAAGTGCGTACGATACTCGGCTTGGGCGACGATGTTCTCTAGTAGATCGGGTTGAAGGCGATTGCGCACAGTGCGGTGGTGAGGGTGGGTTGGGAGAAGTCGATGGTGCCGACTTTGGGAGAGTTGGGGTTGAGGAGGGAGGAGAGGTATTGTGGCCAGGTTATGGACATGGTTGGTTTGGGGTGGGTGGTGAGTTTGGTGGTGGTTCAGGGAGGGGGGGCCTGGAGTTGATGGTGGGATGGCTTTCGGCAGGCGTCGCTTGGGTTGTGCTAGTTTGAGGACGAAGTTCAGTTCGAAACTGATACTTCAATGCGCAAAATGTCAGATCAGAAGGGGAGAATCAGAGAAAAGAAGCAGTGGATGGCATTACCTTGAACGTCAGTTGGAGTTCGAGCAAAGCACGTCCCACCTCTGTTCGGCACTTCCGTGATACTTGGCATGTGACGTAAATTGCAGTGGGGGTGGATATGCCGATGTTTTTCGTTGCTGGGATGCACCTGCAACATCATCGTGAGATTTGGTCGACAGGGTAGGCACAGGCGCGATGACCGTGCCGAGCGTTGCTCCAGTCTGCATTCTATTCTATCAACACAACGACACCTCCTCTCTTATCCAACTTCACCCCGTCACCAGCAGGCTGGACTCTCAGCGTCTGATTGAAGTAAGCATCGACCACGTTTAATTGCACCTTCAGCCACTCTCCCTTCTTGTCTTTCTCCTTCTTCCGCTCCTTCGCACCTTCCGTGTCGCGCTTGTTGGGCAGGATCTTGTAATCTATCTCGTACTTGCTGATCGGCACCAAACTGACCGCACTTGCTTTTGGCCCACTGAACGCAAAGTCCTCACTCGCCTCCATCGAACATTGAATGTTAAGAAGTGCATTGATGGGTTTTCGATCGTGTAGCGCAATGAGATAAGCTGCATGTCTTGCGGGCTGGGCAGCCTCGCCGTCCCGTCTATGGTCAAGAGCACGCGTGGCTCAGCCATTGCATTGACAAAGCGTGGTACTTCCAAGATCGTGGTGTTGACGAGGTCGCTGCCTGGTCTTCGCCATCCGATCTCTAAGAGAAGCTCGAGGGAGACGGTCTCGCGATCACCCAGAACGAGCTTCTGGATGGTGAGGTCGAAATTGAAGTTTTTGGTTTCTTCTGGCGCGATAGAGGTGGAGATGTCGTCTTCTGCATTGGGTTCTGCCCCGGACGGGTTGAGCAGCGTACCAGTCGTTGATGAGCAAATCGCGCCACCCGTAATGGAAGAGGTGGTCAGTAAAATGGCTTCGATTACGACAGGCTCAAGCGCAAAGGAGAAGAGGTTAGCAGCCACAGAAAAGGTCTGTGTCAGTCCGCTCGGGACATCTGTGCTGGTGGGCGGGGGAGCAAAATAGCTTGGCCAGTCTCCTGTCGATCGTCGTGGAACAAAGTCGTAATTGGCTTCGAAAGGCCGAATGATGGCGATATCGAGAGTGAGAGTTTTCTGTAATAGCGTGCCTGGATCAGCTTTCATGCTGTAAAGAATGCTGACCTCGAGCTCGTGGTCTATGGCGACGAACGTCTCTGACAGACTTAGGGAGAGCTTGGCAGATGACCCTGGAGCAAGTTCTTCGAGACTTCGTGCGGGTAAGAGCTGTTCAACATCCTGCACCTTGGTCTCTTCGCTGCTATCCTGATCGACCCAACTGACATGAGCAGCTTCAGTCAAAGGACTGATCAATCGGGCCTGTAATTTCGAAACAACCGTATCATTTTCATTGTTGAGCACCATCAATTCGATCACGACTCTCTCATTGGTGTAGTACGCTTTCCTGAAGTTGATTGCGCTTATTTCGACTTTCGGTGGCTTTGGAAGTGCATGGAACGTGGTAACAGCACGTTGCACACCAATTTCTCGCCGGAGTGGCTTGCTATCTCTGGTCTCCCACCAAGTGCTTTCGGTCTGCGCGGCTTCCGTGTTAATGACGGTTATTGAATACTTCTCTGCTTCTATCATTGCCGTTAGCGACGCTGCTGTTAGGTCTCCTGGTTCACGTGGTATCACTGAGATATTGAAGATCTTGGTTTGTCCAGGATGAATGCTGAGATCCGCCTGGCCCGACACGGATGGCAGAGCACTTGACGAATGCCTTTTCTCTGCCTGTGTCAGCTGAGTCGAATCCTCAAGGTGAATATCAGCGGAGATTGTCCCAGCTCGCTCGACCTCAGCAGACTGCGCGGAATGGATCAGAAGAACTGGCTTCAGAGCCCCTTCGAACGCAATCTTGATGTGGCTGAGAGTTGTAGGAGGTACACCAGCCATCGTTGGGGAGCTGATGACAAGTTGACAGTCAACAGGCTCGCCCACATGCCCCTCTGCGGTGGAAAAAGCGAAGCTGGTGACGATGCGGGAAGCCGTATCCTGTATAGTGAAAACAACAGATAGCTTTTCATCAGCTGCATAATCCCTAATCGATGCGTCCAGGCCGTAATCGAAGTCAGGTCTTGAGCTAAACGAATCGTTCGCAAGCTCCCACACAAGTCGCAGGAGAAGGTCAGTGTCATTTGCCTCCCTCGCACACTCGAACAAAAGCCAGCCAACGTGTTCCAGAAGACGCCACCAACCTGCTTTCCGCCACGTTGACTTCTCCCACAAGGGCTGCAAGACCTCGATTGCATCTGTCCAAGACCCAGTTCGAGTGTGCTCTCTGGCCCGATCCAGCTGCAGCTGTTCTTGCAGGCGAAGTTGCCCATGTCGTGCGAAGAAGTCGTTTGCCGAATCGAGAAGGCGAAGGATTTCTGCTTTGTGATCGAATCCGTCGCCACGATCAAGCGGCGCTTCCTCGTGAGGTTCAGGCACGAGGTACGTATCATACTTCTGTGACCTGCTACCTGGGTGAGCTGTTGGCGGCTTCACAGGCATTTGTCGATCTTCCTCTGGAGTGTCGATTGCTCGTTCGCGCCGACGTCTCGTATGCTTCTGAGCTCTCTGTAGCCAGTAACCCTGGTGGTGTAATTGATCTGCCGGTGGTATAGCTTCTGGAACTGCCACAGGTTGATCTGATGAAATAAAGACAGAGCCGTAAGTTTGCAGACCCGGGACATCAGCCTGGTGAGCAGATCGGCCATAGTTTTGGACCATGTGCTTTGCCATGCTTCCCAAGCATAAGTCTCTGTGCCCTTGCCGCGGCGATCCAGTAGTTCCGCGACTCTGGTTTGATGACCTCTCCATACTTTCACAGCTGCGGTATGCTGGGCAGTCCAGAGCAGGCACCGGATCATACGTAATGCAATCACATCAGCCAAAAGGCGAGCTTGCTGAAAGCGAGGACTCCATGAAGCTACCGAATCGATCAATTCCGGAGTGAACAGGGTCTCGTATGCTGTTTCGTAGCTGCGATACGCAGCATCCATTTCCTGCCGGAACTCTGCAAAGACAGCGAGCTTGAATTCGTACCGCACGATCCATCCTTGAGACGGGAGATTATGCGCCGTCGTTGGAGGGATGGTCGGCTGCGGCGTGGCGTTGCGATTGCGCTTTCTGCGGGTATGCTTGGAAAGTTCACGGTAATACTCGATGCTTTGTGGGTGCAAAGCATTGAGCAGCGATGTGATGACTTCTAGCACATCTTGTGGCGAGGAGTCCGAAGGTATAAAACACAGACTACGCTGCTCTAGCAAGGTCAGCTTGCGAATGGCAGCAATGCGCTCCTCAACTTCGGCCGGTGCAACAACCTCATCGCCCAGCAGTATGACCACGAGTTTTGTTTTGTAATTTGTAGACGAGAGCGCCGATTTGACGCCATTGACCTCGGCTCTGAGCTGGTTGTCTAGCAGCGAACTCGTGTTCGGATCTGCTGTCAAAGGCAAGACCATGAGTATGGCACTTGGCAAATGATATTGGTGCTTGGCTATCCATTGCTGGTCAATGACACCATCAGGGTATAGGGGTGAGATCGGCGTCAAAGGAGACAACGGGGAGTGTAGGACCAGCGAAGGCGGCGGACCAGGCCCTATGTTGGTCAGGCGAGGTGAGTGCGGCGGAGGAGGCGCTTTGTGAGGAGGAAGCGTGAACGACTGCGTGCCTGTTAGACCCCATCCGAACAACATGATAGAGAGTCGAACCTACCCGGCCAACATTCCTCACTGCAAATAACTTGGTCGGCGGCGAGACGGTCCTCCATGGCGCCTCTGATCCATCAAATCTATAGATTGCTTTGCTGACAGACTCGGCCAAGGCTGTCTCTATCGCAGGCAGATCAGTTCTGATGCGGAAGCCGCCCTCCTGGGGCTGCCTCGCAGTCTGTTTGGTGGAGCCAGCATCTTCGCGCAAGCCGGACACAAAGATCAGCGGGAGATTATGAGAGACGTAGTCTTCTCCGAAGACATTCATATCGCCTCAAGCGTGTTCCGAACTTCGGCACGCCATACATTGAGAAGTGGTGCATCACCGAAAAGGAGCGGCACTTTGTTGTTTGCTGAGCGCGGTCATAACTGCTTAGATGCCGACAGCCGCTACGAATCTGGCAGTCGCGCTCTTGCAGGTGCTGTACTGTGACTACTATCAGCATCACCCACTGCATGGGTCGTCGACCAAGATTTCGGCAAGCTTTCCCCGTTCGGACGCGTCTTGGAAGGCAGCACAGGTCTTGGCCACGCGACGACGACCTCTTACCATCCGGGGCATCACTCACGTCCACACGCAGTCGACGTAGTTGACACATGCTCCGGGGTACCCGTCTTCTTTTGGACGCGAGCGCGCCATGTACTCGTCCTTAATCTGTTGGTACTACAGAACTACCTTCGCTCATCCTGACGTCTTGACCCACACGTTCTTCCCATATGGCAACCCTACACGTGCATAGTCTATCACTTCAAAGAGCATTCGACAGCAAAATGAGATGTTACGTGCAGCTCGGCTGGCAGCCCCATTGACGACGCGATGTCGCGTGCCTGTCGCGACCAATGAAGCTTACGTAGAATCGTGAGTCCATCCAGATGTCTCGTGCACAGATCGGCCAGCTACATGCGATGAACCGTCTTGGAACAGCCATCTGCCATCGATCGTTCACTGCCCGGGCAACGTGGCGATAAGAATGCTCATATACAGCGTACAGCCAGCGTTAACGTGAAGAGCCGCGTGAAGACGGGATAGCAGCATCTTTGTGTCACTTGAACTTGATCACGCTGTTGCCCAACTCGACCACGAAATTATGCGAACCAGATCTTTCTGCTCAACGAATTTGTCAACAAGCCAACCTCTTGTCATCCCTAACGTGGACTTTCACCTGTGGTGGTTGACTTCACATCTTCTGCCCTTTTTCCCGCAGCCCTTTTTCAATCTCTTCTGCTTGACTCAGCCAACCATCTACAACTTGCGTCGCCAACTTTCCGCAAAGCACTGTCTCTGAATTACTTTCGATCCGCAAGGCTGCTTCGAGCAAGATGGGTTTCTCGCGGCTGACAGACAGATCTGGCTCCTCCTTCGCCATCAACGGTCTCAATGCGATCTTCCGCCTTCTGCAGCTAGCATTTGGTATCGTTGTGGTCGGCATCGTAAGTCCAGGTTTACAAGACTCACACGTGATGCTGTATACTGACACCTCGTCCAGTACGCTGACGTTCGACATGCGCACTGGTGGACGGACTACTCACAGACCCGCAAGATCATCGTAACATTCTCAAACATGCCCGTCTACGGCGGTCAAGAACTAACAGGCCACCAGGACCTTCCCATCGCCGCAGGTGCTCTCACGATCCTTACCGCTCTCGTCTTCGGCATCATGCCCTTCCTCCTCTCGTACTATTTTGTCGCCATCGCATTCCTTTGGGACTGGATCGTTGTAAGCTCTTCCTCCAAGCGCTGCCTATCGTTCTTTCACTAAGCGCATAATCAGTTCTTTGTCTGGTGCGCTGCCTTTGGCACTCATCACAAGGTCTTCGGAGCCGGCTGGCAGGTTGACTGGCTGAAGGACGAAGGCTACGAGAAGGTCGATACACTAGTTGCTGGTCAATGGCTCCTTCTGGGCGGCATGCTAGTTCAGTTGATGTCGGCTATCATGGGCCCAGTCTGCTTGCTGCTTGACCGCAAGAGCTTGCGAGCTTCTCGAGCCGGTGTCTAGTCAATGATCGCGAGGCCCACAAACGCTTCAGCGAGAAGTGCTCGCAAGGCACTCGGAACGTGACCGATGCAGGACCGGCGATACATAGTGCCGCCACACGCATCTCAGGCTCAAAAGGGCGTTCAGATTGCATCCATCCCGGGGCAGGCTGAACGTATGACCAACACACAAAGAGCGGCATTGAAGTCATGGAGCAGCTGGCTAACTCGCCCGCTGTAAGCCACGTGGACTTCTTTTCAGGGGTTGTGACCAACGCCAACAGAGATACGGCATTTGCGCGGTCCGTTGCAGCAGGAAGGGCGCAGATTGGTAATGCATGTCGGCAAGGCAGGATGTTCGCCAGCTTTAGCAGAGAACGGCTGCATGAGCATGCCTACTCATTTATCCAAAATAGCCTCTTGCACCACGCTGAAGGCGCGCGATCAGCGCACCGAGAATACACAACACAGGACAACTTTTGAAATGTCTTTGGATTTCATGGTCAAGCTAACGAAACGCCTGACTTCGTTCTTCTAGATCAACCTCTTTCCATGCATCTCACGTATTCCAGGCGCCAAACGAAAGAAGTAGCTAAAGTACAGTCCACGACAACAGTCATGGTCCCTTCCTTGCCTCCATCGCTTCCATCTCTTCGTCCCGAGGGAAATTCAAGAGTCCGCCACCGAACGCCAATAGGTCGACCTGTTCCTGAAACCAAGAGGCGCTTGAACGCGAGAGCAGAAACACTAAGGAGAAAATCTTCCGTTATGTGCTCGTAGCTTTTGATGAAGTTTGTTGATCAAATTGCGCAATGCCGGATCACGCGCGAGCCCCTGCCGCGCAGATTGCGCAAGGCGAGGGCTCGCGTACAAGAATTGAAGACCTCGCCACAGGAGGTTGAGGACTTTTCCGATGAAGTCTAACGCTGAGAAGTCGTCATATCATGCACTCATCAATCGTGGACGCTTGCTAGGGCCGCCAGAGTCTGGTTCGGGGATGAGGATAGCTTGAGAGTTAAGGACGTTTTGAGCGTGATCGTACGCACTAATGCGCTGAACTGGTGTGACACCATTGTAATGTGGTGAGGCGTACGGCGACTCGTAGGTGTTCTTTCTTTTGCGTCCGATAGGAGCAGTCGAAGCAATTGGCGAGCTGAGTTCCGCAAATGATGGTGTGGTTCTGAGAGCAGCGGACTGTGGGTTCGCACTTCTGCGGAACGCTGTGACGGTATTGCTGTCCAGAGACTGCAGGTGGCGATGCTGTCGAGCCGAGGCAGGAGTAGTTGGATGTTTGAAGACCGGGGTAGCAGGGATGGGGGTAGCATCGCTCTCCTCGTCATCGGAGTCATCTTCGAAACTGATTACATCTTCAATGTGTATCATGTCCTCGTAGTCATCAAGATCAACATCGTCAAAGGGGCCCTGAGCCTCGAGTGCTGAGACGTCGCTACCATCGAAATCGCTTTCGTCCATCAGCTCTTCAAATGCAGCGCTCGGACTGTTCATGGCAGAATCTTGGTAACGACGCACAAATTCGTCACCTAAGAGATGAGGATCGGTGATCACAAGATGCTTCCCGGTGCGGTCAAGCGTGGCTGACGGCTTGCTTCCGTCGTCGATGAAATAGCCAAATGGCGGACCACTGTTGGCTTTGGAAGTATTCCGAGACGCACTCTCGCCATCTGTTGCTTGAGTGGTAGCATCATTGTCAGCCACGTTGTCGGCGTCATCTTCGGGCTGACCCGCTCTCATTTGCTGCTCTAGGGGCGGGAGCCATACTTCAGTAGCATCAGCTGAACAGAGGGTCAGCAAGAACAATCAAGAATACGTGAGACCTACAGTCATAGTCCTCTGGCTCCTCTGGCTCAGCCTCAGCCAGATCGGACTGAATGCCACCTGCTCCCTCAGGAAACTCACCGCCATCCACCATCGGGCTAGGAAGAAGGGACCGCTGAAACGTAGGAGATTGTGATAGGTCCTGACCAAGTAGAGCAGTGTGATCAACCTGGAATCGGACAGTGCGACGTGGGAGCTTCTCAGGGGTCTCGGCTTCGTCCTGTGAGGAAAGAGCATTGGGAACGGTGCCCTCATCACTATCGTAAGAACCGCCAAACCCATACGAAGAGAACCCATCAATATCGTTGAGCATGTCAGCGCCATAGAGCTCGTCTTCTTCAAAATCAGCAATAATCTGCTGCTCTTCAAATTCGCCAATAATCTGCTGCTCTTCCAAACGATCAATATTGTCATCGTCAGAGTCACTGACATAATTGACACCTTCGTAAAGAGCGTCATCATCGGAGCTCGGCGCAACATACTCCCTTTCGAAAGCTGCCGCGTCTTCGGCAGACATCATCAAGTCGTCGTGGATTGCCGCGGGTCGCGCGGTTGGAAACATAGAGCCAATGTCGTAGCCAGTCTCCGAGTCAGGCATTGGCCCAGACGAAGAGATACGCACATGCCCCGGCACAGAAGAGTGAAGCTCATCGTGTACCGGGGCAAACACGGCTGGCAGGTCGTCTTCCTCATCGACATCGTCTGAGTCTGACAGTTCATCTGAGCCGTCTTCGGCATCGAAGTCCTCAGACGAGTCCGAGACGGAGGACTGAGGAGAAGCCTGACGTCTTCGCTTGTTCTGTTGTACACTCGAGGCATACTTTGAACGACCATTTGGCCCTCTCTTCCTACGTGAAGAGGGATCCTGGTAAGTCTCATCGGAGAAGTCCTTAGTTCTGAGAGGGCGAGACCCAGATTGGGCCACTTGCCGTCCTCTGCTATTTGAGGTGTGAGGACGGGACATGTTTGGGGTATTGGAGTTCAGCTGGAGGGGAGAGGCAGGCTCAGCGGATGTTGAAGCGTTGGTAGCAGTCGAGTCGCCTACGACGGTCGAATGCTTCTTCGGTTGTTGTGTGGAGCAATTTCGGGTGCCTCTATGGGTGGATTGTGGGTGCTTTAGGCACTCGAAAGAGTGGAATATCGTCGAAGTCGAGTAGAATACGATTTGTGCTGGTGAACAGACTCTTGAGGGGCCCGGCCTTGCACCGGTACCCCTCGAGCCGTTTAGAGACCAGCAGCAGCCATCTGGCGGCAATTGTATTCTTCGACGATATTGGACTGTATTTGATTGCTTGACACTGGATCTGCTGGTATGTGAATTGGCCTGTGAATAGTATGAATACAGCAAGGGAGAAGAGGTGTGAGAAAGCTGAGGATTATTTTTATGGATTAAAAAACGCAGCCCGCCCGGGACCCACTCTGCAGTAGGATGCCCCGCCATTCAATTGGAAGGCGCGTCACAGAAACTACGCTACTGCAACTTTTGGACCTACCAGATGGTTTCATTCACACCGCTTGAACTGAGAATGTATTCTGACGCTCCCTTTACATCACTGTGACTCCTTCAAACTCGTACCACGAGCATGCCTGAGGAGTGAAGCGACTTTACCATTGTATGCAGGTCGAAACAGCGCTTTGCTGCGGCTAGCGGACGATTAGAGCAGACCGGAATTGAAGGACTCCCAGTCATGGATTTTCTGGGCATGACTAACATTGCAGATGGCTCACGGATCGACTTCCAACACATCCGCAAGGTCTCGTGCTGAGCCAAGTGCGAGCAGCATGGACCGAGTTTGAGCCTCCATCGTGATGGCGATCCTCCAGACTGTAGACAGCCTAACAGTGATACATGTACCGTATTTCGTGTACATTTTGGGATCCATCGGCTGGCTTGTAGCGATTGAGATGCGTACCTGGGAATTATTTGATCCGTAATGGTGCCTGTATGCTCCTACGTCGCACGCTTGCGGCGTCATACTTGAGTGATCGTCCTTCCGCAATATGCCCAACATTCGATGTCCTGGAGGTACTGGTAATTCGTGCTAGTATCTGACCACCAAAGGCCGAACAACTTTCTCGAAGCAGCCGAAACTTTTTCAGGAAAAAATGTTTGGATCTCCAAATAATGTCACACGAGCGGCTGCCCGCTTTCGTGGGGACTGCTCTTACGCAGTAGTATATATTCTGAGTGCAATAGTCGCTGTTCGTGCTCTTTAACACTGTCGCGTGCGAAGAAAAGCAATGCGCCAGGCTACCGTGCATGTTCATGTACTGAGTCTCATGGACCATCGTCAATCATTAATCAATGCCCGCCCTGAAGTATATTGTCATCGCAAAACACCCCGCCAGCTCAAACACTCCTGATCCACTTTCGTGCATGCCCACACCATGTCCAATCATTACGAAGCCGTTACTTTCTCGGTTGTTGTCGCAGCCTCTGATGTAGCTGTCTCCTTCCTTGCCTCATCAATGCCAGCTTGGACCTCATCGATCGTGGCATCTGGGGCAGCTGTGGTTTTGATCGTCCCCCCAGGATGTGTTGCCCTGTATTCATCATCGAGTCTGGAGACTTCCTGCTCGGTGAGGTCCCTCTCCTTTTCTAGGCGGACCTCCTTGCCACGCTTGTGACAGTACCAGAAAACGAATAAGAGCACTGGAATGGTTAGCTATGAGAAGCTCGGACAGGTAATGACTTACCAAACATTGCCAAAGACCAGAGGACGTTCATGCCTAAAAATGCCGGAAATCGAGTCCGCAGATACATGATGATGGATCTCAGCAAGCTTGCGACCGCTGCAGGCTTTCCGGTTAGATCCTTTAATGACGGAGTCTTGAAGCCCATCTTCTTGGCTGTAGCAGCCGCTTTGCCAGCATTCTGCATGTTGACACCGCTCTGAGAAGCCTTCTCTGACGCAGCCGCCATCAGCCAGGACCAGCCCTGCAGTCATGCTTTGTGGCAGCTTCGTGATGAGGGTCTGTAAGAAGCTGGGCATGGCTTGAAACGTTTTGGTCAGCTGGTCATCTCCAAGTGTGAGTAACTTCTCAAGATCGTCATATGCTGTCGGCACGCCGTTGATGAGGTCTTTGACGATCTGATTGAACTTCTGCAGGAGTTCCTGCGTCTCGTCACTGATGGAGAAGACTCGGTTGTTCACAGCAGCAAGATTCAGGCTGTCAAGGACCTCGGCCATGTCCTCTTCTTCCTTCTTGGCTTCTGCGTCTGGTACCACGTTGTCCTCATTTGGTTTGGCGTCAGCATCCTTCAGACCCTGGGCAACTTCTGCAAGATCCGTAGCGGCCTTTCCGCGACCTGTGTCTCTGCTATCGCGTCTGAGCCAGCTCCAGGTTGACCGGGGCTTGGCTGCTGCATTTGTGAGCGATTTCTCGCCCAGTGGCTCTTCAGTCATTTCAACCTGTGGGGTATCCGGCAACGGTATCTGCAATCGCCACAATCAGTGACTCTGGTCGATTGTGGCTGGGTCTGGTCACCCCGGCATGGTCGTTCCACGGCATGCATACTCACAACAACCTCGAGCAACTTACATTTTGTGCCCCGTCCATGAGGGCAAACTGAGCATCTTTGAAGGGCAAGAGGCTTGCGTTCTCCGCATCTGGTCTGGGAGGTAGTGCGGGAGGATTCTCCTCTGAAGTGATTTTGTTCAGGAAAGCCTCGTCATCCTCCGACAATACTGGCGCCTCGGACTTGGTCGCAAAAGGCGTCCGGTTTTTGATATAGTTAATGTATTGCATCGCCATGGTGGGCTACGCTGAGGTGTTAATAATACAGTTCTGAAGTGAAAGTGCCACTGGCCTGAGAAGAGTCGTAGGATATGGTTGTCAGAAGTTGCGATAGAGGCCGTTCATGTATGCTCCTGCTGTGAGGTGATGCCATGTGAAAAGGAAGGAAACACTTGTGGCGGTGCCCAGTGACGTCAGGGCGAACCGCCACAGAAACCAGTTTCGACCTCGATCTTCGTGTTGTACCTGCAGCGACCTTACCCGCACGTAATGATCTCTTTATTTCGATCGAGCGAAGGATGAGACCAGACGTCCGGGCATGTCTATGTGTGTGACTGTCTTGGCCTTCTCTGCTGGTCCCTCCATGCAGTCATCCATGTGGGAGTAGTGCCTCGCCCAATGTTGTAACATGTATCTCATACCCTTTCTCAAACAACCGGAAGTCGCGAAACTGGCTCCCTGAACTCATTGCAGGCTCAATCCGACGTGATAGATGATATGCTAATGCACAACCTGACTCAAGTATGCTGACGAAGATCTCAAGGACGGGGCTCAGAGATATGTAGGACGGGAGTGCGTGAATGTCGCCATCCTACCACGCAATCATGGATCCTACAATGACTGATGACTGTGGGCCATTCACTTCGAGGGTTCCGGTGTACTAATATCTCTTGCTTCGGAACACTCCTCCATCTTCGACACATCGCGACTTTTTGATCTTCCTTTTATCTGACCAGAGACGAATTTGACACAATGGCAGCCTCTTCGGAGTCTCCTGTACCGTATCAGACCCGCATCCCTTTCTTCTCTAGAGAACGTATTGTGCTTGAAGGCGTGAGTGGAAGTGAGTTGCCATCCTGGATCAGTCGAAGTCATACTCGATGGCTCGAAGCTCTCTGCTAATCACTGGTTTTAGACTTAGGGTCGCCTACTGCCATCAGTCCCTTCTGCCTGCCTTTTGGCGCAGACTTGGCCGTGCAACGACCGAAAGAAGAACTCCTCAAGGAGGAGATCAAAAGCGATAATGAGGCTGACGAGGTAGTTGTGGCTGAATCTAGCGTGAGTTCCACCGCCAGATGTACCGGTTCAGAGAGCTGAATAGCCCAGGCCGCACACAAAAGCAAGAAGAAGAACGCCAAAGCTCGCAATGCACTACCGAAGAAGATCTCAGCTGCGAAGGATGAGGTGGACGCTATTCTCGTTCGCATGAAGGAAGCCAAGTACCTGGAGACGGACATTGCCGAGCATTTGTCCAAGCATTACGATGTCACCTACTCTCCGAAGACGATCGGCACTCGGTACACTCGCCTGAAGAGGGCAGCCCAGGCAGCGTCTGACAAGCTCTTGGACGAGGATCAGACTTGCTGGCATGACGGTGATGTGAGTGCGAAAATCCTTTGTTAATCCTTTGTTCCGTTAATGCTAAACTGTATCTTAGGATGAGGCACTGCAGGAGGCTATCAAGCTTGGTTCTGAGAAGCTCGAGGCCGCAAAAAAGAAGCTCGACGAAACCAAATGGCGCTTCATCGCAGACAAGCTCAAGATCCTGAAGCCCGTCACAAACTTCTCCGCCAGAGCTTGCGAGGAAAGAGCCAGAGCGCTGGCCGAAGGTACCGCGAAGCCCACTCTAGAATCTATCCCGGATCCGGACGACACAATCATCGCGCGCATTCAGAAACGTAGGGACAGGGAGGCTCAACTGGCGCAGGACGCACAAGTCGCTCCGACGAACAGAGCTGCAGAAAAGTCGTCGTCTGCTCCGGGTCTGGCTCAGGGCACTCCTGCTATCGTGGCTCAGCAGCCTCAGGCACCACAGGAGAACCTGACTGCTGCTGTAGAGACTGGAATCGTCGAGAAAACTCTTGCATCCCGCAACGAGGACGTCGAGATGGCTGTGGACAATGCGGAAATCTTATGAAGTGGTATCATGACGATGCTTCGGTCGTTGATGAGGATTCTTTCTACCTTGGGCCGTTTGACTAGTATACCGGAATCGCTTGAAAAACATGGAGGACTACCTGTGGATATCTTGCTGATAGCACTAGTGGACAACCTTGGAAGGCCAGCATATGGCACGCGAGGCTGGAGCGTTCAAGTGAAGTTCCTTAATGCCAAGAACTGATTTGCTAGAATTCCCACTCGCAGCCTTCTGAGTTCCTCGAATTGCACGACCTTCGAGTTGTGAAATATTGAAGTCGATCATCTTTCTGCGCTGTCCACGCTCGACACAAATTTCTCAGGCGCAGCCGAGTCGCTCACGGTTGTCGCGCCAAGCCGCCTCTGAGCTCGAACAATCATGGACTTTCAGGCGAGAGAGTTCGCTAAACCAACGTCAAGAAAGTCATTCGTCGAGGTAAGTCTGAACCGAGTCGAAGAGTCATCGAAGCCAGACAAGCTGACGTCGACGTTACTTAGCACACTACACAAGAGTCACAGATGCCTCAGTCATTTCGGGAGTACACCTCACCACTGCCTTCCAATGACCTCAAATCCCCGAAGCACGTAAGCCGAGCGTCTTTCATCACATCAATGCCACCACCAGCGCTACCAGCGTCCTCCTCAGTCAACCAGCCGAGAATGTCGTCGGCCATCCCAGTATCTGCCAGAAGATCGTTCAAAGAGCCTCCGCCCAAGCTTGGTTCTGGCCAGCACTCTACGCTCTCACTGTCACTTCCTACTGAGCCTGCTGGACCGCCGGTAGGCACTTGGAACTTCGGAGACCAGTACGAGGCGCAAGACGGCCAAGAGCACTTGCGAGACATGCCACAAGAGGCCACGCAACCGATTCCTTATGTACCATTTCCTGGCTATCGACCCGATTTCGTTGATCAATACACTGGACAGCCACTTGCCAGCCCATACGTTGCAAGTGTAGATCTCCAGAACATCATCAAGCAGTCCGTACGAGAGTATGCCGAGAATCAAACGCCGCGAACCCTCCCAACCCAAGCAATTCCTGACACCCAGATGAAGGAACTACTCGAAGCCATACGCAACGTCGGCCATAAGGTGACCGAAACCCTCAGCGAACAGCAACAGCTATCTAAGGACCTAGCTCATCTGAAGGGACTGGTCTCCGATCACATTGCGATTGAGAAGGAGGGCTCGCCAGATACCTCCCTAGACCTGAACACGTCTAGCTCAGACCAGATCAAACAAGTTCTCAACGACGTAGCCAAGCTGAAGACAGATGTAGCGAGAAGATTGATGGACTCGAGGACAAGCTTGTGGCCCGCCTCTCAGCTGCCATGAAAGAGACCTTGGCTAGCCATGGCGCGCAACACAAGGAACCAGATCAAGGACCAAGATTGATCCCCGAATCCGTCGAAGATCTATGGCAGCAGGACCAGAAGATCGCCTCTGAGGTCAACAGCCTGCGGAAAGGCGCAGTGAGCGATATCGAAGCCCTCACTGATAAGATGGCCGAGCTGGAGACAAACTCTATCGAACCGCCCAGTGACAAGGTGGCCAGTCTCGAGAAAGAGCAAGTCGAAATACCCGACCAGAGACCAGTCAGTCTCGAGCCAGAGGTGGTCGAAACTCTTACTGAGAAGCTGGTCAGTCTCGAGACGAACTTGGGCAATACTTTCGCCAAGGAGTTGTCCAGCTTTCAGACCGAGGTAATCAACAACTACATCGACTTGTCGAGACGTGTTGACAAGTGGGAGGATTCTCTGTTCAAAGCCTCCGATCAGCTCGTGCAAGGCGCCGCCAGAACATTCGCCGAGAACATTCGAGTATTCACACGAGAGACTGTAGACGCAGCTGGTGCAATGGTTACGGAGGACGCTAGGAAGAAGATCACCGAGTATGAATTCAACGTGTCCAATGACTTCGAAGCGCTGAGAACGAACATTCAAGAGCTGCTCGTATCTTTTCAAAACAGCAACAGCAGTGTCACCGAAGCCGTGAAATCACTCAACACCCAGACACAGTCAATCCGGGACAGCACTCCCGTTCTAACGACTGCGGTCACGGAAGTTAGGGATACTGCGAAGCAGATACTGGAGTACAGAAAACAAATCGACATCTGGTTGCACAGTCAACGTGCTGATTTGAACAGCGGTGTCAGTGACTTGGCCACCTGCAGAATCAAGTTGAAAGCTGTCTTGAACGGTATCATCACTCCATCTGCCTTGGTGACCCAGGACATGGCGAGAACTTGGATCAAAGACTCCGCAGACTCGACCTCCACATTTCTCGCGCAGTCTCTGCCGCATACAAAGTTCCATGAATCAGAGCAGCATCTTGGATCTCTCTTGGGTCTTCACAAGCAATATACGACTTTCGTTGAGCAGAATGCAGCGATGGTGAGGCGTATGGATCAACTGGAGTCCGCATTCGAGACCAAAGATGCCCACACGAAAGCTTCGCTTGCCGCACTGTGCAACCAGCTGAGAAGAGGTGTTGGGTTCAATGTGGCCGCTGCCATGCGAGGCATAGCGTCCACTATAAGGGCTGCACTACCTCCCCAGGCTCCGCTAATTGCCCGCATGAATCGGCTGGAAGCAGGCATCGGTGCTAAAGATGACAACATGAAGGCCGAGGTTGCTACACTAAAGGCTGAGCTAAAGTCCGATCTTCGTGACATGATCACAAATGCCGTCGATCTCATCGTTACTCGTATGACTGCGCCTCCACCTCTGGCTTCAGACGAAATGTTCACCGCCACAAACGATTCAACGCAGACCATGCAGGTCTCAGCAGGCGAGGGTCCTTCCACGTACAGCAACAGTCAAACTCACGGTGGTTCTGTGCAAACTGCCGTGCCAGCACAGGTCTTGCCCAATAGCAACATCGATGCTCAGATGCCTGACGCTGATGCAAGAAAGCCGTGGGCCGAGATCGAAATGAAGGTTGGTGTCTACAGGAGCGGTCAGCCGCGCGTCGACGTTGTCTCGACAGTCGCGGAGTGCCGTACTCTGGCCAAGCTCATGAAGGTGGTTTCAACCCGGATGAAAAATGGCACACCCGACTCTGCTCGCGTCAAGTTGCGAGGTGCGGTAGCTGATGAAGTGGTCGAGATTACCCTACCGGCTGATACTGGGGGCGACAAAAAGTATGCGGCTTGGGTGAATGAAACTGTTCATTGCCAGCAGTGGAACACGGGGGAGATGAATGTCTTGGTAGATCTGACACAGCTTTCGTTGAAAGCGTGATGTTCCTGGCACGAGCCTGACGAGCGTTGATGTGCGGACGACCAACTGTCAAACCTTGACAGAGGATCGGAACATGCGAGTGCCCTCAGTCCGAAGCCTGACGGTTTGTAGATAGCACACATGAATAGTGGCACGATCGATGCCGTAATGAACAATGCGAATGATCTTACCGGCTGATTAGACGTCAATGCTTTGATCCTCTTGATCCGCATGCAGCAGGGTACCGTGGAAGGCTGCAAGGTACTCACGGCACTTCCGAAGCGCATGCTGGGTATCTTTAGGCGTCACCTGCCATCTCTTGGTTGCCTTTATATATTCTTGCGTGAAAAATTGGTTCCGAATCCAACATCAGAAGCTCAAAATTTGGGATTCTTGGAAAGAAAATGCATCGGTCACTTGCAAAAAGCTTGAGACGGTTGGAGTGTGAGTCCGGTGTCCGTCGGGATATGGTTCTTGGACTGCCCCTATCGACACACCGCACCCTTCGAACCTGGGCTCTCAGTGTCCTGGCACCTCTCAGGGTCGGTTGCGAGATATCGAGCCCTGGGGACGCGCGAGTACATCGAGTTCCCCACACCTTTCCGGATTCTTTTTGATTTTTCTCGGAGGGCCGAAACCTGGGGTTTTGCATTTTGCATCTTCGTTGTGCGCGTGAGAAGCCGTGAGAGCACTTCAGGTGACGAAGGTTGCCGATGAGTCTAGACTTCTCAAAGCTCGATGCTTGCCGTCCTTTCCAGAGCTGCAAGTGAAGTTGCCCAATGCCAAGCATAGGGAGGTAACAGCCTTGCTCCCACTCATCACCCTCTTGGACTTTGAATATGCCATCTTCGTGATTCTTGAAGTCCTGAAGTCGCCCTGTGTGCTGTGTTGTCTACCTCCGAGCCGCAGGCCAGCACCAGTCTTCCAAGGTATGTGAATGGTCCAATCAACCCGCAATGAGCTACTGACATTTCCAAAGATCCGTGGGTCTCAATTGAAAGCAATTGCTGGACCGAAATCCAGAGAGCCACTGGGCGAGGTTAGTTTGAGATTATTCCAAGAAGCTGTCAACTTCGACCAAGCTGACCGCCGCGTCTCGTAGCAGACTATCGTCTCGCAAAAGCACCTCATCCATTGCAGTCGGTGTCGGGTCAGAATCGAACATGCCACCTCCAGCTTCCACACCCGAAACGCCCTGGCATCCATCTACTGATGCTAACGGAGTGTTCAACGGTCGCTTAGAAGATCTTACTGGCGAAGAGACAGTAGAGATCAAGCTTTCTGTGCTCAAAGAACTGCTCGAGAACGCTGCAGAGGCTGGCGCACGGAAGTTCGCGGAGGAAATGGCGCATCGAGATCTTGTCACCTCGGCGAGCCAGCTCCAAATCGGAACCCTGCCAACCAACACTCAGTCGACAGATCTGCCTCCTGACGGCGGCGACAGTCAGATGACTGACGCAACCACGGACAAGAGCTGGCGCGAGATTGAGATGAAGATCGGAGTCACCACTGGTGATCAAGAATGGACTCTCTGTTCGACTGTTCGGGATTGTTGCAAATTGCCCAAGCTCCTGAAGCTCGTTTCATCCCAACTGAACAGAGACGATTTCATTTCTGGTCGCGTAACGCTGAAGGACGCAGAGATGGACAATCAGACGATCGTGATCGATGGACCTCTTCGTAAAAACGACATCAAGGCCTATGCGGTCTGGCTCAATCGCAATGTTCACCTCGACGAATGGATGGCAGGAGAGGTCAACGTTACCGTGGATCTGGCAGATTGATGGTGGAGCGGCCCATGCTTGGCTAGACAACATGGAAGTCTCGGACTGGAGTTCTTGGATGAGATCTGAGCACGCTTCTGCCCAAAGAACGCTGCGATGGTTGATCGACAGCGTGGAATAATGCAGAACCTGGACTGGAAGTGATTAAATTAGCTCAAAACATGCGACCAAATACAGTGACCTTGAATGCGACGTAATGGGCAATTTGAAGGCCTTCGTTGTTCCCCAATATTGGTCCCGTCTTTGTGCTTAGCAAGACATCCTGAATGCCGTTAGGGGCTTACCAGGGGCCACTACTCCCTAAGAGCCCACAGCACCTGCCAAAATCTTCATGCGAGCCTCGTGGACAGCCTGCTGCCAGGCATCCTCATCCATATCTGGTGTCCTCATAGACTCATATGCGTCACTGATCGCTTTCCAGCCTGCATAGCGTCGTGGACCCCAGGGATCGGATTGGCTCTCTTTCTTGTCCTCAGCCACCGTCTTCGAATGCCAGCCACGAATATCATCACAGATTGCGATCATGGCATCTCGGGCATCGTGCTGTTCGTCGATCTTATACTCTTCCCACGGCTCTTTCCCATTGGCAAACAGGATCCATCTCTTGGCTGTCTCTTCTGCCTGTCTTTGTAGCCACCTGTCACGATGCTTCGGATACCGGTCAAGAAGCGTCAGAAACACGAACAGAATCTCGATGAAGTGGTGGCCGGTAACATGACTTTGCGTGGAGCCAGGGAAAGGATTTGATGGCCCAAATGAGTAACGATAGATTTTGCGCTTGCTGTTGCCGTCAAGCTTATGGCCAGCGAGTTGCTGAGCCTGCCGATGAATGGGTTCGGACAGCCACATATCGCCAGCAAGGGTCATCAAGTTCTGCCAGAAGAGGTTGCTGTCGCACTGCGCTGCAAGTTCTGCCGTGAGAGGCATGTCGTATTCTTGGAGAAGCGTAGCTGCACTTTGACCTGGGAAGGCTGACACAACTGCTTCCACGAATCGAACTGGGGAGGCATTGCGGACGAGGCCTCTGAATGTGTCTCCTTCGAAGAAGTCGTCACCAACAATCACATCACCAAGCCAGGAGCATGACGCCAGAAGGTTATTCTGTCCGATGAAGGTTGGCTTGCCACGTGGGAATACTGTTTGCTCTCCCTCATCATCCAGAAAGGGGAAGATGTGCTGACCACCATATTTCACAAGATCCGCCAGAGGCACCTGTCTCAATTTCTCCAACCTCTCGCTCGCCGTTGGCGCCTCGATGCCAAAGTGCTTCAACAGGGCCTTATACTCGAGATCTTTCTGTTCGAACGAGGCGTTCCCGAAAACAGGACCAGATTGAAGAATAGCTCGATCGAACAGTCGTTCCTCGGAACCAGCAGCATGATAGACCAGTGAGATGCTCCCTGCCGACTCAGCAAACGCCGTGATGTTGTTGGAATCGCCATCGAAGCCGCCAATGAACTTCTTGATCCAGCTGAATGCCGCACGCTGGTCTTGAATTGTCAGATTGAACGGGCCATATGGCGAGGTCGACGGATCAGCTTTGTATTCATCAAACACATCTTGACACACAAGACTGCCAAGCCAGTTGAGTCGGTAGCCAATGTTGACAGTAACGACCGGCTGTGAGATGTGGGCAGAGTACGCGGCCAGTGGACCGTTGGCATGGAGTCCGTCAACATGGCCGACACCTTCCTGGAGACCACCACCATGAACGTATACCATCACCGGAAGCAGCTTGGCTGGATCTTTCGCAGCCAAAGCGTGCTCAGGCACCGAGATCGTGAGGTTGAGACAAGTGAACTCGTCCAAGGCGATTCCAATGTCATCCTCGAGCCTACCTCCATACGAGCCGAACCATGTATCGCTCTTCCCATCAACCTGAGGGCATGCTGCCCCAAACGTTGTGAAGTCTCTGTGAGGTCTGTCGTCAAAATCTGCTGGTATGGCATCAAGTGGCAAGCAAGGTGAGAAGCGTCGTGGGACAGTAGCATAGGGTATGGATCGAAATTGTGCGATTGTACCTTTCGGGTAGTGCTGCGACTGTATCAGGCGACCTTTCAGAGGGCCCAGCTGGACATGGTCGAGGGTGTAAGTTGATCCAGTGTACGGTAGTCGACCGCTTGGTCTTTGAACATTCGCCATGGCGAGGAGACGATGGTGAGGTCGACCTTAGGGTTAGTATCGTCGGACGGGTGCCGTCTATCTCAGTCCGCTTTCCTTGCATAGCAGCATATCATATGTGTTGCCTTACCCACCTTTGTATACATCATACCTGAGTTGGAGTACCTCCATCGGCAAAGCTCATTGAGCCGGGACCAAGGATTGCTGATAAATACGAATTGCTACAACCAATGATATATGGTCTCAACGACCGACGTCTAGCTTCAGACGCCGAAGGTCCACTTTCAAGGCGTGCCCTCCATTGCATAATGAGGTGAAGCTAAGCTAGAGCAAAAGAATGGTCACAGACTAGATACAAGATGATGCAGTTGTGCAAGAAAGAAGCTCAAATTGCTAAGCTAAGGTACGGCTGCTACCTCGGTCAGACGGCTATACTTCGGTTCTGGTCACGTGTCAATGCCACTCCTTGCTTGGCAGCGTCCTACACGGAGGTTCCGACGCTCATGATTACTGGTGTACAGTATGAAGCGGATTGCTAGCATTCGGGACATCTATTTCGCTCGAGTATGATGTCGTCCGCGACAACCTGTCGAAGACACGGGAGACAGCATGAAGACGCGTTTTTGGCATGTACCCAGCCACATGCTGAGACTTGCTGACGACTTTGATCGCATACAGAGGCTTCACGCGTGTGAGGACATGCATCAATTCGACTGTTGACGCACAGTCTCTGGAGGTCACGATCTTGTCGCTGCAGTTGCTTTGCTTCCACAGGATGAGCGCCTGGCCTACTGAGGTCTGGTATAGTGGCCCGCATCGACGCAATTCTGCTACCATAACACGGTATGATTGATATCGCTGCGTGACAGTCCACGCCTATCATCACCGCTGCCATCGCACGGCGGCCGTGAGGAGCTCCTCCAATCGTAGGTTTTGGAAATGATGTTTGATAAGACACTTTTTCTATGGACTCAGTATCCGATTTTGGACACTCCTTCCTGGTGGAGTTATCCGTCCTGTGCCGGCCAACCAGATCACGACTGTTGAGATGTCTTCTACTTCATCCGGCAATCACGCTGCTTGCTATAACGAAGACAGGCCTAGTCCATGCGGCTCCAGGTCGAGCTAATCTTCTTCGGGCATCTTGAATGAGAGCACCGATACTTGCTGATAACCCCGGAACCGTCTCCAATGGGGTCTCCTTCCGATGACCGAGAAGTGCTATCGCCTGAGTGCTCAGAAGGTCGAGCCCCTCGCCTTCGTGCGGCAGTGTGTCAGCAGGGCCATAATAACTGCTCAAGGTCTTAGTATATCATTGCAATGACCCAAAGACTTCGACTGCCTATCTCATTTCATATCAGCTGCCAGCATACGCACCAAGATGGCCCCAGCAATACTCAACTACTTTACCAGCAATGCCACGCCCGCCAAGTCCGAGCGGGAGGAGCCTATTCGTGCTCTCCCTGCCAGCTGGTACAACTCGAAGGAAATGTTTGATTTAGAGAAGCGTGCTATCTTCTCGAAGAAGTGGCAGCTCATTACACATAAGAGCAGGCTACCGAATCCTGGAGATTGGATCAAGTTCGACATCACAGGCTACGAGTTTGTGCTTGCCAGAGACAGGAAAGGCACCATCAACGGCTTCCATAACATCTGTCGACACCGAGCATTCCCGGTCATTCAGGGCAAAGAAGGCAACGCTAAGATATTTGCTTGCAAGTATCATGGTTGGAGCTATGGCCTTGACGGAAAGCTCGCCAAAGCACCCAAATATGATGAGCTCGACAACTTCGATAAGTCCCAGAATGGCTTGTTCAAGATACACACAAGAGTAGACAGCAATGGCTTCATCTGGGTCAATCTGGACGCCTCCGAGAATCCCGAACCTTGGGAAGTTGAATTTGATGGCGTAGACAGGCAGGAGAGACTGAAGCAGTACAACTTTGACGACTACGTGCTTGATCACGAGTACCAGATGGACGGCCCATACAACTGGAAGATTCTGGCTGACAACTTCAATGAATGCTATCACTGTCCGACGACTCATCCTGACATACCACAGCTTGCAGATATTGAGACACTGGACACTGAGGGCAAGCTTGGTACTATCACGCACAAGTCAGCACAGACTGAGGAGCAGAAGCGCGACGGGCTGGCGATCTCCAGCAATTACTTCTTTCCGAATGTTTCGGTCTCTGTCTTGTAAGTTGATACCCACTGGCGGGACGGTCGCTGTGATCTCCCGCTGCTGTCTCCTGTCCCGATCGCCACCTTGCACACTCGCCAAATCACATGCGCCATAATCGGTCTCCAGTAGTTTATCATGACTAATTTCCATGGCAGACCACATTTCATCATGCTCCAACGCTTCCTCCCTACAGGACCCTCTTCTTCATCTATGCACTACCAAATCTTCCGGAATAAGCACTCTCCACGCGAGTCATTCGAGCTCATTGCGAACCTCTATGCACGCGTTGTATCTGAAGACAAGGCGCTTTGCGAGCTGGCGCAGCAGAACCTCAATGCGGGGATTTTCGTGAATGGGGAACTACATCCGAGATTGGAGAAGGGCCCACTGTACTTTCAGAAGGTGAATAGGGAGGTGATCAGGAAGCATTACGAGATGGAGAAGAAGTTGGGACGGGAGGTATGGCCAGCTAGGCAGGTCGTGGGCAGGACGAGTGTGGGCGGCGGCGTAAGTGTAGAAGATGAGGAACTGTGCGAAGGGCTGTGTAGCCGCGGCGGTAGCAAGGCAGTCGAGTGGTGATAATGTACATGTGCCATGGTATACGTGGTAGTGCTAGCATTTTACTGGTATATCTGGGCAGGCATGGCGTTGAAGGCGTCGAACAAGTCATCAATGGATTACTTTGCAAAGTTTACGTCTAATCACAAGCTTGCATACTCACAGGCACTAGTTTATGATACCTCATCGTCGTGCGCGTTGGCTGTTCTCCAACCGGTTGACACGACTTGCGTCATTTGATCCTAAATGACGATTATGGGTCCATTTCGCTCAGAAGCATCAACCCAGCCACGGTACATTCAGCCACATCATCACTTACGGCACGCGAACGAATTGTGACGAAGAAGGTGTGGTCCATCGCCTCTCCAAGAAGCAAGACCATCAGATCGGTCTTGGCTGTTGCTGAGGTCTGTCGGCGCCACACAGTATGGTGACTACGAGAAGCCGCTCTGCCGCCGTGGCAGCGAGCCAGGCCGTCCCAGAGCGGCGTAAAGCTATTGCACAGCCAAGTCAAACCGCTACGAAATACTCGGATAATCCTTATGATGCCAAGGATGTCCCCAAGACGCCGGATCTCGATGAACATTCCGAGACTTTTATCGAGTCCGGTGACGACCAGGTGAGCTCCAAGTCGGTAAGCGATGCATACGATGCCCTTTCAGAGCACGATGTCTCGGGCGCTTCGTCTAGTGAGGTTGGCGACGATGAGGATGAGGAGCATGATGAAGATATCGAGGACGGTGAAGATGTCGAGGACGATCAGGACGAAGCTATCGAGAGAGTCAAAGACGCTTTGGCTGGGTCCAAGACGGATGAGTATACTTGGGAGGACTTTCCTGGTGAAGTCAAGGTAAGTCTGCATCACTGTTCTCTCCTGGATGCGGAAGGATTACCGCGGGCTCGTGATCAACCTCTTGTCTCGAGCGACGGTCGACGCTCCTCTCAGCCTGTCATACTAAAGTCTTCAATCAGAACAAGATCTATCGTTACCTCATGAAGTCCCACAAACCACTCAACTTCGAGCATGCCGAGTTGAAAGACATCAAGAACCTGCCCAAGGAATTCTGCCTATCTGGTCAGATGCTACGGTGTAGCAAGCAGGTTTGCGCGGAGTGCCAGCCCATCCTCTACGGCGAGAACGTTATTCAGGTCTTCCAAAATCTGAAGGACTTCACCGGAACTGCTACCTCGCGCCGCCGTCAGCTCATCCGCAAGATCTGCATCTCAACCAAAATGGCCCCTAGGATCATCAACAAGGCTCGCAAGGCAGAGATCAAGAGCTTGAAGAACCTGCTGGAGATTGTTGTCGATGGTGGCGTATGCCCTGCTAGATTGACCGGGAAGAGCGAGGACATGCAGGAAGAGCTTGTGAGGGCTACCTTCGAAGAGACAGACCATCGCGATCTCAAGTCTCTCCTGGTGGACCATGTCGACGTACAACAAACATATCTCATGACGGGCCAAACATACGTTGCTACTGGTGTAAGTGATGCAGCCCACAGCTGGAAAACTCACTAATATGTGCAGCCCGATGATCCTAGCCAATATACCGAATTTCGCTGGGACATCATATCGACTGGCGGCGAGAATCTGGAGCTCAGCCTTGCTGGCCGCAAGGTCTACACGACTGACAAGAAGACTGGCTATCGATGCTACATCGGCTGAGTGCGAACAGATGTGCGAGGCCATCGAGAAGGTGGGCTATGACTACTATGATATCAAGCATGAGACGGAACTCGACAAACTCGACTGCAGATAACGGACATACGATGCGATGTCGATGTAAGTGTACGAATGGTCAACGAAGACATGCATGCAGCCATGTGTGTTGATGTACTATCAGACGGTCAAATTAAATACACACCTGAATGATACCCAGAATAGATGCCTTACACAGTGCCGTGGCCAAACGACACCAAGTCTCATACTACCTGTAGGCTGTCATACACATCATATCACGTCTTGCTTGAGATCTTGGAGCCGGGGGATGCATGTGCCTGGGTGTGCTCATCAGCCTCGTATACTTGATATACCTGGCTCTGCCCTGAGCATCGGACGATGTTGCTCAAGGCCGCGCGGGTAGCCGTGTTCGCACCGTGATGTTTACGATGGAGGGCGCTTTTGAGGAGGGTGTGAGCTAGTTAAGAGAGTGGCTGAAAGGACAATTCATGAACACGACCACGTCTCGAATGCAGATCCGGTCCAGGCACCAAATCGCTTGAAGCTACCAGGACAAGACGACAGACTGCATATATATGTGTTGAAGAGATCCTTCAATTTTGTGTCCAAGATCTTATGAGATGGACAGACCACAATCTCAACGTCTTGCATGATCAGTGGTCCGGCCGAAGTAATGTACGCGAGCTTCTCTGTTGTTAGATGTCCCTTGGTAATAGGTGTGCACGACAGGGTCTCCCATATAGCAGCCAGCACCTGTGAGGTCTCGAAGCAGTGAAGGGTCATCCGGTCTCGTGAGTATCATCTTGTCAACCGGTCGTAGATCCGTCCATCAAGTTTTGTCATCCGGCTTCGGTATATCTCCGGCGCTATTCGAATCACTTTACGCGAGACGTGTCCAGCACGTGCGATGTAAAGGAACCACATCAACGACGCAACAACAGGGTAGACAGCGCCAGTGACTCTCAGCTTCCTCTTCTGCGCAGACTCCGACTTCAGAAGCTTCATCATGTCGGACTTCGAGGACGATATGGACGTGGACGCCCCACCCTCGAAAGACACCTCCATACAGTTCAATTCAGATAATGCTGCAGCGAAGGGAAAGCGGATAGCGGCCGATCTGCCGGTGGAAGCAGAAGACAACCTGCCATGGTGAGTGACTCGTGCTGCTTTAGAGGATGCAGGCTGACTGAGCAGGGTCGAGAAATACAGACCGAACACATTAGAGGATGTTGAAGGCCATAAAGACATCATCTCTACCATAAACCGCTTCGTCGAGCAGAACCGGCTTCCACATCTCCTCTTGTACGGTCCTCCAGGTACCGGCAAGACATCCACCATCCTAGCGTTAGCACGACAGATCTACGGAGCAAAGAATATGAGACAAATGGTCCTCGAGTTGAACGCATCAGACGACCGTGGTATCGATGTTGTACGAGAACAGATCAAGACATTCGCCTCGACCAGACAGATCTTCTCGACAGGCGGAAAGGCACCGACGAAGTCAGGCCTTGGTGCTTTTAAGCTCATCATTCTCGACGAGGCCGACGCCATGACGAGTGCCGCGCAGATGGCGCTGAGACGAATCATGGAGAAGTACACCGCCAACACCAGATTCTGCATCATTGCAAATTACACACACAAACTCACACCCGCTCTGCTGTCGAGGTGTACACGATTCAGATTCTCGCCGCTGAAAGAGGACGACATCCGACAGCTTGTTGATCACGTGGTGTCTGGAGAGAACATCAACATCCAAGCAGATGCAGTTGACTCACTGGTGAAGCTGTCGAAAGGTGATATGAGACGTGCGCTGAACGTGCTTCAAGCATGCCATGCCGGGTCAAGGCCACTGCCAATACGCGGACAGCCACCTATCAAAGACTCGGACATCAAGTACGAATTGATCACTGTTGCTACGATATACAATTGCATTGCTGCGCCAAATCCAGAGGACATTCGGGAGATTATGGCCACGTTGTTGAAAACAGCTGACGTCACATCATGTCTGACCACTATCAACAAAATCAAGCAGAGTCGAGGCCTTGCATTAGCGGATATTCTGCAAGAGCTCGTCGATCAGTTGAATAAGCTAGATGTCAGTGCGGCGACGAGAGTGACTTGGCTTCAGGGTCTGTCAGACATAGAATATCGCTTGGCCGGAGGTGGAAGCGAAGGGATTCAGACAGGTGGAATGGTCGGAGTAGTGAGGACTGGTGTGGAGCTGATGGGCGACAAGGGTGTCAATGGCGAGAGTATGGCTCTTGACTGAGCCCGGGGAAAGCCTCAGCTACTCAATGTTGACGACTTCAAATACTTACGCGTCTGAGCTGATGGCTGGGCATGCTTCGTCGGCGGAGACAGAGTGTACTCGGGCCCGAGGTTGCAGGACCTGGGCCAGACGTTTCACAATGCAACTGCCCGATCTCGACTCTCAGGTCAGCAATGCCACGCAACCGGTGTTGCCAATTGCGGCAGTCTGTCCAGCGTTGGAGCACGCCAGTCAGCGAATTTGGTACGGCCCAGCGTCACCAGTGTCGCTGTACTCGCGGAGATCCTGGCTTCAGCCTTGCTAGTCTGAGCATTGCAGCTGGAAGCCGGACCGGAGTGCGCCCTACCATGGCTGGAGGTGCAGAATACGGCAACTGATTGCACATGTAGACCTGCCGGCAGAGTCGGAGGGCAAATACCTGGTCTGCAATAATGTACACCAACGAAGTGGAAATGATCATCAAGAACTCTCAGAAGACTCGATATGTTCCATTTCGTTAGCCTTACAGCTCATTGCGCGGCCATACACCTGTGATGCCATTTCTCCGCCCTGTTGCAATGCAGCGCGCATTTTGTAAGTGACCGGAACAGTCGCCTTCCTCATTGATTCTGACATCTTTCCTACTTCACGATTCAACTCTCCGCAGCCTTCTCCTTCGGTCCGCCCTCCCCCTTCCCCTCCACCTTCCGCTCCACCTGCCCTTCCACCCTCTCGCCCCCAGTAAACTTACTCCTCGCCCTCAACCATCCACCCCACCTCCAAAGCACAAACATTCCCACAATCCCAATCACAGCCACGCTTGCAATCAAACTAACCCCCTTCCCGATCCCCAAATTCACATACAAATAATGTGTACTCTGCACCATTGCCGCCGCCGCAGTACTCCGACACAGATCATTCGCCGCGAACAAACTCGCCACGTAGCGCGGGTAGCTTAGCACGATATAGCAGATGATAGCCTGAAAGACCCAGAACGAGGAGACGGCTTGGAAGGTGGTGGCGATGTTGGGTACGATCCAGTGGATCGAGCCTGAGTTGGCTGTCCATGCGAACATGAAGAGGAATGCGGAGACTCCGAAGACGCCGAAGAGGCCCGGAATGAGCCAGTCTTCTTGTGGGACAGGGCGGGCGTGTTTGGCGTGGTAGGCTCGGGCGCGTGGGATGAAGAAGGTGTGCAGGTAGAGGCAGTAGGTGAGGTAGCCAATGAAGCCGCCAAGGCCCAAGGAGATGAAGGTCAGGGACAGGGATTGGGTGGTGAAGTGGTAGCGTTCGAGGTAGACGATAGGGAAGCACTCGAAGAAGGAGTAGTAGACGCCGTAGACGAGCATGCTGTAGACGGCGGCGAAACCAATGGCCGGGTCCTTCATGGAGATCTCGGTTGGCTTGATCATGGTGTTGGTGATGATCGAGCTGAATGTGATGGGCTCAAGCTCTGCAGCGGAGTGGTATTGGTTGTCGCCGGTCGCGAGACGTATGCGCCGGGCGCGGCGTAGGAGGATGTTTGAGTGAGAGGTCTCGGGCAGGAGGAGCAGGAGAATGAGGACTGGGATGGATATGATGACGACTTCGCGGAGCGGCCAACGGAAGGAAGTGTTGATGGTGTAGGCAGCGATTACTGGTCCGACTGCGGGTCCAACGTACTGTGCTAACACCCAGAGGGAGTATGCATATGGCGCAGAGTAGACATTGTAGATGTCGTCGATGGATGCGACTCCTGTGGCGAGCGGCGGACTGCCAAAAAAAGCCTGAAAGAACCGCAGGACGATAAAGGCTGCGTAATTGTCGATCCAACAGAGGACGAGGGAGATGATGATGAAGACGATGAAGGAATAAAGATACGGCGGGTTTCTGCCGACGAAGCGGAGCTCAGATAGAGGGGACCAGAGCAGAGGTCCTAGGGCGTAGCCGAAGACATAGACTGATAACCCCATTGTGGCAACGTCGAGAGAAACGCTGTACCTCTCGATGACGATGTCGACGATTGGGATGATGACCGAGGCGGAAGTATACACCACGAAGGTATAGAGTGTAATGATCGTCATAACCCATCTCTTCTTCGCTGGGGACCAGTTCCGTGGATTATCTTTGTCGTCGGGCCCGTTCCAAGCGACGAGCCGGGCGGGAGATTTGTGTTGCAGCGGGTCGTCCTTGCCAGTGGAAGATTCATGCTTCCCATGCTCAGTAGGCGTACCGACTTGAACTGGCGCTTGGTAGTCTGGCAGCTCTTCAGCATACAGCAGAGAGCCTTTGAAGCCAGTGAGTCGCAGGAGGGCTCCCAAGGGCGTGTCGCGCAAGTTGTGTGACATCTCTGTCAACGCAAGTAAAAGCATGGTGCAGCCAGTCTGAGGTTCAATGAACAAAATAAAAGTCAGTCCTACCGCATTCGGGGCCTTTGTACTTCACCGGTAGTTCTCGAAGCCATCGGTCGTAACACTTTCTGATATCGGGAATCACTTCTGGCAGTTGCAGCGGAGCTCGCGGCCGATCTGACTGGCGACCAGGACGCTTTGAGCTCGTCATCTCACCTGCGCGGACTGGTTGCGGCCGGAGACATGCACTCATGTTGGATAGATGGGCCTTTTGCATTGACTGTCGCAAGACTAGCTTGAGTCGACTCATCATCCAGGAGGATCAGGCCCATGATCGGATTTATGCCCTTTTGAGGATCGGAGTGTAAGTCGCACTCTGCCTGCTCTTCATAAGACTGATCTTGCCAGCAATTGTCGAGCATCGTCTGCTCATTCAAGACTCTCAACGACTTAGTCGGACTGTCGAGCTCTGGTGGTCCGACTCGAATAGAGGGAGATTAAGCGAAACGTCACCCGGGTTTCTTGGCATCTCAGGTCCCACCATCGTCTGTTTGCATTCAATGCCAAAGGTTAACCAGTTCAGGTACCGTGTATGACCATAGGCTACGCAATTCGAAACGCTTATGAGATCATGTCAAGAGAAGTCGACATGCCCATTTCTGGGTCTATGCCGAACATAGGTATCCCCACATGTTGGAGCAGCCTTGAGGGCTTCACCTCAATTCGGGCTCAAGTGCCATACTTGGGAGGGTCACAAGTACGTGCATCGAAGGGAGGATCACACGAATCGATCTAGACAACGATGTGGTATGATGCCGGATGATATTGACTTCGACAGATGAACGCTTGCGTGTCTGTTCGATCGACGGACCTACACGAGCGCAGCAAGTCTCAACTCTGGTCTTTGCAATTGTTCAACAACTGTATCGCTCAGTTATATGCAGGATTCTTCGCCGCCTCTGCCATCGTCACTCTGGTCTCGCCGTCGTATACGCGCAGAGCGTCCCGCGCGCGCACCGCCTCATCGGTAATGAGACGACTGATGTCCTCAGAACGTGATATAAAGCGAGCCTTGAATGGCAACGGTCGGATATTCTCGCTCGCAGAATAAGCGAAAAGGTCTAGCTTAATTTCCTGACCCTGTTCGTTATATATTAGCTTCGCAGCACCTCAATCGTACGGCGAATGAACTCACATTCTGGTCAAGACCTGGGCGCATGTCAAAAGCCAAATGACTCTGGCGAGACTGTAGTGCAAGCCTTGTTCAGCAAGCGGCTGTCCACTACATACTCTCCTGCCGAAGCCGAATGGATTGCTGCCTCGAGCATTCGGATATGGACGTTCCAGGCCGTTCAGAAAGCGTTCGGGCCTGAAGACGTCTGGTTCCGGAAAATCTCTGGGATTTCGGTGAATCGCCCACATATTCGCCGTGACGTTAGTGCCTGCAGGGAAATGGTAGCCTTTGTAGTCGAAGTCAACGGTATTGGCATGCGGGATGCCTGCAAGGATTGTGACTGTGCGCCAGCGGAGTGCCTCCTTCACGATGGCCTCGATATATGGAAGCCGGTTCTCCGCAATGTCCTCCCAACTTGGTGAGCGATCTTTCCCAACAACGCTGTCGATCTCCGCCTGTGCCTTTCTTTGGACATCCGGAAATGCACACATGGCGAGTATGCAACTAAGCATGGTACTTGTTGTCGTGTCCACTCCACCGCCGAGAAGATTGCCCGCAAGTCCAGCCACCTCAAGGTCAGTAAGGCCCTCCTTCTCCTGGCCGAGGATGAGGCGTTTCGCAAAGTTGTCCTCAGGTGCGTCGGCGCCCTCCTTGGATAACATCCAGAAGAACCTCGCTCCAATAGCGGACCCGTGCCATAAGTCCGTTGGAAACTTATACAGCCATCGCGGAAGCTTGCAAAGCCAAGGCAGCGCTTCAATGATGTAGAGACCCGGAATGACCAAATCCACTCCTTCCATCAACTTCAGTGCCTGTTGGGCAATAAGGTCGTTCTTGCGGTCGATTCTGCGTCCCCAACCAACGATCGATGTGACTGATACACTGTACCTTTCGATAGACATTACATAGTCTTCCGGGTCTTCCAGAATATCTCGAGTGAGGATCTTAGATTCGTCTGCTTGAAAGCCCTTATACGACCGAACAGCCTGTGTTCCTACTGCAGTGTGCTAAGACTCCCGGTCAGTTCATTGCACACAATTGGGTACGGGTATGATGTGCATACCATGAGCCGACGATGCAATCGCCATCGGTCACCATAAGGCAGGACTGTCTGATTCGTTTCGGTCAGATTGATGGCATCGCCCATGGCAATCAAATGTGGCCGGGAAGACCAGATGTCGGCTCTCTTCTCCATCAGCTCGCACGCATCCCACGCATCGTTGATAATGATTCGAGGCTCACGACCGACCCATAGTGTCAGCATCGTACTGTCGTACTTTTTGGACCACTGTTCCCACTCAAGCCAGGGACGATCCTTCGGGGTCTGGAAGTAATTTCCAAATAGCGGCCATGGCATTGGACCTGGCGGCAACGAGCGCCGCCTGTACAGCATGCGTGCATAGTCGACAGCAACAGCGCCAGCGGCGAGGAGCAACGCTGCTGTGAGCAAGCGAGCAAGTAGGCCCACGACTGACGAGGTGAGAGACTGCATCGTGGAGTGCAAGGGCCTCTGTGGAAGTGGCAGTACTGGCTTGAATGTACCTTTTCAAAGCTCAGAAGACCTCTGATATTGAACAGCAGCAGGAAATAATAGCCATCTCTCTGGGATACTTGGAAGTATCAATATATACTGGCACATCGCCGCCCCTGGGCATACAGCAAATATGCAGACTTTGACTACCCTACCTCTGCCCATCTTGGTGCTGCGAAGAGGTCAATGAGAGTGTGAACTTTCTTCATTGCCCCACGATCCACTGAACCTAGGCATGGGGCTTCTCCGAGCTTTGTGGGGAGGTAGCGTAAGTCGGACACTTGCGTTCCCGGGTTCCGGCCTCCGACCGACCATAAGTGGAAATGGAGTGCTTGGGATGTGGCGCGATGTTGTAAATGCTGCACAGAGGAATAGGGAAGCTATCATAGGTGCTAGGCAGGAGACAACAAATGACAGTATTGTAGTAAGGCTGGGAGTCGGATCAATCGTGTTCCAATCCCTTGGCAGGCGCGTCACGAGCCAAGCTTCAAATCAGCAGGTCCATAAGGCATGGTCGCCCATGTGCCTTTCCCTACATTGGCCGTGAGATGCAGTCGCATTAAACACAATAGTCACTACAATTGTTTGACCATGATCCAGTCGATCTGAACACATCTGCCCATTCTGAACTCGTGATCGCCAACACGTTCGAATCCTGCCTTCTCGTAAACACCCTGCGCGACGAAATTTCCCTCCCATACACCGAGCCACATATTGATGACCGGATCAGTTTTCTTGCTAGCATGAGTTCTTGTTTTCCTGAGCTTCCGCTGTCTGAGCCTCCGCGAGGCTGACTCCTCACCATCGTCATCGGCATCCGCCTCCTCTTCATCGTAGTCTTCAGGGTCTTCGCTTGGCTGCTTTCTTGCTGCGAGACTTCGTGCTAATTCCTGGGCAGCTGCAATCAACGCGCGGCCGACGCCAAGACTCTGATGCTCGGACGAGATGTAGAGACGCTGGAGTTCTACTAGTGACTCTTGAGGAAGGTTTGAAAGACAGGGCTCGGTGGTATGATATGCGATCTCGACAAAGCCAAGAACCTCCTGCACTTCCGGTCGGTCTGATGATTTCGATGACTTGACGGCCACCAAGAAGTGACGATTCGGGTCTGCAAAATCGGCTTGAATCGCTTCAAGACTGTAGCTGTCAACAAGGTACTGGGCCAGGTCAGCCGGCGGTATGGAGAAACCGAAAGTCGCGGCGAAGACCGAGCGGCCTATATTGCATATCTGATCTGCGTGCGAGACATGTCCGGGCTGTATCGAGAAGGCCTGTTGAGTTTTGCATGGTGCAGCCGCTGTAGCTTTAGCGATGTCGGCATCGATTTCGATGGATGACTGTGACGATACTGAGCTCGGCTCTGTCGCTGTACCGCCAGATTCCGAAGTTGATGTGGCAGTGGACGTTCGCTGAAGTCGCGCCCAAGCATCACTGCCAAGCTGGAGGATTGATTCAGCAGCCTCGTTATTAATGCGACCGTGGTATGGCCGGATCACCTCTGGTAAAGTGGCCGGTAACGACGTGGCCATGGATGGCGCCAACAGCATACTCTCAGGTATTGTAACGCTAGGCAGGAAGACCACGAAGCTGTCGTTACTTCGTCAAAGGGTTTCGGTGAAGTGATATGGGTTATTGGCTGGATCTCAGCCCTGTGATCCGGCTCAGTCTCGATAATGGTGAAATTCGTCCAATCTCGTGTTCCTCGTTTGGCAGGAGTTCTATCGTTCACGCTGACGTCAATCGTCGTTGTATCAGATGGTAGGGTGCAAGATAAGGATAGCTCTGCTCTGAACCGGTCGAGGACGTTGTGAACGTATAAAAAGTAGTAAGACCACAATATAAGTGAGATAAGCGCCCTGTGATATCTATTCGGACATCAGCTTTCCCCGGATTTTCAGTCAGTAAGCTAGAGATTTTGACAAAGAACGCAGAATCTTCACTCGAACCGCCTTTGGCCGGGTGATAAAGTCAAGAAACCCTCTAGAATGACATTATCGCGCCCTAATAATGTAACTTCACTTCAAAGGGACAGGAAAACTCGCACCGTGTCAAACACAAGGAGGACGCAGGCAGTGAAAGGGCGTAATGATGGGCGCATACACGAGATTTAACGACCCTACAACTGGCAAGCAATCCAGCGCTGCGCCGGGCCGATCGGACGTCCTGATCTGAGAAGGCCAGCAGATCAGCGCTCGAAGTTAGCAGGAGGATTGTAAAAGATGCGCCCTTTGATGGAAAGAGAGACGGAAAATGTCCAACATCTGATTGGTCAATGGCACATCGGAGGAAAGCGGCGGCCACAGCAGCACAACGGGTAAGTGCGGCTTGTGGAGGAAGGTCCGATCCTTCAGCAAGCGACAATGGACACGACGACATTGTTAAGGCTTGAAAGCTATTGAGGGCGAAGAGAAATTTTTGAGGCTCAATCGAGCAACATGCTGGAGCCTACGACGGAATGCTAATTTCTACATTCCAACAGGAGAAGCCGAGGGACTGCCACCTCACTAGAGCAGGAGTCGACTTTTACCAGTCTTCGCATGCGCCTCTGACATGTCCCGCTCAGCGCCTGTTGAAGTTGAGATATCGACTGCCAATGAACAACAACACCAAATTGCTGACAATAAACGCTGCAAAGATGCCCAAGTCCCTCCATCGATCGTCAAAGCTGATCTGAAATTGATCGTAGAATTGATCGCCAACCTTGTATGCGCAGTACTGACAGACGTCACTGACATTCGACACCAAGTATCCTCGCCCACCACTGCCGAAGAATTCTGACATGTAAGCGCCGCAATCCTCTCCACTGGGTGCAGGGAAGGAGTTGAGCTCTCCTTGTGTACAAACCACAGGCAGGCCGTGAAGCTCGGTGGTGACCATGCCAGACACGAGCCGGGTGAAAGGATCCAGCTCGTACAGCCAAGCGCGCCAGAATTTCGGTATTTGTGGTTTTGGGATTGCCACACCGCAGAAGAGCGCGAAGGTGATGACAACGAAAGGGTTGATGAGACTGGAGATGAACGATGATGGCGTCAGTGCTGCAATCATCTGACCCATAGTGACCGAGAAAAGCTCGGTAATGAGGACCATGAAGAACTGGTAGCCGGCGCGATCACTGGCGTTGTTGAAGCCAGGAAGATAATAGATCGGAATGAAGAAGCCTAGCGTGCAAAGAAGTGAATATGGCATCTCAGCTTGGACCATGGCGAATGCGAAGGGGAACTGCTTGTACGCTTTGGCGGCGGACTCTCGGTAGAAGATCAGGCGTGAGAGGTCGTACATGGGCTCGACTTGGGCGAGGATGAGTGCGGGAATGATTGTGACCTGGAAGATGACGAAAATTCGGTATTGAAGTGATGAGCGCGAGTCGTCTAGCTGGAGGAAAGCTAAGCCAGAGAATAATGCGATCGAAACGTGGTTGAACAGACGTGTGAAGCCGTAGTTGGGCGAGCGCCAGAAAGCCAGGTGAGTCCTCCAGGAAACAATCTTGATTTGGTGCCAGAGCGGTGTAGCGTACTCCTTCTCGTCGGCCGGCGGTGCATCGGAGATCTCTTGTCGACGGCTTCGCTTCATCTCGACAATGTCGACCTTGACGGTAGCAAGCTCGTCACTCTCACGCCAGATCTCGCCCCAGTCTTTGTCGCCTATTCTAGCGGCAATACCGGCGCCGATCGCGTCAAGCATCTAGAAGATCTGGTCAGCAGTAGCTCGCAGGAACGTGGAAGCAGAGAACATACCCATTCTGCTGGATTAACATCCGACGGGCAGTCTGCTCCATTTTTGTGGAAATACTCCAGCAGCACGTGCGCATCGCGACCGATGTCACCGAAGTAGACAGTCTCACCTCCCCTCTGCAGCAGTAGTAGTCGATCGAAGTTCTCGAATAGTGCACTGTTGGCTGATGAATGGTACACAAGATCGCTTGGCCGGCAGCGGCAAGCTTCTTCAGGAATCGCACGATGTTGAACGCAGACTGCGAGTCGAGTCCACTTGTCGGCTCGTCGAGGAAGAGGAGAAGGGATGGCTTCGCGGCCAACTCTACGCCGATCGTGACACGCTTGCGTTCCTCGACCGAGAGGCCGCTTTCCGGACTACCAATGATCGCATCGGCAAGGTTCTCGAGCTCCAGCAACGACAGGACTTCCTCGACATATGAGTATTTCTGTTCCTGAGGGGTCTCATACGGTTGGCGCAGGTTCGCGCTGAATCTTAGCGCCTCGCGCACCGTCTGTGTGGACTCGTGCACGTCAAGTTGCTCGGCATATGAAGTGCCTCGCTGAAATGCAATACCTGGCTTCTCGCCGTCAACCAGGATATCGCCGCCGATCACTCCCACATTCTTGCGCGCTGCAAGCACGTCTAGGAGTGTTGTCTTGCCAGCTCCGGAAGCACCCATCAGAGCTGTAAGCTGGCCGGGTTTGACGTAGCCAAACACATCTCTTAGTAGTCTCAGCTGTCCGCTCGGTGTAGGAACATCGTACGTGAGATTCTCCCAAGTCAGGATGGCCTTGGACGCAATATTGAGCTCGGAATTGTCCTCCGCGTCTTGTTGCTTCAATTGTCGTCTCCTTTTCCGTTCCTGAAGCTTGATGTTGAGCTCTTTTCGCTCCTTGTTCTCCTTCTGGAAATATGTGACGGTCCTACCGCCTGCGCCGTACTTGACAGTCTCACCCAGCGTAACATTCGTGAGCAAAAATCCAATGATTAGTGCAATTATGATGCCAAAATTGCGCCATAGATTGTCAGGATTGTACGAGAAGGCGGTCTTGATGTAGTCGGTACCCGAGACGATGTCGGATCCCGCTGTCGAGCCTGGTAGCGTACACACCTGATTCTGCAGGTTGTTGTATCCAGAACCCGAAGGGATGAGCGACTCTGAGGTGCAAGTCATCGTCAGGCGTTTGAACTCGTTCATCATCATAGCTGAGAACCCCAGGCCTAATGCATTGATGTAGAAGATCCATCGCAGCCAGACCTGTTGGCTCTGGTACTGAATAATGTAGCCAGAAGTGATCACAAACAAGGTGATAATGCATGCCGCAAATTTGATGGCATAGTCGAAATCGGGACACAAGCAGCCTATGGTACGGAAGAAGAGCGTCATGCTGAGGTATCCGGTAATGATGATCAAGGTGAACGTGAAGAAGGCACCAGCTTCTCGGACTAGTCCGGTCATAAAGTAGACGATGACGCTGAAGATGAATATCTGGACCGATGCAAATGCAGTGTCGACCAGAATTTGAGCTAACCAGAGAGCTGAGGGTCGGTGAAATGTGTATGCTCGATGCTTGTTGACGATAGGTCGTCCCAACATCGTTGAAGCAAGCTCGGCGAAAGCTGGAATGCGTTGAAAAGCAGAGCGATAAAGAGGACACCTCCTCGCGTGAAGGCGCCAGCAGATGTCTGTGGCTGGTTGAGCCACACAGTACCGGTGATGATTGCAATCACGATCGATGTGATCCAGGAAACCGTAAGTGAGAACTTATCTTGCCACTTGATCAAGAACTGTCGCTGCATAAGGGCCCAGATCTGTAGATGGAACGGTACTGAGTAGACAGAGCTCTTGGGAGTATGCTTCCTCTTACTTTCTGTGTGTGCAGCTTGAAACTCGTTGTACGTCTCTTTCTCCTCCGAGATCGACGCACGGTAGGCCCCCATCTCCTGCTGTAACCGTTTGGCATGATCTGACTTGTCGAAAGCCTCCACGAATGACGCAGCAGTTGATGGTGCGTTGTCCGCGGACCGGCCAGGCTTGTACTCGCGCTCGAATTCGTCGGTGCAGCCCGTCAAGTAATCTGGTGTTGTCTGACGGGGTTTCTCAAGAAAGCCCAACCCCTCAAAATATGCCCTGGCTTCCTTCGCTGGGCCAAAGAACACCTGCTTGCCCTCAGAAATGACCATGACCTTGTCAAATTGGTTGTAGATAGTCTCAGAAGCTTGGTAGAGCGACACGAACGTTGTTGTCTTGTAGATGTTGGTCATGATTCGCAATGATTTGGCATAATCAGATGCAGTCGAGGCGTCTAGACCCCTGGTGCTGTTATCCCACGCACACACAGTAGCTCTCGTCACCATCATTTCAGCAATCGAAACACGTTTCCGCTCTCCGCCGGACACTCCACGCATGAACGGATTGCCGACCACAGTGTTGATGGTATGCTCGATGTTGAACATCTTCAGTAGCAACGCAACTACTGCGTCTTTGAATTCCTTCTTGCTCATACCATTTGGGCGTTTGCCTGGCGTCTTCGTGTCTAGAGCAAAGCCAAGCGTCTGGCCAACGGTCAGTGACGGATGATGCACATCGTCTTCTTGGTTATACACGGCTTCTCCACGATAGCGCTTCTCGAATGTCTGCGAGTCGAAAGGGCCGTATAAGACCTCGCCGTCAATCCCAGTATATCCATAGCGCTGATTCGCAATGACTTTCAAGAACGATGTGCATCCACTTCCGGGCCTGCCTAGAACCAGAACCATCTCACCCGGCTTGGCAACACCTTTGAAATTGTGCAGTATGTCGAACTCCCGACCTTTCTTGCCCCATCCTGCAAGGTGCATGATCGTGCCGGGGACATTGAAGAAGTCCACAAAGGCATCTGGAAACACTTTGACGAAGTTCTTGACGCCGCCAATGCCCCGTACCGTCAAGTTGTCCCATATTACGCCAATGTACTTCGACTTGATGCCAGCTTCCGTGTCCGCTTCCCTAGCGCCTCTCAATGTCTCTTCGAGGTCCCATGTCTCTTCTGACGTAGCTTCTGACGATATAGCCTTCTCAATGTCATGCTGTGCTACCGGTTTTCTGCCATAAGATTGAGTCCTGGACATTCGCCGGCTGTGTGCGCTAAATGTTTTGCTAAGCTCCGCGAAATCACGCTCTGCCTGTTCGACGTCCACTCCTGACTTGGTCCGTTCCAGGCCCGCTGAGCTGCGCGACACTGTACGTGCGATCTGGGAACGCCTGTCGTGCCCGCCATGTTCAAGACTGCGTATCGATTCGGTGTCTGCGTCCGAGGGTGGGGATGTGTTCTGAGTCGCATCCACGTTCTCGTTGGCAGTCGTACCATGCTGAGAGGAGGGCCTGTCAAGACCCAACTCTTTTGACAAGGCGTCGGCCATGTATTGGCCGTCGTCGAGCGCCGCAACCACCTCAAAGTCGTAGCTGTGCCTGAGGAATCCCCGCCGCGTTTTCGCGTAGGCGTTTCTGTGCCGAGGCTTGGGGTCTCTGCGCAGCGATTGGCGAAAAACAGCCAGGAACGGATCTCGAGAGAAAAGAACGCGAGAACGAAATGATCGCAGGACGGGGTTGAAAGAGAGACGGGAAAGCAAAAGCCGATCACATGGATACTTATGATGTGCTTCCCGTCCCAAGCAATGTTTGGCTTCCTACCTATTTCATCTCCATTTTATGCCACAGTGGTGGTGCTCTTCGGATTGATTCTGGCGCCGGGAGTTTAGCCGCGCCTCCACTTGAAGGGTTCAGAGTGGGATGTACCCATGGCTCGGCTTTCCGGCAGGCAGATCCACGATTCATAAAATCGGTTAGGCTCTCAAATGGTGCTTTGATGAGCCTGACAGCTTCTTAGGAGTCATCATGATTGTCTGTGTTGAGGCATCGTCGACGTAAGGGCGTAAGATTCGCGAACTCGCAATGCATCAAACGGCACGCCATGAACCGCTTTGGACATCTGATCCTCTGCAGCAACATTTTGAGTGACTCATGTCGGACGGTCAATGAACGGACGAAATTCCTTCTCCATCCAGCCGACTTCATACCCCATCGGACTAGCGATGAAGGTACTACCGTAGTCTTGATTCACTGATCACTGATCAGCAAAGAGAGGCCGATACTACTGTACTGTGTCGTAAGTGTTGGATGCATCATCGGACGGAGGGCCCTGGGAAGGTAAGGCCTACGTCGTACGATGAGTTCGCCGTGAGATATCAGACGTCTCCGTAGGTACTCGGGTATGTTCGAACCTGTTAACGCCGCACGCATCGAGGGTCGCATAAACCTTCGTTTCTTGGAGACTCTGGGCGTTGTCCACAAAAGTTATCAGATCTCCACGTGTCTGATGAATTGATGCGCTTCGTGGGCCTTTTGGTAAGGTCAACAAAATTGCTGCCAGGCGCAGCCACGGGATGGTTCGACGGAGTTTCTGACTCGTCGATTGGACTCGCCAACAGTCTCGTTATTACCCAAGTCTTCCTTTTGCGACAGAACTCTGGACGCAACGCTGTTGATGGGAACAGGCATTATTGCTTGTTGACTTGAATGAGATCAGACTCAAGCTCATCGAGCAAGCCCGAAGTGGTTGTACAGCAGGCGCGTCTTGGGGTCCTGGTGGTCCGCAAGCACGTCTAGCCAGACCTGCCAGAAAATACTCCGGCGACGAACCCTGGAACTCAAAATATTCCGCAGTTGTGTATGCCTGGGTGCCTTCTAACTATCATCGCGGTGTGACGACAGCGTAGATATATATATGTCTACACCTTCAGGTTGTAAGACGAGGCGTTTCTAAGCAAGCAGGGCAAGCAGTGACTTCCCTTCTGGCCCCGATGATCGGTCAATGATCGCCCGGCCTTTTTCACAGGCTCTCGCATACCCTCTCAACTTGGCGACTTTCGCCCGATAAACAGGGGACCGTCGTACAGAACTAATCGTATGGTAATCAAGGTCGAGCACCAGCCTGAGCAGTGCTCTCACCTGGAGCACTGTACCGATACAAATGATCAGCAAATATCACGATGTTGCAGCATACTCCAAAGCAGTTCTGTTAGGATTATCTATCTCTTCAAGTCTCGACATATCCGCAGACACACCGACAGCACTTTGCTGTCCTTGCCAACGAACCGTTGATGATGCGACTGTTCTGAATAAAATTTCGTTGAATCTAGAACAACCATGAGACAAAGTGTCTGTAGAACCAGCTTCCATCCTTCTTGCCGGATTGCATGGCGGCTTTCCTCGCCAAGAACTCCTCCTCCTCGCGATCGATGATATCCTTGCCTGTGTAGAAATCGGCGTCGTGCGCAGTAACACGGGCGCACTTGGTCCAGAACTTATAGCCGAAGATCAAGATGAGGTAGAGAGGGATTCCAAGATATCCGGTGATGAAGGTCTTGTAGTCGAAATCTCCCCACGAACCGTGAGTGAAAGCGGCGAAGTTCTTGGTGAAGGCCACAATGATGCAGAGGAAGAGCGAGAAGTACGAGCCCCAGATTCCAAGTGGCGCGACATAGGGCATGGCTGAGTTGGGAATACCCTGAGCTTTGCGAGCCTTGACGAAGAAGATGTGCGTGACCAAGATGGAGATCCACGTCTCGAGACCGAAAATGGTTGTCAAGTTCTGGAAGTAGATAAAGACAGTCCGCGAGTCGTCCGTGACATTCATGTAGGCGAGCAGACAGAACATGGCAGACACTCCCAGGCCAACGTATGGCAAGCCGCGAGCATTCGTCCGGACGAAGATAGAAGGAGCACGACCTTCAGATGCAAGACCGTAGATCGTCCTGGAAGCGATGTAGAGATCGGAGTTGGCGGCTGAGAAGACGAATAAACAGATACATCCGTTAAGAAGTCCAGGTAGGACCTTAATACCTGCCAGCTTGATTGCGACCACGTATGGCGAAGCAGCAGCCGAGTTCGAGGACTTGTTAGCAAAGGCCAGCTCCTTGGAATTGTAGGGGACCAGCATTCCGAGAAGGATGACGGAAGCGATGTAGAAGAACAAGATTCGGTAGAAGGTGAGTCTGATTGCTTTTGGGATGGTCTTGCGAGGGTTCTGTGCCTCTGCAAAAGTCACACCCACCAGTTCCGTTCCTGAGTAAGCGAAGACGGCAGACACCATGCAGGACCACAAGCCGTAGAATCTTCCTGCGTCGCCATCGTCGATATACTACACCAATTTTAGTGATGGCCGTAATCAAATTCAGAAGTGCTTACCTCAGCGAAAGCTCCGGGATCGTTCCAGTACCTGAATCCCTTACGATCGTGATCTGGCCCGCCTCCAAGGGCGAGGATGAGTGACAGTAGAATGACGCCAACGATAACAACAACCTTGATCGATGAGAGCCAGAACTCAAATTCACCGAAGAATTTGATACCAAACCAGTTGATAGCAATGATGCAGACCAAAAAGATGGTAATCCAGACGCCCGGGTTGATCGAGGTATTCCAGTATTTGATCACCAGAGCGGCAGCAGTCAATTGAGCGGGCGTGATAATGATGTACTTGAAGTAGTATCTGGCTCATGGTCAGCACAATTAAAGGACTAGATCGATCACAACATACGTCCACCCAACCGCAAAACCGAGAGCGGGATCGCAGAACCGTGTAGCATAACCAGTAAAGCCGGAGGAAAGTGGTAGCCAAGCAGCCATCTCGCCGAGGGCGCACATGACCAAGTAGACCATGAAACCAGCGATCGAGTAGGTGATGAAAATGGAAGCAGGACCACCTCGAGCCAATGCAGCACCGGTACCGATGATGAGACCAGTACCAATCGCACCACCAATGGCTATCATAGTAATGTGGCGAGCCTTGAGACCACGGTGTAGCGCTCGACCTTCCTCATACTCAATACCGTGTACGCGCACTCCGTCAGGAGTGACACGGTGCTGCTCGCTCGTGTACTGTGCCTTGTCGTGATCATAGTCGTGGCCTTCTGGCGATGAGCTGCCCTCTTTACGGTATTCCGCCATGTTGAGGTCGGTATAGGGTCGACCTTGTAGGACTTGCGGGACAAGGTACACTCTACGAACTAGAAAGGAAGCAGGTGAGCAGAGAAGCGGCTACTACTTAAGAGCAGCATTCAAGCGAGCGGCCAGGACCAGGAGGGGCACGAAAACGAATATCAAAATCAGCCAGCTCCACTGCTTGGTTGCGGAGAAAGAGCGCTGCAAGGTTACCTTCCTTATCTATGGGCAGACTGGGCGGACAGGGGGGCCTACTGCTATAATTTTCGCCTTGACCAGATGGGAAAGAACAACTTAGGCGTAGCAGCTCAATTCGACTTCTGCATGGCGTGCACGCGAATCGCGACCACGAAGCGGATAGGCGCATCAACCGTAAGCTGAAAATGCGTTCCAAAGAGCGATCGGTGTCCCAAAAGCAAGGGCGCTGGCTTGATGCTGCAGGCGATCTGACGATGTGACATCCCCAGAACACGCCGGGGCCAACATATCGCATATGCCTGAGGACCGGGCCAAGCGTCCCGATAGCAGTGTCAAGGCGAACTTGTGTATGGCTTGGTCTGACTTCTCCCGGTGGCGAAGACACATGCCAAGTGAGATCGGCTCGGAGGGAGGGTGTGATTTGTTATGGACAGTTCTGATCATATGACGATGACGGGGCTAGTGCTGGTCGCGCGAAGGTTTCTTGGCGGTCTTGGCTGGCTAGGCGTCGCGATCGCCCTATCGTTTGGTTCGCTTTCCCTTGTCCTTTGCAGACTAGGTGGGATGTATGCGTCCACGGCACACGCGAGCGTGTACTGGTCGGCATTTGCCCTTATCAACGCCGTCGGTCCTGACTCCTGAAGTCATTTGGACTGGGCATCTCTTGGTGCGGCGCAATGCCCAGGATTTCCATCTCAGAGACTTCCGAAGAAACGGCGCGCATGTCTGTGGGACGGTACGTCAGAGGCTTCCCGAGTACGAAAGTCAAAAGTGCGTCTCGTTTTCACTTGCAAAGATTCTGTTGCCTCGAAGATGCTAGGACCAGGAGATCGCATTTCTGCCAGTGCCAGCAGCTGAGGATCTCGTACATTCAGCGACCAATCGAGAATCAAGGCGCTATCCGCCTTAAAAATACCGTTAGTAGCCGTGTAAGAACTGCACGAACGACTCCACTCATCTGACATCGCGTGCTCTATCTGCAGGAAGGAAAATGAATAGAACTTCGGTAACGAGTTCTAGAAGTCGCTTAGAGCACACATGCAGAACGTGAGCTGATGCTAGTACGCCTAACGGACCGTGCCTGGATATTTCTCTATTTGGAAGACCTTGAGCCTGCGACCACACTGGTCGCTAGTGCTCAGGTGCTCGCAGTTGGCAATAATTGTCCTTCTAGCTGAGTCCTGGGCCTAGAGATATGTTCGATTCAGGTTGTTTCTGTGAAAAGCCCGAAATTGAATTGAGGAAGCCTTGCTTCCATATCTGGTACAATCATGTTACAGGGTACGGCCAACGAGTCCGCAACGTTGCAGAAGTCGCTCAAGAAAAGAGATTTATCGTAAGGGAAGAGCTTTTCCATGGCCAACTCACATAACCGTGCAAATAGAGTCAATCAATCCACTGGCTCCCTCTGATGCCGCTTCACCTCCATCGCCACCAGACCCTCCAGAGCTGCCATCGGCTCCTTTCCATGGATCATTGCCGTCGCCCCATGCGTCCTCACCTTGTCCACCGCCAAAGCCATTCTCTGGAGTCTGATACTCCGGAGGAGCCTGGTCGGGCGATACATACTGACCACCTGAAGCGCCGCCGTAGGACGCATCCGAGGGAGGCCCGTTCTGCGGACTGGCATCATCAGCCATGGCCCCATCTTGCTGGTCGCGTCCAAGGCCACGCTGCATTGCTTCGTAGCCAGCCAAAGTACCAGCACCTGCCATAGCGCCCTCGCCTGCGCCAGCTGCGCCGCCTACTGCACGACCAGCACCGCCAATTACGGCACCTTCTGCAGCAGCACCTCCAGCAGCAGCTCCTTCCGCTGGAGCCGTCCCTCCCATCATCATTGGCAACATCATGCCACTTGTGTTGCCGCTATGGCGAGAAAAGTAGTCAAAGTCGACAGTGACCGCTGTCGCCAACATAACAGCGCGCTGATCCAGTGTCATGCCCTTCGCACCGGCTGCGCCCAGGGCTTCGCTGTACGCGCGCTCGCCTTTGGATGTCTGCGAGTCTGGCTGCCCCTCTGCTGCTTCCTGACCAAGTCCTGCGCTATCCATGCGAAGCACATACGACCCTGTGTCGGTGAAGAGCTCCCGTCCAAACCCTCGGAACTCGCGATTTACCGAGGCGAGTAGCTCGTGTGACGAGTTTCTGAGTGAGAAATCCCATGACAGGGTTCGTTCATCAATGTAGGCAAACTGAACCATGTCTGGACCTTGCTGTGATTTCGTCCAGCCCATGGGCTCACCAGGTGCGCCGTGAGGCAGATCATGCGCAAGGAACAACGCGTACTTCCTTCGCAACGGAGCCCATTCCATCTGAGCTTCGCCGATAATGCGCATGTCTTTCAAGCTCAACTGAGACAAATGATGCACAGGTCCTGCGTCTGTTGAAGGTTGTATAGATGTTGAGGTGGAAAGCTTCACTTTGCTCTGGCTGCCGGTCTCCAAAGGATCGTAGGCCTTGATGATCGATTTATACCAGCTGAAAGGCCGATCGAATCTCAACACTTCCGTCCCATGACGATCGAACACATTCGTCGTGAAAGGCCTATGCGTTCGCATGATTTGTCTACCCATACTTTTCGCTACGCTGCCCTCTGTCTCTGCCATGTAACCAATGTGATTGCCATGAGGATCTAGTATGATATAGCGATTCGCCTGCTCGAACCCGAGGAACACGTTCATCATTTCGAGCTGCCGCTGCACAACGATGCCGGATTCGGCGAGGAGATTTCTCGAGGGGTGATCCGACTTGAGCACAGCATTGGGATCTTCTGGTATATGTACTGGTGAAAGGAGTGAATTGTCTGCATCATTTGTCTGCGCAAGTACGTCCGATATCGAGGGAGTAGGAGCAGTCTGGCCTTCCTCTGTAGCAGAGCCTTGCGCGGTAGCGACGCTGGCTGGCCCTGTCTGAGCCTCGCTCTTAGGTGGCGGAGATGGCTTTGACGGCCGCGATGCTCTCTGTCGAAGATTGCGAGTGGCGGTCAGAGGTACAGGATGTTTCAAGGCCGCGAGCCTGTAGGGTATCCGAGGCGGCATGTTGACTCCTAGTGATTGACAGCAAAGATACTCCGGCAGTCAGGTCCTTATCGCGCACGCATCATCTTCGCCTTTCAGGGTCGCCTGCAATGCTGAGATGCGGTCACCCATTCAATGGACTCCGGCACAAGGCTCCGCAAGGCTGAGGTTTCGAAAATCACATCGACGCAAGCACTGAACAGCAACCGGAGAGATGTTGCCTTGTCAGTCTTGAACTGGTCTATACGCATGACTGTATTCACAGTGGTCTTGAGACTTCTTGCCTCGCTCATGCTAGACCCACCTCAAAGCATCAAGCTCTCTCCCGTCCAACTCAATCTTGAGCACAATCCGGGGAAGGCCGTGGATAAGGTCGGCTAAGGCGGCTTGGGCGGCATTCCACAACGCTTAATGGCCATTGACGTGCCTATAGGAGATCCTCGGCTTGAGGCTTACCTGCAGATGTTGCTATTCTTTGACACTTAGAGAGTTCATGGCAGATCGTACATGCTTCTGGAAGGGTCACAGGTTCGCAGATCAAATTCTCGACGGCATGGACGTATTCGTGACGGCAGATTCTCAGGGCTCGTGAGATGTGCATATATACTATTTAAAGATCGATCCAGCATGTAGCGAATATAAAACTCCCGCTGGAACCGTGCAGAGCATCAGCAGTCCACGCAATACCTCCGCAACCCATTTCAACATTGATCATGCCTCGCGCATTCGGTTTCGATGGCGACTCCGCCATGTATGAATCACTCGAGCGCAAAGTCCTTGCCGACGAAGCCGCTCGCAAGAAATCGCTCGCAGAGACCTCTGCTGACCCAAGCACCATCACCACCAGCAGTCACAACAGCAACGACAAGCGCCGTCTATCAAACCCGTTCTCGGCGAAATCACGCAGCAAAGACAGCAAGGCCACATCAACAACCACAGTCCTCACGGAGACCAGTAACGCAACAGCACCTGAGCTGCTTACTTCGCCCACCAGGAGGGCTGCCAACGACAACGAAGCAGGGCTCTCGTCCGCCAATAGCAAGAAGTCGGTCGGAGAGAAGGTCGCAAACTTTCTCTTCAACGGCGGGCGAAGATCGCGGCAGCAGCAGTGGGGCGAGCAGCGAGTTGGGATGAGTGACGGTCACGTTGAGGGGCATGTAGTTCGGGAATCGGCTTCGTAGGCACAGGGGAGGACATCATCATTGATGAAAGGTTTACATCTTCTTCAGCACGTCTTCATGTCATCTCACTTGCCTGCTCGGTTGGTAGTACTTGCCTGATAGCAAGTTCGGGCGTGAGCAAGTTCGTTGGCCACAGCCCGCAGCTGGTGTTGCAGCAAGAGCAGTGATGCGATGACCACGTTTCGAGGTTTCGAGGTAGGTGCAAGTCGGCAGCAGCCACCTTAATGGATAAGGCAGCCTCATCATTTTCGACAACACTCTCATAGCATGTCCGCGGCCTTGCTTTATCAACATCTCGACGATGAGAGTCCGAGCTTATCTGCTAGGTACTTTTGCGCGACATGCTCTCGCTTGAGCGAACGCGCCAAGAAACGCCATGGCGAAATTTACGAAGCCCCTTCGGTTGCCTGTCCTCGTGTTCAAACATACACCTTATCTCCTACACGCACTGCTTTCCGCCAATATATTCCGCCTCATTCGATAGACGCGCGCGAGAGCGGACAGTTTCCTCATATGGCTGTGGCGGAACCAGATCGGGTAGCGCCTATGTGAAAAACAATGCCAATATGCATTTTGAACCGTGATCAGGCTGAACACGAGGTCCGCAGGCGCATCAGTCTCGGTCTCGCCACGACCGGTGTGTTTCATAATCGAGATCTGTACCAGTCACAGCTACTTGTCCACGACGCCATGCGCATGAAAGACACGGGCTGCGAGTGGCGATTGACAGCCATCGCCAGCCTCACCCCTGACAACAGAGTCGAGGAAGAGTCAAGCCGCTTATAATACTTACCCTCTTCGCCATGGCAGGTAAGTCTTATCTCAATACTGTTGGGTCCGTTTGTTGTCAAGGAGTAATCTCTGTGTGATCTCATACACCATAGCTTCGGATAAGCGATGTTGACTCATTCCATACTCCTCGCGCTGGTACTGACCTTAGCCTCTTCGGCATTGGCCTACGATGCCACCACATGCTGCACTCACGCGCGGGACAATCATGCATTTACGAACACACTCCCGTCGGGTCTTCAACCAATCTGCAACCAGACCTATGCGGAGGATATACCTGGTGCACCAGCCTTGATGATCACTTACGATTATTGCACCAACAGCTGCCCTGGCATCGGTATTGCTTCGTTGGTGAAACAGCCAGCTGTATGGCTGATGCCAGTCTTCCATTTCATCTTCCCGACAGTCATCTTCAGCATGATTGTGCCACGACGGAAGAATCTAGATGCGAGCTGGCTACTGGAAGTATCGCTCTCTTCGCTACAATGGGGTCCGGCCTGGCTTCTGCGGAAACTCGTACGAACATTTCTTTCTATCTTTTGCCTGATAGTCATCGTGGTAGACAACGCTATCTGGGTAGCAGTGATCGTCGTCACAGCTGCTCAGATGCTCATAGAGGGTCTTTATGAGGCGCAATTGGACCACAACATTCTTCAGGCGATCCCATTGGCGGATCCTAAGGACCAAAAAGTCGAGCTCATGATAACAATCGTCTCGGGCAATCTAAGACTGACCCCTGGGGAGTCGAACCCTCAACGAGCTATTGCCAACGCCCTACATAATCAAAAACCCCGACTGAAGCTGAGACTGCAGCAGCCCTTTCACAAACTTCTGCCAGGCTAATCTCCCTGATGTCTTCGCAAACGTCCTTCGGTACTGCCGTCGGCATCCCAGTCTTATTCTATTTGGGTGGCTTTGCATATACGCTCCTGAGCCTGCTCGACAACAAAAGCGATCAGAACACAGCCATAGCTATGGCTTTTGGCGTGGAATGGATGGTCGTGGTACACGTTGCCATCGTTGGTGCGTGTCTTCTTGCTGGCAACAATCCTGCAACTGCCACGGCAATCGTTGGACACGTGGAGATCGAAAACAGACGGCCACAACGTGTGCCTACAGATGCTCCCATAGTGGACATGGCGCGAGGCAATCTCCTGAGCGCTTCCGATCATGGCACCAGCATACCGCTATCTAAAATTTCCAGTAGGGATACGGACAGTGCTCCATTGATCCCCGAACAGCAGTCTATCGCTCAGCCACCACTGCCGCAAGCTAGGACACAGCAGTGCGCAGGACACACAAGCTCGGCTACCTTCATCCGACCAGTGGACCGACAAGCCACCAGTTCCAAATACAGCATATGGAAAGAAGCGTATCCTGGTGCGTTTCAACCAGTGTCCATGACAAGCAGAGGCAGCAACAAGCATCAATGGGTATGTAACACCACAGCCTTCAGGGCTAGCCAGGCCGTCCAAGACAAAGTTGAAGTGTCGTGGTGGCAGTGGTTGTTTTTCATCCTTCTACCTACAGCGATACTTGTCGTGCTTCCACCCGTGGCTGGAGGCATCATCTCCTGGGTAACACCACCGAGAGGCTATGGGTGTCGCAGTCTGCTGTTCATCGTATATGCAGGCGTGCAGTCAGTGCTCATCATATCTTCTGCCCTACAAACGATTGCACGTGGCAGGGAAGTCAGCTCCATGGTTGTTTCTCCTGGGCCTGCGCAGCCCGCGATCCGACCACGGAACTGGTGGTATCGATATTCTTGGCGGCTCCTCAACCACTGCCCTCAAACACTATCTCAATTCCTAAAGAACCACCCCTGGCTCCTCAAAATGTGCATCAGGGCATTTCTTTTCTTCCTGCGGCAATGGCCTCGTTGATCTATTTCTTCGAAGCGCAACATCAAGTTAGAGGCCAGATCATCCTAGGGGGTGTCGCCAGCATAGTCCTCTTGCCAGCACGCTGGATCATTATCTTCCTCTCAGTCTTCACGGTCGTAGGTGGGACAATCATGCAAGTCTCAGGCATCTACACAAACTGTTTCTGCTACATCAACTCTCCGTACTGGTTCCGGTTAGACCAATCACCTGGTGTCAATGTTGCCTCGGACACGCAAGGCCAGCGAGACGCTAGTCAGGGTTGGCTTATTCTTGGGATTGTTGCGACAGTGTTCATGATCTTTACGTCCTATGTTGCTTGGTTGTACCAGAGTTCGATGAGAATCAAATTCCGGGAGGAAGCGAGGAAGCTTGCTTTAAGTCCACCATGAGCTGTCTCAGCTGCAGGATTTTGACCGACATCAACAACTTGCCGCCCTGCGCAAGCAGTGATTAATACCTCTGCTGTCACTACAATATCCGCCTGTATATATGTGCGAGACGTTCCCACTGATGGAACCACACAGACTTCCTTCACGTCGTGATCTCACTACCCTCCGCATCCGTGAAACTCTCTAAGTCCATCTCTTCGTCTCGAGGGCAATGCAACGAACACTCTTGCGAATGCGTTCGAATCCGAGTATTGCCTCGTCCAACATCGGCTAAGACCGGTTGACAGGAGAGGTGCCCGGGCATAGGTTTGGGCAGGCCGGTTGACGTTGCTCGCACCTGCCTCTCTAGACACTTTCTGTGGTAGGGGCGACCGACTGGCGAGATGTGCACCTGCCACTCTAAATATGCTTTCGCTGCAGGAGCGACCGCTCGAAGACACGTGCACCTGCCTCGCCGGAGACTCTCAGCAGCAGGTGCGACTTGATTACGGCATTCGCACCTGCCTCTCACACTACTTGATACGGCAGGGGCGTTTGATGAGTCGGACCTTTCTTCACAGCACAATCACGATTATCAAAGAGCAGGAGCGACAGTCATACAACGGCACGGCGTGAGAAGGCACGTGATTCATGACTTCTTGCTGTAAGTAGAACCGCGTCGTCCGTGTCATCTGTCACTTCTGCTCGGCGGCTCCCCGGCGAGGTTCATGAACTCTTGAGTCTTCGGCGAACATCGACTCGAACGCATCGATGCCGCGAAGCACCCTTGTATCTGCTACAGGAGGCGATGATGACGTTTTGCGGTTCGAATACCTCGAGACATGCATACCGCGAGACACTCAAGACGATGACTCGGTGCTGACTTACCTCATATAGCTCCCGTAGACCTAGAACATTCTGCTCTTAATCATCAAAGCAAAGCATCTTGTGATATGTGACTATTCCCAGAGTGCTATTCCACGCTATGCAACAAAACGACGTTCGAGCTTAGCTCCGAGACCTCACGGGCCATCCATACCCAGCTCACGACCTTCCCGAGGTCATATAGGCAGACGCTTCCCAAACGGAATTCCTAGCCACTTCCGATTCTTGACTCCTCCCTCCGCAGCCTTCGCAGCGCCCTCCTCTTCGACGTTATGCTTGCCAACAATACTCAAGAACACCTGATCCAGCGTCGCGCGACTCACACTGTAGTACTCCACACCCAGCGCCTCAGACTGCTTCTCCAGCGCGCCGAACAGCGCCGCGATATTGCCGGGACCATTGATACTATCAGACGTGGTCGTCCTCGACGCACCAGCTACGGCCACGACACCGCAGTTCTTCTCGTCCTCGACGATACTGTGGTTGAGAGGCATGGTGAAGCGTAGCTGTCCACCATACACCTCGCGCTCGATCTTGGCGGTTGGGAACTGTTCTTGCACGAACTCGCGAATAGCTGCCATGTCTTGCTCGCTGCAATGTGGCGCGTTCTTGTGGACGATGTGCACGTAGTATGCGTCGCCGTGCTTACGTCGCAGATAGTCTGTCGTACCAAGTGCCAGCATCTTAGAAGCTAGAATGCCTGCTCGATTTGCTAGAGCGTCCGCTTCTTCCATGGAATGTGTAGTCAGGACCAGGGATCGGCCAGGTACGACCGAGGCCAGAGTCCGCCACATGACTCGTTTGCTGGCTGCGTCCATGCCACTGGACGGCTCGTCAAGCAGGAGCACTGCTGGGTTACCCATTAGTGCAATGCCCAGAGAGAGCTTGCGCTTGTTGCCGCCAGATAGCTTCTCGGCCATACGGTCTGCATAGGATGTGAGACCGACAGCTTGCATCACTGCTGTGACATTGTGAGCTGGATTCTCGACGCCACGAATCTTGGCGTAGAACTGTAGATGCTCCGCAACAGTCATACGATCCATAGCGTCGAATTGTGGACAGACTCCGAGCTGAGAACGAGCAGCTGCACGCGTGCGAAGTACACTGATGTCCTGCACGAGAATTTCGCCACCTCTCTGACTAGGTCGAAGGTCACCACGAATGAGGGATATCAGTGTCGACTTGCCCGCACCGTTGGGTCCTAACAGGGCGAAAACTTCTGATTTAGGCACACCGAACGTGACGTTATTGACTGCAAGATTCCTCTTGAAGCGCTTGGTGATGTTCAGAACTCGTAGACCGTCTCGACTCGATGTCACTCTTGTCAGCTCGTGACTGACTTCTGGTTCGAGCGTGTCCTTCTCCTCGAGCTCGGCGGACTTCTGCTTGTTGCGGAACCGACGGAGTGGCGACCCTGAGTCCACGAGAAGCAGCACACCGAAGAGGAAGATCGACTGCAGTATCAGGTACAGTATTGGACCACCGTATGCAGTCATATCGCCTGGAGACTTCAGTGATCGATCCGTGCATGTGACGCTGAAGATGTTGAGAGCCACGAACATGGCTCTGGTCAAATTTGCAACTGGCGAGATCGCACCAATCGTGAAATGGCAGACATTCAGCAAACTGTCGACGTTGGAGGCTGGCGCATATGTCAAAACTGACATGAAGGCAATGAAGTATAGCAAGAACATGACACACTGTCCACCCGCATCCCAGGCAAAGGCGGCCAACTGACTTGTCGAGATCAACGAGACACAGTATGCCAGCAAAGTCGACGCCAAGCCATATAGGAAGAATATCAGAAAGAGGTAGCCGATATGGTAGAATGCTGATGAGACCGCTCGGAACACAATGACGGCAATGGCGCTCGAGACCAACACGATGCAGAAGTCGAACATGGTGTAGGCTGCCCACAGTGGTGCCGGGCGAACGCCGTTACTGTAGTGCAGTCCTCGTACGTTGCGAAGACGTTCTACCGTGGGGTACAGTGCGAAGAAAGCCGGGTATACCGCCATCGCCAGACCAAAGTAAGTGATTAGCTGGAGAGCATCGCCCACGTCCGCAGCCCACGGCATCGTCGAAGGGCTGGTACTGCATCGAAATTGTCGTGTTGCTGAGAAAGATATTGAGTGCATTCTGAGTGATGACCGAGAAGAAGATGCCGCCATTACCTCGCCAGGCAAAAGTGGGCGGAAACGATGCGTCGCCAAGCCAGAGACCGCCTGGAGTGATGCTTCGTTCTATGTTAGCTTAGATCGGGACGTGACTGATAAGTGAAAGACTAGGTTGGAGGGGAAGACGGAACGGGATCGCGAGACAAAGGCAACAGAAACAAGTCTCAGACCTCCAGTCTCGACTTCTTTCCCGACCCAAGGTTCGAAAGAACACTTACTTGGCATAACGTTCTTCGATGATATCCTTGAACTCGGGAAGACTGTTGGTCAGGTTGACTGATTCTGCCAGACGGGTCGCATTATCCCCCGTGCTCTCCTGACCCTCGCGTGTGAATGATTGTGCGTACATTTGAATCAGCCCAGGGCTAAAGGCATCGCTAGGACCGATCAGGATGTCGTAGTTGCCCTCCGTCGATAGCGAGGATGGATCGAACTGTGCAGCAATTTCGATTGGATCGCATCCAGGACGCTCATAGTCGTTCATGAAGAGCGTGACCAAGCCGGCAGCAATGATAGGAATTAGAAGAGCAGCGATATATGGCAAAGCGTTGCGCCGAAAGATGGTCATCCTCTTTTGGAAGAGAATCCGGAGCTGACCAGTCAAATTGATTCGGCGCCCAGGCAGTAACTCTGGGACGTTCAGTCTGTTTTCTGTAACGCCCACGGTTGTGTGCTTCGCTGACTTCTCGTCGCTGCTCTCTCGCGCGGGGGCGGTCGAGAGCTCATCGTGGCCACTCTGCACTTCATCGGCCACCTTCAAGAAAACATCCTCTATGGTGGGCCCACTGACTTGGTACTCGGTCATCCCATCACTCTCAAGTCGCGTGAGGAATCTGGCGGTCTCAGCTGACGAAGGTAGCAGGTACGTCGTTTGCTCGTCATGTTGAGAATGTGGATAGTCCTGGTAAACATGCGGTCCTGCTGTTCGAGCCGATTTGTACACATGCACACGATAACCAGATCCCAACTTATGCTTCAAGGCGACTGATGTACCGGAGGCTTTCAAGAGACCCTTGGAGAGAATGGCTATGTGATCTGCCAGAAGATCTGCCTCATCCAGAAAGTGAGTCGTGAGGATGATAGTGCGACGCCCTCGTTCTGACAGGAGTATGTCCCAAATCTTTCGACGGGACAACGGATCAATGCCACTAGACACCTCATCGACAGCACAAATGCTTGAACCACCCGTGAACATCAAAGCCAACTGAAGCTTGCGCTTTTGACCGCCGGAAAGCGTCTTGGCCTTAGCTTTGATCTTTGAGACAATGTCACAGGATTCCAGCAGCTCTCTGTTCTCCCTCTTCGGCGCAATCACCTTGCTTTTGACCTTGTTGATGATTCGCACGTGTTCTTCGACCGTGAGTTCATCCCACAAGACATTCTTTTGGGGACAAAGACCAAGCCCGGCGCCTTGTTGCAAGTAGTTGACTGCGATGGACCCACTCGAAATCGAGTTCAGCCCAGCAATACTGTCTAGCGTGGTACTTTTGCCTGAGCCGTTAGCTCCGAGAAGCACCAGGATCTCGCCACGTGTTGCTGTCAGACTCAGCTCGTTGACAGCAACCACGTCGGCGGCACGCTTTCGGGTCAGTTTGGCCCAGAGCTGAGTTCCAATGGTCGGTGGATATCGCTTGGTGAACCGATCCAGAGATATCGCAGTACTGCTGTCGGAGACGCTAACAACGCGCTCTTTGGAAGCTGTGCCATACAAGAATCGCTCGACCCAGGCGCCGATCAACGGATAGATGACGATCTGGAGGATGAAGAACACCCAAAGGACTATGCCAGGTAAAGTCGAGGGGTTTTCCGGAGCCGCCTGAACCAAATTCGTCGCTTGATTCTGTCTTTCCCATCTCGCCATCACGATTGTGAAGTTGACGTAAGTGAACGGTGTGAAGAACAGCGAAAGTATTGTGACAGCACCTGTAGAGCCCTTGCCCACGACCTGAGCCACAACTGCGAGTAGCATGAGTGTGATAACCAGACTGATGCCGCTCAGCTGGGCCCTTCTGAACAGAGAAGCTCCCAGAATGCTGAAAGAAGACACTGCAAGACCTCCCAGGATGTTGTTGATCACGACAATGCCGGCATTCGTCCTGGAAAACACACCGCCGCTGAGAATTATAGCCATAACGATCCAGCCAGGAGCGTAGATCAGGTCGAAGGCCAGGTGATTGGCTATAATTCGCGCCATCTGCGGCTCCCACCGGCGGGTGTTCGGCATCATTGAGTCGAGCAGCTGTGCCATGCCAATTTCTCGCTCCGTGGCTACCAAGCCAGTCAACTGGTAGGTGATGAGAACAATGCCAATGAAGAATGCAACGGCCAATATATTGATGATTCCACTCATGTACCGAACGCGAATCTGATCATTTCGCTGCTCCTGAGTCATGCTGGTGTAGATGTACTCCTCCACGACATTGGGGAGTGGCGTTCCATTGCCAATTCGGGATATTGCGCTATCGACTGCATGCTGGACAGGTAGCAGGACTCGCTGGATATCATTGTCGCCGGAGAACACGTTGATACCACTCTGAAGACCTCCATCTGCGCGTAAGCTGTAGTTCCACTGACCAAGAGGACCTTCCTCGGGCGACGAGAAGAACACAATTCCAGCAAAGCAGTCGCTTGTCCCTCGGATAGAGTTGCGGCATTCTGTGACCAAGTCTTGTTCTTGGTCCAATTCGAGGATCTGCCACTCCATCCTTCAGCTTGTGTCTTTATGTCTTGTATAACGGTCGCAATATCACCGTCCGTGAAGCCGCTGTTGACCAGCGCGAAGCGATCCCGACCGCCTGGGGCATCGTTCAAAGCGTCCAAGAGAGATCGCACAGCATGGGTGTCGCCAATGCCATATCTTGATGGGGGTATGAAGAGGCTACGTGCGTATGCCCTGGTGCTGTATCAGCAGAAGTTCAACGTAGTCTGATGTTCAGGATCTTACAGGAAGCCAACGAATATGCAGGGCAGCAGAAATGCTCTGAAGGGCGTCGAGAACGGGTGCCGGACGAGTGCGATCAAGAGGTTCTTGACAGTCAGTGTCCATATCTGCCGGAGAAAGAAGGCCATCTCGTCGAGCCTAAGCCTGCGATTGCTAGACCATCTTGAGGTGTCCACGAGAGTCTGCTCGTAGGTGTTGAGTGCACTTCGACGTACTCTGCTCGGCGGCCCAGCAGGAGTTGTCGCGGCTTGATCGAACGACAGCGCTTTCGTATGCGTCCAAATACAGTCCTGTGTTATGCCGCGGCTGAACCACAGATATTGAGATCAACCACAATCAAGCCTACCAATGTTTCAGGCATCTGCGTATAACAGCCTCGACCACCGCATGCTATCGTGGACGGTGCCGCGACATGTTTAATTGTCTGAGCCGACAGCTCATGGAACCACCGGAACGACAAGGAGCGCCGACAGGCAGCAAGCAAACGAGCCCAGAGAAATGGTGAATAATGATCCCTACACCAGAAAGTTTGTCGTTCCGAAAGCATGCAAATGTCGTATCGATCGTTAACTTGGCCGTCTATGACTTAGCTGAGCCCCATAATTTTGTCGGTTGGCGCCCATTAGGGAAGGTCGTAGACGAGACCGTTAGCTGGGCTGTGTCCGTTGTGGTGGCTTCCTCGTGCTGGGCAGGGTTGGCAGGCTTCTGGGCTTCGCCACTCGGCGCTTCATCGTCTTCTGGGCTCCGAGAAGCGAGACCTGCTTCCATATCGATCTTTGTGCTGCTTGTTGGAATGTGCGCCACACAGTGCGTATGTCTGACAACCCGCAGAGAAGTAGCTGATGTCCATGAGAAGAGTGCATCGAAGGGTAAGAGACGAAGTTCAAGCACGTACGAGGACAGACGCCTTATAAAGGCATACACGTGTCAACGACCGCGTGGACCATACGAGCCATCGTACCAGTTGCTGAGGACTTCGTAGAACATTATCCTTAGGGTCAATAACTTTTGCAGCGTCGAGGGAGTTGCGATTGCCAGTGGTGCACCTCTTACAAGATGGGAAGTGCATCCATTGAATAACACAGGAATTATTTTTACATCCAAAGAGCAGGAACGCTGTGCCTGTAGTCGCGCTTCATGCCAGCCAGCGCGATCCGTCCCGTCCCATATCGACCAAATATTATCTTAAACATTAATACGAGTAGGCGCTGTCGTCCCAATCGCCATCATTCCATCTCCTGACTGCAACTTCATGCCAAACGATTCTCGAAATCTTTCCGCCTCGCCCAACCGATCCCCTCGCCTCTGAGCATCTGCACCCTCCCACTCCCGCTCAAACGCGCTGCCATCCCTCACAACACCCTGATGCACCTTCGCCCTCAGCGGACTCTCCTTCAGGAAGCCATCGCCATCGTACAAGCTACGAAGCGATCCCGGCGTGCCCAACAGCTTGTCTCCCACGCGTAATCCCAGCCCTTGTGGCTGGTTCCGCGGTGTCGCTTGCTGCGGGCTCCTCTGTTGTTGCTGATCTGGCACCGCCGTCACAATGTGCGACCGCAAAGGCTGTGGTTGCAGCGATGGCGAAGCAAGGATAGAAGAAGATGGCGTCGTGGCCGTCGACGCAGAGAAAGCTGTCCCTGTAGAGACGCTGCCTTTCGCCGCTGGCGATGTGACACTGCCTTGCTGCGCTGCTGGTGGACCAGCATTGCCGCGCGATGGCACACGCTTTGTTGTCGGCACAGCCGGGAAGTTGAATACGTAGCGGCTGTTACCAAAGGTATGCGCCGTTGGTGTGAGATTCTCCATGTCCGAGTCGTTCAGAGGCGAGACTAGATGTGCTTGGGAGTATGTATCGTCAAAGACAATTGGCTTGGGCTTGCTGTTCGGCGCACTTGTCGTTATGCCGAGCCCTTGATTTGCTTGTTGCTGAGGTGTTGGGTTGACACGTTGTGGCGGGTCTGGCGCAGGCAGTGCAGGTCCAGGTCCGTTGCTTGCGCTACGATTGAGCCGTGTCTGTACACTGTGCTGCCTTGACAAAGGTTCTGGACTTTCTGCTCTGATAGATTCGTCTTCCCAGATCGACATGCCGCCTAGCGATGCCATGCTCATTCGTCCGGGACTTCCTGCTCGGGACATATTGCCCGTGTGTCCCCAGTTCGAAGACTGGTAGAGGTTTCCGGAGCTGCGGACGTTGTTGCCTGATATATGCTCATAGTTGTCCTGCTTGGTAGCCATATTCCAATCCCGGCTCATCGAGGTCTGACTCGGCTTCGGACTGTGCGAGCTTGCCATCGACATCTTGCGTTTGGAGCTGCCGAACATACTCGGTTGGCGGCTATGCGCGAAGCTGAAGCCATTGGACTCTTGCGGCAGGTAGCCTCCACCGGCCGAGACACTGCCCTGTCGCATTCCGTAGCCAGAGGATTGGCCCATCGCAGAGATACTGTTGTTGCGACTGATGCCGACGTTTGCTCCAGTAGAGCCGGTGTATGAGGTTACGGGGTTCCCCTGCGACAGGCTGTAGCGGTGACCTCGACCCGCATAATGTTGACCGTGGACCACGCTGTTGTCTCGAGTGATTGCCCGTGTGCTGACACTATCGATCGAGTTGGAGCGTGATACTTCCCAAATGGCGTTGAGCTCCTTCCAGTCATCGTGGTTGTTGCGTGAAGACGTCGATGACATGAACGAAGTTGTTTGAGGGTACAGCCTGGACTTGTCGTTCAGATGTCTGCCAACTGTATCCATGCTTCGGAGAAGAGACACAGACTGCCTGAGATCGTTGTCTGGACGCGCTTCAGCGGTTGCTTGAACGGGCTGCTCGACCGGTGTCGTGACTGGGCTGGAATATGCTGTCGCCTTTGGTGGTGATGCTGCTCTTGCCACGGTATGAGCAGTTTGGAGATGTACATTCGTAGACATTACAGATGGAGGACTCCTCGGACCCATTAGCCGTGACGGCCGCGTTGGCGATGGCTCCACCAGTGGCAGAGCGGTCAGTGCGGAGGCCGTGTTCGAAGTGATCTTCAGTGGTGCAAGTGGAGAGGGAAGTGTCGGAGAGTCCTTGCCCAAGGCCGGAGGAGGTTTCAGCGTCGCGGCGCTGGGCGGTGTCGGTGCCAGTGCCCATCGATCAGGATTCGCGAACGGATCCGGCGTCTTGGGCTTGCTGTCCATGTTGTTCAGGTCGACAGCTGAGAAGAAAACGTCAGACTCTGGTCTGGAAACGGGTGAGATCCGAGAAGCATAGGATGTAGTCCGCTTGGGTTTAGATGGGCTCAGAACAGGCCGGTTCGACATAGGTGAGATTGTTGGCGATCCATTCTCGTCGACGACAGGCACACTCCTCCGGTATGAAGTCCTCTTTCGGTCTGCTGGAGACACTTTTGTGATGCCCACGATCTGGACCTTGTTCGGACTGACTTCGATATCGTCATCGCTATCCTCAAGTATATCCGAGAAAGGCGAAGGTCTTCGCTGTTTGACGGGCATCGGTATGCTTATGCGGATACAATTCTGCCTACGATGGCCAGGCGTTCGGCGTCCACTTCCAGTTGAGCCAGTAGAGAGACGAGAGCTTCCGAAGGACGGCTTGTGGTCGAGTTTGTACGGATTGCTGCTAGCGACCGATGCTGGTCGAGGCGGCAGGTTCGTTGGCGAGGCACTGGCCACCATCTCTCTATCTCGCTCACCGGCTTGCTGACTACGTGTAGACAAGCTGTAGTCTAGCATAGAATGTCGCTCGCTGACTTGTCTAGGAGTACCGAAGAAGAACTCTGCATCTGGAACGAATCCCTCGCTGCCTTCCTTCGGAACTTCTCGAATGGTCGAGGGTTGATTGATGGAGAGTGTGCTCCATTTCCGCCCCTGGAAATCGAAGCTAGGGGTCACTGAAGCAACCCCAGGACCGCCACTATGCCATCCAGTCGTCCTTCCAGGCGATGGTCCTATACGAGGAGTTGATCGATTCGAGAAACCAAAGTCGAAATCTTGCAAGCCTGAATTGACCTTGAACGGTCCTTGTCCTTCTGCAGGAGACGACATAGCAGCGCCCAGAACAGAGCTTCCAACAGTATCTGTGGACACCTGTGAGTGACGTCGATTCTGTGCCACATGACTGTGTTTGTCGAAGACTGGCAGCTCTGGTAGTGGTCCGTCAGGCGCTTCTGATAGATCGCTCCGCTTGCTCTCTGAATGTGGCATCTCCTGAATTGGGCTTATGTTCGGTTCCTCCTGCAAAGATACTGGTGTATCAATCTCGACCGGACTTAATGCTGTATTCCTTAAAGACCAAGTGACTGTAGGCTGTACCGGAGAGACTAGATCGTGGGAGACTTTCGGCGTCCTCTCTGCTGGTAGCTCTACCGCGTTCGGCGGCTCAGTCGAATCTGTCAGCTCGGTGATCGCAGACAGAGGCGAGCGACTCATGTCTTTCAATGCGATCGCCTTCGCGATCTTCTTCTGCCTCCGCGTCTTCGGCACGGTGATACCTGAATGGCCGTACAGCGAGTCGCGCAGGCTTCGCTTTCGCCGAGCCTTCGGCGGCATCGGGCTGTCATCGGGTAGTTGTGCTGGACTCTCCTGGCGGTCGATCCGCTCCTGCGACTTCAATGGCGACCATCCTGCGTGATTTGCTTGTGGTACCGTGCTGCTTCGCGGGTTCGTTTCCGGTCTGCTACATGCGCGTAATTGTTGTCGTATGCCGACAGTCGTGTTCGTTGATAAGCCGCGAGGTCTTGACTGAGACCAGTCAGGTATCTTTGGTTCTTCTTCCTCTGCACATGGATCGAGATTGCGGCGCCCGCAGCCACCAACACAACAAGAGCCGCTGCAACCGCAATGCCGATAATGACCGGCGTCTCTAGCATCTTCGATGCATCAAATGCTCCCTTGCGCTCCTGGCAGCATTGCAATGCTGGTACTGTTTCCTTGTCAGCATGATGTCTCACTGTGGTGAACGGTTAGTAGAAAACAATGTTTCTTCCAACATTCCACGGAAGAAATTGCTATCAAGACCACGCGACAAGGGATGGAATGTGCTTCCAGAATCCGTCGAGCTCATCCCTTGATTGCCTTATTGCCTATACTTTGCCTCTCTTGGCCTTATACAGACGACTGTAAGGGACTACAAGAAACATGAGTCTGCTTCAAGACTGCTTCAGTATCACAGGAACCGCTTGCCGCCATCATATGCGTCTTCGCATGATGATCAGGTGGTCGATTTTTGCCTGATGGGATCATGTTCGCCCACAGCCCAGGCTTGACTCTACAGTGTCAGCGGCAGCTCCGTTCGCAGCATCATGATGATAGCAATTCTGACATAGCGATGCCTCCAGACAGGATTGTTCAGACCTGCGGGTCGACGACAAAGGAGAGAATTTTATGGGTGCAATGCCTCGAAGATGAAGCTGTTCAGGGCGGCAGTTCTGGCAGATTCCCGGTGGACAAAACTTTGTGCATCAATCGCCGTGTCAAAACCCGATCCCCACCATGCATCATGAGCTGCCGTTCGCGGGGAAATATCCGACCACCGCACGGGTTCTGGTAGAGTATAAAGACAAGATGGCCTTCAAAAGCTCCCTCGGCGTGGTTCGAACGCTGTTGTGTCCTCCTAAACTCATCACTCGCCATCATGGACGACGCTGTCCTGCCAGGTACAAGCAAATTCAAGCACTACAACACTCAAGCCCCGGATACGAAGCGAATATTTCCCCTCTTCTCTTTGAAAGGCAAGACTGCAATTGTGGCAGGTGCGGGAGCAGGTATTGGGTTGGCGGTCGTTCGTGGTTACGCCGAGGCCGGAGCAAATGTGATCATCTGGTTAAGGCAACCTTTGGCTACGGTCGCCTAGTACTGACCTCAGCAGGTACAACACAAACAAGGAAGCAGAGACGCGAGCCAAGGAGATCGAGGAAGAGTTTGGGGTGAAATGCAGAGCTTTCTCGGTCGACACAACTGATCCTCAAGCTGTCGACAACGCGGTAACTTCCCAGATCAAAGAATTCGATGACCGACTTGACGTCTTCGTGTACAACTCCGGAGTAGCCTGGACAAGTGGGGCTTCTATTACTGGTGATCTGGACAACTACCATCGAGTGATGAAGACCAACGTTGATGGCTTATTCTATTCCGCGAGAGTTGTCGGTAGAATCTGGAGAGAACAGAAGATCAATGGTCTTCCAAAGTTCAGGGGCGGCTCGTTCATCGCCACGGCCTCCATGTCCGGCCACATCGCCAATTTTCCGCAGTTGCAGACATCATACGATGCGTCCAAAGCAGCCGTCAAACATATGTGCCAGAATCTTGCCCTTGAGTGGGTACAATTTGCGCGTGTCAATTCGATTAGCCCAGGCTATATCGCGACTGAGCTGACCACTTTTATTCCGGAGGCAACAAAGGAAGTTTGGCGGCACATGATCCCCATGGGTCGTGAGGGGCAGCCCGGCGAGCTTGCTGCGGCATACCTCTTCCTTGCGTCGGACGCAAGTTCGTACTGTACTGGCACAGATCTGCTGATCGATGGTAAGCAAGAAGTTCAATGAGACAAATGAAAGAAACTGACCAAACTGCAGGGGGTTATTGCGCTCCGTAGTAAGAGGCATGTCAAAGTGGCTCGATAGCCAATGAGCTCTGTCTTCGTCGAGCTATGAGTCCCTCTTCAACCTTTCCGATCTTAATCCAACCAGGACGCTGTGCTAGCCTAGACAAAGCGGACCGACGGGTGGGTGGTTGTACTTGTGCTTCTAGGGCTGACGGCGTGCGTTGGTTCGGATGGTCGACACTCGAGCATGTACTGGACCACGTGAGTGGGCTGTAGTGCTTCGACCGAGGATGTGGCGATTGGTAGCGCCGTCGTTCGATGACCTGAGGATCCAGGCGGCCTCCCGGGCTTTCTTGTCGTTGACGGTGCATCTGATAGTAGTGCCAACCGATGAACACTGCGGCACAGACGTATATCGCCAGTATGAATAGTATGATGGCGCATTGTATCGTGTTCAGGCCACGACTTGGCGCTGGCCTATGCTTCGCGTGGTAGTGGGCCATCTAGTCTCATGCATAGGTGGTGTGTCGAAACTGTGTTGGTAAATTCGGTCGATATGTAGCAGTCGAGGCGTCGAAAACTCCGTTTGGCACTTGTCCTTCTGCCAACCAGGCGTTGCCACAGCCACAATACTTTGCATTTCACTTGATTCCAAGGCTACCAAACGCTCGATCTAGCTCCTCGCCCTCTCTGTTTGGAGACATAGCTGGTGCGACAACCTGTGAAGCCTCATCGTCCAGCAAGCCTTGCTTCTGTGCGGTCGAACCTGCCTTGACAGGTTCTAATATCTTCTCATCCATATCCAGCCAGCCTGGAGCCTTTCGTCGCTTCTCAGCCAATTCCCTATCCTTGATACTTTGCTCCCACTCGGCTATTGCCTTCTTGCCATCCTCGTGCGACTTCGTAAGGTGGTCCTGGAGAGCCTTGCATGATGCAATCACGTCGTCTGGATGAGCCGTATGCCCACTTGAGGATGTGATATACTTAGGCTTGTCACCATTTGGAGCATCGAGCACGGAGGGAGGTAGTGAGGTGGGCACCTGGCGGAAACTATATGGCAACGTGACAGCAGTGGGCATCGACAAGAATGGCGACACCGTCAGAGGTATCTGTGCCAGGAGAGGATGAGGCTTATGTGCGTCGAACATGTTGACCTTTAGCTCATTCCCAAGGACGCAGTCTCACCATAGCAGCGGTAATCAGGAAAGAAGGAGCATTGAAGCTGTCCATCTTGTCCAGGTACCTGATGTCTCAGGCTTGGCGGCGATCTTGGGCGGGGATTCAATCCGCCCACCTTTCATGTTTCGCCGCCTTCGCTTCGCTGAAGAACTCCTATACATGCGCCCGTCTCACATCTATCGTCACACTCCGAACTCGCGCCAGTATTCAAGCCTACTTTCACGTAACGACGGTCCGCTTAAACAGGTCCCCTGACCTCGACTTTCGCCCCTCAATCGGAGACGCACGACCGCATTCGAGTGACCGGTCACGTCTCAGCTGGTCATCTCGCCCCCGTATTCTTCTCGAACCTCACTCGGAGCCTGATAACACCACGTTACTGACATTGCGTTGAAACTTGTGCGACGAGGACTGTCAGGTAGAGAGCATATCTGTCTCGTTCGTTACCCGCGCAGTTTGCGCCCCGCCCCGCCAACATGGACAGCCATTTGTCAAGAGCGGTGGTGGACAAGAAGCCGGTGCCCGAGATCGACTTCACTCTACACACGATGGAGGACGGGACACAAGTGAGCACACAAGAGCGTGTCTGCAAAGACGTCCAGGCACCTGCCATGCAGGTGCCCACCGACGAACAGTTCTGGTCGCCACAAGACTCCTCAAAGCCGAATCTGGCTTTTCTCAAGCAGCACTTCTGTCGAGAGGGCCGATTGACCGAGGAACAGGCATTATGGATCATCAACAAGGGTGCAGAAGTCCTGAAAGCAGAGCCCAACCTTCTCGAGATGGACGCCCCCATCACAGTCTGTGGCGATGTACATGGACAATACTTCGACCTCATGAAGCTGTTCGAGGTGGGCGGTGACCCGGCCGAGACGAGATATCTCTTTCTGGGCGACTACGTCGACCGAGGGTACTTCAGCATCGAATGTGTACTGTATCTGTGGTCACTCAAGATCTGGTATCCCAACACACTGTGGCTCCTGCGAGGCAACCACGAATGCCGACACCTCACCGACTATTTCACGTTCAAACTCGAATGCAAGCACAAATACTCAGAGAAGGTCTACGATGCCTGCATGGAAGCATTCTGCTGTCTTCCGTTGGCCGCCGTCATGAACAAGCAGTTCTTGTGCATTCACGGTGGGCTGAGTCCAGAACTGCACACTTTGGAGGACATCAAGAGCATCGACCGGTTCAGAGAACCTCCTACGCACGGCATTATGTGCGACATTCTATGGGCTGACCCACTGGAAGAGTTTGGGCAAGAAAAGACTGGAGAGTTCTACATCCACAACCATGTCCGAGGGTGCTCCTACTTCTTCTCATATCCAGCGGCATGCAATTTCCTTGAAAAGAACAACCTACTGTCCATCATTCGCGCTCACGAAGCACAAGATGCAGGGTACAGAATGTACCGCAAGACGAGAACTACTGGCTTTCCTTCGGTCATGACAATCTTCAGCGCGCCAAATTATCTGGATGTATACAACAACAAGGCCGCCGTGCTCAAGTACGAGAACAATGTTATGAACATTCGGCAATTCAATTGCACGCCCCATCCATACTGGCTTCCAAACTTCATGGATGTCTTCACCTGGTCGCTTCCCTTCGTCGGAGAGAAGATCACCGATATGCTTCTTTCGCTTCTCAACATCTGCTCCAAGGTAGGCCACCCCAAGCTAGCCATGCGTCCGCAGATACTAACCAATTTCACAGGAAGAATTGGACGAGGATACTCCATTATCAGGCGGTCCGGTTTCACCTACCGCTTCAGAGGCCGAGTCAACTGAGGCCAAGCGCAGAGCCATTAAGAACAAGGTACGCTATCTCGCTGAGTTGTGCTAGCATCTCACTGATTGTATATCAGATCTTGGCGATTGGACGTTTAAGTCGCGTCTTCCAGGTGCTACGAGAAGAGTCCGAGCGCGTCAGCGAACTCAAACTGCAGACAGGCACAGGCAAGTTGCCTAGCGGTACCCTCATGCTTGGAAGTGAGGGCATCAAGCAAGCCATTCACAACTTCGAGGATGCTCGGAAGGTTGACCTGCAAAACGAGGTGAGATGCCTATCGATATTTGACAGCATGCCATACTGACCACTTTTAGCGTTTGCCGCCCAGCCCTGAGCAAATAGAGCATCGCGGTCAAGAAGATCGGAAGGCTGCGATCGACAAAGCCGTACGCGAAGCGGACAGCGATGAAAAGATCAATGCCGTCGCTCGTCGCATTTCTTTGTGAGTCCTCAGCGATTTCAGCAAGAGCGCTCATGCTGACAATGACCTAGTGGGCATAAGAACCCTGTTGGAAGCCGTCGCAGCTAGAAGCTGGCATCAAGAGAGCGCAGCCAAAGCCAATGATCACGGAAATGACCACGTTGCTTGAGCGAAGCACACTGGAGAGGCGTGCATTGCGTTATTGACGTCCGGAGACCATTGGACCATGGATGTTTGGAGATTCTTGAAGCATCGCTGCCGCGACCAGAAATTCTCATTCACCAGTGCGAATCTAGATCGGCGGACAGGATCCAAGATACCCACGTGTCGCAAACACTGCAAGTATAAGAGGTTGTTCGATCACCTCCCTTGACCTCACGCATCGACTTCGTCGCCCTTGCCTGCAGGCTGCTCTTGTTATTGGTTCCCGTGCTGGACTCAATGCCGTCGTACGAGCTTCTAGTAGACATCAAACATCTTCTCGAGCCCTGTTCTCACCAACGATCATTGTCTGAATTGGCTTCACCAACATTCGTGGGCGCTGACACCATGCGTTCCTGACCTCACCCTGAGCCAGTGCGAGGGATGAAATCCCTGCAATTCAATATATCCTCTTTGCGACTAGCTTCAGTTCGACACGTCCTACGCGATGTCGGCTATGTTATCCGATCCAACCTTGAAATGATGTTTACAGCCAAGCTTTAGTCCTGGCTCGAGCTCCATTCGGCCCGTCCCTTGACCAATGCATCTCTGCCTCAGGCTTCTGTCAAGTTCAACATCATCCATTGCATACCACGAGGCAGGGGTGAAGCAGCAGTGAGAGTGTTGTGCCCATATTGCCTCACTGAGCTGTGCTTCGAGTTACTGCTTTCTTTGCTGCGTTCGAGCGAGTATTCACGGCTGTTCACTGTTTGTTTGCTTCGTGCATTACGACTCTTGGAGTTGATCTTCGTATATCTGCTCAGTGTACCACTTCAGCGTCGCCATAATCTTCATGGACTCCCGTCATCTCATCCGTCGCCCGCGCTGATCACCAGACTCCGAGTGTCAATGGAAACCATCAAGCACTATGCCAAACACTAAGCCTGTCACCAACGGCGGGCCTGTCACACCAAGCAAGCCGAAAAACGCTCAACATAGCGGAGGCCCAAACCCTGAATTAGAGACACCTCGCAAGATCCGCTACGACCTCGACAACATCTTAGAGCAATTGAACTCGACATGGAGTCTGGATCTCCCCCGGATTCGGGGCACAGCAGCTTCTCAGATGGAGTCGACGAGTGCCTTGGCAAAGAGATGCTCGGCCAGGCTGAGATATCTGTGAGTTCGTCACTGACCGTTCTCAGACCCATGCACTGATACTGCGAAGGTGCTTCAGATTGGAGAACCTGGACACATGGATCAAAGACTTCGAAGAGCGCGCAAGAATCATCCACAGCGGTTGGGTCTTCAAGCCGAGAGGAGATCGCAATCTGATAGTCCCACGAAATGTTAGCGAGCCGAATTTGAAACGTGCAGCTGCGAAAGGCAAGATGCCCCAGTTGGCCGAGGAGCAAGTGCAGCAACTTCTGCAATGCCTTGATGCCGTACTGCAAGACGTAAGTCGTGAGATCTCTTCTCCTGCTCAAACTGATGTCTTTTTCAGCCGTACGACTTGGCAAGAGATACCGACAGTTTCAACAGTACAAGTGGGGCGACTGCTTCTAGCTCGATAGCACCTCCTGCATTTCTGTCCGGTCCCAACGTCAAACGAACCAAACCCAACGTCACCGCCACTCCGCGCATCTCAGCAGAACCCGAGGACATCAAGATTTCGAAGATGCCAAACAAGCGAACATCATCCTACGATGACTCTCACGAGATCAACAGCAAGAAAGCGAAAATTCCCGCAACCTCGCCTGGTAACATCAGGCAGTTCTTGATACCTGTGGACAAAACCACGTTTAGCCGTCATCAGCCTCAGCCCGAGCTCGTCACTAGCTTTGATTCTGCTCCGGGATCGACAGACGAGATCTTTTCCCAAGGCGATGACGATTCGAGAGCGGTCAGCTCAAATGCTACCACAGTGCTAGATGAGTTTCCGGACACTCAAGACGCCCATGACTTACTGCAAGACCCTGGGCTGCTACGGTCACTGGAAGACCTCGGTCGTTCAGACAGACTCGGTCCTCGAAGAACGCTGAGCGAGAGGCTCGATGATACATTCAAGCCTCTACCCACCTCACTGCCGCCGAATCTTGACTTTGACTTCAAGTACGAGCTTCACAGCCTGTCGCTCGATCTCAACATTCGCATAGAGACACTGTTGACACAAATACAAAAAGAATGCGGCAAACGTTTTCCTTCACCTGCCGAACGATACAGAGTGTACAAAACGCTCGCCAGGGGCACCCGCATCGAGCGCTTCTCTGAGAGATCCTGGAACCCCTCCCTTGCACACCCAGACAGTGCCAGACACCATTATGCGATGTATCTTTCTACGACTCTGACGGTGGATCCGAGCGCAAATGACCGAGCGAGTCCATACAGGGTAAAACTCAACGCACCTATCGTCGACAAATCTTGTCGACTGTACCGCAAGTTCGACAATCGCACGTTAATGATTCTCAATTTGCCTGTCGTGCAAAAGGGCGAGTTGTCGAAAGATCTCCCTTACGATGAGGTGTACGACGAGGTCGTGAGATGGCTATCGAAACCCCTCCACATCGCCGGACTCGAGTGGCGTGCATTTTTCATCGATGATCAAGTGCGCGTGCGCAAAGACGATGTTCGTTTTCGACAAGTCCACTTGTTCGCTGTGAACGGCGACCAACCTACTGTATCGCTACGAGACTTCATGGACTGGCATATTCCTTGGACCGAGAACGTGCAGAGCACGGACTTGAAGCTCTTTGCTCGTTTCAAACTTGCTCTTTCCAAAACCACTCCAACAGTGGTAATCGAACAAGAAGATTTCATCGAAGTCCCCGATAAGCAAAATCCAGGCGGTCAGGTCATGGACGACGGAGCGGGACTGATGTCATTCAGTCTGGCCAAAGCAGTCAGCGCGTGCGCCGGCCTATTTGAAATTCCCAGCGTTTTCCAGGGCCGCGTTTCCGGTGCCAAAGGTGTGTGGATAGTCGTCCCAGACTATGTCAAACAATGCCGCTCTAAGCGAGGCTTCTGGATAACGGTATCGCCCTCGCAACTCAAGATCAAACCGCATCCGCGCCATCGTGTATGTGATCCAGAACACCGAACCTTCGAAATCAGTGCCTTTTCCAAGACCCTTCGACCTGCATCGCTCAACACGCAACTCATCACAGTCCTTCACAACCAGGGCGTCACCAAGGAGGTGCTTGAAGCCCGACTCAAGGAGCATTCTCAAGAGTACTATACGTCGCTCAGGCAGGCTGTGGATGATTCCAATGGACCAGCCATACGAGCATGGCTACAGCGCTACCACCCTCCTGTCCGAAATGGTGAGATCACCATGACTGGATCAGTCCCCTCGCAAAAGACAGACAAGCAAAGCATGCTGCTAGATGCAGGTTTCCTCCCCAAGGACTGCAACATCATGCACGACTTACTCCGGCTGAGCTTGAAGGATAGGCTGAGCGAGATGACGGAGAAGATCAATCCGGAGATACCTGAGTCCACGACACCATTCATAATTCCGGACCCGTATGATGTGCTCGACGAAGGCACAGCGATGTTGTGTCTTCCAGAAGGAGGCTTTACAGATCCCAGGACCGGAATGCCGTTTTCTCATGTCGATGGGCGACATGCCTTGGTGGCGCGCAATCCCGCTTACTGGCCCTCTGACATGCAGAAGATCAAACTCGTTTACAATCTCCAGCTCGCATGTTTCAAAAACGTCCTAATATTTTCGACCAAAGGCTTGCGACCACTCGCAGACCTGCTCTCTGGAGGCGATTACGATGGCGACAAAGCATTCATCACTTGGGATCGAGAGATTGTTGATCAGTTCAAGAACTATGATGGTCCCGCACCAGACGCAGTACGGCCGGAAGACTGTTATGTGAAGCAGGAATCGCGTCCATTGTCCGAGATCTTCCAAAGCAACCCACGAGGTGGGCCATCGCTAACTGAAGTTGAGAAGTATTTGGATAAGTGCATTTGCTTCAATTTAAGCACGTCGCCACTAGGCATGGTTTCAAATGAGCATGCGAAGCTCGTCTACTCGCTGTCTTTGAAGGGGGACGGCAAGCGAGCACTCAACAATGATGGTGCCATCAAGCTTGGTGCCTTGGCAGGCTTTCTTGTTGACGTAAGTGCACAGACTCTTGATATCGTATCGAGCGATGCAGCCATGGAACATCGCTGACTTCCGACCAGGCATTTAAACAGGGATACAGACTGCCCATAGACGACTTCTACGCATTACGGCGCCTGGTCTGCGGCTTCAGAAGACTGAATGATCCAGCCTACACAAAGAAGATAGACTTTACAGGATATAACGAGAAGAATATCAACGACTATCTGAAGTTCAAGGTCGCCAAACAAGAGATGGATAACACCTTGACGCACTGGTCGAATCACTACTCACGCTCCGGCCGCCTTGACGAAGCTCTCAAACGAAAAGTCACTGAGTTCAAAGCGATGGCCACTGAAGACGCTTCTGGCGTGACCCAACGGATCAGCGCGCAACTCGAACTCGACATCAGGTATATAACGGGCAGGTGGGCACGGCTAGTGAACGACGATAACCTGGATCCCCGCACTTTCTCCCTAGAAGTCAGCCAACTACACCGAGAGTTCCTTCAGATTGAGCCACTCCAGGTGCCAGGCCAAGAGGACGCCTACAGATACCGCTTCTTTGCAGAGGCCCAACGCCTCGGTCAGCCTGTGTGGCCCGCGATTCGCGCTTGCTACCTCTATTGCGCGACACACAAGGCATTCCGTTCTCTGGCGTGGAATATGGCAGCGGATCAATTGTGCGAGATCAAAGCGAAGAGTCTGGGATCGGTGACCACGGTAACGATGCGTATGTGGGCGACCCTGAAGGTGGACAAGCGCATTGCCTCTACTACGGTGACGTGGGGCGATATTGGATATCATGATATCGAGGATGAGGAGGAAGACGAGACGCAATACTTTGATGCGGAGTCGGAGTTGCCGGCCAATAACAGCTTGATCGAGTGGCTGAACTTTTGATTGGTTGTGGATGGTGCATGATACCCCCGGTTTGGTGTTGTTCAATTGTGGATTCACGGGTGTTTGCATACTCATTACTTGGCAAGCGAGCATTGGATATACAGATTGTCGAGATGGCCGAGAGTGTTGCTGAACGGACGGAAGCAGCAAGGAGAGATATCCCAAGACCAATCGTCTACGGGCGAGACTCTGTTTTGCTTTTTGGCGGAATTCGCTGACATGTATCGTATGGCGAGGATCGAAAGCTAAAGCTTGGGAGAGAAGGGCTGATGCGTGTAGCATACAATACAGGGTGAGTCGAGAGCTTTGATGAGAAGGCCTGATGAGGTCCTTCACGCATAGCACAAGAATCAAGACCAGGACCACCAGAGAGCCTCATAGTAGAAGCGAGATGCGACAGGATCCGAGAATTTGTTCAACTTGGACAGAAGTCTAGCCTGCTGGCTATTAGCTCATCCTATCAAATCAATCATCCATCCTGTACTTTCACATATCCTCTGTGCACACGCTCACCTTTCCCCGCCATGGATTGGATGCAGGCCACATGGAGACGAGAGCGCCAGGTCACGAGAGGCAGAGATCATCGCGCTCGAGGATCGACAAGGTGACTCAGCGCTTTCGAGCGTACAATGCGTGTCAACCGGACTGGGAAGTGATTCGATGGAACCGGATGACGGGTGATAGTGCCTGTCATCCGGTCTGACTAAAATCATCATGAGTCCGGTTGACTCTTCATTGCTTCGCGGAAGGTGCCGTGGTTGCAGGAGCACCTTCCCGGTGAGGAGTTTGCAGGCAGCATTGGGAAGGACCGGGCTTGGATGCGCCTGCTGTCCTTACGAAAGGACTTCAAAGGACAGAGGGGAAGGCGCTGTCACGAGACTATCTTGTCAACCGGTCGCACGGAGTCTTTCCTCAGACCGGATGACAAGTTCTTGTTTGGTTGGGAAGTCACGGTGGGTCGAGGAGCACCTACTTGTTGCGGAGTAAGCGGGCAGGCTTCGGAAACAGCGCTGTCGATGTGCTCGTACTTCCTTGCACGAAGGAGACGTCGCGACGGGTGGAGGGAGGTCTTGTCATCCGGTCTCACCAGACTCTTGCTCAGACCGGCTGACAAGTCGATGGTTGGAAGCTGCAATTGAGGCAATCGCGGCTGCTAGTCTTGAGTTTGGCAGACAGTGTTAGGCAGGAGCCGGCGTCTGTGAGCTCCCGCTGCCTGCTGTGGAGGACACCAAGGGCGCGTGAGGAAGTCGCAGGCATGACCTGGAAACCGTGTCATCCGGTCTTGCCAAGCTGGGAGGAAGAAAGCCAACATGTGTTGCAAGTATATTTCATAGCATCAGTCGTAGGAACAAGCTTGAAACTAATGAGTCTGCATTCTCATAGTCAACCCCCGGGCATACAAGTGCTTTTGACCTCTCTGCATGCATGCTATTCTCCTATTTCCGAGGGAGTTAATCGCATTTGCTCAGGAAAGATGTGCTGTGCCGTCCCGGTTCGCAACTCTGCCTGTACGGATACTGGAACACTCGTTTTCCCGCAGACCGACCTCACGGATCGCAAACGTGGGTCTCTCCTGCGACCGCATTACCAATCACGTGTCGACGTGACCTCAGTTACAGCCAAGAAAGATCTCCGCATAGCGCCATCCCGTCCTCAGTCTCTATGCGCCGCCCACCAGGCTTTCTTTGCAAATCCTCGCCCTCGACCGTGTTGGAAGATGCAGACGCAATCGTCATCGCCGACACCGACGCAGCCAAATTCCCGGACGAGCCCTACAGGTCCTCAAACAGCGCCTCATCATCACAGAGCACCCTCGCGATCTCCTTGCCCTTTTTCGAGCCGTTCTCTAGGATCTTGCCTGCTAGGAAGTCGCCTATCTTTTCGCTTAGCTTCCCCTTCAGCTCATCGTTGCTGTCGTCGGAATCGCCGTTAGTCATGGCGTGATCTTCATCATAGCCATTGATGCCGTTGACTACGCCATTGACTGCACTTTCGCCGACACTGGTACCGTTCACTCCGTTGATCTCCGCAGAATCATCCTCAACCAACGTCGCCAACGCATGTACGATAGCGCGCAAGACCCACCTGACATCCGCCTCGCCCCGACCTGGGACTTCATCAGAGGACTCTGAGATCTCGGAGAGCAATTCTCCATACGCCTTCAGGTTAGGCACGACCAACTTCCTTACCACCTCAGCACCCCCAATCGCGCTCAAGCCCAAGATCGCGCCGTAGTGCGCACCAAGCGTTTTCTTGGGGTCGAGGAACACTTTCACACAAGACCGTGCAAGGCGCGGCTTGAGGTTGTGTGCGCTACGAGAGTACTTTTTCGTGAGGTGAGAGAGCAGAGTTGATGCAAGGGAGCGGAGGTTGTAGACTGCTGCTGTTGCTGTTGCAGTCGTTGTGGCGGTGGGTTCAGGCCCGATATGCCGGCCTGTCAAGCAAGTGAGGACCACAGGCACGACAGAGGTGATGTAGGGCGCGAGGTTGAGGTGAGTGTTGTGGGAGAGGGAGTCGAGCATTCTAAGGATCGTGTCCAGCGTGAAGACGTGGGACAAGGAGTGCGTGACTTTGTCGGCGGTGTAGTGCACGAAATAGGGCAGGAGTTGCGACAGACCGGGGTCTTCCCGAAGCGAGGCGAGTGCGGCCGTGCGCAGCTCTGGTTGATCTTCAGAGAGTGCGGAGGTAGTGACGCGCTCGAAGTAGAGGATTAGCTCTTGGCTGAGGTGATGTTTTACTAGTGGCTTGCTGGCTGTGGTGGCGGAGTGCGATTCCAGCCCGGCCATGGCTGCCAACGCGGGGTTGATGTTCGAGGTGGCGGCGGAGGAGGCTTTAGGGAGCAGTTCGACGCCCCGGGTCTCGGAGGTAGTGGGATTTTGCGGTATTGATGGCTGTACGCCTTCGATGGCGAGCCAGTGTGCCGTAAAGGAGATTTCGCGCGGAACTTTGGGGAGCGGAGCGTTGATCAGCTTTTCCAGATCGGCTTCTTCATCGTCGACATAGTAGAGCGGTTGGCCGGGGCCGAGGGAGGCTTCGCCATACTTGAGGATGCGCGTTGACTCGTAGCCGTAGAGCTGTTCATCCGTTAGTGACGGCGCAATGCGCGGAAAGATGAGAACTAACTGGCTCGATGTCAAGCACTCGCAGCGCGTAGCTGATATCTTGTGTCCACAGCACTGTCCGTTTCGATTTCCGCATGAATTTCAACGCTTCTTCCACCACCAGTGCTAACCGGAATTCGACATCGCGCGCCAGTGCAGCTGTGACATCCTTGTTGAGGGTGAGGACACCGACCGACTCTGCCGTGTCCCGTACTGTGTCGCTTCCCCAAAGCGTCATGACTGCGCCGTTCGCGTGGAGTTTCGCAGGGACTTGTGCGCATGCGGCAGCTGATCCTCTGCGTCGTTGTCAGATCGCAGTCGCAGGCAATCTGCTTGCCTTGATCTGACTGATCCAGAAGGGGAGTAGGCCACTTGCGCAGAATATGTCCAGGCGACGCAGCGCGAAAGTGGTCGGATCTGGGTGATGCTATGTCGTGCGTGAGCCTCGCCTGGCGTGACTGTGACAGTGTACACCGGGTCGTTTCGTCTTCCTACGCGGAGCCCTGCAATGTGGTGAACTGCAACTCAGAAGCTTTGAACAGATTGGTGGTCGGATGAATTAGATGAGATGTCACTGCGCTTCAAGATCAGGTGAAGTGACTTACCCCAGACTTGGCGGATGGTGGAAATGTTCTTGTCATCCGGTCTCGCTCAAGGCCTCGCAAGTTCTTGATCAATCGCAACTACTATACTCTTGCTCTTGCCACGAAGGACTTTTCCCCACGATGGTATTTTTGTGGCAGTCTTGCTAACGTAGCGTTCGAGAATGCTCATGGAAGAAAGAGAACGATAATTATTCATTCTGTTGCCAATCATACGTTAATTACCACTATTCATCACACTGAATAAGAGGCTCATCCAACATGCATTCAACCTCATTCCTCACCCTCTTCCGCAACCCGCCAAACAAGCCTCGCCCCACTGACCTCCCTCCTCCTCAACATCTCAATCGCCTTCTGCGCCCTCTCCAGTAACGTCCTCCCCTCCACAACAACCTGCTCATTCGGCTCAACCATACCCAATTCGAGCGCAGCAGGCATGATCTCCGTCTGCAGCTTCTCCGCCAGAAAGTTGTTGTCCAGCCAGAAATGAGTACGGACGCCTCTGACCTCTACCCCTTCTGCCCAAGCCACATCCTCTTCGGCGTCCAGAGTGTAGACTGGCTTCTGGTTATCCACTGCGTCGGCGATAATGACTGGAAGGAGAACCGCAACGGTGGCGCCGGAGCGTACAACCTCTGCAATCGGTTTCACGCTGCCAGCCCGACTGCCGATGCAGTCGATTGCATATCTGATGTTATGCTTGCCTTGGTGTTGCTGACTTAGAAAGTCGGAGATGGGTCCTCCCACGTTGCCGGAGCGGTAGTCGAAGCACGCCGCAGCGCCATATCTTTGGAGGCGATCGTGATGTTGCTTACCGGCAGTCGCGATGATGTTCTTATACCCATACCATTTTAAGATCTGAATGAAGAACTGACCAGTGCTGGAGGATCCGCCCCAAACGAGAATCCACTCGTCTAACTCCGGCGGTACATAGTCGTTCGGCTTCGGCCACGGCAGCTCGAACCCGACGTCGGATGTCAGAGTATGCCATGCCGTGACAAAATTGTTTGGCAGCGTCACTGCCTGCTGCATCGTGAAGCCTCTCGGCACTTTGCCAAGTAGGATGTCCGGAGCAACGCAGTACAGCTGGTGTGACTTTTCCTCATTTGATCGCCAGGTGAAGCCAAATACTTTGTCGCCAACTTGGTAGCGTGCGTTTGGTCCAGACGATACGACTGTGCCGGCAGTGCCATCGCCCAAGCCCTGTGGGTACTTCACCACGAGCAGACCGCCAAGAGCTTGATGGACATCGAGTGGCGTCGAGGCTGTCCACTCGACTCTCACACGTACTTCATTCCCCTTGGGTCGACGTGTCGAAACCTGGCGGACCTCAAGGGGTGCGCCGAGCGCAACAGTAACGACCTGGGGATGTGTTGACATCTCGCTTCATGCAGGAGCTGCTCCGATGTGTGATTACCTCAGTGCTGGTTAGCCGAGATCTGTTGCTGGTTGAGCGGCGGGATCCATGGTCCAACACAGCATATATACTTGGAGAGGCCAAACATAGTGTGACTGCTCAACGACGAATTACGAGCTCGCGTTTGAGCATCATTTTGCTTCGTCCGGGCGCATTTGTCAGGAAACGGACATGTCGATCTATTTCCTTTCTCGGTATCTATCGCCAAGACTTCACCTCGATCGGGTCTTTCGTCAGTGAAGGTGACCAAACATCAAAGATCGAGGCCCCTGCCTGGCTGGAAGACGGAGGTACTGTGTCGTTGCGTATCATTGGCGCCGGGGCCGCTCTCGTTTTTGGAGCATGCACGGCGGCGATTTGCCAGATGGTCTTCTGTGGCGCCTAGTGTGACTCATGGGAGGAACCAGAAAGAGAAGTTACCCATGGCGCTTCTGAGAGAGACTGGCCTCAATCTGTACGACTGCCTCGCCAACCTCTCAATCCGAACGCCAGAGCAGAAGATGTTGCAGCTCATCGCTGACAAACCCAGAGCTCATCCGTCAGTGAATAGCTCAATGACCTTAGAATTGCTCGATGACAGCGCGGCTCTCACCCTCGGCATGTCTGCCCCAGCCTCAAATCCAGGAATGTGCGCAGCCATCGCCATATGAGTCTCACTCATCTCGAAGAGTCGAGCTATTACCCATTCGCGTTCCTCTTTCTCTTGTAGCGCACTCAAAGAGATCCTGAGACCGAATATGATGAAGAACGGCCCCAGAAATGAGGAGCTAAGCATGAATCGCACGCTTCTGCAGATCTCGAGGGCCGAGTCACGATTCTCAGCACGGTAAAGCGAGCACTTCTCCGGATCGTGCTTCTGCATTAGCTCTATCAACACCAGATTCAGTAGGATGTTGAGCGTCCAGTAGCCTGTGACAGACGAGCCCACGAAGATGTTCGGAAACTGGTAGTAGATGGGAATCACCGGGTCGTGACTGAGGTAAGTCGTCCACATGAAGCCCGTCTTCGCCAGGGCTCCTCTGAAACGGACGAAGTACGTTCTGAAACGCGCCCTGATTTGTTGGACGCGCTGTATTAGGTCGAACACGAAATCGCGTATGGTCGGATATTGATCTTTCTCCAGGCTCTGGAACTTGTGGAAATGCTTGCATCGGTGGAGCAATTCTGGGACGTCAAGCATGTTCTCGTACTGCTGCTCCGCCAGATCAAATGTCTCCCGAAACCGCTCTTCACCCAACATGCGCAGATCGTGGAATATGCTTCTTGAAAGCTCACGCCACTCAGGCTCGGCGAGAAAGCACGGCTCGTCACGTTGGGCGGCCTCGATGATGATGGTGTGCCGATAAGCGATGTACATCTCCCTGTCGAAGCCGAAACGATGGACATCAGGGCCTCTGATGCGCATCAAAGCACCAGCACCACCAGCATGCTGCACCCATGATGCGTTGGAGTTCGATGCGAACATTTCGTAGAACGATAATAAGATCGTCGCGGCTAAAGTCTCAGGGGCCATACCTGCCGTGCCGTCCGCTATCGCCGAATTGAGTTGCCTCAACGTGCTCCCGTACCAGGGTCGAGATTCTTCCAGAATGGATCTATTGCCCTGCAAGCGTCCCATATGTGCCAGACTAACAGCTCTGACTGCCGAATCCAGCAGCTTATTGGTTCCAGTCAAGGGCGGTAGACGCTTGAACCACAGACCATGTGACTTCATCTGCTGCGGCACCGAGTCAACCTGGGCAGGCGGAAACATAGACCTGTGCATCATTGAGAACAATTGATCCTGAATTAAATTCGGGGCTAGAATCATTGCGGCGATATCCATATCATTAGCGTGTGAATGTAAGCCATTGCTTGCATCCTCGAGCACGTCGTCATTGTATGCTTGAATGCCGAAGTCGAGCGTCTCAGTCGCCGGCATCCAGGAACTCTTCTCAACGAAAGAGAGGACTGCATTTTCCTTGTAGTGGACAGGCTCGTTGGTTGGATTTGAGCCATACGTGAAGGGTGTTAGTTGGTCTTCCGGCGAGCTGTCTTCTAGGCTCTCTGTAGTTGCATTGTTGGATGAAGATGTTGTCGCGTCGGTCTCAAAGACTAAGAGCGATCCACCAGCATCTTGGTCCTTGTCTCGGTGCTCAAACTTCCGCTTCAGCTTCGTCGCCTCGTTGACAAACTTGAGACCTTCGCTGTACAGGCATTCGCGATTGCCCTTCGCACAATTTTGACATGTTGGTTTGCCCAGGTCGCAGCGCACTCTGCGCGTAACGCAGGTGCGGCAGCCTTTTGATCGAGGAATGCCTACCATTGCAGTAACGTCTTATGGCCGCGCGGCCGCTCGATGCGACTCATCATGGCGCAACCATCCTTCCAAGGTCGCGACTGCAGTTGGCATACGAGGACATTTCTTCATCTAAAAGTCGAACAAACCCCAACACAACAGTGGTAGAAACCTACGCTGTGGGTATCTCGAGCACTGCCTCAAGGCACCCATGTTTTCAGCGAAGGGTAGGTACGATCGAGATATACGTGCTGACCAATCGCGTTGCTTCAATGGCAGATACGGCGTCCACTAACCGCATCTGCATCTGCTCTCCTCTCCTCTCCCCAGGGGACATGGTGCACGACTTAAAGCTAAGATGTAAATTCGGCCAGAGGCCTCCTTGACTTGAAATTGTGGTAGGCTACTGAAATTCATGATACTGTAGCTCTCATACCTAGTCATGGCCGCGAAATGCGCCCGCCCAGGGTTATCCTCCTGTGGAGGCCGCTGTCTGGTCGACTGCCAGTCCTAAGCATCCACTTCATTCAATGGAACATCCTCCGAGTCGTTGTCACCGTGCCTCGGCACTATGGACTCTGACAGCTTCCAGACCTGAATCAGATTGTCGTCCGCGGCACTGCAGACAACCCACGGATTATGCAGATTCCATGAGAAGTCGCTGATACGGTTGGTATGGCCGCCGTGCATAAAGAGCAATTCTGGAGGTCCATCTTGACCATCCTCTGGCGTCTGCTCCTCTCCCACCTTGCCCAGATCCCAGAATAGTATGCGTCGATCGTAGCTACTCGAGCCTAGCACAGACTGGTGGAATGGATGCCACTCCAGTGCTGTCACACTATCGTGGTGGCCCTCGAGAACATGCATCTTCACTTTGATGTTTCGCAGATCCCAGAGAGAAATCGTCGAATCTTCGCTGCCAGTCGCAACAAGGGTCTCGACGTCGAGATGGAATGCTAAGGCGTTGAGCGGCCCTTTGTGAAGACTGGGACTGGATCTGATCGCAGCTCGTGATGTGTCTGGGGATCGAAGATCGACGACTTGGAGAGTGACATCGTCCGAGACCGAACCAAGCAGTGATTTGTGATGGGGATGGTATTGAACATCATTCACTATGCCTGAGTGATGTGTATAGGTTTTCATCGGTGAGAGTTTTGTGTTCGTCTTGGAGGCCTGGTTGATGTCCCATAACCGTACCGTCTTGTCTTCGGAGGCAGTCGCAAGATGTCCACTCTCGAGCGGACTCCAGTTGAGGCCGTAGCCTTCTTTTTGGTGGCCAAGAAGCTCAATCTGCGGTTGTTGAGACGGAGAGGGGGTAACTGAATGCTTCGTTCGGTCCCAGATAAGTACTCTTCCGTCAGTCGCCATCGTTGCGATAATGTTCGGGTTTTGTGGTTGATACCGAGCCTTGTTCACTTCTCCGGGATGTGTGATCTTCTGGATGATGTTGAACTTGACCTCAGTCGCTGGCTTATTCGCCGCAGGCCCATGGCCTCCAATCTCGCCCGTTTCCTCATTGTAATCCTTCGCATCGGGTGGCGCGGGGTTTGGGAGCTGTACGTTGGCGATTTGCAGGTAGTTGGGCTGCCCTTCAGCAGTGTGTGTTCCTATGAGGAGCCGATGCTTTGAGTAGCGACTGCCGGGAATGCTATACAATTGTTAGTGGCGGGTAATACCTCGACGTAGGGAGAAGACCATACTCCTGCTTGTCTGGGAACCATTGTGTTGTGAGTGTTGGCCAGTCGAGGGCGGTACTGAGTATGAGATCGTATAGGAAGGGTGCGTTCTTCTTCCATATTTTGTACTCTTCGTTGATGATCTTTTGTTCGTTGATCTTGTCTGCGTGCTCAGCGGCGGAGAACTCCTCCATGGCTGCAAAAATCAGTATTTGTGGCAGAAAGTAAGGTAGGATATGTATACCATTCTCGTCGTCCTCCATGGCGACGAGTAGATATGGGTGTGGACACTATGTGGTGTAATTCTTGGTTGGTGAGGTCGTTGTCGTTACAAATTGTGACCCGTGCAAATATGTTTGAGCGGCTTCGAACGTCGCTTGGGGGCACTCTGGTTCACTAGGGTCTTTTGGCGATTCGAATGTAAAGAAAAAGCAAGTAACAAACTGCGGTTCTCAAAGACACCTCTCATCAATTTACTGCTTCAAACCTGGAGCAGAAGACCGCGCGAGCCGCGTTCGACGCGCCTAACCCCACACATCTCAAGGCTTGGCAAAAAGGTACTCAATCGACATCATCATCGCCTCGCCTCGTGCAACGACTCCCTCCTCCTCTGAAGCGCTTAGCAAGAATCTCAGTCACCACATAGTCTCTCTATCCCGCTTCTGATCTTCGAATTATACTGTCTCCCTTCATCTCGAAGAGACCGTCCCCACTCTTCGCCAGGACCGACATTGTCCGTCACCAGAACACCGACTCATCCAAAGGAATAATTGAGCATCATCGCCACCTTTCTTCATCATGGGTGTCCCGAAGTTCTTCAGATGGATGTCCGAGAGATATCCATCAATCTCTCAACTCATTGCTGAGAATCGCATTCCTGAGTTCGACTGTCTCTATCTAGACATGAATGGCATCATCCACAATTGCACTCACAAGGACGGCGATGGACCCACCGCTCGGATCACTGAAGAGCAGATGTTTATTGCAATCTTCAACTACATCGAACACCTTTTTGGAAAGATCAAACCCCAGAAATTGTTCTTCATGGCTATCGATGGCGTCGCACCACGGGCAAAGATGAATCAACAGCGTGCTCGTCGCTTCAGAACTGCTCTCGATGCTGAGAAAGCTCGAGATAAGGCCATTCGCGAAGGTGTTGAATTGCCCAAGGAGGACCCTTTTGACAGCAACTGTATCACTCCCGGTACAGAGTTTATGGCCAAGTTGACCAGACAGCTCAAATACTTCATCAGCAAGAAGGTTTCGGAAGACGTCGACTGGCAGGGCGTCGAGGTCGTTCTGTCCGGTCATGAAGTGCCCGGTGAGGGCGAGCACAAGATCATGGAGTACATCCGACAGGCAAAAGCTCAACCGGGCTACAATCCTAACGTGCGACACTGTCTTTACGGTCTCGATGCTGACCTGATCATGTTGGGTTTGCTCAGCCACGACCCACACTTCTGCTTGCTACGCGAAGAAGTGACATTCGGACGACAGGCCAAGAAGACCAAAGAGCTCGAGCATCAAAATTTCTATCTCATGCATCTCTGCATTGTACGCGAATATCTCGAATTGGAGTTTCAGGAATTGCGCGAGCCGGGTGCGCTGGATTTTGAGTACGACATGGAACGAATTATTGACGATTTCATCCTTATGGCTTTCTTTGTCGGTAACGATTTCTTACCAAACTTACCGAATCTTCACATCAATGAAGGAGCGCTGGCGCTCATGTTTCAAAAGTACAAAGATATTCTACCAAGAATTGGAGGCTACATCAACGAGCACGGTGTGATCAACCTCGACCGCTTGTCTACTCTTCTCGATGAGCTGTCCGAGGTCGAGCATCGTTTCTTTGAAGCGGAATATCAGGATGCCAGTTGGATCGCAGCAAAGCGACAAAAGCCAGGTGATGACGACTCGGCCGTGAAGCCCGGAAAAGTCCCGGCACGTATAACGGTAGATCAGAAAAAGCTCCTTGAGCAGATCAGAACCTACTTTGTCGCACCGGCCGACAAGGACGCCACACGCGAGCCACTTAACCTCCCTCACACTCTTCCAGCACGCGATCGAAAGTTCGTGCAGCAGCTGGCCACAGATTTGAACCTGCAATGGAGCACCGAAGAAGATGATCAAGGCAACCGCTTTGTGCAATTGCGTTTCCCTCCCAGCGATGACGACGATGATTCGGTTGACGAAGAAGAAGCCCAGGCTGCAGCTGCACGTATTCTTAAGCGTTACAAGAACGCGAAGGTTGAGCAAGGTTCAAGCGAAGAAGCACAGCAACACATGCAAAAGAAGTATGATGAGAAGTTTCATCAATGGAAGAACACCTACTACACCGAGAAGTTCGAATGGGGCCTGGACAATCATGAAGAGATGCGAGCTTTGACAGAAAACTACGTTCAGGGCTTACAATGGGTGCTGTACTACTACTATCGAGGCGTGGCTTCCTGGCCATGGTTCTACCAATATCATTACTCACCAATGATTTCGGACGTCAAGAATGGCCTGAAGGCAAATATGAACTTCACGCTCGGCCAGCCATTCCACCCATACGAACAGTTGATGGGAGTACTACCGGACAGGAGCAAGTCCATTGTACCAACGGTCTATTGGGAGTTGATGACTTCTCCGGCCTCCCCAATCATCGACTTCTACCCGCGCGACTTCGATCTCGACATGAACGGCAAGAAGCAAGAGTGGGAAGCCGTCGTCAAGATCCCCTTCATCGATGAGAAGAGGCTCCTCAGCGCAATGGCCACAAAGAACCATCTGCTCAGTGACGACGAGAAGAAGCGCAACGATTTCGGTGTGAGCTTGAAATTCACGTACGACGATCAGCTCGACTACACCTACCCATCATCTCTGACAGGTGTATTTCCGGATCTGCCGAATTGCCACTGTCTTCAAAATGTGTTCGAGTTGCCGACTATGGAAGGTTTGGAGCCGTACGCTGGCTTGGTGAAAGGTGCCAAACTTGGCGCGGACGCCTTAGCCGGCTTTCCAAGTCTGAAGACTCTGCCCTTCACTGGCAGTCTCGGCTTTCATGGCGTCAGCGTCTTCCAGCAGGACAGCCGGAACGAAAGTATGGTCATCACTCTGTCCGATACTGAACGACGTACCAAGATCGAGTATTCCAAGGCACTCCTCAACCGTCGCGTCTTTGTAGCTACCCGTTCTTGCAGGAGGCCAAAGTTGTCAAGGTATCAGATGAGCTGTTCGACTATGTCATGGATCCTTCCACAAATACAACGAAAGCCGTCGAACATGACGGTAAAGCCATCGATGAGTTTCACAAGAAAGCGGAACGAACCGAGAAATACTACAGCAAGCGCTTGGGCATGCTCACGGGTGATGTCGAATCGGTCGTGCATGTTGAAATGCTGAAAGGGCTCAAGAAGCTCGACGATGGCTCCACTGTCAAAGAATACGCCGACATGCCTGGCCTCGAGCTGATCCACGCTGCTCAACTTGTAGTCGAGCATGTCTCTAGTGAGGACACTCGGTTCATCGAGCAGGCCGCATTGCCGATCGAAGAAGAATTCCCTATCAACTCCAACGCCTTCTTCCTCGGCGAATTTGCATATGGCAGACCCGTCAGCGTCACGGGCCATCAAGACGGGCGCGCCAAATGTCTGGTCGCCACAACGACGGCAAGGCAGGTAGAGTTTGGCAGAGACATTGCTCAGCAAGCCGAGCGTCTCTCACCCTACGTGCCATCATACATGGTTGCTCGGGAACTAAAGTTCAACGCATTAGCTCTTGCAAAAATCACTTCGGCTTATTCGATCAAGGTGGACGACAAGCGCGTGAATCTTGGACTCAACCTCAAGTTCGAGGCAAAGAAGCAGAAGGTCCTTGGCTACTCACGGAAGAGTGCAGGCGGATGGGAGTTCAGTCGCGCAGCTGTCAACCTACTGACGACGTACATGACCAAGTTTCCAGACTTCATCGCTGCACTTCACCATAACCCACAGGGCGACATGCTCTCACCTACCGATCTGTTCCCCGGTGACGAGGGTCAAGCCAATGCCCGTGTCAAGGAGATCCAGACATGGCTGAAGGAGATCGAGTCCAAGAACATGGAGCGCGTACCTCTCGAAGCCGAACAGCTCGACTCTGATGTGGTGAAGATGGTGGAGCACAAAGCCGATGAGCTCTTCGCGATGGAGCCAGCGCCTGTCAACAAGACCATGAACGGTATCCCTCGACAAGCTCTCCTGAAGCCATCAGACGCGCAGTGGCGTCTCGGACAGCAGAAGTTCGTCCTCGGTGACCGCGTCATCTACGTTGCAGACTCCGGCAAAGTTCCCATTGCGTCGAAGGGCACGGTTGTTGGCTTGACGCAGACTACTCGCGAGACCTGGCTAGACGTGGTCTTTGACGTCTCTTTCATGAGCGGCACCTCGCTTGGCGACCGCTGCTCTCCATTCCGCGGCCAGACGGTGCAGACATGGGCAGTACTGAATCTCAGCAACCGCCAAGTGGTCTCTGGGTCCAAAGCCAGCACGGCTCGGCAACACGTCAACGGCACAGCGCAGACGCCGCTTACTGTCGGTGGCTACGGCATGCCTGGTGCTGGTCAACTGCACCCGGCTGCTACTCCAGCACCTCTCCGTGGTGGTTGGCGAGGCGCTGTGACAGGTGGCAACAACTTGCCTCGCGGTGGAAGCGGGCAAAACGGTGCACGTGGTGGCGGTGGCGTCAACGGTAGCTTGCCATATCGCAACGCTAGCAATCCCAATGGCTATTCGAACGGCTTCAACCACCAGCAGAGCTCCGGTCGAGGAGCACGTGGTGGTTTGGGCTTCAATGCCAGCCCCAGTCAGGCGACTCGAGGAGGCTACACGCCGCTCGAGCGTGGCGATGGGCAGACTGGTGTCGTGCAGAACAATCCGAATTTCAGACCGAAGCAGCATAACAATGTACCGCCGCCAGCTGCTGTCAATCAGGGATCAGACGGAAGGGGCCGTGGACGTGGACGGGGCCGAGGAAGAGGCAGCAGGGGCGGTGAGCGAGGAGGGCTCGGTGCGAATCGTGGTGGGAACGTGCTCGGCGGTACGCCTGCTTGAGCTTCGATCTTGTGCGACGTTTCTGTATGATTCACGCAAGAGACGGGCGCTTGAAATGGGGGTTTGGTGCTCGAGCATGGAGTCATGATGGGCAGCAAGCAACAACATTCAGCGATTTTCCACTTGGTTGGTGCAGGGCTGGATATGGATCGCATGAATGAACGGGTGCAACGCGCTGGGTCAACCAGCGAGTTCGCAACATAGGGACAGGTGCAAAGCCATTGGTGTTTTCATATCTGGGCGAAAAGCTGGGCATGAAGAAAATGGAAACATTGCACCATTCCTGATCAAAAGATTATACGCTCCACGAAATGACTGATTTCTGGCTTGATGGATGGGTACGACTCACGGCTCCGGAGCTATCTGGTCTGCCAGATCCATCAGTACATATGCGCTATTCATGATACCTTCAACACCTTGGACGTGCACGAGACATAACACATGTAGCCATCCTTGGCCTAAGAACGGCACCAGCCTGGCTAAGACCCTCTTGACCCTCTTCTGCCGTTGCTTGAGTCCAGCTACGCGCAGTCATCGTGTCTTCGAAGCCTAACTACAGCGACTGCTATCGTGCCTTCCGGGGCGTCCTAGTCAACCGGTCGTAGCATTGTCTGTCATCTGGCGTCACATGAATTCTACGTGTGTCAACTCATCCGGTCTCGTATGGAATTCCGGTCAACCGGTCTCGTCCACTCGCATGTATGTCAATCGGTTGCTTTTAGCCAGTGACTGTCGGCATCTGTCGAACAAGGCATACATCAAAGTGATAGAGATTTCTTGATTGTCTCGTGGTGCATGAACACCGCTACACAGCCATCACTCCTGACCGAATCAGATCTCCAGCGTCGCCAGAATCTGCTTCCTGTCCCCCTCACTCAAACGTTGCATCGCGTCGCCAGACGGCGTCAATGGCTTCTCCAAGTACCCCGGCACCTCCCTATCAACCACCTTCTCCGACCACGCCGTCGGAATCATTAGCGGTGCACATGCCAATGCCCCCCTGATCAACTCTTTCGACGTCTCTTTTGACCTTATCTCCCAATCAACACCGCTGCTCCCATTCTCAGACCCATGACGTGCCTTGACTCGCTCGGAGCTCGTGCCAGCGAGCTTGAGCAACTCATCCTGCAATCTCTGGCCTCGTTGTATCGCGCTTGCGATCTTGTAGGGTATTCCCTCTTTCTCCGCCATCCACTTCTCCCGCTTGACGATCTGCCACAGCTTCCAGCCTTTAACGGCTTGCGTGAAGAGTCGTTTCTGGTGATTGGCGTGCAGACCTTCGACGGCTGTGATATGCGCCTCTTCCCAGTTCAGTCTTTGTGCTTTGTCCTCACTTACTCCGCCCAACCCGTTCTCGGACGAGGAGAGCACGCCTTCACGCTGGGCTTGTGCTAAAGTGTCAGAGTCCCAACGGTCCTCCATCTTGCCCATAGCGATCGCGTCTTGAATTGGTCGCACTTGATCTGTGTAGCGGCCAACGCGCTTGATTTGTTGCAATTGAATGCGACGCAGCCAGGCGGGTTCGCGGCCAGTTTTGTAGCGCAGCATAGCGGTCACACCGGCGTTTTGGCTGGCGACTAAGTGTGGAATGGCGCGGCGGCGGGGCTTTCCTGTGAGTGGGTTGATGGGGAGGGCAGTGAGAGGAAGAGGGTGCTGGGAGAGTCTAGTCTTGCCCGGCACTGTGCCCTTTGCGGGCCTGCGGCCGTCTGGTCCTGGATCTTTGTCGACGTGGTCGTTCTCCATGTCATTGCTGTCCGTATCTGTGGTTTCATGGCGATTCGGCGCGGTCTGGAAGCGCTTCGTGGTGACTTCGCGGATATGCCGGCGGAAGTATTGGCCATCAGGCTCGGAGGGCGGACACGCGTAGCTTGTTCCGCACGCCATCGGGCAGCGATAGAAGCGGAGTTCGCAGTGTATTCTATGTGGCTGATTAGGGTGCCGAGGGCATCTGGATTGCTCAAGGTGGAGGCATCGCGGACGAGCTGGAGGAGCTGGGTGCCCTGCTGCAGTGCATCCGCAACGGCGCCAAGGGACTGGCCGGGACGGCGGTCGCGGCGGAAGCGGTAGCAGATCAGAGACCTGAGAAAAGCGGGTTGGATGTAGTGGGCGGTGGTGGAGGTTGCTTTGGTGAAATGGGTGGTCTCACGGAGGAGGGAGCGGAAGAGCGAGAGGCCTGGGACGTATTAGTATGCGGAGTTGGCAAGAGAGCGTGGCGTTGGGCGGGGACGCACATGCTGCACGATGGGCGTGAGACTTGTGGGGAAGGAAGACCTTTGGCATTCGCTCACATCACGGCGAAGCCAGGCAGAAGACGTGGAGAGATGAGTTGGGCTGTCGAGTTCGGAGAGAAACTGACTGGAAGTTGCAGCATTGGAGAAAGTTACCTGCAGACGGAGATAAAAGCCTTAATCGCGCCTGCTGGACTCGGAGTGCTGAATGATCGTCACGTGCTCTCATCTTCGGCCACTGCGACTGACAACGATGAAGGTCGGAATATGCTCTCTGGAGTGCGCGCAACACGCCTAGCTTCGAGAGCATGCAGTGCGCATCACAAGGTGCCTGAAAGAATACCAACGCCTGAAATGCAAGACCATCCCGCTATGCCACGTACAAGCACGTCTGTACTGATTCTTTCCGATGGAACCCAGGTGAACTCCTTGCTGAAGTCATGTTCGAGAAGACTAGAAGCTGGTGCCCTCAGGAGGCTGAGGCAACTTCTTGTGCTGTGGCAGGGCCATATATCTGTACAACATGTCAGGTGGCGGATCTAATCTCGTCCTTGCGCAACATACCTTCGCAATTCAATGAGAACGGTCTCCATGGTGTACTCTCGACGCCAGCTCGCTAAACAGGGCAACTTCGAGGGGTCGACCTAGCAAATGTGAGCCTCGTATGTTCGGCATGTGACCAATACCGACGTACTTTGCCATTCTTCTGATCTACGCAGGGGACGTTGATCTTGGACACGAATTGGAGCGTGGGAGGCTTGTCTGGATATTCGGGACCGCAGTGGATATTGACACTATAGATGCGATTCTCGTGTGCGCTCTGTCCAGCATTAGCGTTCTGCACCGTGGATGACTGCGAGGCGAGTCATACGTGGGGTGGACCGAGGATCGTGCCGTTCCAATTGGACATCATCAAGTCGTCGCCATCGGCCAGACCGTAGGAGCAAGCCTCTGTATTCTCAGTCAGTATGATAAGTCCCGTGGGAAGTGCTGCTCAGCATACCTGCGCCCAAGCCTTTCTCGCCCTTCTCCAGCTCTTCCAACAGTCGGAAGTTGCGGGGTACTTTGGCAGCCATAGTGACGCTCGGTATCGGTTCGTGCGTGGACGTCTACAACGGCAGTGTAAGACGATCGCAAGACTGTAGAGCAAACGAGAGGTGGAAGTGAAGAGAGGAAGATCAGTTTATATTCATCGGGCAATTTAATGCGTAATTGAGGGGCAGCCGCTGAATTTAGCTTCTAGCATCGCGCTGGCCTCCCCACATTGCAGCCTTGCCATGTGCCGGTCATCCCTGGCCATCTGAAGGGGTACATTTTCTCATCACACCACGGCAGTTGAGACCCTGACGGAAGCAACCTGACTACTCAAAGAACAAAACCTCTCCGAAGTACCTAGACCCTCTCACGACTCTCGAGTGTCTTCGTGGCTCCTGGATGTCCTCGATGGTAGGCAGCCATGATATTCGATGATCTACCAAAATAATGCCCGCTGGGAATGACTTCGTCCTTTCTTCAATCAGAGCTCACAAGCCTGATCTCTGACTCCAAACGCAAATTCAGCGATGTTCGTACCGCCGCTGAGAAGTCCTTGGGAGACCTCAAAGCCATCACTGTCACTTCTGAAACCCAGCTGGCGGCAGACCTGTCACGGAAACCAGGCTTCATTGACTGTTTTCTTCTAGCCTGTCAGACCAAGAATGCAAAGCTTGCCAACTCAGCAACCAATTGCCTACAGCGTCTGATAGCCAGCAGGGCTGTCGCTCCGGACAGGCTCGAGGATGTTCTGGGAGCGCTCAAAGATGTCGTCAACACGAGCTACGACGTGCAATTGAAGATCTTGCAAACGCTCCCGGCTTTGCTGCAACTGTACTCTCCTCAAATCCACGGAGACCTCCTTGCAAGGAGTCTGGAAATATGTGCAGTGCTACAGTCCAGCAAGACGCCTCTGGTCAGCTCAAGTGCCGGGGCAACTCTATGGCAACTGATCTCCTCTGTCTTTGATCAAGCCGCACAGCATTCGGCCAATGGGACACAGGACGCACATGATGCGGAAGCTGGGGATGGCAAGAACGCACCGGCCGATGACGCTGCGCGACTTTTCCACGATCTATGCGTATCCCTCAACGACAAGGAGCCCAGCTTCATCGAAGTCGACACTTTGGCCCCCTCTTACCTGGTCGAAACACTTATCAAGGTCATTGATGAAAACTCCGCGTACATCAAATCTAGGCCACCTCTGATTGCTGCGTGCCAGGATGAACTGATTCCCGCAATCACGAATCTGCTCGAGAGCGTTGACGATGCACAAGCCTTGACGCCCCTGCTCAGGTTGTCAAATTTACTACTGCAGAAACTCGCTCCGATGGTTTTCGCGGGTATGAAGCCTGTCTTCATACTCTTACTGAAGTTCACTGACAGAGAGCATCCTCCCTGGAAACGATCTCTTGCACTCGAGTTCTTTACGAGATTGTTCGCCAATTTTGGTCTCATTGCACGACTCTTCGATGAGTCCAAGGACGACGGTGATAATGTTGTTGTGAAGGCCCTGGGGACCTTTGTTAGGATCTCCTCTGAAGATCCTGTTCTCATCGGGCTTGGCCGCCAGTCGACTATGCCTGCCCAGCGTGGAAGCGAAGCACAGGAGGACGACATGGCAGCGATCGAGGCACAGGGCGCCAGTGGCCTTGCATCAGTGAGCTCAGCGGATGCTACTGCCACAGGCATTAGTCTCGAATTTAGCACCCTTGAGACACCTCTGTTAGACACGTCAGACCCATCCAAGGCTGGGACGATACCGAAGACGTATAACCACACCTTGATTCTCGACAGCATCTCCGCCTTCTGTGACGGCCTCTCCAAGTTCATCATGCCGTTGAGTGTCCTGTCGCGAACGCAGGAAGATCAGGAGGACGAGCCAGAAGCGGAGAACGGCCGAAGGAGTCAGTCAGTTACCAGAGCTGCGTCCGGTCGCAAACAAATTCAGAGGAACAAATATCAGCGACTAATCAACCCTCTCAAAATCAAGGATCTTCCACAGCTGCCACAAGTGCAAGCTTGTTCGAAAATGGCAGAGAGCTGCTGGCCCGCCATACTTGCCATGTGCTCCACCTTTCTCAACGCAGCCTTGGATTCTCACTTCTACCATGTGCTCATCAGATCCATCCAGAAATTGGCTCAAGTGTCCGGCACGCTGGATCTTTCGACTCCTAGGGACGCTTTGCTCACCAGTCTAGCCAAAGGCTCGATACCCGCGAATACCGCGTCGTTCCTTCAGCTTGCCTCGCCCGCGATGAGGCGGAAACCTAGCATTGATCAGCAGGAGCCGAGCACACCTATCAAGTCGCCTCCGCTAGACTCCAGCAGACAATCGCTTGATACTCCACGACAGACGCTCAATGTTCGACATCTGCTCTGTTTGAGAGCTCTCTTGAATCTTGGGATAGCGTTAGGTCCTTCACTAGCACAAGACTCATGGTTTATCATTATCGAAACACTCCAACAAGCCGAAGCTCTGATAGCTGTAGCATCGGCTGGCAGAGTCTCGCAGAACGGGAGCCATGAAGGACAGACGACTATCACGAGCGAAATCGCTGCTGTCAACGGCGCTGCCAAGAAGATGATGGAAAGCACAAGATCATATCCGGACGCTGCCTTCGGCATTGTCGTTGGTGCCATACTTCGATTGATGGGCGATGATTCTCAGAGCAACGGCGTGTCGAAGTCGGAGAGCATGCTGTCGCCCGCCCCGGCATCCTCGCCAGGCGGCTTGGCTTCACCGACTATGGCTAAGCATGGACATAAGGTGTCCAGAAGCGTGTCGGGAATCTGGGTAAAGACCAAAGCCCTTGACGTAGAGATCGCGTTCGCTCTACAGAAGCTTAGAGATCTGTCACGACTCAATCTTCATCGGTTCGTCGCTCTTGAGTCTCAGGAGGTGACCTGGGACTTGATAGTCGCGCGCCTGCTGAAGGCCTCACAAAGTGATGACATTCACAACAGTCTACGACAGCAGGCGGCCAGCACGGTCGACTCGATTGCGATGGAAGCCATTAAGCTCATCAAGGCCGACGAAAGTGAAGAAGCTGAAGTTGATACGGTACAATGTTTGTGTTTGCAATCACTCGCGGACCAGTTGGAGGACTCCGTGACCACGGACGACGAGCTTACAACAGAAATCATCAAGCTCGTCTTCGAGGCCCTAGAAGACATTCTTGGTCACAGTGGAGAGTCACTACGGCAGGGTTGGACGATAGTATTCCAGATACTACGGAAGAGCTTCCCCTCAGTGACTGACCAAGAGCACGCGGAAGGACTATCACCGTCAACACCAGTGGCTTTCCGATGCGTACAATTGGTGTGCACTGACTTCGTGGAGCTTCTTCAGCTTGAGTCGCTAAAATTACTCCTGTCTCTCCTGTACATGTTTGGATCGCAGCAGTATGACACGAACATGGCTTTGACCACTACAGGCTTGCTTAGGAATATTGCCGCACTTCTTCAGCATCGGACGGATGTCCTCGATGTCTCGGAAACTGACATCCACAACGAGGACAACGATCAAGGAAAAGAAAGCACGCCTGTCCAATTGTGGTGCGCATCTCTTGACGAACTGGCCAAGATGTGTAGCGACACTCGGAAAGATGTCAGAGATGCTTCGATCAGAATCCTGCTGCAGACCATGGACTCGGCCAGCTCGCAGCTCACGCCAATGGCCTGGAATGTGTTGATCGATGCTATCCCCATAGCAATTCTGCAAGACTACCAGGCTGCACTCAATCAGGAAGGGATCGATCGTGAGCACTTGTCAGCGTCCGCATCTCATTTGACGCAAGGCCTGACAGACCTTATCGTCGAGAACATGGCTGCCATCGTCAGGGACGAGAACTTTGCAGACACATGGTCAAGATTGCACGACATTTTCAACGTGACCTTGGAAGGTGGACAGCTTTCTACCATTTCGCTGGTTTATACTTGCATATCCCGACTGCTGCAGGCCACTGATGTTCTGGATATGGACCATTCGTCCCTCATCGAGCCCATGCTGATGTTATGGGCCTGGCATCCAGTTCCGGAGCAGCACAACGACAGCGCCGATGTATCAAATCAAGCTGCCCTCAGCGCACATCTCCACGTGCTCAGGCAGGCATATACGACTTGTCCGGCAGCTGTACAGAGCTTCGCGCATCGTAAGAAGAGCATCAGCGATTATGCAACGTCTGCGGTCAGAGAGTCACTGCTTAAGGCCGTCCATCCACCGTACACCAACGACGTCAAGGTAATGACCAGCGAACAGCAGGAGGCAGCTTCGTGCCTTGACATCATACGAGCGCTGTTCTCTAACGAGCTCGACAACTTTTGCGGCTTCGTACTCGAGCTGATAGAGGAGATGCTGGACATCAAAGAAGGCTCGTTAGTACCTCGACCCGAGCAATCTGCTGTGTCCAAGAAGAGCCAAAAGCCGACTTATATCGCTGTTGCATCCCACTGTATCGATCTGCTGCGTGGTGTCGCAGAGGAGGTCAAGGGGAGGAAAGACTATGCTGCTATCGTCCAACTACCTTATGCACTCGACATGCTGTCTGCAATCATCAAAACGAAGTACACTCCGATCCCGACGAACGCCGCGGGTCCGATCTGGCGCAATGCTACGGTCACAGCTGTAGTCGTGCTCGAAGGGTCCTTGTCGTCACTGGGAGGATTTGACGGTATCACAGACGTCGCCAGGTACATCATTGCTACCGCCACCGCGATTCTTGGCTCGGACGGGTTGCAGATTTCGAAATCTCCTGCAGCCGATACTCTTCGTGCAGATGAAGCCTTCGACAGCGAACACTTCTTACGCTTTCACCACGCGGCAATTCCTATCATTGCTCAATCCGGTGTCTCCGCGCAGGCGAACGAGTACATCCTCACATTATTCCGTTCCAGCCTGCTCTACACTCCAAGGGATGGTGAACAGCCGCCGGACCTCCTCGGCAAGCCACTCCAAGCCTTTGAATACCGAGTCATCAGCCAAGACCCAAAACCCTTCCCACGGCAAACCATTGCCTCCACGACAGCACTCAGCGCCCTGTTCGATCTCCTCAGCCCGAATAGCCCTCACTACCGGCCAAGTCTCGCAGTGGAGGCGGCCCCATACGTCCTTCTGCGGATTGCCCTACCTCTGAAGTCTTTCAACGCAAATCAGAAGATCCGAGGCCTAACTCCATTGCCAGCATTCATGCAAGCAGAGTTGGTGCGTGTGCTTTCTCTGGCGCTCGAGCTCCGCGTCGACGATGGTACTGTGCGTCGTGGCGTCGAGGCTGTGACTATAGCGGCGGATGCGGACTCACGGAGCAGGACTGAGAACGACACTTCGACCAGCGGAGGCGGAGGTGACGGGAAGGAACACCTCCGCAAGCTCTATAGCCTGATTTTAAAGACGCAGAATGAGTGGCGACGCACGATCCGCCTGCCGGTGGCTGGGCAAGGGTGGATGGACAGAGAGGGCGGAAGAGGCAAGGCGATCGAGGAGCTTATGGAGCGATGGGTAAGGGTTGTCAGTGAAGGATGGGGAATACCTTGAACCGCTTAGCAAGGTGATTGGGCTATATCTGCCACGTTCCAATGTTGCAGAGTGTACGCGGTAGCTGTCATGGAAATGCAGAGAGCACCAGGCACATTTGACCATGCATCCGCTTGAGAAAAATAGGGCGGTGAGCAGTAATCAGAGTAAGGTTGACCAAGAGCCGGAAAAAGAAAAGAGACTGAAAGATGGCTGGGTGAGCAAGTGATAGTAGGCAAAAAAGTACGGCTTCTTCTTGGTCTTGCTCCTTTTCGTTTCATTTCGTTACGTGCGTTGCCAATACCGCTCTCTCGGAAGTAATACATGTTCTTTCTGTACAGAATGTAGCTGAAGCTCCGGGAGCTGTCCAGGATCCACGACCCGGATCGACCGATGGCATGGCTTCCGACCGGGCAGGCTGGACATATTGCATCCAGATTAAGCCACGTGCAGTTGGATTGTAAGTGCATGCACCCCTGTCGTCAGTAAGGCACTGTCTCGAGTCCACACCGGCAGCAGTCGCCAATTCGGCGGAGCAGGTGTGCCTTGCTTTCTTCTGCTAGCTCGGCTTCCGTGCGACCGTAGACCGGAAGGAGAAAGCACACAGTGACAGTATTGCTGTCGCTCAAGCAGGCGCCAAAGGTGTTCGTTCAGGATCTTTGCCTCCTATACTGGGCTTGTCCAGTGCAAGATGTGGAAGGTTCTCCGGTGCTTGCCGGAAGAGCACGATTTCGGACTGCTTGAAGTAGCGTCGGGCATCTAGTACAAGCGTGTGTGTCAGCTTCCAGTTGCATCGAGTTGCATGAAGGTCCGTGGAGAATGTGAGGCTGCGGCAAGACGGAAGAGGCCAAGTCTTGGTAAAAATGATGGAAAAATAACTCCGGACCAACGAGAGTGCGTAGTTGATGCTGGGACGGAGTTCTCAATTCCCTGATGAACAGATAGAAGTTCGAATTTGGAAGGGAAGTTTCCTGATCTGGTGGACTTTGTGTCGTTGCGGAATTGGGGGCGGTGGAATTGCATGCTGAGCGACGCGCTCAAGACAGAGACGGAGAGAACTTGCTTACCTTCGTCGATCAAGACCAAGCTGAGGTAGTAGCGCACCGAGTACTTCTTGTTGACTTCCCGGAATGTTGGCGTCAGGTCGAAGCCGCCCAGGAACAGTCGGATTGGAATTGTTTCTCCTCTGGACGGTGAGCCGTCCATGATTTCGAAACGGACGAGGGTTTCGCTCTCGTTGTACTGGTTTGGTGCCACGCCTGTCGTTTCTCGTCGGATGATGGACAGCTCCATGTGCTTGATCTTCAGCCGGACCAGGAGGAAGTATATCCGGCCGACTATCACGTCCTTGAGGTGGTATTTGCTCTTGGAGTACTCAAATTCGATGTGCAGGCAGTCTTCTATGCCCACGTCCATCTTGATGGACGAGTTGATCTCGGGCGGTATTCGGTAGGAGTAGACCCATATGTCCTTTTCTCGGATTACGTCGGCCATTCGTCTCGAGACGGTCACACGGGTGAAGTACCGGAGTTTGACATTGATGCCGTTGTAGGATTCGTATTGCTTCTCGACGTTCTTGAAGTTGAAGGGGAATGTTTGCGGGTGTTGAAGCTCACCGGGAGCGGCGAGTTCTTGGCCAAGGGAGAGGAATTCGTAGTGATTGCCGCGGTCATAGAACATTTCTAGCAGGGTGTCAGTGGGTTGGAGAGGCGCGTGTAAAAGGGTGGCCCGCACCGATCAGTCCTATGAACTGCACCTTGATACCGGTGTGCTCTAACCGCCGGCCATCCTTGGGTCTGATGGTGACTGCGCCCTTGACTGACTCGCCATCGTAGTAAAGAGGCGCTTTTTCTCGTCGGTTCTTATCGAGCTTGACGTCTACCGTTTGTCGGTCGTCGGTGTCCTCCAGAACGATGTCGATGTCCAGTGGGGTGGAGAAGAAGAAGGACGACATGGCGTTAGTCGCCGGCCTGGAGACCGGTCTACCAGCGGCGAGGGGCGGTATATGGGCTCAGCAACAGGCTTTCGGCGAGAATATGTCGTTGATGGCGTGCTCTGGTCGTCTGATGCTTTGAGCAAGCGGCATGCTGCTCACAGCTTCCAGGTAGCATCGATGCGGGTTTAGCTGTCGTTAATTCCGGGCGCTCCGCCCTGCTTACTACTCCCACCAGGCAAACCTGGGGCGGCCACCGAAGTTTACGTTATCACGAGGCAACAACTACATGACCAACAGTCAGCGCTTCATACCTTTCGAGGTCCGTCCTGTGTTCGCATTGTCTCGTCCCTACAGTATGGAGAAGAAAGAGCCCAACAGAGCGACATTGAGTTGCCTCGAGTGTCGGAGGCGGAAACAGAAATGCTCACGAGAATGGCCTTGCAACCATTGCGTCGCACGGAAAGGTAAAGTCGCTATCAAATAGATTATGATCGATCTAATGTGTGATTCTCAGTCTCGCATTTGTGTACATTCGGAAGCAAAGGCCATCTTGAGGATTCAAAAAAGCGCCGTCTTGAGGACAACGATGTTGACTCGGGAGTGGAGGCCGATCTTCCGAGCATGGACTATTTGGGCTATATGGGAGGAAAGGACTATCTGAACCTTGCCAGTGAAGTTTGGCTGTCGACAGAAATAAGACCCACGCCATCAGATATTACCCAGGAACTTCAACAAGCGGTTCAAGCGCTGCCTTCGCGGTCATTGACTGACGCCCTAGTTCAAAACTTCCTCAGCGTGGTGAACTACAACTACAACGCAATCTATCCTCCTACCTTTCTGGAAGGATACACAAACTGGTGGGCCGATAGGGCAGCGAAAAGGCCTTTGTCACCAGAGTATACATGTCTTCTACTGAGATCATGCGCTTTGTCTACGCAAGCCATGCCATCGAAGCTTCGCAACACGCTCGAGTTCGAACTAGCAGAGGATCCGACGACGCTACCAGATCGTTTCCACCAGGCAGCGGAATTACTCAGTAGCAACTTCTCGCCAGGTGAGAAAGGCCTCATCCAGATACAACAGCTGTTCCTGGTCGTGTGCTGGTTCAAGAATGCTGGACGTTTCATCGACTCGTGGCACGCCATGGCCAAGTGCGTGCGCGAAGCTCAGGAGATGAAATTGCATCTGGACGACAGCATGATGGAGATGAGTGAGTACGAACGGGAAATGCGACGTCGCATGATGACTATCATCTTTGTCTGGGACTGGCTGATGTCTCGTTGGCTTTCACGTCCATTGCTGGTGGACCCTGTCAGCTGTACTTTCAGAGATCCCACGTTGCAGCTCGAGTCGGACCCAGAAAACCCAGGTGTCCCATCACCGTGAGTACCCCAGCAGGCTTGCAGAAACTCCGCGATAACCTGAACATTGGCTGGAGGAAAAGCACAAAGGCCCCCCCAGACACGACTGCCGCCATCTGCCATCTTCCACTGATGATGACCAACTGAGACAAAGCTAACCCATTGGCTTCAAAATAGATTCACGAACCTCACTCTTCAATCGAAGCTCATTCGGTCCGTATCAGACTCGCTCTCTCGCGCACAACGAGATCCTTCCGAGGCCAACGTCAAAGATTTGTGCGCCCGAGTGGACAGATGGCACGCGGACTTGCCGCCAGCGTGGCGACGTGATAACCCAGATACAACATTTGACGTTCGATACCCTTACCTGAAATGGCAGCGGATATTATTGCATGGCACAGTCGCCATGGTTGAAATGGTTCCAACGAAACCGTATCTGACAGGCAGTGCATCATCCCAAAGCCGGGCGACGCAACAATACTTCCGGTCCTTTGCAGTGGAACGCGCTCTCACAAGTCTTCGAGAAGCTGAGAAGGCATACGAGCTAATGAAAGACCTTGACCCGAGGCACTTCTACATCAACTTCGTCCTTTTCGATACACTGACGATTCTCTGCTCGGGCATGATTCATGATGACAACAAGGATCTTCCGCACCGTTCAGCGGTGCTGGATGCCATTGAGACAGCGATGCGGCCACTGAAAGAGATCTCTCTATGCTCAGCTCCAGGCGCTACATCGTATCAGTTTGTGCTGAGGCTTGCTCAATGCATGCCCTTGACACCGGAAGAGCAAGTCCGGTGGCCTTTTCACCATGCCAACAAAGCCAAGCGTTCGAGAAGAGAGCGCTCACCGCAGCCAATGTCGACGACGAAGAGCTCTGTTGAAGCTGAAGAGGGCTCACCTTCGACACTGCATTCGACCGGATCCGGAGCGGGCTCTGGATCTGGCTCCGGCAGTGATCAGAACTCACCACCAGTGCAAGTGCCCAGCCTGGAAGATTTCCAAGAGATCGATTTTGGAGGCATCGAAGAGTTGTGGGATTGGAATGCTCTCAACATAGAGAACCTAGATCCTGGATCTGCTGAGGAGATCAACTTTACTGGATTTGGTGGCTCGACGTCGAATTGAGGTACTGCTAGGGTCTGAGGCCAGTAGTCCAGCGCAGCTACCCGGGCGTTGTATTTCTCACCGTACCGCTGTTGCTCCTCGTATGGTTCATTATCAATCTCATCGGTATCCGTGTCCTCATACGAAGCCTGAACATCTGCTTGCAGCACGACAAGCGAAAAGTGAGGAAAGTACTCGTCACCAAGCTTGTGAACCTCATTTCGAGTTGTGGGGTTGCAGCCAGGGCTGCGTTGGATAGGAGTCCTACTGCGTATCACCTTCTTGATCCTGGGGATAGGCTCAGAAGACGTGTCGTCGTCGGAGGCACGCCGCTTGCTACCAGCGGTCGCTGCATATAATGCTAGTGTCTGTCGCTTCTCCTCATCGTTGGGCGGACGGAAAAGATGCTTGTTCTGGACATGGCTCTGGGCTCCTCGTCGATCAGGAAAGCCGTTGGGACACCATGGACATGGCCAACTTGAATGTTTACGTTCGTGAGCATCGACTTCCCTAAAGCTGAGCTCTGTCTCTTCGCATCCGGGGTACAAACATTGGCGGTGCAATTGCTTCGTAGTCGGAACAGCGAAGGGATTTATCGCGAGCGGTACATCCTTGCCTGTAGGTGTCCATGGAGGCTGCGAGACGACTGTGGTTGTGAAGGCTGGTCGAGGCCAGGAGTGATAGACATCACTGCATGTGCTCTCTTCCTCAAGGGCTGGTCCGATATCAGCCTCAAGCGAGTCAGATACAGTGTATAACTTCTAGCAACGATAGGCATTATCAGTCTCCGGTCCCACAGGCTTGACTTTCGTGTTAGAGAAGCTACATCTCAATGAGATCTTGATCGATCTTTCCTGCTTATGTGTTTCTGTTGATGACACGTGCTCCATTAAAGCGGTGGATGATCAGTGCTGGAAGGATCCAGCTAGACTCACAGGTAGTATCTGCCTCGCGAACTTGGGAGTAGTTACATTAAATTTGTAGCACATGCTTCTACTTTGTTGTTATCCTGCTGAGTGTGCCAGAGCTTTGTGCCAAGAATCGAGATCGCCATATAATTCCTGCCACTAAGGCAGTCGCTACTGTGTAAGCATTGCTCAACATTTCAGTTGCTTCTTCGTTTGATGACATCTTGAGGCTCGTTAACATGGATCCCGACGTGTAATGCAAACCTTTCAGTTTAATATTCACGCCTGTCGCGACTTGTGCAACAACTCACTTACAAACTGCTAGCAGTCTCCTCGGATTTAGCTGAGCTGTTCCCTGGACGGGAGCTGTTTGTCTACTTCCAATCATCTCAGCTGATCGCTCTGACACGCATTGTCCTTACAAAGGGAGCACAACGCGTGCTACGGGCTATAGATCCTGTTTAGGTGACAGCCTGTAGCAAACACGAGTAAGATTTTCCGTGCAGGGCTACCAATTGCCGACACGCATCGGTACAGAAGCCGTCAAGCCGACTTCCGCAGCCCAATCCTCAGCACCAACGAGCTGCATTTTTCGGGCGACTGTCAGCCTCAGTTGCCGATGCTTCTCTGTTGGACATACTCCAAACTCTGTAGCATGTCAAACATGCGCAATGCCCACTGTTTCGCTCCATCGTTTGGGTCGACACTGCGCCGAGGCGATCAGAAATCTATCAAAAAGCAGCATACTCGATCAATCTTTCTTACAAGTCACGCCCTATACCCACAATTAAAAGGTCGACACGGGACCTTGCAGCTGCCGACGGCATCACCTCACTTGGTGAAAGATTCTCCGCCGCACTCGTTCCCAAGCCCCTGGCACGCGGCGGTCTAGCGCGGGGGTTCTCTTGTCACCACCAAAATCGGTTCCGCCTGGAGTAGCCGAACTCGATCCCACCGTGCACCTCTGTCACTCTGCATGCGCTACCCAACAGACTTGCAGGTAAGTCGTACCAAGGTCCGGCCTCTGACATCGGAGTGGGCTGGACCTTATAAGCCTTGCCTCCGCCTCTTCAAACCTCACTGCCGCTCGTGAATTGCCCTTCTATATCTACGTCATATCTCCAACTTCCCTCCTTCGTGTCCGCCGCCATGTTGTCCACCGAACGAGCACCACGCACACACCCATTCTCACGATTTCGAACAGTACCGCACTATACCCCAACGCCACGAACAGTGCCCATGACGACCCAGCCTGAGATCGAGCATATCTGGGTCATCACCGGCCCTGCTGGTTGCGGCAAGACCACTGTCGCAAGTTACCTCTCACAGGAACTTGGATACCCCTATCTAGAAGGAGATGATGTACGTTGCGACTACTCACTGGCGCTGTTGTTGTCATTAGAACGCTGCTAACACCTTCTCAGTTCCACCCACCCTCAAATAAGCAAAAGATGGGCAGTGGCATTCCCTTGACTGATGCCGACCGCTGGGACTGGCTCATAACGCTGAGAAATGCTGCCACTGCGAAGTTGACCCAGTCGAATGCAGTCATCGTCACTTGCTCAGCGCTAAAACACAAGTATCGAGACGTCATACGTGTGGCATCCTACGAGCACCCATCAGTGCAAGTACACTTTATATTCCTCAAGGTCGACGAGGAAACACTACAAGCACGAGTGAAGGCTCGGGTCGGTCACTACATGAAGGAAAGCATGGTCCACAGCCAAATGGAGGCTCTTGAGGAACCGCAGGAGGATGAGTTCGACGTCCTCAAGATTGATGTCACTCAGGACAAGGACGCTGTGCGAAACAACGCCCTCGCCGGATTGAGGGCCAAGTTGAAGGAATACGAACCGCCGACAACTAATGGTCACACCTAGTGGGTACGACCACGGAAACGACTTGGCCAACTCGGCCGACTCTGAAGTTCTCAGCATGCATATCATTGCCTGTGTGATACTGGACCAGCATTTATGTTTCGAGCATGGCGCGCGGCGTTTGGAGACTGGGTAAATTACACATGAGGAACGGATACAGCCTCAGGCCTATGGTGGGCGCCCGCTGACCGTGGTACGGTCAATGCACTGCATTTCTGGGAAGAACGATACATCATGAGAAAGGCCATTGACGGAGAATGTGTGGGGTGTGGTTTTCTAACCGATGGACGCACAGGCGTCCCAGGGAAGCCTCTATCCTCGTCCCGAGGTTGAGCCGATGCGATGTGATGCGCACAGACTTGATGCGACCTCGAACACGGAAAGGATCCACATCTTGGATGTACCTAGGGCTTGGTAACCACGAAAGGGGAACATCGTCAGGCCTCACCGACGTCACGCCGATGCCACAGGAGGTACAAGAAGTTCACCCGCGCCCAATACGGATGGCGCGTCCGATGCGTTCCGGTTTCGAATGAACGACCGTACATTGCGAGCTGTCAATCCATCTTCGAGGACTCAAGAGTCGCAAAGTACCTGGCGATACAACTTGTCTAGGGTGGTTCTGAACGATTGCAGGATCGATGGCGAAATCACAGCCGCGCCACGGCATAGCCGTCGGTCACCGCTGGAAGGAAGCCTCGACCTTGAAGCTGCTCGTTTGAAGCTTTACCGCTGAGATCAAGGCACGGTCCCAGGCTACTGACGGACACCGCCAGCTAGAGACTAGTGGACAGCTCAAGGTCAAGCACAATCGGATTGGAACATAGCAAACAAATATATGCTTACGCCCGCTGCAGTGCTACAGCGCTCGGCGGAAGCTTTGACTGGCATACTGTATGTGCTCCCCGTTTCAGCAGTCGACACTAGGGTCTGGCATATTGTTCGATGCCATCACTCTATTTCTATACTCCCTCTATGGTCTTCCACGTCTTGCTTCACGGAGAGATGCGGGCATGAACACGCTACGTGTTCGCTCCATACTTTTGGGCCCACCATGCACAGAACATTTCCTGATGCGTTTCCCTACTCCTGGCCTCGACCACGTTGGCATGCCACTCCTCGAGCGCACCCATGTAGTAGACCTAAAATTGTGCGACGTTGCGCCCAGTGACTATAATCTCTAACAGAGTCAACATGCAAGTCCACGACATATCTTTGATCCCCTCCACTGCATTGCTCTTATCCTTGAAGCGGCTCAGCATTCTTTGGCCCCATAACTCAAGACGATGATGGAGTAATATGCTGCCTCGTTCACCCACAAACCGTCGTATAGCTCACATGCTTTCTTGTAGATGGTGTCTCAGTCTCACACGAGCTCAACAACCATTCTTCCCGGCTCTTCCAAGAAGGACTTGACTAACTCCGCCGCCCTCGCCATCGTGGCGCCATCTACAACCCGATGATCCGCGCTCCAGCTCAGCTGCACCATCTTCGCCTTGACTACATTTCCCTTTTCATTAAACACGGGCACGTCTTTCACTTTACCGATGCCACAGATCGCGAGTTGACCTGGGACGAGCACAGGGGCGACGACTTCTCCGCCGCCGATCGACCCGATGTTGCTTACTGTGATGGTCCCGCCGCTGAGGTCCGCGGTGGAGAGCTTGTTGGCGCGGGCCTTAGTGCTGAGGGCTCGGAGTTGGGAGCGAGGTCGGCGATGGAGAGCGCTTGCGCGGAGGGGATGACGGGGACGAGTAAGCCGGAGGGTGTGTCCATGCTACGCCAATGTTTTGTTGGGAACGGATTTGGAGTTGGGGTTTCGGGTCGTTGGTGTCGAGGCGGGCGTTGAGGATTGGGTAGTGCCGTAGGGCGAGGGAGATGGCTTTGATGATGAAGGGGAGGTAGCTTAGTTTGGTTTCGGGCGCAGAGGTGGCGTTGAGGCGGGTCCGGAGGGCGGAGAGGGCGGTGATGTTGATGCTGTCGGTGTAGAGGAAGTGGGGAATTGAGAGGGATGCAGTCATGGATTTGAACATGGCGTTTTGTATTGGGGTCAGGGACTGGGCTGTTTCGGTTTGTTTGCCGGCGCTGCTAGAAGTGGTCGACTGGGTGGTCTGTGGAGAGGCAGAGGCCGAAGGCTTCTTGTTGAGATAATTGAGGACGTCCTCTTTTAGCACGCGGCCGTCTTTGCCGGTGCCATTAATGGACTCGATCTTCAAATCGTGCTCCTTGAGCATGCCTCGGACGGCCGGCGTTGCGAGGGACGCATGCTTGCCCCTTTCCTGAGGATGTTCCGCTGCTGGCTCTGGATCAGGCGGTAATGAATCCTGCCTTGCCTCACTTTTCTGTTCCGCTTTTCCAGCTCCTGCGTCGGCCTCCGGGTGCACTGAACCCTCTGCAGCCTGTTCGCCCTCCGCAACCTGTTGCTCCGCCTCCGTGCTTCCAGCGTCTTCGCTGTCCTCACCCTCGACCTCAATATCAACCATCCCATCCCCGACTTGCACAATCGCGTCCCTCTTGAAATGCAGCTTCTTGATTGTTCCCGAGTACTTGCTCGTGATCTCTACCGCGGCCTTGTCGCTCTGTACCTCGCACAACGCGTCCCATTCTTCCACTTGCGCGCCCTCTTCGACGAACCATTGGATGATCTGCACTTCCTTCACACCCTCGCCAATGTCAGAGAGGGTGTGCGTTTCCGTGCGGAGTAAGGGGCGAGACCGGTGGAAGTGTCGGTGTTGCCTGTGGGCGGTGAGAAAGGGATGGGCTGCTGGGAGGGCTACGCTGCCGTTGTTGCTGCTGCCGGTTGACCGGACGAGCTGCCGGAGGTACCGCAGGGTTGTGGGAGAGGGAATGGGCTTCATGGTTGGCAGGCAGTCAGGGGGAGCAGAGGCAGAGGACAGAACTCTTGTACACTCATAGGCAGCCGCACATCATTGTATAACACGACTCACAAAACAAATTGTCATCGGTGTCGAAGGGAGCAGGAGCTGTTGCTGTTGCCTTTCCGCTGGCATGCGAGGATAGCCGCGCTCGGGGTGAGCTGCCCCTCGGCTTCGTTTTGGAGATGCCATGCCAAGGCTTACGTAACCGCTCGATAGTCCCGAATTTGAGCTTCTTCGAGTTCTTAGAGTCCTTTGCAAACTACACTCGTCGCTTTGCTATGTGTGACGTCCTTGCCTTGTAGGGCTGATGAGTTGCTGTCACTGCTCGTGCCCAGCCGAGTCGCTTGCACGCGCCCTATCCCTGCGGCAGGCTCTTTGACAAGCTTGCATTGGCAAATGATTCGCCGGAACATCTTGACTCTTTGGCTCCATTGCGCGAAGCACACCTCCAGTCTACAAACACACGAGGCTCTCGTTGTCGAGGAAGTAGCATACTAAGCACTCACGGCATGAGATCATGATGAAACCGCGGCTGGATTGCCTACCTCAGGTAAGGCGTAAGAGCTAATATTGACTAAGCGGGGCAGCAGTCAACTCGTCATCCTTTCGAATCCTGCTGTGTTGCTCCTAACCTGCAAGTCACGGTTCACCTACCACTACAGCGCAGTCTTGCTCGGGCGCAAAGTTTCCGGGACGATCAACGGCTCGAGAGATTGTTCCTGCAGCGATGTACTTGAGATGAAGTTTACGGCCGCCGCGGCCTCCAGTGCTACTCTAGGTAGGCTGTGGTCCAGATCTCCATACGAAGGGACTCGTTGGATCGGCAGACTTGCGGCCACTTGGCATTGGCCAGAATTGGATGGTCACCGATACTGGTTTGTTAGTGCCTGGTGCTGCTGCATATTGCCTTGCGAGCTGGGGCGCCTTACGTATGAATGTTTCAGCTCACGAGGCAACGAGGTTGAAAATTATGCGATATATAAGTCTTGCACCATGGCACGCACGGGAGACAGGAGACTTGGCCTTCTCTGGCTCACCAGTCGAGCACGACGTTCCCAAGCACCACGCCGGACGCCAATCCTCACAGCATGATCGACCTCGTCGTGAAAGTCCTTCTCGGCACCAGCCTACTCATTGTAGCAAGATGCATCTACCGACTCACCTTGCATCCCTTAGCAGGCATCCCAGGCCCAAAACTCGCAGCAATGACGAGCGCCTACGCAATGTCCTGGGACTTCCCCAAAGAGTCCTCCTACATCAAGAACTTTCCCAAGTGGCACGCACAATATGGCCCAATCATCAGAATCGAGCCTAACCACATTCACGTTCTCGACATCGATGCTTACAACACGGTTTTCAAAATCGGGACCAAGTTTTACCGCGATCCAGCAGTCTACAGCTTCCCCTTCACGCGAGGCGGCTTCTTCAACAAGCTCCATGTCAAGGACGCAAAACTGCATCGTGACCTCTATATGCCCTACTTCTCACGAGCTAATGTTCAGAACCTCGAGCCTACTATCCGGCGAACACTGGGCCAACTTCTGACCCAGATCGACCAGGCGGCAGGCAAGACGATCGACATGAAGCGCGCAGCCCGCTCTTGGACTGCCGATACGGTCATGCGGTATATGTATGACAAGGATTTCGGCGCCGTGGCGTACCCTGACTTCAAGATCCCCATGCTGGAGTGTATGGACGACTACTTCAAGAACATGCCCTTTGGGTGGTACTTTCCTAGCATCGTCAGCACGATCGTCGATCTCGTCGCCAAACTTCCCCGCTCGCGTGTGCCAGACGAAGGAATCGCCGCCTCCCTCGCCATCCTCGACGGATCTGAATCTCACATCGCGGCCCTGAAAGCTCAGCCGCGCTCCGAGCGGCAGATCTCCATCTTCGAGTCCGCCATGGCGCCAAATTCAGAAAAGGGTCACCCAATACTCACAGTCAAAGATCTCGCAGCCGATGCTCTTACTTTCTTTACCGCCGGGACCGATACCACTGCTAACGTGATTGACCGCGCCATCTGGGGCCTGCTCAACGATCGCGCCGCGCTCGCTACGCTTACGGCCGAACTGCGCGCCGCAATTCCCCATGGCTCCGATCTAACCGCCACTCCCCAGGGCTGGGCGGCGCTGGAGGCCCTGCCCTATCTCCGCTGCGTAGTCAAAGAGTCCCTCCGCCTCTCCTACGGCGTTCCCGGCAAGATCCCGCGCATCGTCCCAGCTGAGGGCGCTACTCTCCTGGGCCACAGCCTTCCTGGCGGCACTGCTATCAGCATGTCCTGCCATACTTACCACCACCATGCGCCGTACTTTGGGGACGATGCAGACGAGTTCAAGCCCGAGAGATGGGCAGATGCGGCCAAGGCGGCGGAGTTGGAGAAGTATCTTGTGACGTTCAGCAGGGGCAGTAGGAATTGTATAGGACAGAATCTGGCGTATGCGGAGCTGTACTATGTGTTGGGGTATTTGTTTAGGAGGTTTGAGTTGAGCTTGGCAGAGGATTTTCCGAAGGAGGAGATGGAGTGGGAAGATTGTTTCGTTGTGGTTACGAGAGGGCATTTGAGGATTCGGGCGAGGAGGGCTGAGACGTGATGGAGTAATAGGTACAGTCTAGACCGGATGACGAGGGGGAGACTGGGCTTTCTATCGTAGAGCGGATGACCCTGATTGCACTTGCCAAGTGAAGTTGAAATCGAGCTGTCACGGTGGGAAGTGACGATCAAGTTGGCCTCGGACGGCTGGGGCGCAAACGAGGCCAGTGTGATTCGGTGGTGAACAATATTATTTCAAGGCTCGCTCGTATGGCGGAGATTGGGCCAGGATGAGCGTTTGGCCATATCATAGTTCTTGAGATGGCCTCTACCCAACATTTTCGACGTTGAAATAGCGGCACGTGTTGTCTACCGTTCCCAAGACAAGGGACTTGCCCAGTAGCCAGCGCCTTGAAGGTGGTGATCACATTCTGGCCATAGTCTTTCTTGGGAAATTGGCACTATCCTGGAGTTTTCGTGCAAGCCGTCGTGTCGCATCCCCTCTTGCAAATGGCTGCCTTCGTTCCGCTTTGCAAGTACCCAGTTGAGCGCGTCGTGCGCGGCATTCTGTCGGCCATTGTGATCTTGAGCGCCATGCTTTTCCTTCACGCCAGGGTTTGACGAATTCTTTGATTCGAAAGCAGCAGCCGTGAGCTAGCTTGTGCTCGAGCACGTGTCATGCACACTAAGTGTGGGTGCCTTCAGATACTGACCGGCCATGATTTCAAGTCATGTCGACATCGCTGTCGTTGTCCTTCATGTGGTTTGAGCCGTTCACGCCATCTTCCTCGATCACTTCAACATCGCCATCGATGTCCTCATCCTCCTCATCTTCCCACTCCTCCTCACCATCCTCAATGCCCAACTCCTTGTTCAGACTTTGCCTCAACTCTAATGCGTGGTCCCGCAGCTTCTCGTCCTCGTATCCTTGAGCCTGGTAAAGCCGCAAACACATATCAATATATGCCCTCGCTCTGTCCTTCGCGAGCGTCGCTGATTTTTCCTGCTCCTCTTCACCCTCCGCCATCAGGACTTGACACCAACCAGCCAGATAGCAGGTCTCGACACTCTCATCATCCTCGCCTAGTAGACCCTCGATCGCACCCATCGCCTCGTCCAACATGCCCACCTCCATCAGCAGCCGACTCAAGCTTATGCGGCTCGCAAAGTCTGGTCGTGAATCACTCTCAATCTCCGCCGGAATGTCCTCCCACACCGCCAAACTCCGCCGCAATGCCTCCCGTGCCTCATCTATCCGCTCTTGTGAAATGCGCACGTTCGCCAACGCCGCCAGCGTGCCCGCTGAGTAGGCTTCCGGGCAGATCGCCAGCGCTTCCGTGACGTAAGCCTCGCATTTCTGCTCCGCATCCGCCTCCCACGACAGGTCCGTCATGTACACCTCGGCCATCCCGCAGAGCACGTCGGCGAGTTGAGCTTGTTTCATGTCGGTGAGCAAAGTGTCTTCGTCTCCGTCCTCGTCTGCTTGCTGCAGTGCTTTCAAGCCTCTGATCTCATTCCGTAGAACTTCGCACCCGCGCTCGAAGTACTCGATAGACTTCGTACCGCCCTCATCGCACAGCTGCGCGAGATTGCACAGCGGATCCGCAGAGATAATCTGTCCTTCGGGGTCGAGTCGGACGGCAGCTTCGAAGTGTGTTGTTGCGGACTGAGTATCGCCGAGCGCGAGATAGGTCTCAGCGACGAGCACGACGGCTTGTGGGAGGGTGGGCTTTTCTTGGGCGGTGAGTTGGAGGAGGGTAGTGGTGTAGTCAGTATTGGGAAGTTTGGACGGAGGTGGCTGCTCGGTTTGCAGCCGTCGCATGCATTCTTGCGCAAGTGGTAGGGCAGCATCGGGCTGACCCTCGTCGAGCAGAGAGGCGGCTTCGTCTAGAAGTGTTGCGATGGGTTTGCTTTTGCGGCTTGGTGCTTTGACATGTGCGGAGGGTTGGTGGAGGATAGCCTCAGTGGAGGGTCTAGAACGGTGGCCGTTGGGTTTGGATTTGCCCATGTTGACCGACGAGTGCGGGCAGAGGCTGAGAAGCCAGAGTGCGTTCAAGATTTTGCCGGTGCTGGTGTGGTTGTAAAGCGACATGAACTCTGATGTCGCCGTACAAAATTTATTGGAGGCCCGGAGATTAGCCGGGTCGTCTTCCGGCGTACCGGATCTCCAGGCACTGTGAATGCATACATGTAGGCCGCAATCCTGCCCACTCAGTCGTACTGAGTCGCAGAGAGTGCTTATGAAGACTTTTTGGTACGTTGCATACACAGTTGGTGGCAGCTTCCGTGGTCTGGACCTCACCAGGACGAAAACTTCCTAATCTGGCAAGTCTTGGCATCGCCGGCACAATTCACTCGAGTGATCCTTTTTACCATTCCCCGGTTCCCATGAACGTTTGAGGCTCGAACAAAAGCACTGACATGTGCTCCTGGAATTGGAGAATCTGACGAGCCCAAAAATGTGATGCTCCACGGCTCGTCTCGCCAAGAACTCGCCATTCTCGCCTCCCACCACCTCCCGCCCTCGGAAAACTTCTCAGCACCATCCCATGACCTCGCCGTCGACAAAAAGCGACGCCACGAGGGCGTAGACCGATAGCAACGCTCGGTTTCGATCCGACTACGGCGTCGTTAGAATGGAATGGGATTGCATAGTGTGTGGTGATGCTTACGGTCCTCCGGGTTATGAGCCCGGCGCGCTTCCGCTGCGCCACGTTGCTAGCCAGGTGGAAGTCCACGAGTCTGTGTGCTGATTTAGAAGCAAATCTGCAGGTTACAAATATATGAAATCTTTGCCGCGGGCTATGTGAAAGCAAATTAGGTCCCCGCAGGATATCCTCATCCGAGGCTGACTTAGGGGCGAACCAGTGAAGCATGGGCCGAGGCCCACGCCCAGACCTGAGCCCAGGGCCGCCTGTTGAGCTTTCTGTCTTCCTGGACTATGTTGGTCTCTACTTTCCATCTCAAGTGACCTGGAAGGAGCTTACGAGCGCCCGAAGCTCTCTGCGCTGAACTAGCTGTTCAAGGCTTTTGGAAGAACAGATCAAAACCACTCGGCAGGGACGGTGGCGGTCAAAACGTAGCAGGTTGGGCCACAAACAGTGATGCACGATCACCAGGCTAGGGGGCAAGAGTAATGTGCTGAGGGTCATTAACAACAGCAGCAACGTTACCTATGTATTCTATGCGTCTGGACAACTAAGAGCTACCAGTATCGCAAACGGCGAGGGCCTGAGCTGGAACCCAACACTCTGCCCTGCAGATGGCCAGCTAGTAGCCCGCAACCGTAGAGCCACCCCTGGATCTGACCATATTGGCGAGCACTACATCACATCGACAATCTATGCGCCACACGTCACCCGTGGATGTACTCCAACATATATTGATTATTCGAGCCCGTTGAGAAGCGTCGTCGCTGCGGTTCAAATCGATTCGCGCTGTGCTACCAACGAAAGGCTAGTGGTAAAGTGATGTTGTGCTTGAGATGAGACAAGACTATCTGGGCTGCTCTGTCTCGGGAGCACCAAATGCGATTGGACAGCAAGTGCACCTTGGGACATATAGACCTTTCGACAACGATGGCGAAAACGACGACGGAGAAGGTGGCGATATAGTCTTCGGGCTAATTCCTAAGCGTCGCCTAAACGATGCACAATCGTGGATGCACGACGGGAATTTTCATAATCCAACACGTACTCATCGTATGGCCACTGCTTCTAACGATACCCGACAGATGATGTACTGAGGCGGGACACTAATCTCGAGCAGGACAGGCTACGGCTGAAGTTCTTGTAATCGACTCTGTGGAAGGGCAGGTGGCATCTTTATGCTTTCTGAAGGAACGGTGCTAGTCACATCATCCCGACGATTCGGTGACACGGCGTGGTTGCCTCCTGAGTTTGCGAACTTTGGCGCAGCGACCCGTTCAGGGCTATCTAGGGGAGGCGTTCCAGCAAATTGAAGAGACAGTACCTATTAGCGCAGAGGAAGCGCAACGGAAGCGAGCCGGGCTCATAACTCGGCCGCCGTGAAAAGCTCTATGGTCCTTGTCAGTTACAGGTTGGGAGCCGCTGGCGCAACTCCCACTTGTCGGAATATACTGGTATTCACGGTTCAGATAGTCTAGGTAGATCACAACTCTGCGAACCATCCTTTTAACCGGCGAGACTCGACCTTCGAGAGTCCTCGATAGTGGATCCCTTTCGCAATCTTCATGATTGCTTAAAGTACACAAAGGCATTGCTGCCGACATCAGGAATCGAAATGCAAGCAGGTCGGGCATGACCCTTGTCAACCGGCTAGCCTCGGATCCTCAGCCTTGCCCCAGATCAACCCGATCCTCCATCGTTTTTCGAATGTCAATTGCACGCATTTGTACACAAGACAACCATGCCTCAGCCTTAGCAAACCTACAGCCAACCTCAGGCACCTCTATCATGTCCACCCACTACAACACCGAGCCCCCACCTACCGCCTCCGTCCTCCTACACACCACCGCCGGCGCCATCCCGATCTCCCTCTTCGCCGCGCAAACCCCACTCACCACACGCAACTTCCTCCAACACTGCCTCGACGGCACCTACGACAATACAATCTTCCATCGCAATGCGCCTGGTTTCGTCTTGCAGACCGGCGATCCCACTGGCACGGGCGAGGGCGGAGAGAACATATATGAAGACAAGGAATTTGAGCGGTACGATGAGCACTGGGCGCGGCTGATGGGGCGTGAGGCCGGGGAGAAGATTGTGTTCGGGGACGAGGTGCACAGTCGGTTAAAGTTCAACAGGAGGGGCTTGGTGGGCATGGCGAAGAGTGAGGGTGGGACTGGGAGCGGGTATGGCAGTCAGTGGTTCATTACGTTGGGTGATGCGAGGGTACAGTTGGAGGGGAGGTGCACGATGTTTGGGCGGGTGGAGGGAGAGGGGATCTACAATGTGGTGAAGATTGCAGAAGGCGAGATCATGGAGGCACTGAGCGGCCGGTGTGGCCCGAGAAGGTGTTGCGGATTGAGGTCACGATGTGGCCGAAGGGCGAGGCTTGGGAGGGGATGAGGAGGAGGGTGAAGGTGGTGAAGAGCATAGAGCAGGTCCCGAAGAAGCCTGCAGCGAAGAAAGCGAAGAAGCCAAAAGCTGTGCTGAGTTTCGGCGACGACGAGGATGGTGGGGATGTGCCGGTCAAGCCGAAGAAGGCGAAATTCAATACTGCTTTGATCGACGCATCAACAGTCAAGGACGACGTTAAAGTGAATGGCACAGTCAAGCCTAATCCACAAGTTCGCCCACCATCGCCGCCACCGCAGACCATTCCCGCAAAACGAAAAGCCTCCGATGCAAGCTCACGCTCGCCACAACATCACCGAAAGCCGTCCTCGCCTGAGTCAAGTATGCAGCTACCCCTCCGGAACCCCGAGCAGCCATCTCGCTCTCCCTCAGAACCCTCTTCGCGCTCGTCCAGCCCCACTCACCGACGGCAATCAGCCAGCAAGTCACGTGCCGCACTCGAAGACGAGATCAACGCCCTGAAAGCCTCAATGAAACGCAGCAATCACAGCACCATCGGCGACATATCACGGAAGCAGTCCGCACTTGAAGCGCTCATCCCAGCGACATCGACACGCGGCAGAAAGCGACCTAGACCCGGCGACACGGGGTCTGGCAAGGACGAAGCGAAGGCGCTGAAGATGCTCAACGCGTTCCGTGCGCGGCTCGAGGGAGCGGATGGAGGCGGCACAACGAAGACAACAACGAAATCAGTAGCTTCAGCCACGAACGGCTCCTCTTCGAAGGCCAAGCTCAACGGCGCAGATCCGCCTTCAGCATCTCCACCAGCATCAGAAAACGAAGGAGACGAAGAGGCGCGTCTCTGCGACCTCCACTTCATCGCGAATTGCCAGTCCTGCTTTGCCGCTGAGCAAGCTGAGCGGGAAGGAGACACGGATGCCGATATACTTTCCAAAGACGACGACGACAGAAGTTTCCTCTCACACAGCCTGAACTTTGCAAAGGACATGCTGGGCAAGGATACGGAATGGCGAAAGGGAATACGTAATCGGGAGGTGGAAGATGATGGAGGATTAGTGGTGATTGATCCCAGGGCGAAGGAGAGGGAGATACTCGGGAAGAAGGCAAAGGGGAGGGGAAAGGAGAGGGAGTGGGATCAACGGTAAATGGTCATGGTGTTTCGGCCTGGCGATGAACCCGTGTCTTCGAGACCAAGATTCGGAGCAGCAGCAAATCAATATTTCTGCGTGGACAATTGTATATGAGGGCACTCCGATGCTATGCTATGCTGTGCTGTACAGTATCAAGCCCAAATGAAAGTATTGGTAAGTCGACCACATTCGAAATGCCGAAACCGAAACACCGGTCCACCATGCCAATGTCCTCGCCTCGTCATGCTATGCGATGCATTCAAAAATTCATGAACAAGTCTCTCAAAATAATCGTCCAGCACATCTACGGCTTCGAGAAGCCATACCGGCCATCACCAAGGACCACGAACCCACACATATTCTGCTTGACCTGTGCCGCCGTCGGCATGATAACCTTGAAATTGCCCGCGGGGACACCCCATTTCTTGAACTCATCCCTGATCGCATCGGCAATCATGGAGTCGAATACCTGGGGATTGTGATTGTTGCCACCCGCCGCGATGATGACAGTCGTGTCCTTCGTGACCTGACTGCGCACATGTTCAAAGTAAGAAGGATAAGCACGGCCGCCTTGCAAGTGAGTCAGGGTATGGTTGCCATGGGGCGTGATTGTGACAACAGCGCTGCAGTCCGTCATGCCCACCGTAAATAGATTGTCGCCTGGCGCACGAGTGATGCCGATGTAGTTCCCTTGTTCAGCACCGCGAGACATTTGGACTTGGATATTGTGCTGGCCAGGTTTTGGTAGGGCGATGCCGCCAGCTTCGAATTTGGGTGCGTTGGCTGCCGGCACGTTGGGACGTTTTGGGGGAGTAAGGACATTTGTGGGTGGAGCGGGACGTGGAGGTGCTGGACCTCGTGGAGGGTTCGGTGGCGGAGGGTTTGCGCGGCTGGGTTGACCCTGCGGCGGTCGCGCTGGTGGTGCCGTCTGCTTGCCCTTGCCCGTGGCCTTTCCTAGTAATTTCTTCATGTTCGCGTATTGCTGTCAAGAGGGCATATGCTGGTTTGCGGTAGTCTGACAGTGCTGGTTCTGGTGGTGCTGGTTTCGACAGGGTGTGCGTTGGTCTGTGTGTGATATAGGGAGAGATGAACTCAGCGATCCAGCCAGATCGACTCTTATATACCTTTCCAAATGCGAGATCCATCCCCAGATACAGCTCGTGTCCGAGAATAGCCCATGATTCGTGCGAAGACCGCTTTCGATCCTCACTCGCCACAAATCTAAGAAGCGAGAGACACAGCGCGAGCTCAGAGAGAGGCTATGCAAATTGCAGAATCATGTAGCCTTATTGCTTACACAATGGTACCTACAAGCTCGATAATCAGACGCCAGGTGGACGCCTCGTTAGACTGGGTTGCCTGATGATGGACAAGCCCTGATCCGGTTCCAGAGGGCTGGGCGTCACAGCCTGCGCGGTCATTGTCACTCCAAAGGTCAGGCCGCCCAGTAAAGGCAACATTCAGCGCGTGCTCGAGTGTCGTGTGACTGGGGCTGCCCGCGTAATGGTAGGGCTGTGATGCAAGGCAAACAAGCCACAATCGCCTGAAGGCCTACGTGGAGTACTCATCTTGCGAATCTCGTGTGATCGTACAGTATGTGATGAGGCAGAGCCCAATCGGAAGATAGTGTTCAGACAGCTGATGGATGCGTGGGGCAGATCTGGATGTGCAGAAGTACAAGGTGCGCTCCGAATGGAAGTCGCGACCCTTGACTTGGAGCCTTCTCAGCAAATTCCGAATCCCATGACCGAGTCAGGACAGCGCAAACCAGTTCCAGCAGTCGTCATGCGCTTAGTGAGACACACAATTATGTCATGTAACCAGATCCGGACTCATGACGCCTTGACATGTCCATTTCCAGCAGTCTTCTTAGGCACAGTCTTCGCCTCCGTCAGCTCTCTGACCACTCTCACAAAGTTCCCTGCACCCAAAGCAGTCAAAAAGTGCCACCAGCCATGGAACTCCAGACTCCAGCAACCCGGTGGGCCAAGCCAATGCCTCACTTCTCGCAGTTGATCACAGAACTTTCCGTCAACAATCCACACGGCGAAACCTGAGAAGAAAAACACGACTCCCATCCTGAAGGCATACATCAAGCGTCTTGCGGTATCGTCTGGCCCCTTCTGCCCCTGTGTCTTCCTCTCGTCTCGCCCCTGCCTGATCATGTACAGTACCTTCGGCCAGAGAGCTGTCAATAGGCCGATGAACAGCACCAAATGCACGAAATTGCTCGCCTTTCCGTCCTCGGTTCCTACTGCATTCCAACCAATCACGCCAGAGATGGCCGTTGCTAAAGTCATGCCGAACAACAACCTGGTCGGCTCTCCCATGTTACTGCTCCAGAGCCGATAGTCCAAAGCTCCCACGAGCGCATACATTCCGCTCTCATCAATGATCTGCATCTCGTGCAGCAGAGTCGCGTGGAACGCAGCACTGCCGAGGCCAACCAAAAGCAGTGCTAGATTCTCTACAGGCCACTGCCACAGCTGAAACTCCCGCCCACCGCCGCGCAACGACTTCGGCAAGGTGATGACGCCTTGCCAGATATACGCTAGGTTGCTGAGAGTATTGATGAGTTCGGCAATGTAGTGAGTGTATTCGTAGTCGATCTCACAGAAGTTGGAGGCGGAGGTCTGGGGAGACCAGTAACCCTTCTGCGAAAAGCCTGGTGGGGGCGTGTCGAAGTTGTGGTCCATGCCGTTCATGATTGCGGAAGATACCTAGATGAGGTCCCAAAGAGGGTCGTACCAGGCGTAGGAACGCGCTGATAGATATAGCGGCTTAGGAGCCTCGGAATTGGCTGTTATATATCAGCTTTAGGAGAAGCTCGAGAACTCGGCGCTGTGCAGAGGGCACGAACAGGCGGCGGACTGGCGAAGCAATGATTGTCTACTATATGCAAGTGTATAGCGCATACATGTGTAAATACAAACAGGCAGAAGCCAAACGGATGGTTGATGAGTTGCAGCAAGTCGGTAAGAGAATGAAACGAAATCGAAAGGTTGGAAGTCGCCTAGCAATTCTGAGATCTCTTCTCGTATTTCGTATCTCTGCATTTACGACTCCACCCTGCACAAGGAGAACTACAGCAGCCCGTCGACCAGGAGCCATGAGTGCCAAACGCGATGGGGTTGTAAGCCAGGGAGGGCGCTGCAGACTCGATGCATCTTGCTGATCGAACCGGGCGCTCTGAGATGAGCCTCACTTTCGCGCCAAATACCAGGATCGATCCATCGTGGATCTTCTGGGTAGGGAGGACTCTGTGGGATTTCACAGATCCTTTTCCGCAACCACTAAAACACCACCCTCTCCTTCTCCCGTTCCGGCATCGCCAACACTGCCACTCTGCTGCATCTCGTGCTCCAGTTTTCCAGTCACCCAGTCCTCGACATCCTCCACCGCGTCAGCCGGTCTGTCCTTGTACAGCATGATGTAGCCCTGTAGCTGAGCCGGGGAGAATTTGCGGTCGGGCACCTTGTTCATGAAGCGCTCCGCCAGACGGTGGACATCTTTTGCGAAATTTAGCTCCTCGTTCTCGCGTTTCTGTTCGTCGGCGAGGGAGGTGTGTCCGTTCGTGCCGTTTGTGGTAGCGCCGTTGGCGTGGCCGTTGCACTCAGAGGACTGTTGACTTAAGGACGGTGTACTGCCGGTCGCAGGCATATACATGTTGATGAAGATGTCTTTGATCTGGGACTTGGTGGCCAGCTATTAAGAGAGAAGTCAGCAGCATATAGAGATTTGTGTGAAGCCGGAGCAAGAGCCACTCCATCGCAGCTCCAGGGGATCCAGAAACTTACATCAAAGTGTACCCAAGTATCAACGCGGCCAGCCCGAACCAGAGCAGCGTCCAGCGAATCTGGATCATTCGTAGACATAATCAGCATATGCCCCTCGGGGGCACCTGCTCCGTCGATAGCGTTGAGCAAACCGGACAGAGAGACGCGGGATTCTTTGACTTCGTTGCCTGAGTCATCGTATTTGGGCTTAGCTTTTGCGCCTGGGCGAGTTGACACTTTTGCGCGTCGGCCGATGCCTGCACAATCACTATCACGTCTTCGTCAGCCACTTCATTAAGCCGATATGCATAGGAGCACTCACACATCTTCCAACAGCAACAAACAGCCCTTTCGGATAGATTGGAACAGAGTCAGCAACGCCGCATCGTCCACGTATTCGTCCAGCAGGGACAACATGTAGACCTGCAGCTTGAAGTGTGCCGCAATGGCCATGGCCAGCGTAGTCTTGCCAGTTCCAGGCGGTCCATGGAATAGGTAGCCTCGGCGATGTGGTATGGATCTCTCTTGGTGCCAGATTTCGTTCTTCGGGTCAAGGTAGCCAGTAACGTCGTTAAGTAGCTTCTGCTTCTGGCCTTCAGCAAGGTAGACGCTGCTGAGAGGTCGGCGAGCTTTCTCTCCTTGGAGATTCCATTGTCGACCGTGGTAGGGGACTGGAACGATGATCAGCAAGATGCATCATATTGGTTGGGGACTGGACGAGAGCATTCGCCCCACAAGTCCACTTACCGTAGATTTGAGTCACGATCTTGCCATCCTCCCTCATACTGTTATCATAGGCCTGGGAGAGCATGTCGACGATAGGCTTCGGTGAGAATCCAAACGTCCACACCGTGACATGATTGCCCGGTCCTGGTCGCATAGACTTCTCGACCGTGAGCACGAACAGCCGTCCTTCATGCCAAAAGAACTGGTACTTGTTCTTGGGGTCGAAGAATATACTTGCTCCATTCAGCTGCTTTTCGTACAAGCGACCATTCGATACATTGTTGCGTAGGTATTGCATGGAAGTGGCGCTCATGTAGCGTTGTGACATTACCAATTTCTTCTTTGCCAAAAATGACACGAAGCTGCTATTGAGGGCAATATCCTCGGCACCAATGTCAACGGATGACATCGCATTTGACATGAGCTCTGAAAAAGGTCAGCACGGCTCATGGCAACCAATCGAGAGGCCACACACTGTACCAAGCACCTGTGAGCTTACCAACGAGAAACTCGTAGCCGAACCACAGCGCCAGAGGCAGCGAGAGCCGACGCACAAGTTTGGGATGAGCAGCTAGCCATTTTGCGATTTGGGGGAAGAAGGTTGATATGATGAATGAAGAAAGGCCGATTTGACCGAGCAGCTGATTGCTCAGACTGTTCTCGGCCTCCTCGACGGTCGAGCCGTCCGGTAGTACTTTCTTCTTTGGCATTGTGTCTGCTTGAGGCGATGCCGCAAGCCGTCTTCGCTGGCGTAAGGCGTGTTTTCTAGCTATCTGTGCAAAGTCCATTCAACAAGCCATGGCCTACTGCCTTGTTTTCGGAATAAAGGCAATTGCCAAGGCACAGATTATGTTGTGCTGTAGGCAATGACAGCGAGATGCCCTGGGACGAATCCTATGGCAATCTGGTATGTCTTGAGATCCTTTGGCACAGCTGACAGTGTGAGGACCAGATCAAGTCGCTAAGTATCGGGAGTCGTCGCAGATTCGTCGTTAAGGCTTTGGCAAGAAGACCTGGTTATCAACCCACTTTCCGCGGTAAGCAATGCGTCGAACGTTGCTCGAGCACTGTATACCAGATATGTCGAGGCTGCTGTGTACCGCCTGGGGACTTCGATTCGACCTTTAGAGTACTATGTATCCAATGCAATGTTCGAGATGTACAACCAATGCTCAATGTCTATACAAGATCGATATGTTGTCACCTACCGTCAGAAGCCAGCAGCATGAGTCCTGCTCTTGACCAGGTCAGTGACTCGACACACAATTCCCAAATTTCAGATTTGGATCTGGACGCCTCCACTCGATTCGAGTCACATCCCACCAGAGCAAGGCAACAATCAGGCTACCTGGTTTTTGGATTGCCACGATTACCCCACAGAGGCGGCGTCAAGCTCCGGCCGACTGAGACCTCTGCACAGTAGTGCTGGAATGTCTCCATAGCAGGCGGACTTTTCGTTGCCTTACTGCCATGAATTGATGAATTGTCGACTTGTTCGGTGGAGGTCATCAATAAGCCAATCGTAAGCGCGTGATCAGTCAGGCAGCAGCTTAGGTAAGCCACGTTTGGGTTGCTCTCCTATGGGCGATGGCAGTGTCTAGTGCCATGGCCGGGAATGTCTTTCGACGGGGCCCAGTGAAAGGTCTTGCTGCTCGCCCCATCGAAGGGACTTTCGCAAGACTCGTTGAGGTTGTGGGGTTGCTGCAGGCTGCAACCGTGGGGGCTGCCTTCAGGCAACGGGTTGTTGGGCGCGAGACCAATCCTGCACACTGGTGCGATCCGAGGAAGGCGTCCTCAATGTTATTGCTGCCTCGAGACGCTCCGAGACGTTAGGGGATCATCGCAATGCTGACAAGAGGCGTACAGTCTGGGACATATATGATCTGGAAGACAGCAGGCAAGAAGGGGCAGTTCCTAAATCAGCAACTGCGTTCAACGTCCGTGGTCTTGGCGTTCGGAGCTTAAGAGCTGGTTCAAAGGTACGTGAGCACCTAGATGCTACTTAGTAGGCATCGCAGCAGACATCACCAGGGGACAGCGTCAGTCATAAGGCAACGGAAGTAAGTATGACAGCATCGGTAAAACTCAAGCGTTCCAATTCTCCCGTGACTACAGATATGCATAGGGTATAGTATCTAGCAGCCTTTCCCAACCCAAGCCATTCCTGCATATCCTTCATTCATCCAGGGGTATCCGCGTAGCCACGTAAAAATGCATCGATCATCACTCACTTATTGCTTCTCTGCTGTATACAAATCTGGTCCTGCTTCAACGTCCTCATATCTAGGCGGCGGTGAAGGCAGATTCTCTTCACCCTCCAACAGCAGCCTGCACTTCTCGTCCTCACAGAGAATGATCTCGATTGCCGGACCGTGGCCACTAGCCTGCCTCCTGCGGCTGTTTCGCCCGAATTTCGCCCACAGCAGGACAGCAGCTTGACCCACAAGCATACCGACAGCACTGGCAACAAGACCTCCGATAACGCCCAGTAGCGCTGGAATGACCAGGAATCGCAGTGTCGAGTGCAGCATCTTCGCCCATTTGTGCGCACGCATATGGTGGCCGTGATGCCCAGTGTGTCGCATGCCTCCATGACAACCGCGACCGCCAGCCCAAGCTTTGGCGTGCTTGCCCTTTGCGCGTAGCGCACGAATGGTCTCCAGGACACGAGACTGGATGATGGCCTTGACGCGGCAGTAGCTCCACCCTGTGCGGCCTTCGCAGCTCACTGCGCCGGGTGTCTTTGCGAACGGCACGGTCGCGACTCGGCCCACTTTCCAGTCTTTGCGGCCTTGAACGATGTCGATCGCTACGGTATCGACCTTGACTGGCTTGCCGTTGAAGCCGACCACTGTGAACAACACAGGCTGGATCGCAACTCCTTCTTCTGCCTGGTGAGTCCATGGTCTGACTGGTAGGAGTCGTTCGAGGACGAAGTCGAGTGGTCGGTCGGTCGTGAGCTCTCCAGAATCGACCCGGCGTTGTCTAGCCACTAGTCCGACAGTCGAAGGCTTGATCAGGCCTGCATCTGGCATCATGGTGGCAATATTGTTGACGAGCAGGCCATTGTGCTTGTCAGCGTCGAGAGTGATCTCGATCACGGTCTCGGGTTGTTGTTCTGTTTCCGAGACACCCTCCCACGTGCAGCCAGGGCACGCCAGGGCGATCTTCCATGCTGTTGGTTGATTCAAAAGACTTGCTATTGAGTATGCTTCTGATGGTGGTATCTGGGTCTTCTGAATGGGCTCGGCGATATGGTTTTTCTGTGTGGGTCGTGTCTTCTGTAATGGGTGTAGCACATTGCTTGGTGGGATGAGGAAGCCCGACACTGCGGTTGTGAGAGTGGCAACGGCTGCTGCCACGGCTGTGAGACGCATTTTGTCTGATTCGGCTCGTGTGACTTGTATGAATACTGCTCTTCCTCTTGCCTAGGAAGAATGTTGCAACGACAAGGTCGATCGAACGACGGTGGCAAGCCGGGCCGTCCTCGTACGTCTCTTTTGCTTGTGTAGCACAAAGAGACTTCGCAATAGGTGCAGGCACGGGAGCGTGCACGACCGCCGGTTTCTTTGTGTATTGAACAACGAGAAGCCTTCAACACACCAAAGCTGTATCTCTTAGTATGACCAATCTGTCGACCCGTCGTCGAGGTGTTGGTCAGGATTTCAAGGCCGAGATCGATTAGTCACCGAGTCGGCCGAATGTAAATAGGTCTGATGTAAGACGGCTTGTGTAGCGACAGCGAGGGCGCAGCGACGAGTCACAAATAATTCAAAAGATCAATGAGTCGCATGTACATTAGAACCAAGAAACCCGGGGAACCATCGAGAGTATATCAGGTTTCTCTCACCTCATCATCGCTCTCGCGTTTTGACTGCTGTTTTCATCCGGCGCATCCGGTCGGACGACCTCGACGCACTCGGGTTTTAGTTTCTAGGTTTTTGAGCCCCAGCTAAAAGCGTCATAGGCTTATCAGCTTGCCGTGGCGCCCGATCGATTGTTTGGCAGCGGGCGAATAGGCGCCCTGGCCTTGTGGCTCTGGGCTGGACCCATCGTCCGCTTCCGGGCATTGACAACTCCGAGTAAGCCTAAATGTGTAGGTTATGTAAGCCCTTCTGGTTGGCCGCTGGAAGCGGTGAAGCCGCCTTTCTCAGGAATGCTGGAGAAGGCTGGGGCCGGACTGTTGGTTGGCTGGTTGCGGACGTGGTCCGTGCGATTTGTACGGGCGCTGCAGATACTTTGCATCAAGTTGTCGCGTGAGGAGGACTTCCGTTGGATAGGATGTCCGTTGCTGCAAGCGCCCAGTGAAGAGAATTCAAGCTGGATGTCAGGAATGATCAAGGTAAAATCGAGGCAGAATCAAGGCTCAAAAGTGTCAAGGATCAGGCCTTAATCACCGCCACGTGAGGTGCCGATCACGTAGAATTCATTGACTACCTAGGTACTCAAACCGCTTCTCGCGTGTTTCCGCTCTGCTTCTACCACTACCCACAATCTCCCAGAGTCCTCCCCAGCCCTATGCGTTCAATACCGGGTGTCTATACACCGTCTCATAGAGTCCAAGCTGCTTGATCATCCAATACACCAGCCAATCCCACCAGGACGCCCTCCAAACCGAATGATTCCATTCCCACACGTATTGCCGCCTATAACGCATGTTATTCGCGTCAATCCACGCCTGCCTAACCTCCCACGCACTCATCGCAATGTATGAGGCGGCTGCCAGCACCAACAAGCACAAAATCGCCGTGAAGAAGACCAGGAACCATTGGAGGCGGAGAGGAAGGGTATGATCGCCGTATTTCGCTTCCGGGAGGCCTTCCGGTTCGCTTTTCGGCGCAGAAACCTCCCAAGAAACACCAAAAAACTGCAAATTGTGCTCTGGCGGAAGCGGGAAACCAAATCTGCTGAAGTCGGAGTCGGAAAGCGGCGAAAATGGCTTCGAGTCCTGCTCTGATTCCGCCACCACTTCTTCCTCCTCGACTTCCATCACCACATGCCCATCATGCATTGTGGAGGCCTCTGGCGCGCGAATAGTGGCTGATTGCAGCGCTATGTGGAAGGGGGCGCGAGGATTCGCCTCAAACCGCTTCACATGCTGCCGAAGCGGCTCGACGAGGTTTCCTGGCGTGAGTGGCCGCGAATCTGGTGAGGGTTCCCGCGAAATGGTGGCAGGACGCGCCAAATTGCCTGGCGGAGGTCTTCTGGTGCTAGAATTGCGCTTCGGAAGCCGCAATGGCGCTGGCAAAGCGCGTCGTCGTGCTGATCGATCGGAGCTTGTCGACGACGTTGGCGAGGATCCAGGCATTTTGGTGGCTTCTGGAGGCGGAGGCGTGGTTGGTGCTGCTGCTTCGGCTTCTTCTGGTGCTTGCGTTTCTGATTCTGCTGGCGATTTGGTTTCTGATTCTGGCTGTGCTTCCGCTTCCGTTTCCAAATCACCCATTGCTTCCAGCTCATCATGCAGTGACACCTGTCTCAAACGAGGCTCAGGCTCAATTGACAGCTCTCTCTCCCACTCATCATGGTTGGCTCTGATCCGCTTCGCCAAACTTGCATTGAGCTTCACCTGAGCGTTCAATTCGGCTTGCTCTGCAGCATTTTCCTGCAGCTGATCTCTCAATTCATCCGTTCCGCAATCACATGTTGCAGTTCATCTCTCAACTCTCCTGGTAGGTTCAGATCTTCATGGAGTTGCTGGCGCACGCTCTGATAGTGTTCGTCGATCTGATGGCGAGCATTATGGTAGTATTCGTTGATTCCAGAGATGGTGTACAGTGCCTGGGAGCCCTCCGATCTCACGTCCTCTCGTTTCCTTGCTGCTTCTTCCAGGACCTGCATGTATTCGGCCTCTACATCCCTCAATCTCCTCAGTTCTTCTCCGTTATGCTGATGGCCTTGCAGTTCTTCTAGAAGATCCGAGACTCGTTGTTCAAAATCCTTCAGTTGCTTTGTCTGCTCATCCGCATTCAGGTCTGACTTATGCTGGGCGGCCTTCATGCGCTGGATCAGTCCTTCCAAGCCAGCTTTCTCGTCCTCGAGGTCCTTGCAGCGGTGTTCAAGCTGGGATACGCTGTCCTGCAGCGGCTTGATCTGCTTGTGCAAGGCGATCTTGGACCGGTCAAGTTCTGCTTGTGTCTCATCGCACTGCTTTCGAAGCCGGGAGGCCTCCTCGGAGCTTTCTCGCAGCGATTCCGCAGTCAGCTCATCGTAATGTTGTCGTTCCGGTGTCGAATACCGGGAAACACGTCTACGAGAGCCAGGAGTTGGTGATGGGGCGGCCTCTGGTGATGAGTGCTGGGACATTGTTGCGATTTGTGAGGTCGATTTGTGGGCGCAGTATCTGGAGTGCGATGCAATATGGTCAAAGGATCTGGGGCGGGCTTCGAGGGATGTATGTCGAGAATATCGGAAAGTTGCTGCATGTTCGGTTGGAATATATCATTTCGAGCGTATTGTCCTATTGTGTCCTATTCTAATACTGACTGAATAGGTTTCGGGCATTGACGCCGGTGTTGTCTCAATAGCGTGGCAGGTGGATGTTGAAGCAAACGCAACGACAATAGGCCGACACTGAGCAGCCTTGCTGTCGCATGCGCCATGAATTGAAGAAGACATGCCGATGTCGACTCGATGAAAGCCATTGTGCCTGCGTCTTACGAAATCCATGGCTTTGTTGTCGAAAGAGCCCAAATCAAGGACAAAGACCTGCCCATCTGTTCTGGGTAGACTTTGTGCTCTCACACCAAGCTCGGACCACTCTTCGCATCCCAAAGTCCAAACGCTACCCGATATGCTAAAAATTACGCTCAAGCCTCCGAATCGACTGTGTAATCCTTCTTGCAAGACACCTGAACAATTTTCTGCTTGCCATGCTCGTCAACAACCAAAGCAGTGAGATGACCACCCCTAGCGCAATTCGAATCTAGACCTTTGGAGTATTTTGACACCTGTAAACCCATCCGAGCGTCATGACCGTACACGACCGTCAGCGGTTGGTGCGACGTCCTGTCCTTCGAGTTCTTCCAATACTTCTGAAGCCTCTGAAACTTGTTCCAAATCGAGAACCAGGGTCGAGAATGCTTGCCGTGGTGCAGCTTGGACGGAACATGCGTGCGCAAATCTATCGACCGCATGTTCATAATCGAGGCGGGATCTTGTGACTTTAGTGGTACACCTGGAACCAAGCCAGCGTGAACCACGACAATCTCGCCTATTCCCTTGATCTGACCGACTTTGAGGATCAACGGAAACGATTGCATGAACTTGAGCTGCTTCTTCGTCAGGGCGTGAGCGATTGCCTCGTGTGTATTCTTCTTATGCTTCTTCTTGTGCTCAGCTTCCATCTCTCCCTCGCGTTTAGACTTGTGCCGCTGCTCTGCAATCAGAATGAGCTTATCATCGTGATTTCCACGAACGACCGATGCCTCTTGTTCCATCAAGAAGTCGATAACGCCAGAACTGTCCGGCCCTTTCGTGACAATATCACCTACAGAAATAATATGATCTCTGTTGTGGTCGTACTTCGCCTTGATCAAAAGCTCCAATAGCTCCTTGTGGCAACCGTGTATATCGCCGATGAAGATCAATCTCCGTGACTTATCTGCCTTTGCGCCGCCTGGCAGGTATTTGGGATCCAGCTCTTCCGTCTGTATAAGGCCAAGGTGTGGGTGCGCATTGACGCCGAATTGTGTCTTTTCGCCAGATTCCTGGGTATTGTATATGTCCCATGCCGCTCTTTCCTCCTCTATCCATGGCCAGACGACTTTCGTCCACATGCTCCATGTGAGTATTGTGGCACAGATGACGATGGCGGTCAATCGGCGGAATTTAGGCGCCTTGACCAGGGCGAGGAGGGCATCGTACGCATCGTCAAGACGGTCTAGGTACCGATCGTACCAAAGTATTTGCTCGCCTGGAGGCTGGAACGCGGTGTTCTCTTTGCTCCAGTCGCTGTTACGGCCTTCGATTATAGCGACTCGTGGGCCTTTCTCACCCCAGACTGCACGCCCGTCGTTGGAAAGGCGTTCTTTTGCCATAATGTTGGCGCGTAGAGTCTGTGCTTCAAGCCCCTGGTTGAGCAGCCATACGCTGGCTTCGAGAAATCGGCGCACTGGTTGCGCTCGACGTGCACGACATGTCTCATCTCTCGCAGACTCGCAGGCTTGTCATCATGTTCAGGCAGTCGCAACTCAGGCGGAGTGCTTTAGCAGTCGCACTTGCCAAAGCTTGTATTGGGGCGAATGATCGCTAGCCGAGAATCATCAACTGTGATCCAACATCAGCGATGGAAGGTATCACGTGGTGGAGGCACGGCTTCTGCCTGGTTAGCATGCAAATGCTGTGGCAAAGAGGCCGGCATATCCGCATTGTACATTGAAAACTCAGTGGCATCTTGTGCTGGGTACAAAGTCGCGGAAAGTGACCTCATAAAGCCTAAGTTGCGGTTGGTTCGTAATTCGTGGGGAACAGGTCGTGGTAGACATGCATATCGGCTTATTTAGCACATGCACAACTACTCGGTACCGCTCAAGTCTGGTTGTGTTATGCTCATCGCTAATTACTATTTATATTGCTTGATAGAGATGCGTAGTGTCTCCTGCAGCATTGTCCCCGCCAATGGATAGCGGCATCAGAGTCAGTGTATCTACAGAGCGACGCCAGCGATGAGCAGACCGAGCAGACCTGCGCCACTCAATGCAGTCTTGACATTGGCAGCACCGCTCGAGCCCGTAGCACTTGCACTTGCAGAGCTGCCACTGCCGGTCGCACTTGCTGATTCGCTGCCGCTGCCTGTGGCCGACGCACCTGTGCCAAATTAGCCTCCGTCACAATATGTGCATCGCGTGCGGACTCACCAATGCCCGTAGCACTCTCGCCAGTGGTGGTGGCATCGGCGCCGGAGGCGGTGTTGCTACCAGAGCCGGCGGTACCGGTGCTGATCGGGAAGAAAGAAGCAGAAATGCAGCTGGCCTGGCACGAAGCGTATGCCTCAGTCTCTTCCTGTGTACCATTGCCCTGAGTGCATTTTCCAGCACATTCGGTAGTCTGATTGACAGCCACCGCGTTGGGGCAAGGCACATTCACGCATGCTGCTTTGCAACAGATGTCGGTCTCGCCGCCTGCTCGAGTTAGCCTTGCTTGCCGTGACAACCGTGAGGATACGCACAGTCCTGAATGCACTGCTGTTCAGCACTCAGAGAAGCGGTGCTGGAAGTAGTCTCAGATGTACGGCTGGGAGACTGGCTAGCGGAGTCGGAGCTCTGCTGTGCGAAGGCGACAGCGGCCAGGCCAAAAAGGACTGTGGTGAAGAAACGCATGTTGATGGTAGTAGTGAGATGCTGTTGATTGGATGAAGCGTTTAAGTGTAAGTGGCGAACGAGTGAAGCCTGTGAAGATTGAACGAGAGTAGGATGCGCTTGCGTGTGACTCAAGAGAAGGAAAGTCGTGTTGCTTCGGGCAGAATAAGACAGAAATAAATTGAGGTGCGCGTCAATATGATGGCGAGAACAGGGGTCGAGTGAGCCCGGCGATCAAGCGAATCATGAACCCACCATGACCAACAATATCTCTTCCAAACCCCAGATTCTGTGAATAGCGCGGTCTTGACAGTATAGCCTAGACTAGAAAAGGATGAAGCGCCCCGGCGGGAACGATGAAAGGAAATCTCCTACGAAGCTTACTCCGGCGGCGACTCTTTGCTCGACCGCATCTGAGACATGGTTGCCGACTCATGCAATTTGGTTTCACAGAGTGACCAGAGTCTGCCCGATACAACGCAGTGCAGCATTGAAATTTCCGAGGACGTGTCGAGCCAGGCGTGAAAGGGCCGCGCAAGACAAGCGGAAGGGCGTCATGGTTGTGGGTAAAAATGGCCTCGAAACTGGACCTCAAGATCAGGACCGCATCGAATTGAGGTTACAGAAAAGGAGAGTTCATCGCGGATGCAGGGATGGGCAAGATGAAATGCTAAAAATCAGCAGATCTCGCACGTGATTTCGCGTTTGCCAAGCCTGACTCACCTGAACGTCTCGGCTAACGCGTTTTGTGGCGCCCGCTTCGGCAGCCAACATCGTGTACACCAGCGGCAGGGCTGGCTGACGGGAGAAACATAACATCGCGGCTGTATACATCCGGATAGCTGCACTGACTATGATGCACGAGCAGCACACGAAGTAAGGACTCTGAGATGGACTTTATCGATGGCGAAGCCATTGGAGGTGGCGAGAGTGGCGATGACGACGTATTGGTGCCAAGCTCGCAGACCGACGACATCATAAGACCACGAAAACGCCGGAGAATAGCTGTGGACAGCAGCGATGAGTCCGGAAACTCCTCCGACGACGATGTCAAACTGCCGTCCAATGACTACAGCCAGGACGATATCGAGACAGACGAGGCTGAACACAGGTCGAAGTATGAAGACTTCATGCATGTGCCACAATTTGTCACCACCCAGAAGGACACCTATGTCACGCAGTTGACCCAGCCATGGTCCAGTCCGACGCACATCAGAGGCCCGAGATGGAGACGTAAAGCAAGTACTCCGGAGCCGGCAGCGAATCGACCACCACCAGCCGCGGTCGAGCGAAGGCCATCAGGCCCAACTCCAGCAGCCGGTCGACTAGCAGCCTCTACGGCTGACAGAAACTCGTCAGTGCCATCTCCGCCACCTCGAGCTACCTTAGACGATGACCTTACGGCGCCCGCAGGGCTGGACGAAGACGACTTCGAGGCCGATGACCCTGATCTCCTTGATGCACTTATTTCGGCAGAGCGATCACAACAACATCATGGCCTCTCAAATGGCAATGCCAGCAATAGAGGACAGTCGGGGCAGAATCTCCGCCAAACAACCTTGTTCGGTATGCCTGGTGCCAACCATGAATCTACAGGCGCTCAAGCGACACGTGCGCACAACTGGCCGCTAGCTAATCGAGCGGAGAAGCCTACTCATCATAAGATCGACACCGAAGCAATGAAGACGTGGGTGTATCCCACCAATCTCGGCACCATCAGAGATTACCAATACAATATCGTACACAAAGGCTTGTATCACAATCTGCTCGTGGCACTCCCTACGGGTCTCGGTAAGACGTTCATCGCCGCTACAATTATGCTCAACTGGTATCGGTGGACGCAGCAAACCCAAATAGTATTCGTTGCGCCGACAAAACCCTTGGTAGCGCAGCAGATTGACGCGTGTTTCAATATCGCAGGTATTCCACGGTCGCAGACTACCCTTTTGACTGGCGAGATACAGCCTGCAATAAGAGCAGAAGAGTGGCAGGAGAAAAGGGTGTTCTTCATGACACCACAGACACTCATCAACGATCTGAAGACCGGTATCGCTGACCCCAAGAAGATTGTCCTTCTCGTGGTCGACGAAGCGCACAAAGCGACCGGAGGTTATGCATACGTCGAGGTCGTCAAGTTTCTCCAGCGCTTCAACACAAGCTTCAGGGTGCTGGCATTGACAGCCACACCTGGTTCAACAGTTGAGTCTGTCCAGCAGGTCATTAATGGCCTCAACATCTCTCGCATCGAGATCCGCACGGAGGATTCTATCGACATCCGCCAGTACGTACACTCTCGCGATGAAAACCTGGAGGTCTTCGAGTACTCGTTGGAGATCCTAGAAATGCTCGATTTGTTCAGACTTGCTTGTCAGCCACTGCAGAATGTCATGCTTCGGCATCGTGCAACGTGGTGCAAAGATCCGACGGAGAACACATTGTTTGGCCTGAAGAAGTCCTACGATGAATGGAAAAAGTCCGAGGCCGGCAAAGCCGCTCCTGACTCTGTCAAGTGGCCATTGATGAAAGTCTTCCAGGTTATGATGTCGTTGGCCAATAGTATCGACCTACTCAAGTTTCACGGCATTGGGCCTTCTACTCAAAGATGAAGATCTTCGATGACGAGTCGTACGGAGGCGGCAAGTACGCTAAGCAAGTCGTTGAACACCAGGCCTTCAAAGACATGATGACTCGGCTCAGACAGTGGGTCAACAACCCTGATTTCGTTGGCCATCCGAAGCTCGAGTACCTCAAGAGTGTAGCCCTCAACCATTTTATGGATGCAGGAGAGGGCAGAGGTGCAGCTGGCGGTCGACCTCCGTCAGAAACCCGTATTATGGTTTTCTCACACTATCGTGACTCTGCCGAGGAGATTGTCCGAACCCTGAAGAAGCATGAGCCGATGGTGAGACCTCACATCTTTGTTGGACAGTCGAGCACGAAGGGCTCGGAAGGCATGGACCAGAAGAAACAGCAAGATGTCATCAAGCAATTCAAAGCTGGAACATACAACGTGCTGGTCGCCACTTCGATCGGCGAAGAGGGACTCGACATTGGCGAAGTTGATTTGATTGTCTGCTACGATGCATCGAAGTCTCCGATCCGAATGCTGCAGCGCATGGGCCGAACGGGTCGAAAGCGAGCTGGCAATGTCCAGGTACTCCTGATGAAAGGCAAAGAAGAGGAAGCATTCGCTCGCGCCAAGGACAACTACCGCAAGATGCAAGAACTTATTGAGAGTGGGAAGGAATTCGAGTTCCATGAGGACAAGTCGCCACGGATTGTGCCTAAGGAGATACAACCTGTGGTCGACAAGCGGGTCGTTGAGATTCCACTCGAAAACACCCAAGATACCTCGATTGAGCCGAAGAAGCGGAAAGCAAAGAATGCCAAGAAGCCACCGAAGAAGTTCCATATGCCGGACGATGTTGAGACAGGCTTCAAATTTCTCGGAGCGGGCAAGTCGTCCAAGAAGCAGCAGATAGTCAAGCCAAAGCTCGACGATACTGTGGCTCCACTGCCACCTTTGGACCAGGTATTGCTGACGGCTGATGAGGAGGCCGAGCGTCAAGAGAAGCATGGCGAAGTTTCCGGAACGCAAACGCAGTACACGCAGATACCACGTCTCGATGCATACCCGGCATCTTACGTCAAGCTTGGTCGCATCGGCCGGGTCAAGCACTCCAGAGTAGCTCAGTCGTTGGCCACTACTTTGCAGAATATGAGATGCAGGACCCAGGGAGATTGTACGCCTCCGACGGAACAAGAGGTTGAAGCTGCGGTGCGAAATATCCCTACCCTAGCACAAGGGCCAGCTGCAGCCAAAAGATCAATAACGCATCGACGCAGTCCGAAGGCACATGCGAAGAATCCACCAAAAGTCCCGTCTTCCCGGACAGTGTCCCCACCCACCCTTGAGCACGACTATGGCGAGCTGGGCAGCTTCATCGACGACGCTCCGTGCATGACGCTGCGGATGAAGCCACCGACGCCACCAGTCCAGACATTATGCTGGGCACCTTCGATCTATCCTCCAAGGCGCCTGCAGCTTCAGCTAGCGAGCCATTCTGGATCTCGCAGCCAGAAAGAGATCAGACGAAGGACGTAGACGATGACATGCCTGACCTTGAGGACATTTTCGGGTTACCAGCCTCGCCGAAGGTGGCTAAGAGATCCACTGCGAAGACCAAAACGCCAGCTCGAGGGAAGAGACGAGTTATCGATAGTGATGATGACGATGAATGATGCGCTGCAACTCATCAGCCGAAAATGGTTGCAGGATGCCGGTATGGGAGGTGACCAGGGGACAACTCAGCCGAATTTGAAGGACTTATGCGGAACCAGATGGCGAAGATCCAGCCTGGCACTTGGTGCGACAACGCTGACTGCTTGGAGGACCTGCTCTCTCTCACCGTTCCATATTATCTGCCTCCCTTAGTTCAACGCATATGTGCATTGATGTATCGGATAGTCCTCATGTCGAAATATCGCTAATGCAAGCCCTGGCCGCGAGCCGCTTCCTCAGTCATGAGCCGCTATGTTATTCACTGCTCGCCCTTAGGCAACGTCACACCACTAAGATCACCGCCCCATCCCAGCCATAACCTGGCTTTGCATCTCCCTCTCCCTCCTCACACCCGTCAATGGCGCCACACTTCTCAGATCGCCCACCACGTCCTTTGCCTTCCCAAAATACACCTCCTGCAGCAAATTCCTCATCTTGCCCTCCATATCTTCCACCATCCGCCCGATATTCACGACATGCCCACCATCCTTCTGCAGCTGTCCTATACTCTCCACCGCCAGATCCGCCTCCACCTGCCTCGTCATGCTGCCCGCCAATTGTAGCCCATCACCTGACGTCGACGACCCTTCAAGTCCACTCTGCAAATGCAAGATCACCGTACTCGTCAACTTATAATGACTCGTCCCCCGACTCGCCGCCCCTCCTCCCCTCGCGCTCCGCTCATCCACCTCAAACACATGCACGCTATCCCACGCCGCCTTACTCCCACTTCCCCTACCCTTCCCGCCAGTCTCCTTCTTCAACAACACCACCCCTGCAAACCCCTCATCCAGATCCCACAAATACACACTCCCTATCGCCGCCCCTCCCCCTTGGTTCCCACTTTCCGACTCCGTCCCCTCGTAGTACATCTGCCGATACACATCGAAACTCGCATTGCACTCGACCTCCATCTTGCGCACCCTCTCGCTCGGGTACGTGGCGTCGGCTTCTTCGGATGGTGGTAAGGGAGGGTAGAACTTGTTGGACCATGGCGAGCGGTAGGAGTCGCCGTCGCGGTTGTAGTCGCAGAGGAGGAAGGTGCGGGAGGTGGAGGGGTCGGTGGTCGAGGTGAGGGGCTGGTCGACGGAGGAGAGGAGGTCTAGGTTAGGGAAGGGGTGAGGGTTGTGAGGTTCTGGAGGTGGGTTGGGATTTGGGTTGGTGGGAGGCGGCGGAGGAGGTCGCTGTGGAGGGATTTGTTAGTATAGGGCAATAATGAAATGTCTAGGCGGTTGGGTGCTGCGGAGGGTGAGGATGCTTACAGTGCGGCATCGAACTGGGCGTCGGAGGTCATGGTGAGAGAGGCACCCTGACGGTGCAAGGAGTAGTCAGTGCTTCGCTCTGGTATTGCAGTCGGGTGCTCCGGCCTGTGGTGAGGTGTGCTTGCTTGGAGATGAATGAGGGCATGTTGAATGCTTGGAGGCTACCCAGAATGCGGCCGGATGTAGCAGCAACTACCTCCGGTAGCTCCAGCTTCTTCGTCGTTGATTCCATTCGATAGCTTGGGTTGTCCCTTCACTTTGAAACAAACAAGCATACTTCACCGCCCTGGACTGTTTTGGTTTCCCTACGCGCAAATGACGATTTGCAGAACGCAAGCTACAGGGTCAAGGATGATAGCGCTTCAGAGACCTACAACGCCAACGCGTCTAAGAGTCATCGAGGGCCGTGACCCAGTCTCTAGGCCTCTCACCAGCCTCTGACCAGCCTCTGGACTGCACCGCCAAATGGCGGATGGATGCGAGGATGCTTACTGCATCGATGGTCTCGCTTCTCGATTCAGATATCCTGGTCTGGATGTCTTCTGGTGGGACAGCGCTTTGGCAGCACTAAAGCTACGACATCCCGTTGAGTTTCAGTACCTGTGGCACAATTCAACAGAGACTAAAGGAGTGACTGTCATGTATTCGTCTACGTAAGTGTCGTTGTTCGTCGTTATGATACTCAAAGGAGTGAATGTCACGTCGCTATGCCCAGCACCTGCCCTGGCGCTTTTTATGCCGCTTTCACTCTTCTTCCTCATTCAGAACTGTCGTCGATTTTGGGTACAGCTCGATCAGCATGCCATCATCGTCTTGTACGTTCGGTGCGCTTTCTGCCTCGAAGTCCGACGTCCAACACGATGCACTTGACTGACAGCAGGTGCAACCTTGAAAGCTAAAGCAGCCGTCTTCATCGAACGCGCCTGCCATCACTCTGCTGACTGCTGGAACTTTGTCTGGGCAATCCCAGAATCTTGGATTGTGATCCTCGAAAGCCTCTGTCGTCGAAATGAGAATGATGATGGCAGTGAGCATGCCAACGGCGAAGCTTCCAGCCTTCATAATCGATATATCAGCAGATTTGCTCGCGACTATATTTCCTGCAGCGTTGGTTGACGATTGCTAGCATCTGAAGCCGGTCGATGCGCAGTGTTGTGGGACGCAGAGGATCCTGGCGATGAGTACCAGTCCTTCGCTGCAGAGTTTTCGATCGTGGGGTCCTCCAGCTGGGTGCCTTTCGCTGGTGCGACACCTTGGTCTGATGGCTTTCTACAAGTATCCAATGTCACAGGACTCACGGAAGGTGGCACTCTTTTGGCACATTGCGGTTACATGCCTGACCCTCAAGTATGACGACTCGACTCTGACTGTATTGATGCAACTGGTCAGCATACGTACCGCCGGGCTGCGAGGACCATTGTTGGCCGAGACAGTCCCCAAGGCTCTCCAATCATGTCTGTTTGATGACGGCCGACTGCTCATGGGATTCTCAAACACGGTGCTGACATGGGGTTTGATCATGCACATTCGCATTTCTTACTGCCTGATAGGGTTCTGCTTTCGTACAGGCTCTTCAGCGTTTATGGATGTTTCATCCGACCGGCGGGAGAACGATGTCAGCATGCCAAGTCCGCTCCGCTTGCAGTTGTGCGATGAGTCCAGCTGTTGACTTCTCGTACATAGGTCGGCCTGAACTCAAGCACAGCGCACGGTTCTCATCATCTCGCCCAATTTGGATGCAATGCGCGATTCTGGACCCAGATACGCTTGTCCATGACGACTGGCCACAGCCAAATTGTGAGAAGGCCTGCCTGGGATGTCTACAGATCTGCATCAAACATGGGAAAACGGCCTCGCGACGATCCCCAGGTAATGAGTGGTTGGGAACGACTCCATTGCCTGCGAAGTAAATGCTGACCACCTTCTGGACCAATGTCCTGAGCCCTTCTCTGAGCTCACCCACATTTCAGTCACTCGAGTTGCGAACACGATCACTGCTACATGGAAAAGTGGGCAGAGTCATGATGCGCATCATCACAACTGAGTCTGGAAGGATGATCGGACAGTCCGAGTACAACAAGGAATTCAACACATTGGCTCAGAGCGCTCTGTATGAAGTGGTCGCAGCAGTGCTGTAGATCTCGAGACATGAACCTGTTCGTGTACACGTGTTGTTAGGACAGGTCAAGCATATCTCGTATGCTGCTTCTGATGTTATTGCCCAATGACCAAAGTCCCTGCATTGGCGCATTTGGGAAGACTAAAGTCCTCGGCATGCACTCAAGTCAAAAGTCCTTGCCAAGCCTCACCCTCTTTCCATACAGGCGGTGGCGGGCGCTTAGACAGTACGCTGCAACATTCATCCAATGATGCTTCCCCCGACTGCTCAAGGTAGTCGAGGACTTGAAGACTCTTCAATGCATTCCAAGATCGAGCACTCCGATTCAATGATGAACATTGGGAGAGAGCAGCATGATATCTCAACGCCGAAGCCGACCCCCTAAGAATGATTCACAGCGCCGTCAAGAAGGCTTCGAGAAGCGCAAGAACGGCTTGAGCCCCACAAGGCTGCCTTCCCGGGTGCCAACATTCCGGTATGAGCCATTGGACTCCTCACAGGACTCTTTCCGACTACTTCACCTCCTGCCAGGAGAGAAAGGTGATGAGATATAGTGCAAGCTCGCAAATGAATCCATCTCGAAGCAGGCCGGAAGATACACCACGGGGTCCTACGTTTGGGGTTCCAAAGAAAATCAGCCAGCCATATTGCTTAACGGGCACAGCTTCAATATCACCCTCAACCTGTTCGAATTCCTTCTAGCGTGCCGACATCAGCACAAGGGCGACACACTACTTTTGTGGATCGACGCCATATGTATAAACCAGAACGATGTTTACGAGCGGAGCTCTCAGGTCTCGATGATGGGCCAGATCTACTCTAACGGAAGATGTACCTACGCGTGGATGGGCCAACACGGAGGAGACAGTGAGTGGCTGTTTGAAACGCTGGACAATGGCTCGACGAGCGACTTCTTGCAGCGCAAGAGAGAGGGCCATCGGGAATATTTGCGGCGCATCGAAAAGAAATCAAAGACAGAAAGCATTTTTGCGCTTCCGCTTCATTTGAGAGGACTACCGTACCTTAGCAGTGTCGAGATAGGGCTATACGAACGAGTCATATCAGCAATCCTGGCCTTGGCCTCACGCGAATACTGGACAAGGATATGGATAGTGCAAGAAGTGATCTTATCCACCAATGTCAGAGTACTTTGTGGAACACAATCCCTCTCACTACTCGATTTGGACATGCACCACCACTTACGAGTGTACCAATCCTTGTTGCCGAGGGGACAGCACCCAGATCCCCGGCGACTTGCTTCTCTGATCGACTCAAACCTCTTGCGATTTGCCTCCGCGTCTTGCGAGGAATGCGAGATTGGCTCTAGGAGTGCCTTCCGACCACTTGCGGATTTCAAGACTATATACACAGAGTTTGGCCACCTTCGGTGCAGCTTGCCCCATGATTCAATCTTTGCTCTGGCAGGCATAGCCCAAGCCCGCGACCGCTATGCGCTATGGGTCAAGATTGATTATAGCTGTTCAGTGCGTACGTTGGTCTCCGACGTACTCCTGACATTCGACCTCTGTGCACCCACTGATCTGCTTGTCAGAATCTTGCTTGCTTCCCAGCCAGCAGCTGTGGACATTGCTAGCTGGCATGGCACTAGCGTAGAATCTCCTTGCCTTTTCCTTTTCGGAGAGGAGCGAGGTGGCGTCCGCAAGACTTCCGGGACCTGCAGAAGCAGGTGCCTCATAAATGGATCTCGTCGGATCTCAACGTCGATGTGTATCACTGTCTACGCCGGCATACATCCGATCTCTATTACTTCTACCTGGAGGCATATGTGCCACATAACCGAGAAGACGAGCTGTTCAGCCTTGGTAATGGCATCAGTATCATTGCTCGGCACTCGCCCCTGAATTCTATACAGGTCGTTGGCATAGGTCTCTGCATCGATGAGGTCCAGAACTCCAGCGACCTCACCCGCCGTCTCACTACAAGTCAGCCACGCGGTGAGGTGTCTGACATGCAGCGCTTAGACCTGAAGCCCGAAGCGTTACTTCCGTTTGTTTTCGCAAACACGCGTCGCTGTTTGCAGAGCGCAATCGTAACCTCTGGGCTTCCGACGAACTCCAAACACATGCCATCGAGGATTAGAGAGACACCCAAGATCGAGGTCGATTGGAAAAGTTTCGTGGGATTAGCTTGGACCTTGTATCCTCTTGTCCAAGCACCCCAAGGCGGTGATCGCTGGCGTGTCGAAGGATCTCGTCGGTACTGGGAGCGGCAGACTTCAGCGATGCTCAGTCTCTTCGGTTGACTTCTGAAGATTCGGGTTAGAGACAAGTCTCCTGACGACCCAGCCATGTTCCACTGGTTATTCGCTTACAGGCACGGTAAGACGAACTTGCGCAATCGACCGTCTGTGGAAGCGGCCTTGGGTCCACAGACTCTGACCTGATGGTGACGAGTAGTCTATACGAAGAGACCTGGCAGAAAGGAGACCTACTGACACTGCGGCTATGACCTGCTGGGCACTATGCGGGAATCATGTGTTGATGGTTGCGCATACCTGTTGGGATAGGCGTCTGACGCTGCTTAGCGATGTACGGTGCTTTTCAATAGTTTCAGACGATTCCTCTGAGTCGCTGCATCTATTCATCCAGAGAAGAAGCAGCTCCGACCGAATGCCAATCATTTGACTCACCTTCCTCCCATGCAGTCCAAGTACAGGTGAACGCCGCCCCTTCGCTACAAAGAGCTCAACAGACTAACCATACCCACACTATCATAATCCTCCCTCCTCAGAAGATACGGCCTAATCTCCTCCTTCCGCACGCCCCTCAACCCACTCGCCTCCCCAGCAGCACCACTCCCGCCCTTGATCCGCTCCTTAAGCGCCTCGGGCTTCAACACGAACAAACTCGCCAGCTCCGTCAACACCTCCAATCCCACCGTGAACTCCTCTCCTAGCTTCCATCCCCTCAGAAGATCTACGTATCGGGACATGTCTCGTGCTAGCACCACGCCGCCAACTTCACTGACCTGCCATTTCCGGAAATGTCGATAAGTAACTGCGTACGCGACGGCGACTTCCGATAGCAAGACTTTGAGATTGGCGCCATCAAGGGACTGCTCCGCCAAACCCTGAAAACCTGATGGTCCAGCGCCCAAGAAGCGAATGATATCCGCGCAAGTCTGCGTTTGGGGTCTGTTCATTGCATCAGTCTCTTGTTCCGGCCTCGGTCGGAAATCCGTGCGTTGTTGTCCACCCAAGCAGCGCCCGACCCAGTTCAGGACAGCGTCGACGGTGGCCTGCTCGATGTTGTTGATCGTGTCCTCGCCCCGAGCGATGGCGGCGCGGCGGGATTTCTCCATGTCGCGGCGTATGGTTAGGGACGTGGATGCTAGTGGGATGAGGAGCGTATTGATGCAGGACTGCATGAGGTGCATGCAGGAGACAGCGGTGCGCAAGTGGGCGAGGTAGCTCAGGTCAGGCTCGCGTTTTGAGGACTCGGCAGCGGAAGCCGCTTCAGCGGCTGCGTCGAGAGCGAGCTCAATATACCGTTCGCCCATGTTCGTCAAGAGGAGGGTGTGCAGCGCGAGCACGTCTTTGGGCGTCTCGTTGCCGCCGGAGAGCTCGAGGCCGCGGCGCACACCTTCGGCCAGCCATTTGAGCATGCGTTGCGCGTAAGGGACGGAAAGGCGGCCGTCGGTCTCAGTGAGTTCGATTTCGCCGTTCTGTTGCGTTTTGGAGTCTTTGATGCCGGCGACGGAGAGCAGCATACGGCGTTGGGTGGGCGACATTTTCTCGAGGTCGAGTGATTTTACGTAGCGTCAGTGGCTTCACGGGCGGAGGCGAGAAGTTCTTGGCCGCGGTTGCGGAGGGAGGCGAGGTATGTTTTGGGTTCTTTTTGGCGACGGGAGTGGAAAAGGTCGAATTTGAAAAGAAGGGACTTGTATAGCTCAGAGAGGTTGGACTTTTCTTTGTCGATGTAGCGGATCCGCCAAAGTAGGGTGTGAAGAGTTCTTCGAGTTGTTGGTCGAGGAGGTGGGAGGTCTGGGACGAGGCCGTCTCGGGATGGTCGAGTAGGCCGTGGGCTTTGAGGTCTTCGACTAGGACATTCAGGTAGCCTCTTGCGGCTTGTAACGATCGTAGGTACGCGAGTGTGGATTCTGAGTCGGCCTTTTCCAGAACGAGCTCAAGCCGTTGTTGTATTGACTGCTGGAAGACGCGCTGAATGAATTTTCCGAGGACTTGTTCGGGGAAGGGGAAGGCACGTTTGATGATGGCAGACTCCTCTTGGATGACGACTTTGACCTCGTCTATAAGGGACTGCAGACCAGGCTCGATGCCTGGCAGCTCGCCGTCAGGGTCAGATAGTCTCATCCACGTTTCTTGATCTACAGCAATCTCTTCTGTGATCAGATTGGTCCGGTCGATGAAGAACTGATGCTGGTTCACAAATGCTGCTTGTACTGAGGCACCGCCATTGAAGTCCTGCAGGATGATGGCGCAATTCTTCATTTCCTCGAAATTCTGCCGCCTGTAGAAGTCGTCGAACAGTTTTAGCATGTCGTTCTCCAGGGTCTCGATGAACTTTTCGATGACCTCTCGGGAGTTGATCTCCCGTTTTCCTACGATACCATTCGTGACTCCATTCGTGCTGGCATACTTTACGGAGGGATCTGTCTTCGGATCCAACCTTTGACTGATCCGCAGCAGTTGGCGGGCGATGTTGGCAGCCTGATGATGCCCTCGCCCGTTGCCGACCGCCGTAGATTCTCCAGCAGCGTGATCTCGCCTCTGTTGCTGACTTCGTCCCAGCACTCAATCAGGAAGTGGGCGTCCATAGCACGTTTCCTTTGCCGATCCAGATCTTCTAGCTTCTTTCCCGTCTCGACAGCCATATTGCCACCCCATTTGTCCCCTCGTTCTGACAAGCTCGTGTCCAATTTGTTGAAACTCTCAATCGTCTGATTCAACTTCCGGCCCAGCTGTTCCACATTGTTGGTGTGGTTGGCCTCGGCCCTCCGTACCGCCGTAGTGAGCTCATTCTCTTTGCCCTCGAGGTCTTCCGACAGCTCGTTCAGGCGCCGTGCCGCTTGCTCGAACGACCTGATCAGTGGCTTGGGATCAAACTGCGCACTGGGTGTCGTGCCCTGATTTGACCTGCGGCTACCGGTCTGTGCAGACTCGGTCAGGCTTTCTATGAAGTCCTTGACAATGAAGTCTTTCGAGGAGAAGTTGTCGAGTGTAAAGACTGGCCCTTTGGGGAATATGGTCCGGCCACTTGCGGAGTGATTGAGGTACGAGGCTCGGTCGGTCATCTTTGCGGCCGAGTTGGTAGCATATTGGCACGCGAGTCGACGAGGTCACGCGGCTGGTCGGTGTAGGAGATCGGTAGTGCTGAAGCTGTGCCTATAATTTGTTCATGGTTGCTCCTACTTGCGCCAACCGAAGTGTTGCGCTCTTGCATAGGCGGACGACATGGTGGTGGTGTCTATCTCCGGCAATGTCCGGCATATATCATTCACTGCCTGTCGTTCGGAGGCTGGAGGCATACGATCTTGGACAAGACAATCACGGCAATTGCGAGGTAGTCACACATTTGGCTATGTCTATAAAAGTCCATGTACCAGCATCCAAGGATCCGGAGTAGAAAGTCCTTCCTGGCTTGCCCGCCCTGCTATATCGGTGCGGTTTGTTGTACACCTGTCCGTCTCTGTCGACCTCGCTGCGGTTTTGCAGTCTCGTCTTCTGATGTTGTACATTCTTTCGTGTCGCACTTCGAGCTACCTCGCACGCGCCTCGAATCTTAGCTCTACAGCAGCCACGCATTCAGACGCTCGGCGCAACAAGCGGTTCGATGCCCATTCATGCGAGTCCCGGCTCGGTGCTTCGTGACTGCTCCACGGTGCTGAAGTGAACGTGGCTTGCCCCAAGTTTCCGAGGCACACTGCAGGCTGCTGCAGCATTTCCTCCACGCAACTTCGCCACCTATCCAGTCGTGCAGCTGTCATATTTTGAATCCATAACCCGCCATACACTCCTTGTATCTCACAACCATTCCCTTGCAATCTTCTTGCGGGTCATCCGCCCTCGAGAACAGCATGCACTCATCTCGTTTCGATTTCTCTTCCGTGCATACACAACATGGCTTGACTTTCTGTGCTGGTTTGGAATCTGTGTCCTTGAGCGAGCTGGCGAGATTGTCGGGTCGTGAAGGCTGCGAGACCACTGATATACGTGTCAGCGAGCTGGAGGCGGACTAGTGTGAGGTGAGTGCGCTGCCATTACACATGTACTTACCTGGTGTCGCCTCAACCTTTGGGCTGGAAGAACCAAAGAACCACGACATCTTGGCGACGAAGACAGATCGATGACAGTGATGCGTATCTCGGAGTTAATTGTCTAGTTGCGTACCTGATCCGAATGACTGCAGACGTGGAAAGTTGATGCTTGGAAATCAGAGCACTTGGGAAAGTTGAAGTCGATGATGGAATTGGAGAAGCCGGCTCAAGGTAAGCCGGTTGACAAGAGTATATTTGCTTGACCGTGACTAGCCGGTTGAGAATGGGCTTGGATGAACGTTCCAGATTCAAGAATGACATTCATCTTACCTTAACTCGTCGCTCCACTAGAAGATGTGAGTGATCACGGGCATTATTGTCGATGAAGACGTGGTGATTACACACCTACGTGTTGGCCACTTACCCTCACACGAAATGCTGTGTTGGCGACTGTCCATCCTTGATTCGACCCTTCCCACAAATATGACCCTGCGACCGCGCAGCTAGGTAGGTGACGAGTTTCTGGGACGTCGAGGCTGTACCTTCCACCTTGTGCCGCTCAGGCGAGAGAAGCTGCGATGACTCGGAGCGGCATGGGCAAGTGAGTGCTGCTGCCCGATCGAGAGGCACTTCGAAGCGCCTGCCGACCACCGTGCAATGCTATGGGAAGGAGCAGAACCGGTGTGAGGCTTGCTTTGTTCGTGTCTCAATGCGTAGATTCTTGAGCTCAGCTCTCGCATGCAGAGACGACCACTTTCTCTCAACGCTTTTGGGTAGTATCCTATCAACTGACCACCTTCACTCGTTGAGTTCCATCACAAACATCTTTTTCCCAGGCATCTTGCTCCAGCATGGACTCCTCACGCCTTGATCCCAGAGCGGATCTCGTGGCTCCCGTCTTTGATCACAGAGCCTTCCATTCCCGACCGAAGTCTACACTCACCGACCATGACAACAAACGAGCTTCAGCAGTCAGCATGCCACCCGCAATGTTCCCGAAGAAACGACCATGCTACGACTGGATCTTTTCGAGTGCCTCCAACGTCCACATCGCAGTCGACAGATCGGCCTTCAAGACTTATATTCCATTCCGAACCTACGTCCTCGCAATTGCAGATCAACGCCAGGTCCCAGCCAAAGGCATCGGAACCGTCGAGCTGAAGATCAAACGTCAGCCTGGCTCAAGAGAATCACATCGAGTCGTCCTCGAGAATGTCCTATACGTTCCCAGCTGGCTCTGCAACATCATCTCCGACACACACTTCACTCCTGCGCAAGAATTTGAGCACAATTGGGGTGAGTTCGGGGTCAACTTCCAACAGCGGAAGGACGGTATCTGGAAGCCATGGGGCTACACTGAAGGCTTCTGTGGTCTCGAGCGCCTTGTCCTGTATCGAGACTTGCAAGGCCGTAGTCCTATGCTGGAAGACAAAGATCGAGAAGTCTTCTCTGTCAACGTCTCTTGGCCGCAGCATCAACGAGACAAGTGGACGCAAATAGTCGAACAGGAACAGCGTAGGGTTGCCAAGGAGAAGGAGGCAGAAGCTGCGAAGCTCGCACAGAAGCTGGCAGAAGATGCTGTAAAGGAGGAGCAGAGGAAAGCTGCAGCCGCTGAGAAGGAAGCAGAGCAGGATAAGGAGAACGTCGATCCTGAGGACGTGGCAAAGCAGGACGAGCCACCGTTGCCTGAGTCGCCGACCCCAGCAGCTATTGCCAGAGTGAAGACTGTGGAGCGAATGTTGGTTGAGGTGGAGGCTGCCACAGTCAGCAAGACCGCGCATCGAGCTCACAGTCTTCGCATTGCAGGAAGGTCGGCTTTCCGCGAAGTCCTTCCATGGCGGAAAAGTGTCGACGTTGGAGACAGATGAGAGCGAACGTTAAAGGAACACAGATAGCCGCCCACACAGCCCGACCGATGGGCAGATTCCATCACCACCGGAGCATCACTTGAGTCTGTATAGTGGTACCAGTCTATAGCTGCCATACAAAGGGGTATCATAAATCATGCAATCGCCTCTCCCTGCATTCTCGACTTCCTGCTTCCACTCAATGCACAAGCCTAACCTCCCTCCCCGGCTCCCAATCCTTCAACGCCTGCTCTAGGCTGACCCAATACTTCAACCTGACACACTCCACTTTCGCCCGTTCCACATCCCCTTCCTCAAAGGCCTTGCCCATGACCTCCTCCGTCCTCCTCATCCTCTCCGCATTCTCCTTCTTTAAACCCTCCACCTGCTCTTCACTGCTTGCCTCCTCCACGCTCTCCTGCGCCTCCATGACCTCCATCAACGTAGTCTGATCAGTCACATTCTGCGAGTTGTCTTCGTTCGTGACATCGATACCGTGTTGAGTGTCGAGGAGATATTGCGCGCGGAGCAAGGGGGACGAGAGGGTGTGGTAGGCGGTGTTCAGGAGGGAAGAGAGGCGCAGGTTTTGGGTGTGTAGCGGGGTGGATGTCTGCCTCCGCGCCAATCCTCCTCCCAACTTCGCTCCACCGCCGAAGAGCACGACTCCGACGATGACGGCATCCAAGGCGCCGACTCAATTTCGCCCGAGCAACCCGGCATCCTCTCCTCTTTCATCCCCTTCTCGAATTCCCGCTACGCCCGCCGCCGGCGCCAACAGGGCCTAGGTTTCACCCCTGACGCCCCGCTCCCGCCTGGCGTCGAGAAACCCGCCTTCTGGATCAAAGACACCGGGTCCCTTAAAGTCGAAGCCAAAGTCTGGCTCGCCAACCAAAGGACCTTCGTTAAATGGCAGCACATCGCCGTCCTCCTTGCCACTTTGAGTCTCGGCCTCTTCAACGCAGCAGGCAAGAACAACACCATAGCGCGAGCGCTAGCGGTCGTGTACACCTGCTTCGCAGTGTTTGCTGGCGTCTGGGGCTGGGGCGTGTATATGTGGCGGAGTAAGCTGATTACGGAGAGGTCAGGGAAGGATTTCGATAATATGGTGGGCCCGATTGTGGTAAGCCTGGGGCTGGCGGCGGCGTTGGTGCTGAATTTTGCGTTCAAGTATAATGCTGTGGTGGCGGAGAAGGGGGATCGGAATGAGACAGTGGTGCAGTATCTGATGGGGCCATCGAGGGCGGAGAGGTATCTATTGACGGTGCAGGGGTAGGCTTGGGTGGCTCGGGAGCAGGTCTGCGACGAGGAGAAGCTTCGAGATGCAAGACGGGGTAGCTCATCGGCAGAGCTGGATCCCGCATAGGAGGTGGACTTTGGGCATTGTGTTGATATGCGAGCCTGTACAGGAGCTCGTTTTGCTACAGTAAAATGAAAACACGTTCAGTCTTTCAGCCTCGGACCAGGCACTTCTATCGCATTATTCTCCCTGCGGAAGTCACGCCCATCGCTGCATCAACAACCAAGGCTACCGTGCGCTCGAAAATTTGCCGTCGCTCCTTCCCTTCACAACTCATGGACCTCGCTATTCTCCCATCACTACTTCACCAAAGGTTCTGGACTTGCACTAAATTGGCGTCCCCGTCGGGTACGACAGAGATGGCGGTGGTGGGTGAGAGAAGGCCACAGACCTGTTGTGTAACGTGTGTGTCGTCATGAAAGCCATCATCCGAACTCACCGAACTGTGTCATCACTGGCCATCCTCTACCGATCTTGACCATCCTCCTGTGGCTCGCCACTTATTCTCCCACACCGGGCTCCGACCGCGATCCCTGCGTACAACCAAGTCAGCATGGAAGTCAACCTCTGTTCACATGGTCTAAGAGAGTGTGAAGAGAACAGCGCGTATTCAGACTGCTAAAGGTTCGTTTTGTCAGATGTCGGATTTGCAAGCGTCCGCTACTTACCTGGAAGCGGACGCTCTCACCTCGACAATGTCGAAAATTGCCGATTGTTTGACGTTGTCATCATTGCGTTGGGATGGGAAGATGGAGTTGATGCAAGGGCGTTGACTTACAGTTGCGCTTCGGTTCGTAATATCGTTGCGAATGGCAAGACTGTGGGGTTTGTTGGTGTCTTTTGTACTGTATCACTCAAACATTAGCAAACCGACCCACAAAGGACCTGCAAGAAACGGCGCATTCTGTGCTCTTCATGCTCAGCAAGCCACAATCTGCTTGGTATGGCCTCAGAGTGTGAAGGCCTCAGAGTCTAATTAAATGTGTCAATGAACGCCTTGCAGCTGTTCTTGAGTTGATCGTGTCATCACTGGCCAAAGGCGAGCAGGCGTGCTGCGGGCGGAAGATGGACCGGAAGGGTGATGGTCGAGGCGATGGGTTGACTTACTGTTCTCCCGCGGTTTGCTGCTGTCGAGCAAGGGACCGCATAAGACTGGACTGGAGATCGACGTTGTAGGAAGGACGCCGGCAATCGCCTCAGAAAACACTATCATTTGGAAGCATCACAGGACGCCAGCAGGCTGATCCTCAGCTTTCCCCTGCTTGAGTCTGATCATCATTGGCCAACTGCAACGACGCACTCATTGTACTTCGCAGCAACATCCTTCATCGCGGGTCTATGATCGTTAGCAGATGCGATGAACGAAGAGAGAAGGCGCAGGAACACGTACCTCGCCTGCATGGCTGTCATTGGACTACAGACGTCTCTGCTGGCGGACTGCCCGAGAATGGCATCGTACTTACTGATGCTTGCCGTGGAGACCAGTCCTGCCCGCGATGAATGCACTCGCGTATGCAAGTACAACACCATTCCGCTCCATCTCAGCCCAGTGTTGCCAGCGTATGCCTGCAGAGCACGTAGTGACCTCGACTTCTCAGCATCTGTGACAGCGTGTTCGCTGGGACGAAGCAGCGCAGCTTTTCAACGCCCTCTCAGGCACGACAATGTCCTGACTGCGAATACCGATGAGTGCCGATGATATTGCGATGTTCTGGTCAGATGTGGCCTCAGAAATTAAAACATACTTGGAGGTCACTGGACGCCGATTGGCTAATCCTACCTCTTGCGCTATCATCATCACCGGCCGTATCATTGTCCTCAGTCCCACAAAGCCTCAGAAGCCACGATAAGGATCGCCATCGACTACTCGACCGCGAGGTCTTTCGTCAATGCCGAAGGTCCCAACAAGCTCGATCATCTCAAGCCGTTCCTAAGTCTCAACACAACCACAGTTGCGTGAACGCAACACATCGAAGAAGTCATCACAGTGCTGACAAGGCAAACTGCGCGAGGCATTCAGCGCCCCAAACTACTCTGCCAGACCGAACTGCCGCCCTCAATGACGACAAACAAGGCTTGACATTTCATAAGATTTATCACCAGTTCTCCGTAACTACTCCGGCATGACAAAGACACGTCCTGAGTAGCCAGCAGAGGTGGTACGCCACTCATGCCTGACTCTTCGATGGCCAGGTTTGACCTTGTTGGACCAATTTCCGCCGTACCAAGTCACCGGAAAAGCACGATGCTGATCGTCTGTGAAAAGGCAAGAGTACTCTTGACAAGGTCCACAGGAGCACTCACCAACGCGAGAATGCTACTGCCCTAGCGAGGTTGGCTTTGACGCCCAGTCGGATTCCCTCGGTAATCGGCGTGCTGGTTGGAAAAAAAAAGAAGAGAAGGTTGTGGTCGCGAGGGTGGGCGCTAAATAGACCAAAAGATGAAGTGCGAGTCAGAGTGCCAAGACATCAAGGAGTCACGCGTTCGGTTTTGGGCGGAAGGAGCAACGAGCATTTCACTTGAAAGTGCAAAGCAAGGAGCACGAGGCTGCACATGACACTAACTCCGGACCTGGCGCAAATGGGGAATGCAGAAAGTCTGGCACAGGCACGACACGAACAGATGTCTGCGGTCTTTGCAAAAAGCAATAACATAAACTCCCACACCAGAGATGAGGCTTCATCGACTGTCGCCTGCTAACAGTCTCCGCCCCGCCTCCGATGTCCCACGAGAGTGAAATCCGCACACGCCTCAGGCACTATATACTCTACATCCTTCGCTTATCTCGCACCCTCGTTGAGCTTAAGGCTCAATGAGGGCTGTCAACTTTTATCCCCAAGATGGCGTTTTATGTGCGGATTTGAATCAGATTTCACAATCAAGAATATATAACCATGGCAACTGAAGTGGCGAGGCTGCACAGAGTGTGCAAGGCTGTCCCGAAGTCCTTCTGAACATGACGGTCATATTTCCGAGCTCTCTGGATTCGCACCATCATATCGGACAAAGATCCTCACTACGCAGCGCTCGTGCCAAGCCTGTCTCAATCAGATTGAAAGCTGGCCCTTTGGAAAGCTGATGTAAGGGGCATAGCTACGAGCGAGTGTTGGAGAGAAGTCTACGCTGGTGCCTCGTTGGGACTCAATACATCAGCAGGCAGGGCAATTTCGATCATGTTGTCGACATTAGCATATTTGCTCTTCAACGATCGAACAACTATGCTGAGTGAGAAGATGCAATGTCCAGGGGGATTTTCGGGGAGCTGGATAGCATAGGAAAGCTTGCGCGAGTCCAGCGTAGGCCTGGATGAACAACAGATTTCAACTTGCGAAAAGCTGGGTCAGGCTTATTGCTGATCAATCTAGGATGGTTGCCTGTGTCCGCGAGATGAGAGATATCAATGTGGAAGCCTCGATCTCAATATCAGAGCTTCGTTCACCCCATCGGCGCGTTTCCTGAAGGTCGGTCCTATGCCTCCCAACGACGAACGACAGCGAGTGGCGGCGAGGGGCGGGACCATTAGCATGGTCCCAATATAGACGTCCGTAACCACATCGATTTAAGCTTAACTGTGCAAGCTGCGCCCTCGTGGTCCGCAAAGACCATCCCGCTGGCGTGTTATGGTCGGTGTCGTGGTCGTGGAGACAGCGTCGTTCACTTAAGGTAGTTGCCGGAGATTGAAGAATTATTTCCGGCCGAACTTTTGGGAATGCGGAGAAAATTGAGTCTCCAAAAAGATTTCCGAATTGTTCACCTCGATCCAGGAACAAATTCCAGACCACACATCTCCTCCCGTAGCCATGGCATCAGCGTACCGCAATGCAGGCCGCGTGAGCGACGAATCCGAAAGCGATGAGCTCATGTTCGATGTCGAGCAAAGCGATGCCTCATCCGTCTCCGGCGCATCAGAGCCCACCTCAGATTCAGAAGATGGGACCACTACGCCAGTAGCGAAACTTGTCCAGCTTCCGGCCGAGCTCCGCAACAGAATATTGATGCTCACCTCGCGTGGCGTCTCTCACCGGTATGTCGTTTACACGCAATGCCTGGAATTCCTGCTGACCTTCCTCGAAGACAGCGGCACCTGCTCAACGACCTGTCCGCCCTCCTCCCTCACACAAAACGAGATACCAAGCTCGACACCAAATCCAATAACAACTACAACTCCTCCCTCAACGCCCTCGCTGAGCTCCATTCCTGCAACTACATCTTCTTCCTCGAGGCGCGCAAGCATGCGCAAGATCTGTACCTCTGGCTGGCAGGAGCGCCGAATGGGCCGACCATAAAATTTAGCGTGTCAAACGTCCACACGATGGCAGAGCTGGGCTTTGAGGGCAATGTACTGAAAGGTGGGCGTGGGATCGTGGTCTTCGACAAAAGCTTTGACGGGGTGGTCCAGGGCGAGGAGGTCAGGGGACTGATGCGGGAGATGCTGAAGGGCGTGTTCTGTGTGCCCAAGAAGGGCGTCCGAGGGATGAAGCCGTTCATTGATCGTGTGATCGGCATTTACGGGCTAGACGGGAAGATCTGGATCAGAGTATATGAGATCCGTGATGGCAAAGACAAGAACGAGGCAGACGGTGCCGCTGAGGGAGGAAAGCTACTCGAGGTTGGCCCACGGCTGGTCCTCACGCCGGTGCTGGTGCAGGAGGGATCATTTGGCGGGCCGATCATCTACCAGAATTCGCTATTCGTCTCTGGCAACCAGATACGGAAGGAGGCTCGGGTGCAGAAGGCAAGCAAGTATGCGGCGAAGCGGAATCAAGTCGAGGAGAAAGCTGTGAAGCGCAAAGCGTTGGGTCTGGATTCGGGCACGCAGAGGCCGAGGAGTGCTGTGGACGATCGAGTGCTGTTCGGTTGAGCTACGTTGCTCCTCGTCGCACGATAGGTGGCAATAAGTACCTAGTATACCCTGCCGTTTCGCTGTCATGCATCTGATTGTCCTAAATACTGTCTGCATACACCGTAGTAGACCTTGGTAGATCATCTTGTAACGACCTCTGGGTCGTGTCTACTCGAATGCTTCAACAAGTGCCAAGCTGGTGAGCATGCCAAGACTTTTTGCGCCGCCGAATTTGGTGAATTTCCGGGCGAACTTCTAGAGACATTTCTCTTGTACAAACTCACGCCTGTACAGTATTCCATTGAAGCGGCGGTGGTGCAGTTGGCGCCCACGTTGAACGGCGTTGGACAATCGATCCCAAAAATGGCGGGCGTGGCGGACTTGATTGAACTTTGCTGCGTCATAATTGAAGATATTTACGGATCATTTCTTGCTGTAAGTCTTGGGAATGCGGAGGAGCAGCACGGACTCTGACATCGGCTCAGCATATCTTCAGCCAGCTTGCAACATATGGACGACTTCAGGTCGCGCAAGTGGCTCAACGATGTCGACTTCTGCCACGACAAGCCAAGATAGGCGTTGGCGCTCTGGTTCAGCTACGACTTCTTCAGCATCATACGTCTTCCGACGGAGTCTCTTCGTATCAAGTCAACCTGACGAACGCTTACAACATTCTCCGCATCGGCTCGCTGGTAGAGCGTGCTCGCCGAAAATGTGGCGATCTCGCAGCGGTCGTCCTCGAGTCGCTTGCGGCTAGAGGTTGTACTACTGTTCAGCAATTGCAGACGGCAGTCACAGAGGCAGCCCCTCACACAAATGGCAATCACCATGGCCAAAATGGAGATTCAGCATCTGCGAAGTTTCAATCTGCTGTACGAAGCCTGGTGAGGCACGATTTCGTTGAACGAGTGCGACCAGCTCACGTACAAATTCCGTATGATGTTCATCACTCAGCTGAGGCCTCTCAAGCACCAGTCAAGGCGGGCGGCAAGAAGGGCGAAGCTGAGCGTACCGCACGCGCTCAGAGGGTTGAAGCCGACATCGAACGGCGGCTGGACGGCTTCGTTTCGGAAGACGCCCTGGAGCATGCCTTCAACACTGCCGGCATAGACAAAGCCATTGAGGGCGAAGAAGAACTGCTCTTGTGTCCAAATTACGCATATTTTGTGAATATCGCGAGAGATTCAGCGGTCGTGCAGGACATCTCGAAGACCTTGGGCAAGACTCCATCACGGCTGATGGCAGGTATACTGAAGCAGATCCCTCTGCAAGTTGACCGCCATGAGCCGGATCCAAATCCTCGCCAAGAACTCCAAGCAGTAGCCATGTCGCGATTGCGGGACGACTTACAAGACCTGGGTCACGACGACATTATTGTGCAGACAAATGGCCACCACGATGTTGGCTCAACCAATGGCGTTGATACAAATGGTCTGCTAGAAGACGAAGACATCGAAGAAGGCCTCGAGGGCATTGCGGAGGGCCCTTACCCCTTCTTCCGGCACGACGAAGATACTAAGCAGTGGGCTTTGGACAAGTATGGTCTAGCAACGTGGGTACGAGATCGTGAAACCCTCCGCTTGATGCGTTCACGAGTCAGTAATATCGGCATGCGATTGGTACGAATGATGATCGACAAGGGCAAGCTCGATGAGAGAATACTTCTAGACTTAGGTCTAGTACATGCGAAGGAGATGAGGCAAGCATTGGCACAGTTGAAATCCATGGGCTTCATCGAGCTTCAAGAAGTGCCTCGAGAGCCGCATCGGCAGCCGAGCAGAACGATGTATCTCTGGTTCTTCGACCCGATTCGGGCCAGGAACGTCCTGCTGGGCGAGCTCTACAAAACGATGGCTAGGCTGTATGAGCGGCTGCAGACAGTGGAACGTGAGCGAATGAAGGCAACACTGGAGAAGGTCGAGCGAGATGATGTTCGAGACAGGGTAGATGAGGTCGTGTCGGGAAAGGAGATGGTCGAGCTCCGGCGATTCCAGGCCATGGAGAAATGGTTGCTGGCAGAGATCGGGCGGCTTGACGAGTCTGTAGCGCTGCTTCGAGACATCTGAGCAGGATTCAGCACACCTGTACTGCCATCATTGCAGCCTTCGAGCCAGGAAGCCACGAGTTGTAGGTGGCCTTCGTATGGTTGTAAATATTTGGAAAACCAGCTGGCAGCATCTTGACTGCCAAGGCGAGCTGTACGGGGCTCCACTTTCCCTGATGATTCGTCGTCTTCGACTTTTGGTTGCTCTCTATTCTGTGCACCTCAATGTCTTCCTTCCATCTCTTTCATTTTTCGCGCATATTGTTTGCTAGGTTCACTCATTACCTAGCTTGATTGCGACGGTCTGACTTCGATTGTAATATTTCTGAAGTATCAGTCGTTCGTTCGGTAGCTTCCTACAGACTGAGAAACGTCTTGCAGGACTATCGTCATCAATATGGCCGGCTCATCGAATGTTGGCGGCGCCCAGTCGCTGCTCAACCTCCTCAACTACGGCAACCCGAAGTCCTCTACGGCGACCTCGAATGCGCCTCCTCCGGCCTCACAGACACCGACACCAGCACCTGCGGCACAGGTCGATCTGTTGGCGATGCTACGGAAAGGAGCTACGCCTGTCCCCAGAGATGGAGATGCTGCGGCTGCTGCACCCGCGAAAGCTCAAGAGGCCAGCGACGAGGAGATGCTGAAGAAGCTCATCGGGCAGCGCCAGCCATCACGATCGACTCGAGAGGCTTCCAATGGTTCTCCTGCAACTCCGACCAAACATAATGGCGATGCTGTGGCAGAGCCTCCTCGCAGTAACGGCACCCAAGCTGGGCCAAAGACAGAGCCTCTTTTCACATACACCAACCCTTTCAAAGCTCTGCAAGAGTCCCGTAAAGCCACCCCCACTCAAGCTACTCCTCAAGCTACTCCTCAAGGGAAGGCTTCTCCTTCGCCCGTGTTCACGTCGCCCGCCGTCGATGCCCCAGCTTGGCCGCAAGAGTTTCCTCATCGTAGAATGCTGACTCCGCGGTCAGCATCTGCGAAGGCGGATAGGCTCGCTCGGCAGAACTCGGTCAAATCATCAGGCACTCCCGAACCAGTCGTGAAGGAAGAAGCTGCCGAAGCCTCGAACGCGGATTTACCTATCCGGTCGAAGGCGGTCGAAGAGGCTGAGAAGTCTCAGCCGGCTGAAGTGCCTGCTTCCATTCAAGAGAAAGCTACACTCGCGTCAGAGGAGGTTGGCTGGGAGAACCCGTCGAAAGACAGTCCACCTGGCGCTGCGGATGAGTGGGAGGATGCTGAAGAGTCTCCGAGCCCACAAGCTGAGCGCGGGAGCGTTCCGGTGTACAACTTTCCAATTCGCCCTTTCATTGCTTTGACACTCAATCTTGCGAGTCCGTCTGAAGTCACTGTTCGGGACGAGGGAGTCATGGAGATTTCTCGACTGAAGAAGGAATTCGACCAGCTTGATCGCTCGCTTGCGGCGGCTACAACCAAGTACATTGCTTATGCTCTTGTCAAGAACGGAGGCATTCGCATTATCCAGCAGGACAACGGCAGCGACAGACAGGTATTCAAGAATTCTGGCGACCGCGTCTTCAATGTCTCGTTCTGTACTACGGCTCACAATGCTCCTGCGTCGGATCATCAAGCTATTCTCGGTACCGGTGTTAGTGGAACTGTCTACTATGCGACAGTCTCCAAGGAGGGCAACGATCTGTTCGCGAAGAATGAATTGGACACAGAGATCCTGTCCTTCCCACCATGGCCGCCAGCTGATGAAGGTTCCGCTGGTGGTGTCTTGAAGACTCGAGCCAAGAAGAGCTCTCGGCATCCAGAGTACTTTGCCATTGGTCGTGGCAAGTCTATCCACATCATCTGGCCAGCGACTGCTATGTTCCCCAAATATGGTATTGGTGAGAAGGCTCGTGAGGTCGACATGGAGTTGCTGTACAAGGAGCGTAATCTCCAGATCGCCACTGGTAAGGCTGGCAAGGACTTCAGCTTCAGCGAAGATGACACTTTGATTGTTTCTCTCGACAAGACGGGTAGACTCCGTTTCTGGGACATCAGACCTCTCACCGACGATGCCAATGCTACGAGCGGCAGAATCGAGCCTGTCAAGGTTGATACACCTTTGCTTTCACTGATGACTGCTTCGCCATCTGAGAAATCGTGGCCCACGTCTGTTCTGTTGATCGATAAGGCTCGACCATACCTGAAAGGTGGTGCGCAGCGATATGTGCTCGTTGGGCTACGACAGAATCACACTCTTCAGCTCTGGGATATCGCACTGGGCAAAGCAGTTCAGGAACTCAACTTCCCTCACGAAAGCGAGACCGACGGTGTCTGCAGCGTCAATTATCACCCACAGAGTGGCTACATTGTCGTCGGTCATCCCACTCGCAACTCCATCTTCTTCATCCACCTTTCGGCGCCTCGTTATGCTGGTAGCTCCTCGACTGATCAAGCCACCTACGTGTCGATGATCGCGTCTAAGGACCCCGATGCGCCCAAACCCGAGTCGACAGCATGCATGAGCGCAGTCCGCGAGATCTCGTTTGCCTCCTTGGGCCAGCTTCGCAGTGTTGAGTTGCTATCACTCTACAAGGCGACCAAGACCGAGAAATCGGCCGATGACCCGCTGTTCGAGCTCTACGTCGTACATGCCAAGGGTGTGACGTGTCTGACCATCACGAAGGAAGATCTCGGTCTGGACGCTGCCAGCAAAGTCGTGGAGGGTATCGATGCTGTCAAAGCCGGCATCGTTTCAACCAAGGACCTCAAATTGGGTAGTATCATTGAGGAATCATCGTCTAGGGCAAGAAGCCCGCCTGAGGAATTGACTCCCGCTCCTTCAAAATCGTCCAAGAAGAAAGCTAAGAAGGCTCAGCAGGATACCAGCACCAGTGTTGAGCAAGGTGAGGTTGTTGAGGTGCCCATTGAGGAAGCACTACCAGCTGAGAGTGCTACGAATGGCGTTAGCAAAGCAGAGCCGGCCAATGAAGAGCCTCTTATCGCTCCCAAGGAGAGCAAGAAGAGCAAGAAGAAGGCTGTTCAGGAGGCCAAAGTCAAACCTCCATCTCGCACTGGCTCACCTGCCAAGACCGCAACTTCAAGTGCTGCCCCGCAACTCGAACCAAATGTGACTTCAGAACCTCCGGAGTTGCCACCAACCACTTCTGCGCCGGCTGCACCCGCTGCACCAACCGAAGACATGGCGGCTTCGGCGATTCTTCAGAAAGCCGCTCACGAGATGAGCATCACGCAAGCGTTTAGAAGCGAGCTTGCTAATCTCTACAAGGACATCCAGAACGATAGGATCGCCCAAGATGCTACCGCAAGCGCGCGACAAGAGGCTATTCTACGACTAGTCTCGCAGACCCTTACCAACAACGTTGACAAGAGTTTGGCGAACATAGTGTCTACGCAGATTCAACAAGGTGTCATTCCTGGTCTACAAGCGACTGTTGGCGAAGCCGTCTCGCGATCGCTCCAGCAGGTCTTACCTCAAGAAGTTGCCAAGCAACTCCCTAGTGCGCTCCAAGCAACACTCACTGGTCCCAAATTCGCTCAGTCGATTCAAGAGAACATTTCGCAAAAGCTTAGCAAGAGTCTCGAGGCTCAAGTGGTCGACACCATCAACCGCAACGTCGGTGGTGCCGTGGCCGCTGCCGCTGAAAAAGCTGCATCTGCAGTCGAGACTCGCATGGTTCCGCTGTTCCAGAAGCTTGAGAACGATCGTCGAAATGATCGAGAGCGCCTTGAGAAGTTCAACACTGCAATCGCTGGCATGGTGGAAACACTCAAGTCGATGTCCGAGACGCAGGTCGCCTTCCAGAACCAGATTCTTCTAGATCGTCAGCAGCTGTCCGCAGCTCCGCCTGGAGTGGCTCAAATGAGTGCATCTCCTGCTCCGATCGCCCAACCTCGCGCTATCAAGCCTAAGTCAGCTCAAGAGTTGGAGAGAGACGAAGTTGAGGCTCTCATGAACGCTGGTCAGTACGAAGATGCTTCCATTAAATGGCTGCATTCTGCATACCAGGTTGAGCTGTTCGATAACCTCTTCGTCGGCTTCACACCCGAGTATCTTGCCACCGATGCATCCGCACTTGTTGCTTTCTCAATTGCTGTCACCGTCAGTAAGAGTCTGGACACCAATGTTGAAGCTAGACTGGATTGGATCAAGGCTGCCGTGGATGCTGTGGATTGGCGGGTAGGTCTATCCTTCGTATATGTTCCGAACGATGCTAACATGCTGCAGGACCCGGAGATCACCGAGCTTAGTAGCCAGGCTCCGCAGTTGCTCGACACACTCATCAGCAAGATTGAAGGCTCTACATGAAGCTGGCGGAGGAGAATGTCTCGAATCCCATTATCAAGCGTATTCCACCAGTCGCCAAGAGCGCAAGAGATCTACGGGCTGAGTTGAGGAGACATGAGGTGCAAGGGCGGAACCTACAGTAGCGGCCAGGATTTCCTACGGCTAAGGCGCAAGAGGCCTTCGCTCTACGTCCTTTGTCACGGCCACCACTTGATCACGGAGAAGAGCAAGGGACCAGCAGCAGTACACGGGGCCTGACATCACGCCTGTTCGTGGATTTCAATACCCGCTTCGTGGAAGACCCGGCGGGTGTGGAAGGGGCAGAGCTTTTGGTGGCTCTAGTTATCCACTGCCTACAGCATCCAGGGGCAAAGGTGATCCGGCGCCGTGAAAAATGCAAATGGCAAATGAGAATGAGCACCTCCCTAGACGGCCTGCAATTTTCAAATGGCGATGACCTCGTTGGAACACAGTGAGGACCAGGCAGTGTATCACTGTCGCCAATCACTGGACGATCATTCTCTTCAGGCACCATCATGAATTCGAGGAATAGTGGTCGCCATGCATTACTTACACCGGGACCACAGTCGGAACTCCGTAGATGAAAAGGTAGAACAACAATCGCTCACTAATCGATACCATACCTGAGAAGAAGAGTGAACAAACTAGCTAATCAAATCCAGTCACTCACAGATCAGGCTACTAGCCGGGCACTCTTTGAAGGAGAGCCAAAAGGAGAGCCAGTTACTGATCATGTCGCAGAAATCGCGCCGTCGATGCTGCGAACGAAAGTCTTGGCACGATCTGCTCGCCGCACACTTCGCTCTCAGGTCGACCTCATCTTGGATCTCACACTGAACGACTACCTTTCTACTTTGCTTGCAGTCACGGCATTGCTTCAATAGTCTTCTTAGTGTTGTCGAAATCGACTGACGATTCCTGATCCTTTCTATTCATCCACCTTCTTCATTCGCATCTAATTTCAGCGGACCGGTAGCAGCATTCAGGAGACGACGACTACTAGCGAGTAAATCTCTCGAGGTCGACTTCTTACCCTACGTCGGCATCGGTAGAGGACACCTACGAGCACAAGCACAGCTCTCATCCTCGATATTCATCGTGATCATCTCTCACTTCGAATTTCGAGTTTGCTTCTCACGTCGTGAGGTGGATTCCGGCTCTCCTTCTTCTCTCTTGTTCTGGGCAAGCTGGTCTTCTGTGACAGGACAGAAGTCTTCTACGCTCAGGTCAGTCACCGGTCCTTTTTGTTGAGAATTGGTTTCTGTTTCATTGAGGTGTGCTGACCTTGAAACCCAGGTGTTCGCTGTTGGGACACACGAAGATGCCTGTTCTCAGCAAGGTTGCGGTTGGAGATGTCGATGACGGTGACGGTGACGATTTGCGCGACTTCATTGTCCCTGATGACGCAGAGATCGAGTACGAGGGTGATAGACCGGCCAAGAAGAAGTCGGACGCTAAGAAGCGGAAGTCAGCGATCAAGAACCAGAAGTCAGCAAGCGAGAAGCAGAAGACTCGCCAAAGCAAGAGCGCAGAAGGTTCAGCGTCTTCGCGCAAGAGCGGCGTGAACAATGATCAGAGTGCTCCTGACTTGATTGGCACGAAGCGTCTAGAGTCTGTCAACAAAGACAAGATCAAGGCAACATGGAAGCTGTGGGAGAAACACGAGGTTCGCCCAGATGCCAATGACTTGTCTCAGGCTGATGCCGACAAGCTCAACGCCTGCATCATCGACGGGACAATGTTACGTCGAGTCGCTAAAAAGGACCTCCGCGGCCTCCTCAACTCGGACAACTTCTACCAGTACAAGAAGAAGCTCTACATCACTATCCCTGGATTTAAGGCCAGCGACTATGCTCGCGCCGCGCCACAGCAGATCCGCAAGCAGTTGTTTGGGCAGCCTTTGAAGCGGTTTTCGTACCGACAGTGGCTAGCACAGGCCATTCTGTACGGCCATCCGCCTCTCTTGACGATTCCCGAAATCGAACAGGCGTTTATTGCCAAAATTCGCGCAAACGAAAAATGGGATGCATGGCCATCCAAGTTTGGCGATGAGTTTAGCCGCCGCTTGCGGATATTTCCTGATCCCGACGATCGCTTCGTCAAAGTCGAAGATGGCGAAGATGTAACAACCAGCACAGGACGAGGTCCGGAAGCGGATTTGAGCATTCCCTCACCAGCAGAACGACACGGTGGATCTGCAGCACTACGGTCCCCTACCACTGTCAGCGATGGGGACACTGAGATGGACCTGGACGAGAGTCCAAATTACGCTGCGACCCCGAGGCGGGCATCAGCGTATCAAGAAGGGGACGGCGAATTTTCGCCGACTACTACTCGAACTCGGTCGGCCCGGAAGGAAGCGATAAACCGGGTCTACGAGCACCCTCTTCAGGAGGGCCTCAGCATAGTCATTCCACGGCGCTCATTCGAGGCACCTCCATTCAGTCGGTCAGCATTGGTGCCGGTCGCTGAAGCCCACCCCGAGCATATTCATGACCTTGACCCGATTCCGCAGCAAGCCGATGGACACGTAACGAATGATGCCATCGAGGATGTGACGGAACAAGACCTCGAGAATATGTCAGAGAAGGAGCAGATCCAACGAGCAAAAGACCGGAGTCTTCGTCCGTCAACGAATGTTAACGCTGCCAACTTTGTCCACAGTGCTGACCTGGTGGAGCGAGAGTCGCAAGCTTCAGGTCGAGAAGCCCGGGAGACGACCATCGAACTTCCTTTCCACACCAAGGGTGGCACTCAGGCAAGCACAGATGCCGACGCAGAGTCCTCCACGAAGAAGCGAAAGCATAAGAAAGAGGCGACAGCCGCCCAACATCCCTCAAAAGCTGTCTCTTCGGCCGCCACCGCCCGGTCGGCTGTTGACATCGAAATCGACGAATTGCGCATTTCGTGCGCACAGTTGAGAGAATGGGCCCGACAATTGTCGCGGAACGATGCTGTGCCGCTTCTACAAGGCACCGACATGCAGCCGTTTCAGCTTTATCTTGATCCAGACGACTCCCTCAATTATCTAGTCTCCATTGGCGGCGAGTGCTTCTCCGACTTCATGCCTGTGATTGCGATGGGCAAGGCCATCAAAAAGTTTCAGGAGGACGCCATCATTCAGATACGGTTGCTTGGGTCTCTCAATCGCCCCAGAGCGCCAGGTGCTACAAGACCAAATCTTGGTTCTCGAAGACGGACTACGGGAAAAGAAATCATGGCGTATATCATGTCCCGACATCCGCATTTCGACCCTAAGCTCGGGCCGGCTCCGAAGATGCGCGGCTCGGGAGAACAGGAAGATTCCAGCTCCGCTCTTTCAAAGGGAGAGTCTCCCAGTACTAGGAAGCGGAAGTCTCCAGGGAACGACGACAACCTCGGCAATACTAGGGGCCACGATCAAAGCAGGCATTCGGCGAAGAAGGCAAAGGTGAAGAAGAACAGTGTGCTCGAAGAAGAAGAGATCGACACCTCAACTATTCCGGGCGTGGATGCAGTCATGTCGGATGTCGGAGCTACCTCGAGTACATCGGCTGCGTCGCAGCGCAAGACCATTCAAGCCGCCGCGCGTGACATTGGCCAGAGCCCGGCTCATCGAGGCATGAACAGCCACGCCTTACAACAGAGTCCTCCTGAGAAGCGCGGTTCGAGAGATGTGCCACAGGCGGATGAGCCAGTCGATGAATCCTTCACAGAGCCGTCGGTTGATACTATCGATCCTGCAAGCCTACAAAACGCCGAGGGAAGATATGTCTGCCGATGGAAGAATTGTGCCTCCAGTTGCAAAACTCTGCAGGATCTATTCGTAAGATTATACCACTTTCCCAGTCGTTTCCTATCACTAACTCTGGCCCCAGATGCACGCCGCGCAACACGAACTGCCTCATGATAGATGTAGATGGAACAAATGTGGGCTGAAGGGGTTGGACGTCAGAGATGATTTCGTCAGACATCTGTACAGTCATGTGCCCTACCGAGTCTACCGTTGTGACAAATGCGACAACGGCTATGCAATCCCCAGCAGTCTGCGGTCCCACTTTGTAAACTGGCATACAGGATTTGCGCCGCCCAGGTACGACAAAGCTACGCTGGTGCAGATCAGTCCCTCGAAACCTGACCCGAGCATGACGCGACCAAGTAGGTCAAAGGCTGGCGGAGGTTCAGCTGACGGAGGCCTGCCGAGCGCTTCTTCACAGCGAGCTACGGTCGGTCACGCCTCAAGCAGTGGGGAGGAAGAGGAATCCGACAGAGATGAAGATGTCTCAATGACAGATCAAGTGTCGATGGCCGGGAACGACGACGTTCCGATAGCTGGGGAGGGCGCTGCGGACGCGAGTGGTGCTAGCAGCGACCGGAAGGTTATCGACATCTCAGACGATGAAGACAGCACCGGCTCTGACCAGGAGGACTTCATTGGCAGATACCCCGAAGCTGATGGCACCGGCAGCCGGATTGATCACAGTGACAACGCCAGTGAGCATAATGGCTCAGCTGACGGGACAGACCACGGCAGCGACTCGAACAACGATAGTGATTCAGACAGCGTGAGCGATCAGGTCAGTGACGACGGTTCAGCCGCTGGCTCCGCGTCAAGCAGAGACAACACCTCCGACAGCGACAGCGATTTGAGCAAAGACAGTGACTCAAGCTGTGGATCTGATAGGCAGTCGGTCAGATCAGAACACGCGAACGCTGCCGACGACGAGAGCGAGCCACCTCTGGAATCGCTATCGCTTGAGCAACATCTGTTGGGTCCCCACTTGCGCCTGCGCCGCGAGCGTGCAGCTCTCACAAGCGATATCCGGCTCCGGGAGGAGGTCCTTTCTAAGCACCAGCGTACTCTCAATCATGCAGAGACGCTGGATGCACACATCTTCAAGACACAGGAAAGACTATTACGGCTTCCTAAAACAGATCCTTTGAGGCCCGCGGTGGAAGCCAAGTACGAGCGCCAACTGAAGCAGATACCTGTATTCAAACGAGCTCTTCGGAAAACTCCCGCTCTGCTGAGAGATGTCGACGCTAGAATTGCTGCGCAGCCACAGACTGTGCGCACTACACAACTCTTGGTCGACACCCTCCGTCGTGCTCGGGCGAAGAAGCCATTCCCTCCTGAACTGCTGGAGAGGGACAATAAGGGCGGCCCCATTTTCGCACATGAGTTTCAACTACTCTGCGAAGCTGCCAACCGATTGAGAGACGCAAGACGTAATGGCTGGACTGCCGGAACAGCACAAATGTCGCAGCTTACCAACCGGCGCAATCGCCTGGACAATATGTACCATCACATTCGCGATGGCAAAGTCTGCACCGTCGCTGAAGCTCAGTTGCTCAGCGCTCAAGCGGATCACGGTCGCACCTGTGCCGCATTTCGTGGTACGGATGCTGTCGGCGCTGGAGTGGTTGACCCGAGCGTGAGTACTGCTTATGCGGGAGTGCTGCGTGCTCTCAAGAGAGTGGAGGAGCAAGAAGCTGGCAAGGGAGATAGTCAGGACTGGAATGGCAGCCCAGGGACGCGATGATCAGGCTCATAATGGTTACGAGCGAAGTCATCGCCTAAGGCAATAGGCGGACTCTTCACACGAGCACGCCGGGAGGCCTTCACAGATTCCAGGTAGTAGGTGTTGCTACATGTGCAGGCATACCCATTTGTACTTGTAGACAAGGAAGCAAAGCAATCAATGAAGCTCGACGCAAACCGTTGCCAAGACCACACTATCCGTTAATATCACCGGAGCGACTCCCTCAATTTGTCGTGCCGCAAAATCACACACTAAAGTCCTCCATATCACGTGTCTTCTCTATTCACCAGACAACCTCTCAGTCTTTTCCCTCCATTGAGGTTCGACCATCTGGCGGCTACGACTTCTTCTCGGGTGAATGGCCACTTCTCTTTCAAGACTTGACTTGCTAACATCCCGGGCAGCCAATACCTTGACTTTGACTCGAACACCATGGCGAAATACCGCAGCTGGCGGCAACGTCGAAACTGGAGAGACCGGAGAATCCTCTATTTCAAATGGAGCAAGCTGATGCGTCCGTCCGAACTCAAGTCAGACGAGGTGGACCTCCATCAATACGTGAGTAGTTGCCAGAGCATGAGCGTCCCACTGTATCGAGCCGTTGAACTGAGCCATGACTGACACATCCAAGCTAAACCTTAGATGCCTCGCTGAAGTGTTTGAAGAGCCCGAAGTTGATCTCAAGCGACTCGCTAGAAGAGTAAAGAGCTTGAAGTCCTCAGCCAACGTGAGTGAGGGCGACGAGTCGATGAATGCAGCTGCGCGCCGCAGAGCGAAGGCCAGAAAGAAGGCCATCGAAGCACATAAGCAGAAAATGAAGCAATGTCAGGATATCAAGAACGGAGACCTCGAGCACCCACTCGAGACCATTGTCCGACAGGCGCGCAAGAACATAACCAAGATCAAGGGCGGTCTCAAAGAGGGCATAGAGATGGTTCAGGACTACGGTGCCGGTCCGGTGGAGCGTCGAATATGCAAGATGCTGCGCAAGTTCCGTCAAATGGCACAAAAAGACCTTCTCGAAGCTGAGAAGGCCTACAGCCTGAGCAGGGGCAATGTTGACGACCTCAACGATGAGAATGGATGGAGGCCGCAGCAGGAGCTCGCGATCAAAGGCGAACGCTTGATGGATAAGATGCGCGATGCTATCAGTTCGAAAGCCAACGAAGGCAAGGTTGCCTAAGTGCTGAGCTGTACGTGGCTCCGAGTATGCCGACACCGCATTGTACTGAAGGGCGCCCTGGGGGGTCGCCAGATGAAATTGCGAATCGATATGCTCAGATGGGGACAGTCAAGCAAAGGCTCAAGAGGCCAAGCATCCTGAAGCTTGAGACGTGCAGCTGTTGGCTTTCAAAGGCAAGCAGTACAGCAGCATTGGAAGCATGAATAAGACACAGAGGGCATCCGAAAGAATGCAGGCGGTCTACTTAAGCAGAAATTGAAACAGCCCCATTTTCCATTTCGGTTCCCGTCAGAGGTGAATTTAAGCGTCGCAGTGGAGTTCCGAGGGTCGTTAATCAGCACGGCAAGGTTTGCTGAGTAACACGCCAAGATTTCCGCCCCCTCCCCTCGATCGCTTCAAGAGTACGCGAAGACCCTTTCTCTTCAGCTTCTGCTCGCCCGCCTCGTCCACCCATTACGTTGTGCTCATACAACGTGCGAAATGGATGAGAAGGACGTCACCATGATTGACGCGTCGTCGGACGTCCGCTTGACTCCTCCACCACAACCCGCGGCTCCAGCAGTGCCTGAGCATGATGACCATAGTCCTGCCGACAGCGATATAGAAGGCGGCAAACACCATGCCCATCACCATCATCACCCACATCTCCCACATCACCTTCGCAGTCGACACCTCAATTCCTTCATACACCCACATCACGGCAGGCATTGTCACGTCGTGAAGACCCCTGACGAGCTCGAGCGTAAACGCCTTGAGCTTTCCGCCACCTTCTCCCAAGAGCAGTTCGACGTCGTTTTACACGGCAGTCCAGATCACATCGACGCAATCCGTGGCCTTCATGCTCAATCTGAGGCGGAACGTGACGCCCTCCACCGCGACCACGCTGAAGTCGCCAAGCAATTCGAGAACGTTCGAGATCAGCTGGAGCTTCTGGACAACGAACTGCACATGTTGACAGATCATAGCGTAGCTTTGGATGCAAGTTTCGACAAGTTCGGCTACTCTGCTCATCTACGGACGACAGACAAGGACAGTGGCGACACGGCAAGTCTGAGTAGTAGCAACCAGGAGGAGAAGCACAAGGATCGCAGCACAGATCCGCTGAAGTTCTTCAAGCGGCCACAGGTACGCCAGTACTTCCACAAAGGTCTACTGTGGCGGTCGAGTCGACATGGGGAGGTGGAGAGTTTCGAACTGTTCGTGGACCTGGTCTATGTCGGTGTGATCGACATCATCGGTGAGAAGGCGGCGGAAGCGCCGTCTGGATTGGCGTTGTTGCAGTTCGTGATCATCTTCTGTATTGCGTGGAAGATCTGGTCGGACATGACCTACATCATCAACAGCTTCCACATTGGGGACATCTTCCAACGGATCTGCGTGGCTTTCTACCTGATCTGTCTCTTTGGCTTCACGACGAATATTTGGTACAGCTTTCCGGAAGGACACTCGGCTGAGACGGCGCAAGTGGAGGCGGCGGAACCGCACAAACGAGCTGAAGCGGAGGGCGCAATCGAAGGCGCGGCCTCAGATTACCACAACACTTACATCTCTGCCATTGCCTTCTTCGTAGCGCAGCGGGCCTTCGTCGGAATTTGGTATCTCGGCGTCGCGGTCCTCGTACCTATGATCAAGGGAAGCATGGTCTCAAACACTCTAATCATTCTGATCTCGTCCGCACTATGGATCGGATCGATTCACGTGTCGTGGCCTAACCAGCTGGCACTCATCTTCTTGGGCATCGCAATTGACCTTATGGGTGGCATGTTGATTATCGCTTTGTGGCGGCGGATCAAGAATCCAAAGCACTCATTCTGGGCAAGGATGCAAAAGTGGTTCGATTTCGTTCCCGCTATCAACATCGAGCATCGTGTCGAGCGGAACAACGCATTCATCGCACTGGTCTTTGGCTACAGCATCCTCACGATTCTCTACCAGAGCAGTGCGAGCATGGGCATCAACGCCTTCTTTGGGAAGGGCGTTTTGGGCCTGCTACAGGCGTTCTGCTTCAATTGGATCTACTTCGAGATCGACAACTATGGCATCCACGTGCATGCGATCCGGAGGCATTGGGCGACGAGCGCAATTTGGGTGACAGGCCACCTACCATTCATCATGGCGTATATCCTCGCTGCGAGTTCCCTGACAACGCTGGTGCTGGCGCACGACTGTCCCGATGCCGAGCCTGAATGGTTGGGAAGCCACTATGCCGACAGATCGTTGCCTGAGCTCTCGTCTGGAACACGTTGGTTCTATTGTGGCGGCATCGGCATCGCGCTGCTTTTCATGGGCATCATCAGCTTGTCGCATACTCACAAGCGTCTCCAGCATTCTCGTCTCAAGAAGCGGCCAAGGCTGTTCTACCGGTTGATCGCCTCAATTGTCATCATCGTTTTGCCTACAGCTGGCAACCGCCTCAGCTCGCTAGATCTGGTCGCCATCACGTTCTCGATCGTCCTGAGCGTGCTCATCGTCGACCTGTACGGCAATTCTGCACAAGGCACGCCCTTCTGGACGCATGGCTTGTGCCCGAAAGAGCGCAAGCAGACGACATACGTTGCGACGTGCAAACTATCGAGGAGGCGGCGGCGCGAGTTGCAGAAGCGGGTCAAGAAGGGCGAGGATGTGAGTCTGGGTGATGTGCTCAGGCTCCGGGATCGAGCTGGCAGTGAATCTACACTGAACACCTTGAATAGCAGCGAGGGAAGTTTGGGTGGGAAGACGGTGGGCGATGAGGAAAAAGGCGAGCCACGCAGGCGGGCGAAGGAGGTGCACCACGAGGACTGGCATGGTGGGACGTACTGATGGCGGCGTGCCCTCGGGCTGGAAGCTGAGAAAATCTGAGACGTGGCGGATTGACCGGGTTCGAGGATCGCACTGGCCAAGCTAGACCTAAGATTGGAAATGTCATGGCAGGTGGCGGCCGTAGTCAATTACCCGCGAATCACTGACGTCCCCGGCAGTGGTTGTGGTCTCTTCTTTCCGATAGGATCTTGCTCAGTGACGATCGGGCCCAAAAGCAAGGTGAGTGGCATTGCCCAAGCCGGTTGACAATACCGTTGGGTCGTAATTAGTCGCCGGTTGACATAACTAGACCCCGTCATATCCCACGCCGGATGACAATTGAAGAGCGAGATCTCGTGCCGGACGACAAGACCTACTTGTCGCTTTCCCATCCCCCCCAGCATCGCACTCAGGCCTGGACGTAGGACGACCCTGGGTCGAGATGCGCATCAGAGTACGCTGACATGATAGTCCAGATCCGACTATGTAGTGCGTGCTCTGCCGTTTTCTAACGCAACAATGCGTTGGGAAATATACATGCAGTCGTGGCCAGGTGCTATCATCAACCAATGGGAAGCAGCGGAGCTCATCTCGGATCTCTGATTGCATATCTCGGAAGCACTACTTGGACCCAAGTGCATGCACACGTGCAGATCCGTCGTGCAGGTGCCGCACTGACTTCACAGGGGTGAGCTGGTCGATCTGCCGAGACCCTCTCACCGACTCCCATAACCTCGCCTGCTTTGCTGAGGTGGATGTGCTTTTCCGCTCCGGCTCCCACTCGCAAGGACTCCTAAGTCCATTGCAGCTATTCATACCGCAATAACATGTCCGTCAAGTGTGCTCAGTGCGATAAGACCACCGGTGAAGTAGGCCGGCCTCTCAAGCGCTGTGCCAAGTGCCAAACGACGCGCTATTGCAGTCGAGAGTGCCAGAAATCTGATTTCAAGGAACACAAGAAGCAATGCGCCACGTTCGCCGCGGACAATGCTGAGACGTATCCGTCTATCCCAGGCATTCCTGAGGTCCTCAGAACGTGTTAATGGACGGTACCTACAACTACAAAAACCTCGATACGCCGCTTGAAAAGCCTTTTACCGCCCTGACGCAACGCAGGTGGCTTTATGATAGATGCGAGGAGGATGTCTTCAAGTTATTGATAGATACTCATCGGTTCAGGCTTAACGACAACTACACGTTGTAAGTCAGCAGACGAAATCATTACCTTTCGGCTATCGCAGAAAACGCTGACTCAAGTCTCGATCAGTCTTGGTGAAGCGCCCTACTACGTTCTTGGTGATCCCTCCCCAAACCGTGGCGCTACGGAGTTCCGTACTTTCCTCAAGCAAGCCTTCTACCACCCCGACAATAAGGGCCTACTACCATCATGGTTCACCAAAGCCAAGATCAACGAATGTATGGCTTTCGCCCGCAGAACCCCTAGCCATCATTACAACACCATGCCGGAGAAATCTGATATCCTCGACTACTACGGCGACCCCCGCATGCCGATGCAGCTGAGAATGTTCGCTGAGCAGGTGCTGCATAGATCGCCTTATGGCGAGAGTGGTGACGCTATGATGGCATTTCAGGCGAAACTGGAACGGGAGTATTCTCCGGGGAGTGGCAAAGTGGCTAGTATGCTGAATATGGACACGAGTCAGAGTCGGGGAGGCTGATTGGCGTTTCGGGTCCAACGGGCAAATACGAAGGCCCGCCCAGCAGAGCTGCATTGATAGGGAAGCGATGCAGGGTGCACGGCGAATGTATCTGTTGATGAGCTACGAGACTCGAGGCTGTCTTCAGCATGGATATGAAATTAGTTTTAGCCGGAAGATCACCTCCTTGCCAGAGCTACCTCGAATCTATGGTTCCGAATGGCGTCTTAGCTGCCATCTTCGCTACTAATGCTAACGTAAATCATGAAAAGCCACATCGGGCCGCGCTTTTCGCCATACCATAGAATACATATGTTCATGCGCCCGCTATCATATGTCCAAAGAATTAATTTGCGCCGAAAATGGGGCTCCATGTGCGAGCCGCTGAGTAGGGCAGGCCTCCCAGGCTGGCGATGGGCCATCGATGCTCAATCCTGGCCGTCTTTGCTCGAGTCTGATATGCTTCCGTACAGAGGCCTTCCTGAGCATCAATGACGAGACGCTGGGATACTCAGATCTCAGGACTCCGATTCTTAGAGGAATGCTGACGCCGACCATTACGATCCGAAGCAGCTCCACGAATTGAGATGCCTTGGGAGCGCTCTGTAGTGCCGGCTGGTTCCTCGTCGGAGGACAGATCTATTGGCTGCATCCAGGAAGTAGAAGCCGAAGGCTGTTTAGACGTAGCACGTGACCGCTTCTGGGATTGTGACCGCTTGTCAGCCGGCGATGCAGCTCGTCGTTTCAGCCCAGCGGAGGCCACAGGACTGCTCGAATTCGGGCTCGGGCGGGCTTTGGATGTCTTGCTACCCGAGCTTTTCGCTGGAGCTGAAACTGGAGTCGACGTGCTGGATGAGATACGTGATGCAATGGATCCTCTAGGTCCCGTTGGCACGGTCTTGAACTTGAAAGGGTCTGTCGCATCGGTGGCCTCACTAGGAAGGTCCGAGGCGGCCTTTGGCGCTTTAGATGACTCGTCCCGGCCAACCTGGAAACTCTTGAGGAGACCGTCATCCATTGCTTTAAAGTGATCGCTGTGTGTTTTCAGGGTTGCGTTCATCTTCTCGATGGTCTTCAAAATGTCTCCAAGGTCACTTGTTTCTGGTTTGACTTGCACGACTTTGAGTTGATCTTCGAGCACAGTAATCCGCTCGCGCAGATCCGTCCTCTCTTTAATCACTGCTGCCGTCAGGTCTTTGACGCTCTTGCGCAGTCCATCATGCCCCTCAGTGGTCGGACTCGGAGGCTGTTCCTCAGACGAGGAGGCCTTCATATCCTCGATGACTTTAATGCAATCCTGCTTGATCTGTTCGAGTATAGAGGCCTTCAACTCCCGCTGTGAGTCGCTGAGCTCTTTCGTAGTGGCAGTCGCTTCCTGCAAAGACTTCTCGATCGTATCGAGCTGCTCGTCATGCTTGGTTGTCAATTTATCAATGGTGTCGAGAGGAGCTTCAACTTCATTGTGGATCTTCTGGACATCGGACTCAAGGTCCCTGAGACGCTGCACCACTGGCGGGATGCTGTCTTCAGCTACAGTGTTCAGCCTAGTCGACAGAGCTTGATGCTGTAGCTTCTCAGTGTCCAGATCAGCCTTGATTTGTGAAATCTCGACCTGGAGTCCTTCCCGGATCCGATCTGATATCTCCTTTGTATGATTTGGACCATAGCGCTCTTCGAAAGCATTTACTCGTAGAGTCAGAGCGTCCACCCGCGCGGTGTGTTTCCGTTTCCACTCTTCAAGGGCCGGAAGTTCCTGTGCAATTTGACTGAGTTGGCCGAGCTGAGCTTTGATTTCAGCATGATCTTTGTCCATCTTGGACAGCTTCGGAGCGAGCACAATCATTATTTGTTGATAGAGACCCTCTGTCGTGATATTATTGTAGCGCGCACTAAGTGATCGGATGGCGTGGGCATTGGCCTTTGACTCATTCGACAGGTTCTGGAGGTGATTGTCGGTGGCCATTGCCCGGTTGGTCGTTGCGGTGACGAACTTCTGGAATTCCATTTCCAGCTTAGGGCCCGCCTGGGCGGCGACAAGCGACAGCGGTCGTTCTGGAGGCGATGGAAATTGTTGCGGCGCGGTAGGCGTAGCTTTAGCGTCTAGACGACTAACTTGCTTCATAATATCGTTAACTCTCGTGTCCATGCTTTTGACTGTTCCGTTCGTTTCGTAAGCCATCGCAGAGGTCTTCTCGTTGCGGCCATCAAGGCTCTTGATCTGTGCCTCCAAGGTCTGCATTGTACTTCTCAACGATCTCATGTCTTTCTGTATTGCTTCCTGGTCATTGTTGTACGTCTCAATGTAAGAGCTTGGTAGCGATGTAGACTGATCTGTGGGCGAGGGTGTGACAGTTACGGGGCGGGCTTCACGTAGCTCTTTCTTGAATGCGTCCAGCTCAACTCGGAGGTCCGAGGCGGCCTCTGTGGATGTTTGGATCTTGTCAAGTTGCTTGCGCAGATCCGTGGTAAGCTCCGACTGCGAAGCCAGACTTCTCTTGAGCGACTCAATCTCAGAGGCCTGACTCGTACACAGCTGTCGTGTCGCTAATGAAGATCCGCTGGCCTTCGCGACGTTAGCTTTGATGGCATCCATCTCAGAGCGCAGTCGAGCATTGTCATCCTGAATGGCTTGCATCTTTGTAGTGTGATCGGGGAGGCCTTGGAACTGGTTCTGTATGTCAGACTTAAGAGTCTCAAATTGCGCGTTGAAGTCCTCCCTGGCAGACCTGTTCGAAGCTGTAGTGGTCGCATTTGCAATAGCATCATTCACGCCGGCGAGTAACTGTTCAATCATCGCCTCAGCTTGAAAGCGTACAGCAGGCACGAGCGAAGTGGTCTGATCGACAGCCTTTCTGTAGGCATGGTCTGCCGTATGCTCTTCTCGTTTCAGGTGCTTAAGGACAGATGGCACATTTGCTGCACCAGTCTCGGCCTGCTTGCGTCTCTCGATTTTGTCAGCTCGGGCGGCCTTTAGTGCAGTGATCTCGGACTTCTGCTTGCTGTAATTGAAGCCAGCTTCCTGTACCAACAGTAAATGCTCCATGGCCTTCACCTTCCAGGGCGGGCTCTGTAACGGTTCGGACATTTGAACATCTCGGGGTTTGGGCGAGCTCTCGCCCGGATTGTCTGATGGACCATCGACATTTGCAATAGTCGAAGTGTCACCTGTGGCGCTGGGATCTCCTTGGACTGCTGCCGTTGGCCGTCTTCGTGGGTCCGTGGCCTTTTCGGGAGGACGCTGAGGGTGTTGGCAAGTCGGATCCATCACTCTGGTGGCGTGTTGTGACACAGATCGTAGGCGGTGTGACACGGGGGGCTTTATCGGCTTCTGGACATTGTCTCTGTCGACTGACCGGCCGCGAGCTGGTTGCCTGCCGTCTGGACTGGATCGGCGACCTCGATCTTGAGAGAGTTCCACCTGGCTTGCACGTCGTCTGGGGTCCCGATATGCATATGAATCGTAGTCTCTATCGTCACGCCGGTAGTAGTCCCGACCAGGGTGTCGCCGGTCGTCCATCAGAGGCGTTTTGTGTCATCAGGAGTACTCTGATCTGACAAGATACCGGCATGAGTCAAGAGGTCCGTGAAGGTCCACTTTGCGGGGTATCAGACGATGGTGAAGTCGCGTGTCCTTCCAGTGAAGTTGGCACTTGAAGTCTGATCAGTACTGGGGTACCCAGATAGTACAAGAAGTGTCGCTGCCGTGCCGTGAAGACGTCGAGTTCTTCGAGATGGTTCCCACTGCAGGGGCCCGGCGCTTGCTTGCGACAATACTCTCAACCTCTGAATATCACTTCAGGAGTCTGCGAGGGCCTGCAATGCAGATATCAATTACAAGAAGAAAGGCAGCGAGGCAAACACGCTAAGATCAGGCAGTGAATTTCGGCGCTAAATTTCGCGTCTGCCAAGGCCTTCATGCTTCGCGGTGAAGTCTGCTTTGCTTACCGACTACAGACCTCCACTGACTCTAGGAGCACGCTGTGGACTGCTGAGATCGTGCTGGAACCTCGAACTACCATCCACGGGCAGCCAGACCCACCAGCGCCACACGGAAGCCCTCGATTGAGGGGCGCCCTTTGCGCCGTACAAACCTATCGCAATGGCGGCTCCCATAACCACAGTCTCCTCGTCGGAGCTGAGAGGCCTCAACCTCATCGCTGCGCACTCTCACATCCGCGGTCTCGGCGTCGATCTTGCCACTCTCGAAGCGAAACCATCAGCACAAGGTCTTATTGGTCAGGAAAAGGCGCGAAAAGCTGCTGCGGTCATTCTGCAGATGGTCAAGGACGGCAAGATCGCTGGAAGAGCCGTCCTCGTCGCTGGGCCTCCTAGCACGGGCAAGACTGCGATAGCGATGGGCATGTCACAATCATTGGGTCCTGATGTCCCATTCACGATGCTTGCGTCCTCCGAAATATTCTCCCTCGAAATGTCCAAAACCGAAGCCCTTACCCAGGCCTTCCGAAAATCCATCGGCGTCAAGATCAAGGAGGAGAGCGAGATCATTGAGGGCGAAGTAGTCGAAATCCAGATCGATCGAAGTGTGTCGGGCGGCAACAAGCAAGGAAAGCTTACGATCAAGACGACGGACATGGAAACGGTCTACGACATGGGCACCAAGATGATCGATTCCATGACCAAAGAAAAGGTCATGGCAGGAGACATAATCTCCATCGACAAGTCCTCGGGCAAGATCTCGAAACTAGGTCGATCATACGCCAGATCTCGAGATTACGACGCCATGGGCGCAGACACAAAGTTCGTTCAGTGCCCGGAGGGCGAGCTGCAAGTTCGGAAAGAGGTTACACACACAGTCACACTGCACGAGATCGATGTCATCAATTCGAGAACGCAAGGCTTCCTCGCACTTTTCTCGGGAGATACGGGCGAGATCAGAAGTGAGGTCAGAGATCAGATCAACACAAAGGTTGGCGAGTGGAAGGAGGAGGGCAAAGCAGAAATCATTCCTGGGGTCCTGTTCATTGACGAAGTCCACATGCTCGACATCGAGTGCTTTTCGTATATCAACCGCGCACTCGAGGCGGATCTCGCACCAATCGTCATCATGGCGAGCAATCGTGGCCACAGCCAGATTCGAGGGACAACATACAAATCGCCGCATGGGCTGCCCTTAGACTTCTCGATCGAGTCGTCATCATCAGTACGCAGCCATACTCCCAGGAAGAAATCTCACAGATTATCGCCATCCGTGCGCAAGAAGAGGAGGTCGACCTGTCGCCAGATGCATTAGCATTGCTCACGAAGATTGGACAAGAGTCAGGCTTGAGATATGCGAGCAACATCATCACGACATCTACATTGCTCAGTCAGAAACGAAAATCAAAAGAAGTCAGCATAGATGATGTCCAGCGAAGCTACAGATTGTTCTACGATCCTGTGCGATCTACTAAGCTTGTTAACGAGTACGAGAAGCAGTTCATTGGAGAAGATGGCCAGGTCAGCTTCGTCACCAATGGCACGAACGGCACGCATGCGGACGCAATGGATACTGCCTGAGCTGATGTTGACAAAGCTGGGCTTATTCGTCAGCAGACGCTGTAGGCCACCTTGTGCCCAATGCTCAAAAAGCTTTACGCTGCAATCCTGTGGCTGCAACCATGTCGTCGATTCGCCGATCGTACGCTGCCAGAAGGAACCCATCGTCATCGAGCATCAAAGGGCATCGCTGGCTTGATACAGACAATGCTTCTCCGCACCCCCAATTCTATGCAAGCCGGGGTGACAAGTTGTGGGCGTGGCCGTGCGGACAGGTGGTGATCTGACTGTCGGCTCCGAACACGCGTTCGAGGCGGCAGTGCGGACAGGTGATGAGCTGGATATGGGCATCGAGGAAGTATTCGGCAGACAGATCTTGTAGACTGGGTAGAAAGATCGAAGCAGAATGCAGGTATAGCGCCAAGCATGAGTCACTTCCCGAAGTCGTTAATTTTTCATTCACTGCCTCAATTCTCTCTTTAAAATTATGCGCGTCCAATGTCGATCCGATTTCTACTACCTTCGATGCCGCCATTTGCTGCTCGGGGCCCTTGCAGTGATAGCAGAAGACACAATATGCAATGACAATGGCGCCTAGGACGTTCCTGCCGTCTACGCCGCGAAAAGGACTGCCAAGGTTCAAAGGACTCAGTGACGCCTGCCCTAGGACGACAGTACAGTCAAGTAGGCACGACCGCTGCAAGTGCAGCCGCAGGAGAGACTTCTGCCTATAGGCGCTGTTACCAGATTCAACTTATTACAACTCCTCATCACATGTGCTTGAGCTTTCTCTTTTTCACCAGACTCTGCGAAGGATGCGGTTGTTCGCCGGCATCACGACTCATCATTCATCACAATGGAGCTGATGTACTCTCGCATCGAGCCGCTCAAGACGCTGCACGAGACTCGTTCGACTGATGAGTTCGGTGAGTATCCCTGATCTGCTTCTGTGTGCCATCTCACACATCTACAGTGGAAGCATTCGTGGTCGAGATCCCAGCAACATTGGCAAGCAAGGCACTGAGGTGAGTCGCTGGCCCGTAACGGTTGCCGTCTCATCGCTGACTAGGTCAGCATCGTCAAGCCGATTCTGCCGAATGATCGGACCCTTTCCTTCGCTCACCTGCGTCGTGTCTGCACTCTCAACCATCTGCCTGTCGATCTTGCTTGGAGGAGAGACTACGACTCGAACGGCCTTAACACGGTCTTTCTGCTCGTACCGAACTCACCGCTGCTGCCCTGGTACAAAATCTGTGAGACCTTTGCAGAGCACATCCAGATCGAAGGTCTTCCACGCTGCTTCAATGCAGTCGTACCACGCTACGCTCCCTTGACCTCGGAACAAGCCATACTCTGGACTGAACGATACTGGCCCACGCAATTCAATCCGGCTGCCCAGCTGCTTCAAGATGCTCCACCTCTGAACCAACTCCGACGTGTCATTGCCGAGCTCGATACCTCGGCTACGACCCACTTCTTGCAAATTGCCCGTGCTGCCGCCCACGATGCCAAAATCAACGGACTCGGCTGTGGCACCGGTGCTGTCATCGTCAATCCGAAGACCGGACAAATCATGCTGTTGCGGCTGATGCGAGGTGGTGGAGTGACGAGAAGACCGCCCACAACTGCACCGATAAGTCTGGACCTGGCCGGGCAGAGAACCACGCCCTAATGCGTGCTGTTGCAATGGTAGCTAACAAAGAGCTTCGCCGAAGACTGCGTACTGGAGGTCACCGTCGTTTCGCTGCCACTTGCAAGGAGACTCCATCTGGTCAGCCGCTAACCGAAACTGAGAACACGTATGCTGAAGAGTTTGCCAGTCCAGAGTCAGGCATGTCTACGCCGACCTCACCGAAGGAGATGGAAGGTGTGATGGCAAGCATGATGGCCATGGCCGTCACTTCTGTACACCGCAAGAGGAACTCGACTGACCTCACCATGGCGTCGAGCACATCCAGCGGGATGGCGAGTGTCGTTACCAGGGACCGGAAGACAACTTCGACTGAGATGTCTGGCTCTACTCTCGTACGGACAGATTCCAACAGCTCAACCACATCGACCGGCTCCAAGTCTGAAGGATATCTCTGCAGTGGCCTGGATCTGTATCTGACCCATGAGCCTTGCATCTGTTGTGCCATGGCCATGATTCATTCTCGATTCCGAGCTTGCGTCTTCGAGAAGAGGATGCCTGGAAGTGGTGCTCTGACCGCTCGTGATCGGAAGGACAGTCTCGGCTATGGTCTGTTCTGGCGACGTGAGTTGAACTGGCGTGTTATGACATTCCAGCACCTCGAGGAGCATCAACGAGGTCGCCGCAGACGAGACAATCAGAAGTATACTTTCCATGCTTAGAGAGCCACAAATTTTGGCGTCTTGGAAGGAAGGAGCAGTTGGAGGCCGCCCGGGCACTGTGTTACGACCGCAGGTCTACGAAGGCATGACTTACGAGACATTGATGCGTCGTTGGAAGGGATCACTTGTACCATGGCATGGACATTCTGGTATTGCTTAGAAGAGAAGGAATTGATCGCTTGCGGGCACGAGGTATGCCAGCAGGCATCTCTAGGGAGGACTCTGAGCAGATACATCACTACTCTTTAGAACACTGAAGGCATTGATAGGCTGTGGCAGACGCAGAGGCCGCCAGAGATGAAGCTTGATTCTACACAAAACCAGCGGCTGCACTCCACGTACTGCCTCCGGCGGGTCGAAACTCGATAGCCCCATTGAAATAGCCCGCCTCGTTCCACTGCCGCATCGTCCCACCATCGTAAGGGCCGTTGATGTGCCCGCCATCTCGCGCATCCGTCCATCGATATTCCCACATCTTCGTTGCGGTCGCCTCATTCCCGCCCTTGCCATTAGCTTCCTCCTCATGCGCGGGCTCAGGATCCCGCCACGCCTGCCCACCATTCTCTCGCTGGTACTGCCGCATCAGCATTTCGCGCTCGGTATCGTAGATATCGGTCATGCCACGGGTAAGCATTAAATCCGCGGCGGCGGTGAGGGCCTCGACATCAGACTTGCGACGCGTTTCGGCTTCTTCTGCTTTTGCATCGTTTTCGTCGTGGTGGCCATTCGCCTCGCCGTTGTTGTCATCGTCGTGGGAGGCTTGCTGCCTTTTCTGCCACTTCGACTGCTTCTTCGCTTTCGATTTAGTCTTTGACCTTCCCAGCCGAGCCAGCGCCTCCAGTACAGTCTCTCCAACCTCCATTCTCCCAATCAGACTCCCGAGCACATCCGCCGGCGACCGCTGATCGTCCTCCCGGTCTCGCCTACGCCTCTCTTCTTCCCGTTTCTCATGCGCCTCCGCCGCCCGCTTCATGTCCTTCTTGGACGTGCCCTCCAGCCAGCGATCGTGCACCGCGTCCTTATCGGCGGCTTTACGTACGAAGTTGCCGCTCTCGTCAAATGCGCCCTCTTGATTTTCGTCACGCATATTGAACGCGTCGAGTTTTGGTGCATGCCGCGTTTTGGCGCCAGCGCCGAGCTCTTCGTCGATCTCCTCGTCCAGAGCGGCACGACGCTCGTCATCTACCTCGCTTTCATCTGAAGAGCCGTCGCCGTCGGCGTCGTTAAGTTTAGCGGAAGCAGGTAGAACGCCATGCTTGTCCATGTACCGAGCTTCCTCGTCAGTCAGGTGCAGACGCGAGCCTACATGCCCGCCGCCGGTGCTCTGCTTCACCTGGCCCTCGATCTGATCGCCGTCAAGGAAGCGGACGTCTTTCTTCTTGCGCTTGCTCGCCGCATCACCATCCGAGTCATCCGCAAAGTCCTCCTCAAGGTCAGCGAACATATCTGCATCCTCCTCGGCCTTGCTCTTCCGCGCCTGCTTCTCTGCTTTAGCCCGCGCATCGGCTCGCTCGTCAAAGGCTGCTTCGTCGCCGGAGTCGCTGTCGAAGCCGTCGATGTTCACGGCGTTGCGCTTAAGGTGTGGCCGATTGGTGCCCACGACGTCCGCTTCGAGCTCGGCGTTGGCTTCGTCGTCTTCATCATCTTGTTCTTCGGCGAGGGCGGAGGGGTTGCGGAGGGAGAATTTGGGCTTTTTGGTGGGAGGGGCTTCTTTGCCATAGGTGGCAAGGGGCCGTTTCGAGGAGGACGCCATAATGTCGGCTCGAAATATGTGAGGGTGAGGTCCAGCCTGTGATGGAGGTTAGGCTGTGGTGGGATGGTCTGCTTTGGTGAAGCACTGCTTTGGTTTGGTAAACTTTTGGTGAAGTTGCCTTGCATGACGTATGCTTGACGCCTTGAAGGCAACACACATCTTCCTCCTCTCAAGAAGTTCTTGTTACTTCTTTGACATTCTAATATTTCGCTCAATCGCAAAAAGAATCAATCTCGTTCTCAGGAACCAACTACCGTCACCCAATCTATCGTTGTCAACCTTGGAAACGTTTTGAGCGCCATCACGAGAAGATCATGTACGGGTACGGGCGACCGCCGACAGGCGCGTCTCGTCGACGATTCGATGAGTACTACCGATGTTATCCGGTAGCGATGCTGAATGGGCCTGATCGGTCATATGTCAACTACGGAGGCAAAGTCTTCCTGCCGCCATCCGCCCTGCAGAAGCTCACAATGATGCACATCGCCTATCCAATGGTATTTGAGGTCATCAACCAGGACAAGATGACGCACGCCGGTGTGCTGGAGTTTGTGGCAGAGGAGGGACGGATATATCTGCCTTGGTGGGTAAGTACAACATTGGCACATTCGAGAAGCCATTTGATAACTAAATTGAGCAGATGATGAATAGATTGGGCATCAATGTCGGCGACATCATACAAGTGAAGTCCACGGATCTGCCCCCAGGAAACCTCATCAAGCTCAAGCCTCAGTCCACGGCCTTTCTTGACATCAGTGATCCTCGAGTGGTTCTTGAGAACGCCTTCCGTGGCTTCTCATGTCTCACTAAAGGTGATGTCTTCCAGTTCAGCTACAATGACAGTACCTACGACATGCTTGTCGAGGCTGTACAGCCTGAGACAGAGAAGATGGGCATCGTCACCATGGAGACTGATCTCAAAGTCGAGTTCTCTGCTCCGGTCGGCTACGTCGAACCCGAGCGCCAGAGCGGCACATCGACGCCAGCATCGATTGGCAAGAAGGGTGGCCATCTCCACGCCCAAGGCACAATGGCGCAGAGCATCAACTACTCCAGCATCGCACCTGGCTCAACCGAGGCGGCAGCCGGCGCAAGAGCCATGTCATCGAACTTCCTCACTTCAGTCATACGCTCAAGAAAACCGCGAAGACGCCAACACCTAATCCGTCAACGCCAGTGGCGGGCGCGAGTACGAATCAGCCTGGTCCGTCTGTCGTGACTAGATCGGGTCCACCGCCGCTGAGATTGCCGGAAGGGAAGTTGTTCTTTGGGTACGAAATCAAGCCGCTGAAGAAGAAGGGCGAGGACGGCGAGGAGCTGGGGAAGGATGAGAAGAAGCCCTTCTTTCAGGGTCAGGGGCAGACGTTAAGACCGTCAAAGAAGGGGAAGTAGTGCACATCCACACATACAGCCACGTCGCGCCACTCATGTGGTGCCAATATCATTGTGGAAAACAGTACAGTTAGAGGCCGCCTGGTAACTAAACTTCTCTATGGTCACAAGCTATCAACTAGCAACGCTGTTGCATCACTCATCAACTACAGTCTCGGCATTCACTTAGCAGTTTTCTAGACAGAGTCCTCCCCACATTCACAACACAACATCACTTGAAGGCATCCCGACTCATGCAACCAGATAAGTGGGGCGGCCTCTGTCGTGAATGTAGCAATGGCAGACGCTTCGACATCCCCTCGCCGTCGCGAATCGCTCCTTACGGCTGCACTCCGCAACAGTCCTGCCACTGCCGTCTTGCCAAGCGCCATCAGCGACTGGATGGCTTCAAACGCTCTCGCCAAAGTCAAGATCTGCGCCTTGAATACCGCACGTCTCACCGCTCTCCTCATCAAGCCACGCGACCGCAATTCCATTCTTGATCCCGAAATCGCATGGACCTGCTCGAACAAGTTCCCGACACGCTTCAATGCCAACATGATCACCCTTGGCGGACCAGAACCAGACAAGGCATCTGCTCAGACGAAATTGGTGAATCAGCTGATCGACCGTGGCTTGATTGACAACTGGGAAGTTCTTGATAGCTGGGCCACATTGAAGCTGGAGTTATGGGGGCTCACGAAGAAGTTTGAGGGCGAATGGCTCTGGTTGGACGTGAGAGAAGGGTCGACAGCCGGTGGTGTGCATTACACTGGTGAGGACGTACGCAAAGTAGTTGACATGGAGGAACTCGCTGAGTTCGAGGAGGCCTGGTGGAAAAGCAAAGCCGGCATAGCCAACACGGAGACGTGGTATCAGGTGCGCGACGTGGTGGCAAATGCGAAGCGCTTCCGCGATTTTTTGCTTGACGATCAACACATCCAAGTCTGGACCATCCGAGACGAAGAAGCAGTCATCGCAGGCTGTGTCACCTATATCTCAGACGGCGTGGTGAGCATCTCGGATGTGTCCCTTCCGCCGAGGGCTCATCGGGCTGATCGTCTGCGCTTGCGAAAGCAATTTGTCACAATGGCAGCTCGTGGAGGGCTCCCCGTCGTTGGCTGGTCTGATGGACAAGGACTAGCAGACATGAAGGAGTTGGGCTTCCAGTCCGTGGGCAAGATGCAGGTGTGGGAGCGGAAGGCCGCCTAGTGGGTAATACCTGGTGTATTCTTGAAATAAGGCAAAACTGGATATGCATTCAGGAAACCATGTCCAGGAGGACTCTACGAGGATATTCATGAGCTTTTCTGGAACAGTCCTCCATACCAACATCTGACACCAATCCACTTCCTGGATCTGTCACCCAGACTGGCCACATCTCGCTCCTCGACCGCGACCTCCTTGACGTCTCCCAACAACGTCAGCCCATACTTGGACGCCGCAGTCTTGATGTCTTCAACAGAATGCGGATAACTTGCTGGTCGGATCTTCTCATTCGTCTTCGGATCAACGAATCCAGCCTGGCTGATTGCTCCCATGTCATGGTGCATATTGGTAACGAGGAGGACTCCGCCGCGAGAGAGTATTCGCGAAGCTTTCTTGAAGTACAGATCGCATGGAACGTGTTCTAGGACGAGCGTGGAAACAACAAGATCAGCGCCTAGCACTGATTGAGGGAGCTCTTCATCGGAAAGCAAGTCCATAACCTCAAAATTGATCATGCTCTGGCGGTCATTGTTCTTCGCATCTGCAACCTTTCGCTTTGCAATAGCTAGCATCGCCGATGAGGCATCGACTGCAATAATATTCGTCGCACTTTCGCCCACGTCTGAGGCCAGCAAAGCCATAGTAGCCCTGCCTGAGCCGGCACCCAAATCCACCGCTTTCCAAGGACGAGGTCTTCCGCTTAGACACTTGAATGCATCTTCCAGCAGCCGAGGAAGTTCTCTCGAGTCCAGTAGCTGTAGAAAATTTCCATCGTGGTCGTAGTGCTCGGCCCAGAGGTTGTATGCCTCTGTCGTGGGGAGATAGGTTACCTTGCGTTGCCTTTCGGTAGCGCTTTCCATTGTGGCTTAGCTGCCGGTTATGCTACTGTCAGTTTGGCAGGCGCGGCGTGGGGAGACGTCGTAGTATGTAGGGCGGCGAGCGTCGTCTTGCTTCCTGCACCGATCCTCACAGGTGACGGACCAGCGATGTGATGCATCACTCTCTACGAAATGCAGGATGGCGTGGGTAGAGGTGAAAGTATATCACAGGACGCGACTTGGCACGTTGTGAGTCATTACCAGACTACGATAAATGCTAATTCGATTCCTACAGAGACGTCCATTCGTATTCGCATTCGCAAAGCATTATGGGCATATCGAGGCTCAGATCTGTAAAGCGCATCGCTCGCGCCAGCAATGTGATTACTTGCATTTGCCGACTATCACCTACCGGCTCGATCGCTGGAACCAAGTTTCTTCAGCCCGAGCAAAGAACCGCGAGTTGTTCCTCGCCGAGATGACGCCCGAGAAGCGTCTCTTTCTCGTGTCTCGTCCTCAGAATGGGCTTGTCCGTCTGATTTGCCGAAGCACTGCCTTGCTCTCTGCTCGCTCTCCTGAACGCTTCCAGTACTTCATCCTTGCTGGTACCTAAGAGCAGAGCCGACTCTCTTGCTGGAACGCTCTCATCCTCGACCTCTACCTCCTTCTCCAAGTAAAAGCAAAGCAGCTCAATCAGCTCCTTCTTCACTTCCAAGCTGGTCTGTCGTGTTTTGAAAAGGCTTGTGACGACCATCAGTCCATCAAGCTCTTCGAAGACGCGGATGTTGGCAGGCTGATCCATGAGTGCCACAGTGAGTGCTCTGAGTGTCGCGATATGGACTGCCGGGCAGCAGGATGGGTCGAGAAGATCTAGGAACAGCTGATCGGCAACGTGTCAGAATATCGGCAACAGAAAGCGCTTTTAAATGGGTGATCTTCCAAAACTTACATTGATGTTTACCTCTCTCCTCCACAGCTCCCTCGACGGTCGATGTATTAGGAGGCAGCCCACCAGCAATTCCAGACATCCTATCAGTAAGAGGTCGTTCTCTCCACTACTACCCTTCCCCAGTAAACGCTCCAAGCAGCTGATGAGGTGTACACAGACGTTATACTGGAATGAATCCTGCAGGTTGATGAACGCTCGAAAGGCAGGATCCGATGCCAATGATTTGAGAGGCTGTGCTTGAGGCTTGGTTGCTGAGTGATGTGACAGGCAGATTTGACTGAGCAGTCCAGACAATTGCTTGAGCCCTCTTCGGACTTTGTTTGCTGATGTTGAGGTGAGACTGTCGAAGCTGAGGGACAGAAGTGACTCCATGATGGGCACGATGGCGGCGGGAGAGACTTTGCTTTGCTGCCAGTGATGGCTACGCAGACCTCGGTGTTGCAGACACGCAGGCCAGCCGATTCGTGTTTCGTTATACCTGCTTGAGTGGGGCGGTGATGGTGGCAGGCGAAATCGTGGGTAGCCTGCTGCTGCTTGCGATGCGACTTACAAGCTCAAATGCGATCTCCGTTTGCCTGCTTCCTGCGCGCGTCTTTGAATACAGAAATGGTCAGACGTGTGCTGTCTTGCCTAGGTCGCGATGCCCACGGCCAGATTTGGATGCTGGGTTCACGGATATGTTCTCCGACGGTTTCCAGGACGACCGTGACCGGGGACGGGAATCTGCCAAGCCTGGGCACATTCTGGGACCGGAGTACGGGAGTTCTGAAACGCGTGTACACACATATTCTCATTTCGCGCAGATGTCTTTCGGGCGACAGAAGGGCGTGAGGCTTGAGCAGGAAGCAGCAGGCAAGCCAAAGACCACGAATGCGCGTTAATGTGGTCGATGGGGCCAGTCAGAGCTTCCTTCTGGGTGGCATGACACATCATCACAAGCCATCACCCTAATGGAGTCGCCGTCGATGCCTAGTGAACGTCTGATCCGGCGGCTGGAAGCTGCTACTTGACTGCGACCCGAAGAGCCGCGACGATCTTTCTGCGGAGATTCGAATGAACCTCCCCAATCAGGTAGGATGAAAGAGCTGTGCGTGTTACAGGCTCTGCTCTTGTGCAACTTGCGGCGCAAACCGATGCGACGGGATGGAGTCGCCCTCAGAGTCGATTACTCAGAGTGATCGCCAAAACCCCTGTCGTTCCCCGGCTCCTGGGATTTGACGTCCGCTTTCGGCTTGCTCAGAAGAACACTGATTGTTGACAACGAGACGGACTAAGGATGGGAAGTTCCTGATGAAGGCTAACAACAGGCCAGCTATGCGGCACAGTGACTGCTGGTTGACACAACAAGGCCATGGCAGCTTCGGATCATGCTATGTATCTAAGTCGTGGCTCCTCATTCCCACCTTAACGGCTTCAGATACAGGTGAGGCAATCTCGGTGGAGGCAGCCGACGCGCTGAAATGGTTGCGGAATACATCTTACGGTCCTGCGATGTGCCATGGATTCCAGATTGCAGGTAGAAGGAGGAGGACTGCTGTTACAGCTGATGCATTGGATCTACGAGTTGAGCACGGTGAGAAGTCATTATGTCCGCTTCATAGCAGAGGCTCCAAGGTAGGAGTTGCTATAAAGGACCACATGGATGATGTCGAGTTGGAACTTCGAGCAGCACGACAACATTCCTTATAGGCACACTATTTTTCCCTTCCGGCGCACTCGTTTTTAACATTCGTCGCAATCGGTTTCATTTGCAGTCTCACGAGAGACATCTATAGCAACCCGACATGCACTTCACTCTCCTCATCAGCGCTGGTCTGCTGCCAGCTTTGGTCCTTGCAGTTCCGCTCCAAAGCCGCCAGGCAGTTTGCTTTCCCTTCAATTTGGTTTGCTCTGCAGACAAGAAGACTGTGAATGGCCAGTGCGTCGATGGGCGGACATTTCCGGTGTTGAGTTGCAAGAGTCCCGACTGTTTCGGAACTCCACTCAGTAGCGGAGGGAGTGTTGCCGCTTGTGGGTCTGGCGGCAGCACAGTAGTCTTCGATCCCTCTGGCGCAGGCGCCGGCTCTTCTGGCATCGTCGACGTTCCCAAGGGTAGTACCTTTGGCAGTGTCGAGCAGTCCGGCAGCGGCTTCAGCGGAGGCACATCTGGTGTTCTGGCTCGGTCGTGGCGGGAGCACCTTCGGTCAGCATCTCGATTGATCCAGCCTTCACAGCTTCTGCTGCGTCAGTGAAGACGACTACCACCTCAACCATCGTCAAGGCCACATCCATTGCAAAGCCAACAACCACATCTGCCGCAAAGCCAGCCACCACCTCAACGACCACGACTTTGGTGAAGCCCACGACTGCAGCAAAGACGACAACCACCGCACAAAACACGACTACGGCAAAGCTACGTCTGCGACACCTGCGCCGCCGAAGGGTCCTCCCAAGCCGCCCACGTCAGAACATGAAGACGACGACGACGAAGAAGAGGAGGAGGAAGAAGATGACGGGTGTTAATCTGCCAAATTGCAAGCTCACAGCCGCGCCGGCACAACAACTCGGCTTGTCATGCGTCGAACAAATGGTCGAGCAGGTCTCGCTCTGATGAGATATTCAATTCTGGGAAGCAAGTAGCCGTACATACATTAGCAAGATGCAATACACACTCGTTTAGCCATCAAAGAACGCAATTCCGTGAAATGTGATGTTCGTCTTCTTCTCAGCAGATTTGCAGCGCCACATTTGGGCTTCGAAACAAATCCATGTCTGCGATGCCTCGTGTAAGACTCGAAAAGGTGCTTGTGTCTGCATCAAAAGACGTTGGTGGGCGGAAGTGGCCGCAAAATCATCACTCTTGTGATTGGCCGGATGACCACCTTGCGGATCCACTTGACATAGCTGCGAATTGCAGGAGCTCAATGCAAAAAGCTCTCATGCGAACATCATCCCTCTGCTGTCGCTGTACTGACCAAGACTTCTTCTCGCTCGACACACGCGACCACCTGAGGGTCTCCTCCCACTCTCCGAGGATCCCACCGCTGCGCGAGTCGTACCTGGCGTGAGAACATTGGCAGCAATGGCTACTCCCTCCGCGCTCGCCTCGAGAGCTGCGAGGGCTACTCGACCGACACTCCGAACACCGCGGCTACAGACCCGATCAGCGAGCACATTTGCATACGAGACGGGCGAGGCAAGCGGGGTCAAGTTCGCAAGCAGAGAGCTGCCGACCGGCGTCACAACTCTGAGCGTGGTAGCCCGGGCTGGCTCACGCTTTGAACCTCTCCCTGGCTACAGCGATGCGCTGAAGACGTTTGCATTCAAGAGCACCAGCAAGCGGTCAGCGCTGCGGATAACCAGAGAGATCGAGCTGCTTGGCGGTCAAGTTCAGGCCTACAACAGTCGCGAGAACCTGGTACTGAAAGCTAGCTTTCTGCAAGATGACCTTCCGTACTTTGCGGAACTGCTTGCAGAGGTGGTCTCGAAGACAAGATACACAAGTAGGTGCATACCGGCAAAGTCCCGATTCTCCCTCTACGCATCCTACCCCATAACAGCGCACAATTCAAAAGCTCCGCGACGAAAGACTGAGCAGACAATAACTGACATTCAAACAGCGCATGAGCTACAAGAAGAAGTACTCGAGACGATGAAGCTAGAACAGAAGACCCTACTCGCACAGCCTCTCTACCTCGCCCTCAACAGCGTCCACGGCGTGGCTTTCCACAAAGGTCTCGGCTGGCCACAAACACCCACTTCCTCCATCTTCACCAAATACGTCGACGCACCGGGCGTGGCTGACTTCGCCGACGCCGCCTATGCCCGCAGCAACATCGCCGTGGTCGCAAACGGTGCCAAGCACTCCGAGCTCTCGAAATGGGTGAAGGAATTTTTCGAGGAGACATCGAGTGGGAACAGCAACGTCAAGATCCAATCCACACCCTCCAAATTCTATGGTGGCGAAGAACGAATCGGACACAGCTCCGGCAATGCCCTCATCCTCGCCTTCCCTGGTTCCGCTGCTTTCACCTCGGGCTCGGCTTACAAGCCCGAAGTTGCTGTCCTCGCAGCCCTTCTCGGAGGCGACTCTGCCATCAAGTGGTCGCCTGGCTTCTCGATCCTGTCGAATGCCGCTGCTGCGACCCCAGGCGCCAAAGTCGTGACCAACCATGCAGCCTACAGCGATGCGGGTCTACTGTACGTAACCCTCACGGGCAAAGCCAGCGACATCGCGACCGCAGGCAAGAACGTAGTGGAGGCAATCAAGAAGGTTGCGAATGGAGACGTCAGTGATGAGGTTATCAAGAAGGCGGTGGCGAGTGCGCGGTTCAGTGCACTTGAGGGCGGCGAGCAGGTCGATGCGGGCATTGAGGCCACAGGCAATGGTTTGATTGTGGGCGGCAAGGCGTTCCAGATAAGTGAATTGGCAAAGGGTTTCGAAGGCGTGTCGAAAGCAAAGGTTGTTGAGGTGAGTACAATGCCTTGTCCTGCTGGTATTAGGTTGTATGATTTGCTAACACGCGATCCTTCGAACAGGCTGCGAAAGCACTCACGAGCCAGAAAGCCGCGGTTTCGGCTGTGGGAGATCTGTATCAACTGCCATACGCTGAGGATCTCGGGTTGAAGGTGTAAGTTGCGAAGCATGGTGGCAGAGTCCTCGGCAACGGATATGTGACGGTGACGGTGTGCGGCTTGACCGGGTCTCGATTCATTCTCGCCACCCCATGACGCCGAGACGAGCTTGAATGTGGACGGACAAGTGAAACGTTCAGATGTCGACCGAATGAAGAGGATGGACACAGAGAGTGGTGCGCTTGTACATAAGCTGCGAAGGTATGCAAGTGCTCTTGCGGACTTGTTCCTGCGAGGATGCCTCAACTGGCGGCTCGGACCGGGCTTTGTCGTTGGCAGGGCATGGTGTAGAAAACTTAGAGACAGCACAGAGCAGGGTGGAAAATTCTGAAGCTTTCACAAATCAAAGATTATCACTTCGGCTGCGCTCTGCGAGTGCTGCTTATGTCAAGACTGAAGCAACAAGCACGAGAGCTACTGAAGGATGCATTCGTCTGGACGAAGACATGCATCAAGGGGCGCATATGTGTACCACAGCCATGCCAAGGTCTCGCATCGCTCTTTTCCCTTTTCGGTTCTGTCCGTGCTTTATATATGCTGAAGCCAATGCCACATTGAAACCCGTCTGTGAAAAGGAGCACTTCTGCACCAACTTTCATCAATTTGCCCGAATCAGCCATCCCGATAATCCTCATCATCACTCGGTTCATCATCCAGAAAGTCCTTCTCAGTTAACTGCGTCTCTGCTGGCCGCTGGTCACTCATGCTAATCGCCACAACCGAGCACCGTCCATGTATGAAGCCCTCCCCGCCGTCGCTGATGTCTGCTTCGCTTCGCTGCTCCAGCTGACGCCGGCTTGCTGTACGAAGAAGGTCTTCGTTCTGAGATTGGCGGTCAAGGACTGCTTCTCGGAGCCGGCCGGAGCGGCGGCCTTGAGAGCTGGTTTTGGCGTCGGAGTCACTGGTGGCCGTAGCGGCGTCGGATGAGGAAATCTGCGGGCGAAGAGCGGGTGGACTGGCGATGTTCCGTGGTGGGGAGGTGTCGAGGAAGACTCGCTCGATTTTGCTGATCCATTTGTTGCGGAGCGCGGCTCGTTCACGCCAGCTGCCGTCACGAATGATGGCTTTGATGGAGACATGACGCAGTGAATCAAATTGGGGAGCCATGTCGACAAGGCTTTGGAAGAATTGCTCGGCTTCGGACAGGTTGATTTGGCGTAGCTCCTTGATGGCTATGCTGACGAGCGAGGCAGGCCAGGTGGGACTGCCACTTGGAAGAGCATCTTCGAAGAGGGGGTGGACTTCGTTGTAGGCTGAAGGATCGCTGTAGGACAGATCAAGGGTGAGGTGGCGCAGGCGCGGAGTCCAGTGAGCGAGGTAAGTGAGAAAGTCTAGTGACATACTCTGGTTGTGTTTGAGTGTGAGACTGGTGAGGTGCGCGCCGTGGGAGATCAAGAAGGCGCTCAAGTACTCCGCGAGGAAGGTGATGTTGTAGGCTATCTCCAAGGACGTGAGCGTCGGCGGCAGAAGTGGCGTAGTGACCTCGTCCAGAAGTGTGCATGAAAGTATTGAGAGCGACTTGAGGTTGGGCAGTGCTGTTATCGACGTCGAGAAGAGTTGTTGGGCCATGGGTAGCTCGGGAGACTTGTCCTCGAAGGAGAAGTTGAGGAGGGTGAGAGACTCAATTTGGGAGAAGCAGGCGCGAGTATGGGCAGCTGACATGATTCGTAACACCTCGATCGGGCTGGACAGTCGTCCATTCCACTCGAAGGCCTTTAAGCGCACGTTGGCCTCATCAAATTTATCGAAGAGCTCCACGGGATATGTCCATTTCTTCTTCTTCATGATGAACTGACTCCATGAGAATCTGGCGGCATTGTCGTCGTTGTTGAAGAGTCTGATCTGCTCCAGGTTTGGCACACAGTCGAGCAAATCGAGTAAGTCGATGGCGTTTTTGCCCACCAGAAGTTCCGAAACTTCGATGTCGAGCCGCTTGATTCTGTTCCTCGGCTTCTCATTCTGGCGGAGAAGGGCTAGAAAGCTCTTTGCTCTCCAGAGCGGATACAATGGTGGAGCGGCAAGCAAGGCACCCGTGGCAGCATCTTGAAAAGATCTAGACAGTCTCCCGATAGCGCACAGCCATTCTACTGAGCCAGTGGAGCGGCCCCTGTCTTCGTAGAATGGATATGCGGCATGGCGCAGAATAATGATCAGAGCCTCGTAGGGAAGATTCTGCCACTGAGGAATCTTGCCTGATGGAGGAAGAGGAAAGGCGATCGCTTTCTCAGGTTGGAGGAGGTTCAGAGGATTCGGCTTCCGCTTCTTCCAGGGCGCAGATATCGAGTCTTTTGCACTTCGAGTAGCATATTTGCGCTTAGTCGGTCTCCGCCTCTTCGGCTTTGAGGGCAACGTAGCCTGCTGGGCAAATCGAGTGCGTATGAGGCTTGACCGCCGCCCTGGCTCTGGTCGGGAGACCAGAGGTTCTTCCAGCGAACTCTCATCACTGGCTTCGCGATACGACTGAGGTCGACGCTGAGATCGGGACGGTCTGTCATCGCGAGAAGGGGCATAGTCGAGATCGTTATCCGAATCCTCCGCATAGAGAACTCTTCGGGTGTGGCGTAAACGCGTTGGCGATGTCGAAGCCATGACGGAGTGGTCGGAGCGGCTTCAGTGAGAGACTACAGCGCAAGTGCGCAAGCGAACGTTGTTGATAAACACAGTCCTCGACAGTTGAATATATTTGTTTGTCGAATCGCAATGCATGCGTGAAGGGGAATACACTTTAGAGAAGTGACGTATGTAATGAGAGTGGGGGCCAGAATATCTGTAAACACTGTGGACGTTTACTTCGGCAGATCTTCAACTTCGTCACTTCACCAAACACATCCAACTTCGCGATTGTTGTCCTGTCTGGTGACAGAAATGGCTGATGACTGCCGTCTGTTCTCGGACAACGGATGAGTCGACGGCCCGCCATGCCGAGAGCACCTCGACGCGGTCCTGCGGGGGGAGGTGAGATCGCAACTGCAGCAACCCCCACTAGGCCGGGGAACAATCAGATCACCGCCGCGATCCCCCCCTTCATGCTGGACACGCCTCCTCACGCTCCATTCGCGCATGAACCCAGCTACAACCCTGGTCCGTCGATCGTTCCCAGTCACAACGGCACGCAACGAGATGAGGATCAAGGGGAAGGATCCCAAGCATCGACGCATGCGTTGTCAGTGGCCTCAGAAGCGCAAGAACAGGCAGAACAGTCGTATCTAGAGTCCATCCAGCAGGAGGCAGAGGATTCAAAAGTACTGGCCGGTCTACGCGACATATCCTCACTAGCGACCTGGACACTATCCTCCGCCAAACCAGGCTGCGCTCTCGCCCAACTACGCAGTCCGAACACGAATCTCTTCTGGCAAAGCGATGGACCACAGCCTCATACACTCACGCTGCATTTCTTCAAGCTGGTAGCGATCGTGAAGATGCGCGTTTACCTCGACTTCGATCTGGACGAAAGCTACACCCCAACCAAGATCAAGTTCTTTGCCGGCATGAGCGAGGGTGGATTGGTAGAGTTTGGGGAGTGGACAGTACAAGATGTCATGGATCCGGAGACCGGCGAGATGCGTCCGCACGTGGAGATCGTCAAGGGCTGGATTGAGGTTGATCTGAAGGGCGTCGGTGGCAGGGAGAAGCGCTATTTTGAGGTTGCGGATGAGGAACAAATGGATTCGAAGGAGAATGCGGGTGCTACAGACGTCTCAAGGCCAGGGGATGTCCTGAAGGCGATGGTAGTGCAGGTTCGAATCTGCGAGAATCACCAAAATGGAAAGGACACGCATGTAAGAGGCTTTCAAGTATTTTCCAAGGACGACACCGTCACCAGGGAAGCCGTCAAACCTAGACTGAAGAAGAAGCAGAACAAGACCACGGATGCTGATGATGGAGAAGACTTTGTCGGCATCAAGCTGGCAGACTGGATGAGGGATCCTGAGATTCGATAAAGCACGCTACGATGACGATTATCAATATCAATCGCCCAAATTTTGGGCGAAGTCGCCTTTCGTGTGACAAGACTTAGGTAGTCAACCTCATGGCAAACGCTTCACAAGTGCACGGTTCACCATGCGACTTCCACCTTACACACAGCTCCACCTCTCAACACGTACTCATGGCGCAAACTCACCACAGCACGACGATTGCCTGTCAGATGTAATCCTCGATGCATCACCGACATGACTCCTCTCAACAATAGTTTGAACGGCAATCTGCGTCTTGTGTGGTGGTCGCTGCTCGCAGTCGTTGCTATTAATCTCGTTCTGAAGCGGCTTCGAGGTTCATCTCTCACCTTTTCCGACTTCGCACTACTGACTTTCTCTATAGATCAAGACCCTTCAAAATGTCAGGTTCTGCTGACCCGTGGCCGCTGGTCCCACGACTTATCCTCCTCCACTACATATCTCGAGTGGCATCCCGCTGGATGTATGAAGCCTAGTTACGACACTCATGCGAATGCTCAAGCCATATCGAGATGTCTTTCGACAGATGTCATATTTGTTGGCGACTCGTCGGTTCGACAACTTCTTCCTCCTACGTTCGGATCACACCAGCCGTGGTCCCCATCGCCCAATGCTTCAGACCATCATTTTGACAACCACAGACATTCCAATATTTCCATTCGAACGGAGCACGGCATGACAGAATTTATTTGGGATCCCTATCTCAACAACACTCGACTCGCAGGTCTTCGAAACACAAAGGCGAACGGCTCAACGGATCACGGCTACGAGGTTGCCCAAGAACATGAGCCTCGAGCACCCAGATTCATCATCATTGGCGGTGGCCTTTGGCATGCACGCTATCTCACTACTAGCAATAACAGCATGAGCGCCGAAGACGTTTCGCCTATCTATTCCTCCTACCTCAGGCGCTTCCTCGAGTCCCGTCACAACGCCACCGAGACAGAGATCGTTCCAGTCTTCTTGCCTATCCAGCCGTACCATCCCTGGCTCGACCAAGAGCGCCGAAAGTTCTTCGCTCCGTCCCGAATCAAAAGAATGAACAACGTCTTGCGTGATGTATCCGAGGAATATCAACTCAATGTGTTCTGGGCAAGCACCAAGATGACTACCGGTTCAGCGGCGTTCCAAGCAGATGGCCTGCACCTCAAACCTTTCGTGGCCAAGAAGGAGCTCGAAGTTCTCTCGACGCGTCTCTGTCCGAGAATGCAAGATCACACCTGCTGCTCAAAATCCGCAGACACCGCACAGGGCCAAGTCCTCATCCTTTTCGCAGCCATCGCGACAGTCACCGGGTCATGCCTTCACAGATCTGCTGCTGCTCGAGCGCTTGCAGTCATGGCCGCCACGCTCATCTACTGCTTCTGCGCTGACAGGACAATGCTCTTCGAGAGAGTCAACAAGCTGGTCGATCCCCAATTATTCATATTCTTCTGCTTCTTCGCGCTTGGCGCTGGCATCATGACCACATCCATATGTTCCGCTGACGAGAGTCTCTGCCGCGAGCAGACTCAAGAATGGAAAGGCTGGATGCAGATCGTCATCCTTCTCTACCACTACTTTGGCATGTCTCGCATCGTCTGGGCCTACCGAACAGTCCGAGTGCTTGTCGCGGCATACTTCTTCCTCACAGGCTATGGTCACGCAACATACTTCATTCGCACCAGAGACTTCTCCATGCGCAGAGTCGCCGCAGTTCTGTTGCGGACGAACCTTCTCAGTTGCATACTCCCGTTCATCATGGACACGTATTATCAGTTCTACTACTTTCCACTACTGACATCCATTTGGGTCTTGATCACTTGGGCCACAGTCCCATTAGAACTCAACTGGTACAGCAGCCTTCGGGTGGTCTACTCAGCAGGCGCGACAACGATAGCCTATGCGCGGTCAGATCGTTTCTTCCGCTTGCTGTCACGCATGGGCATGATGGAGATTGACGTCAGGGAGTTCAAGTTCCGCTTCGGCCTGGACTTGTACGCTGCGTACGCCGGCATGCTGTTAGCCATGCTAATAGCCTTGCGTCCAGATCTATTCACCATCCAGAACCGCATCACGCAAGTCATTTCCTGGACAGCAACACTTCTCGCCACGGCTGTCTATCTTTCTCACGCCACAAATGCCGACAAAGAGACCTTCAACGCCACCCACCGTTACACCTCCATTATCCCTATCCTCAGCTACGTCTTCGTCCGCAATGCCTTTGCCGCGTGGCGTAGCCGCTATAGCCGCTTTTTCGCCTGGTTCGGACGGCACTCACTCGAGACTTTCGTCCTCCAGTACCACATCTGGCTTGCTGCAGATACCCACGGAATTCTGCATCTCGGTCTGATCGATCGCAACTATACCGAGGAAAGTACGAGAGGAAGCTGGCGGTTCTGGGTTGAGGTAGTCTTGGTCACGGCTTGCTTTCTGTGGATCTGCTCAGCCGTTGGTCGGGCGACGGGCGTAATCGTGAAATGCATCATGGGAGGCCCGCAGAGTGAAGATGGCTCGTATGAGAAGAGTGATGAGCTGATCAGCCATCAGCATTCGGCTTTTGCGCCAGTCAGGGCGAATTGGTGCCCGCTTTTGCTAACGTGGATCGCGATGTCGCCAGACCACCAGATGCGATGGCGGGTTCTGGCGATTGTGCTCGTACTTTACATGCTGAATGTGTTCTGGCCGTGGTGGCCGTAGTCGACCAACCTATGTAGCTTACAGCGGACGGGGCCTCCGCAAGGCATGCAGACGTCCACGAATCAAGTCCCAAGCAGATCTACCTACATGTGACCAACCGGTCTCTCCACGTCCATGTGCCTGGATTCATAAGGCAGTGACATTTGCGAAAGATTGCTACCGGCCTCAATTCCGCACCATCCTAGAAGAATTTTGCGCTTTTCGCTCCAGGTTCTCCGCATTTGACTCCAAAATTCAAACGCTTGCCTCATCCACCATGCTAACATCGTCATCGACCCAGGGACGACAGTGCGGACGTACGGACATTAGCGCTGGCTCCGTAGTGAACGTATTCAATCAAAGCTTTTCACAAGGCATGCGAGCTTTCAAGTTTGCTTGCCCCATCATGGCGGCCACAGAAAGTGTACTGAATGTGAGGGAACATGCTGGACGAGGTCGTACGATATAGCAGCAGAAATTCACGCACTGGGAAACGAAGCGCGGACAAGAACGGTTTGAAACCAGAGAAAAGCGCCGACAGCCGCCACCCAGTTGGCCTACCCCGGCTAACTCATCGACAAGAATATGCCATCATCATCAGAGAAGTCCGCCATCAACGAGGACTACAACGTCGACCATGGACGATCAGAGAAAATTGCCCTCCCATCTTCGCCACAAGCGGCCATCCCACCACAATCATCACCACACGAAAGACCTGCTGAACTTGACGAATCCCCACCACCGGATGGAGGTTATGGGTGGGTATGCTGCCTCGCCGTGACGGGCATAAATGGCTTCATCTGGGGTAACCTGGCGTCATACGGTGTCTACCTTTCCTATTACCTTACCAACTCTGGGCGCTACGGTGGCACTCCCATAGCATACGCTTTCATCGGCGGTGCCAACTTCGCTGCCGCCATGCTGATCGCGCCGCTGACCAACATCCTTATTCGACGCTATGGTACGAAGTTCCCAATGTATCTAGGCATCCTCCTATGGCTCGCGGGCTGGATCGCCGCTTCCTACTCCCACAAATACTGGCAATTTTTTCTTTCGCAAGGCATCCTCGTCGGACTGGGCGCTGGGCTAAACTGGTTGCCAGCTGCGCCTATCCTCCCTCAATGGTTTTCCCGCAAGCGTAGCTTGGCTCAGGGACTAGCGAGCTCTGGGAGCGGGACAATTGGTGTGATCTATGCCGTCGCAACGACACCTATGATTGAGAACCTCGGCCTTGGCTGGAGTCTGCGGATCACGGGAATCACGAGCACGGCGGTCCTACTTGCATGTACTTGGGTACTGAAGGATCGGAATGTGAGCACCAAGGCGGACGTGAGGCCATTCGACGTCAGGCTGTTGCGAGACAAAGGCGTGTGGTTATTGAGCGGTTACACATTCTTTGGTACCCTGGGATACATGGTCGTGATCTCAAGCTTTTCGGCTTTTGCTGGTGAGTTCGGATTCTTACTATCGCGAATGAGATGTATACACGACGTCCTCTCAGCGGCGCCGGTGCCCTGTCGTGCCGACGCACCGTTTTTCCTCCCACTTCACCGTCTTCCGAATGCTGACAGCTGATATCTTTCACGACGAAAGTCGCACTAGGCTACACACAAACCCAGGGTGGGAACGCCATCGCAATTCTCAACGCCGGTACCGCACTAGGCCGCCCCTTGATTGGCATTCTCAGCGATAGAGTCGGAAGGATCACCACTGCGTGTGGTATTACGGCTTTCAACGCACTACTCGCTTTTGCATTCTGGATCCCGGTCACCACCTATGCGCCGCTCTTGGTGCTGGCGATCATCTATGGAGGAACGTGCGGTGTCTTCTGGGCGGTGAGTCCACTTTTCAGCAAAGCACATCCATTCGTGATGGTCGTGTGTTCCCCGTTCCGCTTTCTGGTGGGGCTGCATCGGCAGTCCGTTGTTGCCTCTACTGCTGACACTCGATGCGAGACTGCCTCACGCCTCTTCACTTTCCTGCTGCATATCGTACTGCATTACCTCCGTTCTTCCACATGCACGTGCCCATCCTTCCACTCTCATCAGAACTTTCTCTCACAAGCTCACAGTCCCGTCCACGATTTCTTTGTGGTTGCTAATCTCACGCATTCCTACAGACGATTGCCCCACTCTCCGCCGAAGTCGTCCCTCTCTCGCAGATCGCCTCTCTCCTGTGCCTCCAGTGGCTGACCGTGTCAATGCCCTCACTCGTATCGCAAGCCATAGCGCTGGAGATTCGTCAGCCATTGAGACCGGGTCCCGGAGGCGGAAGGTGGGTATTTGTCTATCCACAGGTGTACACCGGGATCACGTACACAATCGCCGCCCTGTTTCTGCTGGAGTTGAGAAGGCAGAAAGTTGGGCTTTGGGCTTGGGAGCGGCATGCGGCTGTGAGAGAGGTCGTGAAGAAGGATGAGGAAGAGAGAGCAGCGGTTGGCCAGAGGCACGCAATGAGCTCGACACACGCTGTCGAAGGCGCTAAATGAGCGTGTTCGAACATTGTATACCTGGGACAACGAGCAGGCTGTGTCCCATTACTCCAGGCATCTGGAACTTCCTGATATGGCTCAGGGCATTGTGATCCCCAAGACGACAATGGCACTCTTTCATCGATTCCGGTCCCTGCATGCAGCACCTCCGAGGCTGCGACAAACGACTGAAAGTGCAGTGATGTCTCCCATCCTCTACGCGAACGACCAATCCCAAGACAGCGAAGCGAGAGTGCCATGATCAACAGTTGGTGTTGCCGTCGGCGCAAAAGAGCAAATGAGGTCCAATCACGCTATTGAAGGCAGCACACAGGCAGCGATGTACCACTGCGGCAGTTGTAGAAGGCAGCATGCTGGTATCGTATATCGAGTCCGCAAGCATCACTTGCGGCGTCTGTCAGAACATGGACGAACGACGAGACGTAGCGGTTGACTTGCAATCAACACGCCATGAAAGCAATCGACCTACGCTGACCGCGACAATCGAAAGAAGCACCGTGCATTTATGGCAGAGACCAATTTCCTTGCCACACCGGAAAGATCTTCCTGCTTCCCAATACGGTGACTCGACAAATCTGTCCAGCAAGGTGTGTCCGGTGGTCGTCGGCTACTGAGCTGCTTGCCGCAAATGCGGGCGCCTTTCTTCCAACGAAACAACCTAGCCGTCAGCATGTTGGGAGAGGAATTGACTGGACTGTCATGACCTTCCTATGTGTGACAATGGGCCATGCAGGTCTGCTGAGCTATGGAACAAGTGCATCGGCTTCGACTCTTCCGGTCGGCCTTGTTGAGGCGTGTGCAAAGCGTGCACAGACTTCGGCGCGCCAGAGAATACAGTGGCAAAAGACGCCAAGAATACGTCTGACTACTAGTTCTCGAGTCAGGAGAGACAGCGAAGCGAAGCAGAGGTCTTCCATCGATGGGCTCTTCGTTGTATATTGGCACTCTTGGTGGAAGTGCTCCAGCGTCGGAAAGCGCGACAGATCTCGCGTACGACGACAACGAGCCGGCCGCTCTCTTTCTCTTCTGACAGCCTATAGATTGGCTTGCTCAATGTTCTGTGACAGATTCAGCAGTCAATACCCCGAACAAACTGGCTCTCATGATCAACTCGGCGGGCGACTGCAAATCAGCGAATCAAGGAGAGCACAGATATCAAGGGAACAAGTACCGCGAGCACGACTGCACCCATGCATGCTCGTGCTGGTGTTTACTGCTTTCTACTGCAGAAGGAGACCGTTTACGCACAACGGGCTCAGCAGTCAAGGCAACGGCGAACATGTCTGGCACGCTCGAGAGCACGATGGGGTTGGCAAAGTTGGCGTCTGTGCTGTACAAATGAGAGGCTCCACGGGATCCAGCGTCATGGGGACCTCTTGACGGCGGTGCGTGCGGGAGAGCTTGAAGGATGGGTTTGGGATCGAAAATGTAGCCAAGATCCACCTGACGCGGAGGGCATGATGCGTTCTGCCCGATCCTCACTAGTCGTGTAGGCCTCGTAGGAGCAGGTAGGCAATACTAGGCGGACACGAGAGCAAGTTTCAGGTCGGTAATAGGCGCTCCAGCCCCTAAACAGGTCCCCGTAGGGGTGCTCGGCCCCTGGAGTTGGTCGACTACTCTGTCGAATATATATGTCCGCCTGGCTCTCCTCC